CTAAATCTCTGCGCTTGCAATACTGTGCATGCTTTTCTATGCAAGGCCCAGCAGGATTTCCTTCCAGCTAAAGACCCATAGGAACAGGGAGCATGGATCAGGGGGCTGCTATAGGCACAGAAGAGCAAGAGAAAGGGGGCAGGATATGGTAGGGAAAAAATGCAAAATTGCATTAGTCACCTGAAGTTCTTCTTCATGTACCCTCTCAAAGGGAAGTGCGGAACTGACCTTTTAAGTGGTGGCTCCCTATTTGTAGACTTCTCTCCCTAGGAAAGCACCCCTGGCACTATCACAGTCTCTTTTTAGGTGCCAAGCAAAAACATTATTAATAACAAGGAGGCTTATGGCTTTTAGTTGAAAGGGTAGTTAGATATGTCAGTGGCCTTTGTTTTGTGCTCGTCCTTTAAGTGGAGTGAGCAGGACTTGTTCCTAAATATATTATTGCATGAGTATATTGGTCTTGGTTTATTGCTGCTTTTTACCTTGTTTTAATGTGTTTGCTGTTTTCTTTGTACTGCGTAAATCGCTTTGAGGCATTTGAATACAGAAATATGACCAATAAACATAAAACAATAATAATGCAAAGCCAGCTAGGTACAGACATGTTTTTGTTGAATAAATATCCCATTTGGTTTCATGTATCTTCATCATGTTAATGCTATGGTTTTCCCAGTAGTGATGTATGGAAGTAAGAGCTGGACCATAAAGAAGGCTGATTGCCAAAGAATTGATGCTTTTGAATTCTGGTGCTGGAGGAGACTCTTGAGAGTCCCATGAACTGCAAGAAGATCAAACCTATCCATTCTGAGGGAAATCAGCCGTGAGTGCTCTCTGGAAGGACAGATCCTGAAGCTGAGGCTCCAAGACTTTGGCCACCTCATGGGAAGAGAAGACTCCCTGGGAAAGACCCTGATGTTGGGAAAGATGGAGGGCACAAGGAGAAGGGGACGACAGATGACGAGATGGTTGGACAGTGTTCTCGAAGCTACCAGCATGAGTTGGACCAAACTGCAGGAGGCAGTGGAAGACAGAAGTGCCTGGCGTGCTCTGGTCCATGGGGTCACGAAGAGTCGGACACGACTAAACAACAACAACAACAATCTTCATCAGAGGAAATTGCTCAATGATTTAAGACACCCAGAGTTGCCTCTCCTTCTCTTATTCCATTCTAGCAGTCAGAAGGTTCCAGGTTCAATACCCAGCAAGTCCAAGTAGGGCTGGGAATCTGTCCGAAATCCTCAAGAGCTGATAGCGGTCAATGTAGACAATACTAAGCTTCTTGTGTTTCTGTTTAGGAGGAAGGGGTATAGCTCAGTTTCAAACTGAGGCATCTCTGGGTCTAGGAGAGAACGCTGCCTGAAATCCTGTAGGTAAAAAAAGGTAAAGGACCTCTGGACGGTTACGTCCAGTCAAAGGCGACTATGGGGTTGTGGCGCTCTTATTGCTTTCAGGCTGAGGGAGCCTGCATTTGTCCACAGACAGCTTTCTGGGTCATGTGGACAGCATGAGCAAACCGCTTCTGGCGCAAGGGAACACCATGATGGAAACCAGAGCGCACAGAAACGCCGTTTACCTTCCCGCCGCAGCGGTACCTATTTATCTACTTGCACTGACATCAGTAGTGGAGCAAACTGCTTGGGCACCTGGAGCCAGGGGGGCGATCGGCGTAGCAATTGGCATGCAGAGGGGTGATCAGCGTAGCGATCGGTGCCATTTGGGGGCGATTGATGTGGTGATTGGCACCCAGGGGGGCGATTGGAGCAGTGATTGGATCCCAGGGAGGCGGCGTGGCAATCCGCCCAGGGGGGATTTTGTCACACCCCCCTCAGGGATGACACCCGGGGGCCAACCGCCCCCGCCCTCCCTTCCTACGCCCCTGACTGGCGTGCTTTTGAACTGCTAGGGTGGCAGGAGCTGGGACAGAGCAACGGGAGCTCACCCCGTTGCGGGGATTTGAACCGCCGACCTTGGCGAACCCCAGAGGCTCAGTGGTTTAGACCACAGCGCCACTCGCATCCCAAAATCCTGTAGAGCTGCTGCTGTCAGTGTAGACAGCACTGAACTAGATGGACCAATGGTACAACTCATTATAAGGCAGTTTCCTCAGTTCCTACATGCAGAAGACCTACATTTCCAAGGTACCCCTCCTGCTCCTCCATCTAAAGATGTGACAAGTTGGCTTACAGAGATGGCAACACGTGGTACAACAAGGTCACTTGATCACTCCACAAAATGGTGTCTCCCTCAGCTACATTATTATGCAAGTTATCTTTTTTCCACACTTTCTCTCTCCCCCCCACCACTTTTGGCAGTTCTAGTTCAATTTAATAAGGAAAAAGAGGGCCTCTCGCAAGAGTTGATACGAAGGCGGTGACAGCTTTGGAAATCAAAGACTCCATGCCATGCAAAGTTCCTTTCCAGAAGCAATTTAGCTTTGGATTGAAGGGAGAAAAGCCATCTCTAAGCAGCCAGTGATCCGATTACATTAATATTGCACCACTCTTCTCCAGGCCCGTAGACAGAACGATTTGCGACAAATGTGATGGTTAACATATGCATTGTTAGATGAACAATGAGCATGAGGTTCCAACTAAACGCCACTCCACGATTTCTTGCTGCTTGAGGCAAAGAGCAAAATGGTGTCCTCCATTTAAGAGCTGCTCAACAGTGGAACGGACTCCCTCTGGAGCTAGTGGACTCTCCTTCCTTGAAGGTTTTTAAGCAGAGATTGGATGGCCATCTGTCATGGGTGCTTTAGCTGAGAAGGGGCTAGACTGGATGGCCTTTAGGGTCCCTTCCAACTCTGCAATTCTATAATTCCCTGTACAGAAGTTGACTGGCAGTTGAGTCTGCTGAAACTGAGGCTGCTGAAGAGACCAGAGACCATCTTGGCTGTGAGTCCTGGAAGACCTGCTCCCTGCTTTGCGGGCTTTTCCCATCTGGGGTTGGTAGTTATTCCTGGTAAGTTATCAACAACAAACTTTTTCTGCTCATGAACAGCAGCACCAGTATTGCCATCTGACCAAGTCCTGATTTTTCTTTTAAAATAAAAATAGATCAAAATATTTTTTTTAATCTCACATATTTCTAGACCTCATGGTGGAGTAGATTGTCTTGCATGTAAGCAAAGCTATATAGACACAAGACCAGTGTTTGGAGTGGGTGCTTTTCTGTTGCATGCAAGCTGAGGTGCTGGCGTTGTCTCAGGATTCCTGCAACTTGTACATGTGGTTGTGATCACATATTTGCATGCAGCGAGAGTAAAAGTTGTATCCAACAAAGTTCTATCCGGAAGAGACCCATAAAAATGAATGGGCGTTACCAGTCTAGGCCCATTAAGTTCAACGGGAATGGTAGTCAGTCCCAACAAATTGTAGCGATGGCCACCAACTCAGATGGCTTTCAAAGAGGACAAGGCAGGTTAATGGGAAATGAAGCCATCAGTGACTACTAGCCAAAAAAGCTATGTTGCACCCCAACTGTTGTGAAGGGAATCACAGGAGAGAAGAGTGCTGTTGTGCTCAGGTCCTTCTGGTGAAATCTGGGTGGCCACTGTGAGAACAGGAAAGAGCTGGCCCACCCAAGAGGCAAGCTGAGGCAACTGCCTTAGGCAGCAAGTGTTAGAATTCCTGATCTACGATTGCAGTCATGGGATTTTTGTCTATCACATGACGGTGTATGTTTTGACTCCACAGAGTGGGAAGTGATGGAGACAGGATGTTTGTGTTACTGTGTTCCGTGAAGTGGGACTATTGTCCTTTGTTCTTTTTCTCTTTGCTGTCTGATGCTAGAGAGAGAGGGAGCCATGTTGCAGTGCTCCGTGCGTGTTTATATGTAAATAAAGTAGATTAGCCAAAATGCTGAGTTGTTGAGGTCTGTTACGCAACTGCACAAACTCTGCGGATCCCTAAGTGTGCCGGTGTCGCTTGGCATCGGTTGCTGTGATGTTCGGGCTGAAGAAAGCTTATGAAGCTCCTGAATGATCGACCAGGAGGGAGGGAACATGGCAGTTGCGCATGTGTCTCTACCAGGGTCCTACTTGAGTGTAGGCTGAACTCCTGACAGCAAGATCCACAGGGACAGATTATATGGCTTCCAAGGAATGTATCACCCATTGCTGCAGTGGCACTGACAGCAGCGATGCACCCTTGGATCTGCTCCCCACATGTTGCCTCTGTAGGAGCCTCTTGACCAGGCTTCCTCAACCTCGGCCCTCCAGATGTCTTGAGACTACAATTCCCAGCATCCCTGACCACTGGTCCTGCTAGCTAGGGATCATGGGAGTTGTAGGCCAAAAACACTTGGAGGGCTGAGGTTGAGGAAGCCTGCTCTTGACCAATAGGAGAGGTGCAATGTAGATCTCCCCTCTGTACTTGTTTTGGATGTAGATCTTCACTTACCCCTTATTCCACAGCAGGAAAGGCCGTGCCATTTTGTGGTCTGCCTCAGATGCCAAAATATATTGGGAACAGGATTCTGGACTAGTTGGGCCACTTGTCCAGCAGGGTTCTCCTTCTGTTCCAACCTGCTCAGCTTTCAGCCTTAAGCTTCTCATACTTTTGCTCTTCTCTTCGCCCCCCATCACACACACACACACACACACAGAGAGAGAGAGAGAGAGAGAGAGAGAGAGAGAGAAGGAAGTAGATACCATCTCCAAATTTTGCTGCTGATGTGCCCAAATTTCCATCTGAGCAGGGAACTACACAGCTGGCAGACTTCTCATTTCTTCTGCCCCCCTTTGCACATAAGAGCCTCTCACTGTTCTTGCACCCTTGAACCAGCTGCTGTCTTCCCTCCCTCCTTCCTCCTCCCTCCCACTTCCCTGCCTCCAACCGGGGACGGGGTGGGGGCGCAGCTGCGGTTGCAACCAGCCTGAGCTAACAGCAGGTGGCTGCCCGGTGACTGACAGCCCTTCCATGACGTCATGCAGGTGGGCAGGGCGCCGGGAGGCGTTCTTTTTGCATGACTATAGAGGCAGTGGCTGGTAAGTGACAGAAGGGGAGCTTATCAGTACACAGAGAGAGTGAGTGGAAGGAGGGAGGGAGGGAAGGAGAGGCAGAAAAGAAAGCCGAGCTCTCTCTCTCCCTGTGTGCGTGCGCGCGCGCTTCTGCCTCTTTATGGCCGGTGCTTTTAAATATGAAATGCACCTTAGGTGAGGCTTCCCTGCGAGAAGGGAGATAAGAGATCAGGACCATCCTTCCTGCCTGGGCTCATTCAGCTGGCTGGGCTCCCCGCCCCCATAGGTGAGTAGCTCCATTCTTCCTTCCACAGGGATGCTGGTTCTCAATTAGTTCCGAGGAGCCTGTGTATATGTGCGCGCGCGGCTGCCTGATCTGCGCTCAGGAAGAAAAGGATCATAATTATAATCAATGAAATGAAATCCATAGCCAAGAAGATCCTGGAGGGGCATATAGAGGAAAAGGAGGGGGCGAAGGAAGGGAAGAGATCCGGAGGGGTTTTGCTCGCCTCTGCGCCTCTTTTTATCGGTCCTATAAAGAACGCTCTCCTTCTCATTGTCCTAGAGAGAGGGGGGTGGGGAGCTGGTCCTCCGCCTTTTAGTCCTAGCCGGATTGTTCCAGGGGGGTGGATGGGAGCTGGTGGAGGCATCGGCGGCTGCCTTGGCTGCCTGGGGTTCTTTCAGGACAGGGTGATGGGAGGGAGCGAGCGAGGGAGGCGAGCAGCAAAGAATGAATGACGAGACGAGTTTGGCTGGGGAGGCATCTTTTCCTCGCTCTCGCTCCCTCTTTCTCTCCACTGCCAGCATCCGAGCTAGGCAGTCCCGATCCTTTTTGCGCGTTTTGGTTGGGAGGAAGCCCCTCTTAATTCAGAGGGTCTTGATTTTAATTAGCCCCTCCCAATTCAATGGGACTTAACTCCCCAACTCAAAAGCGCGCAGAATTGCAGCTTTGGGGACTGCTTAACCGTGGACCTGGGAGAGAATGTATTGTTGCGTTTGTGAAAGGCAATGTCTGTCTGTCTGTCTTTCTTTCTGTCTTTCTGTCTTTCTTTCTTTCTTTCTTTCTTTCTTTCGCCCCTTCCCCTCTTGCTCTGTATTGCACTGAACCAGGAGATTTGCACTATTGTCCTCCTTGCGCCAAGTGGGTAGGCGCCGGAAGAGGGTTTTCCCCGGGGCCACCTTTCCACTTCGGATTCTGATGCCCGCTTAGCGCTGGGTGAGCAGGTGGGAAAAGAGGCGAGGCGGCGCACCCAAGCGAAAGGGCTGTAGCTCAGTGGTAAAACATCTGATTTGCGTGCAGAAAGTCCCAGGTTCAGGTCCTTGGTTTCTCCAGGTACGTAGATAGACGCATGTCACAGTTCCTGGATAGCCGCTGCCAGCCATCAATAAATATTGATTGGCTTTTAAAAATCACATCACAAAGTCCAGTCTGAATAAGATTAAAATATTATTTGTGCCTTTCACAACTGAAGTGAGAAAGACTATAGCTCAGTAGCTCCAAGTAGAGCTGGGAATGTCCCCTGTCTGGAACTCTGGAGAACAGCTGCCAGTCAGTGTAGACAATACTGAGTGAGATGGATCAATGGTCTGTTTCAATGTTTAATACTAGGAGCCCTAAGGAATATGACCAGGATCCTTTTCACGTGGTCTTGCATCCTCCTTTCCTAATTCTTTAGCCTTTACTATGCCATGAAGGCTGGTGATGGATGTTGGCACCTGTCTGTCTCGAGAGCAATGGAGTGCGCCTCGAGGGGTGAAGTCAAACCGCTATGTTAGCAGCACAAAAAAGTGACCTCCCTGGGGTGCAAGCCTGGGCAGAGTGTGTGGAGGTCCTGGGCTGCTCAGACGACAAGACCCCACCCCCTGGCCTCGCTGATGTGGTCCAAAGGAAAGCAGAGCGATATATTTGGCACCAGCTTGGCTTGCAGGAGTTGTGTACAAGGTGCCATCCAACTGCTTTAGGGACTCCACTTAGGATTTGTTGTAGGGTTTACTCCTTTGCCATTTCTTCTGCTGAAGATGTCTGGCAAGGCAGCACAGGTTTAGGACCAGAGTTTTCTTTCTAAATGGACTGCCTTCTCAGGTGGATGAGCCCCATCTGCCCCTCACTTCCCTCTACAGCACATGCAGAAACCACCCTCCTCTTGAATTTTGGGTCTCCACTATGGGTCTCCACTTCCAAGGCAAGAAGGTGACTAGCTGTATGTTTTCTTGGACACAACAATAGTGTATTGCAGGGACTGGGATACACGATAACGACCTGATTCGAGAAAGACTGCTAATGGCTTGGGAGTTAACAGTGCAGTCCTAGGTAAAGGTAAAGGGACCCCTGATCATTAGGACCAATCGTGGCTGACTCTGGGGTTGCGGCGTTCATCTCGCTTTATTGGCCGAGGGAGCCGGTGTACAGCTCCCGGGTCATGTGGCCAGCATGACTAAGCCGCTTCTGGCGAACCAGAGCAGCGCACGGAAACGCCATTTACCTTCCCGTTGGAGTGGTACCTATTTATCTACATGCACTTTGACATGCTTTCAAACTGCTAGGTTGGCAGGAGCAGGGACCGAGCAACAGGAGCTTACCCCGTCACAGGGATTCGACCCGCCGACCTTCTGATCGGCAAGTCCTAGGCTCTGTGGTTTAACCCACAGCGCCACCCTAAACCATGTCTATTCAGAAGTTAATTCCCACCAAGTTCAGTGGGGAAGTGGGTGTAGGGTTGCAACCTTAGAACAATGTAGGGGTGAACTGGGACTTTGCTGGTTCAACACTAAGCTCTGCGCTGAGCATTTTTCCAGAGGTCTGGGGGAATGAGCTGTCTGCCCCAGCAATTCATCTGCACTATGGAGGCAGTTCTAGGTTGCTTGACAGCAGTCTTGCCCGATCTGGGACTCTCCCCAGTCTGTAAAATTCCCCAGTCCTTTCTTCATGTCCTTCTTGAGTGGTTTTACCTGGCTGGAATGTGCCCTTGAACTCGGGCAATGCTTTTTGTTCACCTTGATGGAGGATAGAGAGTTCTGTTTAGGAATCAGCCTACTGTATGAAGATAACATTTACATTTGCTGCTGCACTCACTTCCGCCTCTGCCCCTGCTCCCCATCAGAAGGTTTCCAAGAAGGGAGAGGGTCCCTCGGTGTGAAAAGATCCCCCACTTGAGCCGTAAATTCAGGGGCATATCTACCTCTTAGAGCAAGTTGCTAGGGAACAAGATCAGGAGCAGTCCCCCATGCCCTTATCTCACTTTGCTTCTTGCAGATCAGTTCTCACACCCCAGTGCCTAAGCAAATGTGTTCAGCGAGGTTACCCATTAAAAAAGTTAAATAAATGTACACCTGTATTTCACGTGGGACCTGACAGGTATTGTACAGACATTAAACAGGAATCAAATTGCTTATGAAGTTGGCTGCAGATGCACCAGACAGCAGTTTTAAAGAAGTCGAGTCACTGCTGCTTACCGGGAGGGAGAGTGGAAGAGGCGAGGTTGCAAGGAGGTCAGCGCTGTGCAAACTCACTGGCAGAACCCCTGGCAATTCCACAGCACCAACCAGCCCTCTGCCTTGTCCGTCCCACTCTCTGCCTGGTAAACAGGAGCATCCTGCCTGCCTGGAGGTCAGGTGAGTGTCATTGCCTAACTGCACCACCTGCCGCTGTGTTTGGCTAGAGGTAGCCAACATGGGCGCTCTGTTGAACTGCAGCTCCCATGTCACTCCATGTTACCCTGGACTAGGGCCACAAGAGTACCTTCGCAAGCAGAGACAGGGTAGGCACCTGACAGAGTGGGCCCTAATCCATGAAAGCTTCTGCCACCACAAATCTTTCAGATGCCACGAAGGACTCCGTTGTTCTTGCTGCAACAGGCAAATGGGCACCACAGGCTTGCAAGGAATACTGGACTAGGTTGACCTCACTGTGCTCTGGCAAGCACTTCTTACGTTCAGAGGCCAGATTGTTTATGCATTGACTCCTGAGTATGGGACCTTTGCTTTATAAATGAAATATATATATAAGCAGACCTCATGGGGATTCTCTTTCATTTTTTAAATCAGACAACACAAGCCATCAACTAGTTTCAACATTGCTGTTGCATTGGCGGCTCTCAGAACACTCACGCCCCTGCCTCTATATATATATGATGTCTAATCCAGTCCCTCTCTCTCTCGCGCTCTCTCTCTCTCTCTCTCTCTCCTCCCTATGCCATAAGTCTGCTTTGCTTGCACATTGTTTTTCCTTTGCTGGCTCTCCTGCGCTTTAAAAGCCAGCGTTCCTATAAAACCAGACCTGATGCCTACAGCGTACAAATGCTGATTTACATTTGTATGAATGAATTCTGTTATGCTGTAAGTGTACGTAGCAGCTCGCCCATTGGCTGAATGCATCCTTTGCTGCGCTCATGCTTTCAGATCTACAAAAGAAGCCCTTTTGGTAGTCACCGCACCTAGTGAGGTCTGTGCTGGAGGGGGCTGTGGGAGTGTGTTCTCTGTGGTTGCTCCACACCTGTGGAATGACCTTTTGTCAGAAGTATATCATGCTCCAACATTGCTGCTTTCATTTCACCAGTGGGTGAAAGACGCAACTCTTTATCCAAGCGTTTGAGGAGTACCAGGAGATGGAGAGTCTGAGACTGCCTCATTTAGCTGCTGCCACCTATGTTTTTTTAGTGTGTTTCCACTGCAATTTGATGAATGTTGTGTTTAGTCTAGCTTATTTTTATTGTCAGTTGTTGGTTTTCAATACCTATGCATTTACCTTCCTAGGTCCTTTGGGCCAAAGGTGGATTATAAACGCTTGTAATAAACAGATTCATAAACAGCAGGTTTCCAAGGGAGCAACCTGTTTATTGAGCATTCGTTCTGTTTGATTTGTGGGGAGATTTGACGATGTTGGCTGTTTAAGGAGCATTCATTCTGATTTGTTTCCAGGGAGGTTAGTCAACATGGTTTCAAACCATTTCCCCATGGCTTTCCTTACTGTAAGCTTTTGAGGAAGAGGGGTTGTCGCGCAAGGCCTCCCAATGATCTTTGAGTTCCCAAACCTGAATTTGCTGCCAGGGGACTGGATCCCACCTGAACATAGTGACATTCCAGAACTGCATGGGAAGACTGAGAACATGATACCACACTCACCAAACCAGCACTCTTTGCATGCACCTAGGAGCATGGGATTTGGGTGCTGTTGCATGGCTTTCGATGCACAAACTCTATTTATATTGGTGCTCATTGACAAGCTGCCACATACAAATTTGCCACTTAAACTGATCAAGTAGCAAGGTATTTACAGTGGTGCCTCGCAAGACGAAATTAATTCGTTCCGTGAGTTTTGTCGTCTTGCGATTGTTTTCGTCTTGCGAAGCACGGTGTCGGGAAAGTTTTGGAAAAGCTTCAAAAATCACCAAAGTCTTTAAAAACCTCAAAAAAGGCTACCACACCGCGTTCTATGAGTTGCTCCTCGAAGTCAAGTCGCAACTGTATTAACGGTGTTAAGAAAAAGGAAACAAACTTGCAAGACGTTTCTGTCTTGCGAAGCAAGCCCACAGGGAAAATCGTCTTGCGAAGCAGCTCAAAAAACGAAAAACCCTTTCGTCTAGCGAGTTTTTCGTCTTGCGAGGCATTCGTCTTGCGGGGCACCACTGTATATGCACCCCAGACTTAAAAGGAGTTTACTTGCAGCAGATGCATCCCATTTGTGACACACAAATTTATGATAAATTCCTCAATAGCAACTGTGGTAGTCTGCCATGGCAAGAAGCAAAGAAGAAACTTGAGACATTGTCCCCCCTTAAAGACTGCGATTTTGGACTATAAGATCTAGTGTGGAGTAGTGGATAGCTTGTCACACCAGAATTGGGAAGACCAATTCAAATCCCCTCTTGACTATTGGGTAGCCTTGGACCAGTCTCTGCCTGACCTACTTCACAGGGTTGTTGTGAGGTTTAAATTTGGGGGTGTTGAGGAGAAACATATATGTTACCTTGAACTCCTTGGGGGGGGGGGAATGTGAGATGCAAAGGCAATAAATAATTGCTAGACACTTGTAACCGGAGAACGTGAAGCTGAGTTCAAACTAGCCTCTGAAATTTGGGCCCAGGTGCAGATTTCTGCTGCTTACTGCTTCTTAGTCCTTGTTGACAGATCGCAGTGCGGAAGTGACAGTGAAAAACATTAAGTGCTGGAGTTATGTCAAACTTCAGTAGTGCAGGGAGGTAGTTTTGTGCCTGGAGTTTGTGCTCTTAATTGTGTCACCTTTAGGCAGGTGTAGGAAACTGCCTTGTACACAGACAGAATACTGGTTTGGCTAGCTTGGCATTGCCTCCACAGGCTGGCAGCTGCTGTCCAGAGTTTCAGGCAGGGACATTCCCAGCCTTACCTGGAGAGATGAGGGAGATTGAACCCAGGATCATTTGCTTACAAAGCAGCGGCTCTGTCACTGAGCTGCTGTCCTTCTCCACTCCATACGTAACCCTTTGCTTGTGAAACATGCAAATAATATTTCTTTCCATGCTTTGCTACCCTATGGGAGTTTTACTTGCGTTGCATTGAAAAATATTTTAAGAATTGCTTTTAGGATAGGTTTTTTTAATTTAAAAAAGGTCCACTTTTTGAAAAGAGCGAAGACGAGAGGACAATTAATTTTGTTAACATGCCAGCATTTGAGACTAGGTTATGTCCAATTCCCACAGAAAAGGTCTTAGCACTAGTATAGCTCTTAGTACTATTGTCCCCACAACCACACCACACAAAATTGCTCTTCTGTGTTGCTGTTTAGAAGCTTTCTAAGTCTTCAAATACCTAAAATGATCCCTGTTCCATGTGTGTGAATAGCAAACAAAATAGCAGATGAAATTGAAATTAACTGGCGTTCTAGTCTAAGTGCCTAACTATGGTTTTTTTTGGTTTTTTTTAAAGTGTGCTAATATTAAGCTGAGTTATCTGGCTTCGGCTTTCACTTGTTTGGCCTTTTTCTGGATATGCAAAGCTAGCGACCAAATCCTCTTAAATAAATCTTCATCAGTGCCTCTTAGAAAGCACAGCCCAGTTTGCAAGAAAGTCGATTACATCACCGCTCCCGTGAAGGAGTCCTCCTGGACGCTTACATATCAATGCTCGACCGCACGCCATGGGTTCAGAGTCCTGTACAAACATGGATCGCAACAAGGCTCATGTGACAGCTGTCAGTGTTGCAAACCTTGTTTTACAGACATTTTGGAAGGTGAAATGTCTTGCTATACTGAGGGTGGGGGGGGGGGAGAGAAAGCAAAATTGATGTAAGTTAATCTCCACCAGTGATTCGCAAGCAATAGGGCAGCCATGGCAGCAGGAGGTATTTAGAAGAGGTAGTTTTGATGTTCCAGGGAAGGGAGAAATCATCTGATGGGGCATGGCAATGCCAAATTTAGCATGCCCACAGCTAGCTCCCACTTACCTCCTTACTTCCAGCCAGTCTGGGAGGGAGGTGGCAATAGATATCAGCTTTCTCTTCCTCCTCCTCTCTGTCAGTGCTGTCCTTGCAGAACTCAAGGGGGAGGAGGATGGGGAGAAAGCTAGAATTAGTTTTGAGTATATTGGACTCCATGACATTCATGTAGGAAAGTCCTGCCCAATATAGATAGGTGTTAAATGTTGAGAAGGCTTGAAGGAAGAAGAAGAAAATTACAGGGACAGAACTACCTAAAACGTATAGGAACATATTTATGAATGAAGTGAGGTACCAAACTTTGTACGATGAAAGACAAGCTGTGAAGCTTTGTGTATTCAGCAAATATGATGTCCAACACTGAACAGTGATTCTGGATATTGGCTACTGTTTCGTAGAATTCTTCGTCAGCGTGGTGGGAGGATATAGAATTGCTTCATAAACTGAAAATATTTTTTTTTTACAGACGATGACCTGCATGACATATCACTTTACAAAAATTTTAAACTTTTTTAAATACATACCCCATCTTCATTTAAAGATTTTCAGAGACTTTGAGACTAAAGATTTCATTTTGTACTTGTTATGGTTTGAAGGAATTCTATAAAGATTGTCTATTACGTATGTATATGGTTATCGTGCTGCCTAGACATTGCTGACGTTCTCTTTGCAACACAGGGGTTTGTTTGCCTACTTACCCATGGAGGCAAGAGGATAGCCATCATGACTAATAGCAATCCATAGTCTTATGCCCCATGGAGTTGTCTAATCCTTTAAAATAAAAAAAGCCATTCAAGTCTGTGACCATCACTTCTTCCCGTGGGAGTGAGTGCCATGCACTGCCTGAAGTTGCTATCCACATCAATTTTGTATCGGCGCAATCCTTGATAATTGCAGGTGTTCATGTACTGTGCTTTTAAATTATGTTCCTGTAGTATGGGGGAGTTAACGGGAGGACACCAAAAGTGGACTTTGCAAGCCTTTCTTGTTGCTAAGAGACTTTGCCCACCATCTGTTATGTAATGGTCTGAAGACCTCACTGCCCTGGCTATATATGTAGGATGCATGTACTGATAATATTATTATTTATACACTATTTTTATTTTCTTCTTCTTCTTCCCCTCCTTCCCGTTGTTAAATCTGCAAAAATAAAAAATAAAATAATAATATTAAAAAGGTTGCACTGAATCCAGTGAGTCAGCCAGGGCTACACTATACCACACTGTGGAAGATAAGGCTATTGATGATTTCTAGCTTTGACCGCTGGGTAGGACCTCCAGTGTCAGGGACTGCATGCCCCTCTGACTATCAGCTGCTGGGGAACACAAGTGGGGAGAGAGCTGGCTTTGTGAGACCAGGATGTTGGACCAGATGGGCCTTTGGGTCTGATGTAGCAAGGATCTTCTTATAGGTGGCTGTCCAAGTACACTTCATACAGATGAACGACACAGTCAACGTATGAAATGAATACGGCTAATTTTCAACTTGAATCGGTTCTCACCACGCTAGTACTTTATCTTCCAAAACTTGATCAGTCACATATGCCCGCTGAGAGGACAGAAGAAATTCCATTCCCCAAATTTATTTTCCATGTTGATATGCGCAGCAGAAACCAAAACCACGATTCTAGCTCTTTTCATGGTGGATTTTATCTCTTTCTCTTTCCCAGCAGGGAAATGCAGTAAATACAAAGCCTATCTAATCTCAATCTCAATCTCAATCTCAGTCTCTGTGTGTGCACACTGAGAGAGGGAGAGAGTAGGGTGGAATGCTGTTTTGGATAAGAACATAAGAAAATGCACAGTCATGGGTTTGAGCCCCACACTGGGCAAAAGATTCCTGCATTGTACCGGGTTGAACTAGATGACCCTTGTGGTCCCTTCCAACTTTCCAAATCTATGATTCTATGTGAAGTGTAGGTGGGTTTCCATGAGGCAAGACACAGTTATAACAGCAAGAACCTTTACGGAACAAATAGAACTGGACAACAGGGGCAAAGCAACTGCTTATATATATTTTTGAAGGCCTGGGCCACTCCCACTCCCAACTTGATTGGCTGTGTAAACTTCCAAGCTGCGAATCATGACTCAGAGTTTAAGGGCCAATGGCAGAGGCCCGAATCCTGAAATGTTCTGTGATTGGATATTATGTATCAAATCAGAACACGGGCTCAGAATCCTTAGTCCAGACCAAGGGTCAGCAAACTTTTTCAGCAGGGGGCTGGTCCACTGTCCCTCAGACCTTGTGGGGGGTTGGACTATATATATATATATATATTTTGGGGGGGAGAACGAATTTCTATGACCCACAAATAACCCAGAGATGCATTTAAAATTAAAGAACACATTCTACTCATGTAAAAACACGCTGATTCCTGGACCGCCTGTGGGCCAGATTGAGAAGGTGATTGGGCCGGATCCAGCCCCCGGGCCTTAGTTTGCCTACCCATGGTCCAGACTCAAGCTCAGGCAAACACAGACCACTGAATACATAATACTATGAGAAACTGCAAAGGTCCTCACCAGCACCCTTGTGGAGAAAAGTTGTGAGAAACCATAGAAACAGCTTGGTCCTTTGTGCTGCCCACTATACTGTACTCCACGTACCCAAAGATTTATGCTATCGAATGACTACACAGAAGAAGCAACAGTTATTACTGATAGGCGACCCCAGTGGACGAGCCCCATCTGCCTCTCACTTCCCTCTACAGCACATGCAGAAACTGCCTTCTTGACTGTTGGACCTGTTAGAATTCCTGCTCCATGATTGCAGTCATGGGATTGTTGTCTTTCACATGACGGTGTATGTTTTGACTCCACAGAGTGGGAAGTGATGGAAACAGGATGTTTGTGTTACTGTGTTCCGTGAAGTGGGACTATTGTCCTTTGTTCTTTTTCTCTTTGCTGTCTGATGCTAGAGAGAGAGGGAGCCATGTTGCGGTGATCCATGTGTGTTTATATGTAAATAAAGTAGATTAGCCAAAATGCTGAGTTGCTGAGGTCAGTTACGCAATTGCGCAAACTCTGCGGATCCCTGAGTGTGCCGGTGTCGGTTGGCATCAATCGCTGTGATGTTCGGGCTGAAGAAAGCTTTTGAAGCTCCCAAACAATTGACCAGGAGGGAGAGAACATGCCAGTCAGGCATGTGTCTCTACCAGGGTCCTACTCGAGTGTAGGCTGAGCTCCTGACAGGACCCACTATTGGTCTTGTTCACTCAATCTGCCAGAGCCTGTGTTTAGGTGTAGGGTAAGTCCCTAACTTACTGAGGGTTTGAGACCCATCGGCTCCCCTCACCTGGTTTAACTGGCCATTAGAAGCTGTTCCCAAGGTGTGGCCACTGTGACATACTGACAGCTTCTAGGAGCCACAGGTGAGAGCTGAGTGTAGGTATGGAGACCAAAGGTGGACAACCTACCCCAGAAGGAGCACAATGTGCCCCCTTATCAGAGGTACTACCCTTCCCCTAACTCCCTATAAAACCCTGAGGTGTCTTGGCAGGAAAAAGAACACTTCCCATGCACCTCTACTAAAGAGGGTATTTGGAGCAGGGGTTTCTGTGGAATATCTTAAGAAATGTAATTGCAATTATAAATGGCATTTTAAAAAAATAAATCCCCTTTGTCTGCATGCCTGATGAACCCATGGCGAGCATTCTTTGCAAAACCAAGTATGCAAAGCAGATTGAAAATGAGGAAGGAGAAAAATGGTAGATAGTTTTGGATACTGCTCCAGTAGGGAAAGTAATTTTTAGCACATTTGAGTTAATTATTATTGGAAACCTTTCTCGCCACCCCACCCCGCCCCCCTGCTGTCCCTTTTGCTCTGCTAAGTACGGGATTCTTGTACTCTTGGTTTTGTTTCATCTCCTTTTGCATGCCACCCACTGCGATTTTCACTACTCATTAAGCGAATTTCTCAGGCAGCTGGAACGCTAACTGGCATTTCTGAAGATTCCTTTCTCCCTTTGCCCCCTGAAAAGCAAGTGTTAATTCGTGGCATCAAAAAAGACAATGAATTAATGAGGGCAAAATGATTGAATGAAGGTGAGGATCAAAGATACTGCAGAATGCAAAAGGAAAAAAAGGGGAAAGAAAGGTATCCTGATAACAGGACTACTAAGCGTGTTATGGGCCATACCCAAACTCAATTACTTGCCTATTTTGGATAGAGATAAATTAAAGCAGGCTTTTAGAATATGGAAAGCTGTGCTAGTTGGTGACATATATTTTAAAATGAGTGTCGGGCTGCAAAGGAAGAGCCAAACACTATGCCTTGTTTGTTTGTTTGTTTGTTTGTTTGTTTGTTTGTTTATATTTATTTACTGTATTTATATCCCACCCTATTATCCGAGGGTGAATTATGGTGCTGGAGGAGACTCTTGAGAGTCCCATGGACTGCAAGAAGATCAAACCTATCCATTCTTAAGGAAATCAGCCCTGAGTGCTCACTGGAAGGACAGATCCTGAAGCTGAGGCTCCAATACTTTGGCCTCTTCTTCTCAGAAGAGAAGACTCCCTGGAAAAGACCCTGATGTTGGGAAAGATGGAGGGCACAAGGAGAAGGGGACGACAGAGGACGAGATGGTTGGATAGTGTTCTCAAAGCTACCAGCATGAGTTTGACCAAACTGCGGGAGGCAGTGGAAGACAGGAGTGCCTGGCGTGCTCTGGTCCATGGGGTCACGAAGAGTCGGACACGACTAAACAACAACATTATCCAAGGAGTTCAAGGAGGTGTCCATAGTTCTCCCCTGCGCCATGGAATCCCCACAACAACCCTGTGAAGTAGGTCACCCTGAGAGGCAGTGACTGGCCAAAGGTCACCCAGTGAGCTTCATGGCTGAGTGGGGATTCGAACCCTGATCTCCCAGGTCCTAGTCGGGCACTCAGACCACTGCACCACACTGGCTCCATAAGCCTCGTGCCTTTCAAGAAGAGCCTTAGGGACACAGGAAGCTGCCTTGTAGCAGGTCAGACCACTGGTCCACCTACCTTAGTATTGTCTACACTGAATGGCAGCAGTTATCCACTATTTTAGGCAGGAGCTCTTTCCAAGTTGCATCTCGAGATGACAGGAATTGAACCTGGGATCTTCTGCATGCAAGGCAGATGCTCTCCCATTCTGCGGTGTCCTTTCCCTATTATGTCCATTGCACAGGTGGAAAACTGAGGGCGAGATGTACTTTAAAAGAAGATTAGAGAAATTCTTGGCTATTCATGGTGACTATTTCTCTCTCTGCTGTATTGGCTAGGGGAGGATGGGTTATTGGTTTGTTTTCATTCCTGTTTTTTATTGTGGATTTTGTTTTTGTTTTTAAATCTTACATTGCTTTGTTGTAAACTGCCTTGAGGATGAAGGGTGGTATACAAATTTAATTAATAAATAATAATAATAGCAGTGGCTCTCCAAGGTTTCTGACAGCCCACCCTGAAGACATTGAGGTTGGACTTGGGACCTTCTGCATGCAAAGCACTTGCTCTGCTTTTGGACAATGGCCACTTCTTCCCTTTCCTAGCAAGCGAAGCCTTTACCCTTCCTCCATGTTTTTCTCTGGTTTCTGGTGCTTTTTGATGTTCCCCGGAAAAGGCTGTTGACACACTTATCTGAGAGGCTTGTGCATTTATTTTCTGTTTGCGCAGAGAGCAATTTAGGGTGACAGAACAGAGCAAGGCTCCGTGGCAGACTGGAGATGAGAAATACGTCCCGTCACCCCATGCATAATGCATACACAATTACCTATCCAGAAGCCCTTCTGAAATGAGCTGTTTCAAAGCTGGGTTAGAGCTTCCGCTCTTCACTGATCCACAAAAGGTGGGCAGTCCCATCATCAACATCCAATGTATTTAGAGCAAACTACAACTGTACGAAGACATGGCCATGCCAACTTTGCTGCCTCCACTAAGTTCTTGAGTAGCCTCCATCTAAGTGTTGTGAAAGATGAACAGTTGCTTTCGCCTACCCCAGTTGACCCAGTCAGATCATTGGTCCTCCTAGCTCAGTCCTGTCTCCACCGATGGACAGCCGCTGTCCAGGATTTCACACAAGGGTCTTTCCCAGCCCTTCTCATACCCTCCAAGATTGCTCCGATGAAAATGGGGACATCCCATTCCATAACGATCATTTTACTATATATACCCCACACATCTTACTGGGTTGCCGCAGCCACTCTGGGCTGCTTCCAACATATATAAAAACATAATAAAACATTAAACATGGGGGGGGGGAATCTTCCCTATACAGGATTGCCATCAGATGGCTCAAGGGTAGGAGAATGCCATACCCTCCAACATTTCTCCAATGAAAATAGGGACATCCTAAGCACTGGCGGAGGAAGAAGAGTGGGGGGGGGTGCACCGCCCCCGGCAGTGCGATCCCACCAGAGTGCCATTGTGGCTGCCCCTCCCTGCACTGGGGGCCCCACCCCCACCTGCTCTCCACCCCCCAGAGCATGAAGCTCCGCCAGTGAGCCTAAGGAAAAGTGGGACATTCCGGGATCGAATCAGAAACTGGGACAGTTTCTCTAAATCAGGGATGTCCCTGGAAAATAGGGACACGTGGAGGGTCTGCCTTTTAGGAGTTGAACCCGGATCCTCCAGCATGCAAAACAGAAGGGCGCATGCTACCTAAAAAAACCCATTGTGTGTTCGTCCGTGCCGTTTGGACATACTGCATGATTGATCTCAAACTGTTCATCCGAGTGCATTACTCATAGGTTCCCAAACCATAAAATGGTCAAAGCTATAGTATACCTGAAGGAGCGTCTCTACCCCCATTGTTCAGCCTGGACACTGAGGTCCAGCTCCGAGGGCCTTCTGGTGGTTCCCTTGTGAGAAGTGAGGTTACAGGGAACCAGACAGAGGGCCTTCTCGGTAGTGGCACCCTCCCTGTGGAACGCTCTCCCATCAGATGTCAAGGAAATAAACAACTATCTGACTTTTAGAAGTCATCTGAAGGCAGCCCTGTTTAGGGAAGTTTTTAATGTTTGAAGTTTTATTCTGTTTTTAGTCCTCTGTTGGGAGCAGCCCAGATGGGTGGGGTATAATAATAATAATAATAATAATAATAATAATAGTTGTTATTATTATTATGATGGTGACTGGTTTTCCAAAATATATGCTCCTAAGTAAAATGTAAAGTTTGAACTGCAACCTTCATGAAACAGCAGGTCGCTTTTCTGTTCGCAGTGAAGAAAATGGGCTATAAGAAAAATCCCAGGCAATTATATTTCTTTAGCAGCCTAGCAAGCTGTGCACCTCCTTCCCAGAGCATAAAATAAAAGAGCTCTTATGCGTCTGGCCAAGGCTGGGAGCAATAAATTGACATCGGTGCCATACGCGATGGTTGGCGTGTTAGCTTTTGTCCATTGTTATCACTGCATTCTCCGTTCCTTATTTCCATTCACCTATGGCCAAATGCTATTTTTTCCCCCTTGTCTTATTTACATATATGGACAGTGTCTCATCAAAACTGCCTGCAGCTCTACCAGCAAAAAAAATATATAAAATAAGGATGCATCATTGCGGGAAACAAACAGGTTTGCTGTTAGATTTGCAAAGCAATGGGCTATGAAAGACTGATCTCAAGGCTTAGGCGGATTTGCACGGGTGCAGGCAGTACTTCACATAACCTGGTCCGATGCACGCACCGAAAGAGGAAGCTCTGGGTCACGTACATAAGTACCTTGATCCGTTTAGCCTGCGTCCCACTGGCCTGATTAAACCCTGCATCAAGGGACCTATCAATCGGGTGTTGTGGCTATCCAATCGTACCCACCCACAACACAGGGTTTGGTTGCCAGGTCTCACCGCAACACGTGCCCTCTTTAAGGGAGGACCCGATTTGCAGCGAAAAAGTTCTGCTGATGAAAATTGGGGCATGTGTCCTTTGGGGCCGCACTCTTGTGTGTGCCAGCTGACTCCGGTGAGAGTGCGGCATCACTGCAAAGGCCAGCTCCATCTGCAAGCGCCGGCTCATTCTCCTTCCCAAGCTTGGTGGCAGTGCTGGAGGGGGGGAAATGGGACATTCTGGAATCAAATTGAAAGCCGGGATGGCTTCTGTAATTCTGAGATGTCCCAGGAAAATCAGGACACTTGAAGGGTATGTTATGATAGGTTCTTTGCGTTCTCATTATGCATTTTTACACTGTAAACTGCCCTGTGATGAAAGGCAGGATATAAATTTAAGAAATAAAACACAGTGGTACCTCGGGTTAAGTACTTAATATGTTCTGGAGGTCCGTTCTTAAACTGAAACTGTTCTTAACTTGAGGTACCGCTTTAGCTAATGGGACCTCCCACTGCCGCTGCTCAATTTCTGTTCTTATCCTGAAGCAAAGTTCTTAACCCGAGGTACTATTTCTGGGTTAGCGGAGTCTGTAACCTGAAGTGTATGTAACCCAAGGTACCAATGTAAAATAAAAAGGCAGGACTGGTTAAAGGTTTGGCTTGGGGAGGGGTGGTGATTAGGGAGGGGGTTGACCAGAAGAGACTCCCAAAGACCATACATTTGGCTCTCAGGCCTGAGGTTCCTCACCATTGTCTTTTAAGGTAAATTGATTCTTTTTTTAAAAATGAACATGTTAAAAACAATTACATATTTTGGGAGACTGGAATGGGAAGTGCATTGGCAAAGTCACAGACTGTTCGTAGTTTTAGTCTTTGAACCACGACAAACAGTTTCAGAAGCAACATTTCCCCCATCTCACCGTGGGGCAGGAGAAGAACCTTTCGTTTCTTTTGAATGCAGCGAGAGTGCCTTCCTACCTGCCCTTTTGCACTTGAAATGTTGCAGCTGTCTGGACGCTCCTTTGTATATTGAAGGTGTTCCAGGAAAGGGCTTTCCTCCCCATATGCTTTTATCCATCTCTTGGATTCATTAGGGAAACTACAAGACGAGGTGTCTGATGAGGAAGGGGGGTGGTGAAGAGAGAGCTGAAGCCCCACTTGAAAGCTCATTAACCCTCTACTCTTCATAGAAGGAAGAGTAGAGGAGGCAGTGGCAGATGCTTCCTGTAATATGCGCAATGTCCTTTCATTCATCTCCAAAATGCCTCAAATTTAGCATGCTTCAGATTGTGCCTGGAAAATTAACATAGCGAAAAAGGCTGAGAGGCAGAAACAATAAAGAAAACACCCTACCTCTGAATTCTTTCCTCCGTTCTTGAATGGGGAAAAAGCTATTTTCAACTAAATGCATCACATAGTGACAGTGATAACACAAATGACTTAGCTTTTCATCTGGTGTGGCACATTTTAAGGAAATTAGTCAAGTCTGCTTCACAGGATTTGTTTCATTTATCGCAGAGATATATATTGCATTTTTTAAAATCCTGTCCTTCCACGTATAAACCTAAGAAGAACATTGCTAGTTCAATAGCTTGTTTTCGCCATGACCAACTAGATGTCTCTAGGAAGCCCACAAGCTAATGCGTTTAGGGCGCTGTTCAGAGTCTCCCCCTCATATCCTCACATCGACCTTGTGAGGTAGACTAGGATGAGAGAGCGTGACTTCCCAACTATGCTTCTTTAACAGACTGTTACATACCACCCCAATCTCTAAGCTAATCAGCCAGAGCCTCCATCGGTTCCATAATTCAGTTTCCTTGGAATGAAGGTCAGTGGAGACTGAGAAATCCTTAGAATATATGGTTTTATTTACACATATATGCAACCTGAGTACAGGATGGAGGGGCTCACAGCATTAACACCCCACAGCATCAACAGTCCCAAAGATCTTCCTTCTCCATTAGTTTGGGGTCCAGCATGGAGCAAGCATGTCTCTGTGTCTCCAGCTTCTAGCCTGCATTCTGCTCAGCTCAACTCTGGCTGTTATTCTCCTACCCAGCAACTAGGTGAGGTGTGGTGGAGGAAAGACATACCCCCCCCCCATTATCCTTGAGGGCACCATCACATAGTTGTAGCTCTTGCAACCTAGCTCATTTTGGGGGGGACGGGACCTGATGAGGACACTTAAGTGGCCAGCTAAAGTCGTCGTCTTACAAAGAAATTTGTCTGACCAGTTCAGCAAACTTCTGATAGGCTCTAACCCTCACAAGGGGGTACAGGGCCCTTTAATGAACTTGGGGTATCACCTAAACTGACCTCCCACAAACCTACAACAATATTTACACACCCATCTTTAGCAGAATCATTTAATTAATTAAATTTGTATACCGTCCTATACCTGTAGATCTCAGGGTGGTACACAGCACAAAACAACTACTGTATATCATCTGTCTCTATCTCTATCTCTATCTCTATCTCTATCTCTATCTCTATCTATCTCTATGATCTATCTATATCTATCTATCTATCTATCTATCTATCTATCTATCTATCTATCATCTATCTATCTATCATCTATCTATCATCATCTATCTATCTATCATCTATATCTACCGGTATCTATCTATCTATCTATCTATCTATCTATCTATCTATCCATCCATCTATCCATCTATCTATCATCTATCCATCTATCTATCATCTATCCATCTATCTATCTATAATACATAATAAAAACAAAAACAGAAACAACCCAATAATTGCCCTTCCACAACATTTAAAAGGGCATTGCATGTCAATCAGCCAAAGGCCTGGCTGAAGAGGAACATCTACAGCTAGTGCCTAAGGGTGTATAATGAAGGCACCAGCCAAACTGCCCTGGGGAGAGCATTCTACAACTGTGGGGCCACTGCAGAAAAGGCCCGTTCTTGTGTTGCCACCTTCTGGACCTCTCGAGGAGGAAGCACACAAATAAGGGCCTCAGAGGATGATCTCAGGGTCCAGGTAGGTTCATATGGAGAAAGGCGGTGCTTGAGGTATTGCAGTCCTTGAGTCGGGTAAGGCTTTATAGGTCAAAACCAGCACTTTGAACCGGGGCCGGAAACAAATTGGTAGCCAGTGCAGTTGGCTCAGGATCGGTGTAATATGCTCAACCCGTCTTTAACCCAGTGAGCAACCTGGCTGCTGAATTCTGCACCAGCTGAAGCTTCTGAACCGTCTTCAGACGGTTCATGTGGCCCTATGTATAACGTGTTGCGGTAATCTAGCCTAGAGGTTACCAGAGCATAGATGATAGAGGTTAGGCTATCCCTGTCCAGATAGGGGCGTAGCTGGACCACCAGCCTAAGCGGATGGAAGGCACTCTGTGCCACTGAGGCCACCTGAGCCTGGCACAGCTGAGAAGAAGAGTTCAGATGCTTTGATTTCTCTGTTTTATTAATAGGGAGGCTGTGATTGGGAATGCTAGGAATATACCAGTGCAGAAATAGGTAAAGGTAAAGGGACCCCTGACCATTAGGTCCAGTCGTGACCGACTCTGGGGCTGTGGCACTCATCTCACTTTATTGGGCAAGGGAGCCAAAGTACAGCTTCTGGGTCATGTGGCCAGCATGACTAAGCCGCTTCTGGCGAACCAGAGCAGCGCACGGAAGCGCCGTTTACCTTCCCGCCAGAGCGGTACCTATTTACTTGCACTTTGATGTGCTTTCGAACTGCTAGGTTGGCAGGAGCAGGGACCGAGCAACAGGAGCTCACCCCGTCACAGGGATTCGAACCGCTGACCTTCTGATCGGCAAGTCCTAGGCCCTGTGGTTTAACCCACAGCACCACCCGCGTCCCACCAGTGCAGAAATAGGACTGAATAAACCTTTGTGAGAGGTGACACTGACCAAGCTGATTGACGCCAAGGGCCTGTCGCTGGGACCACACTTGACAGTTCTGCTGCTTGGAGGTCACTTCTTATCTGTCCACCTCGCACGTGTAGGACTATTTAGAGAGACTCTTCCTTAAGTACAGACAGCTGGCTGGAGTCCTCTTGTCTGCTCAGCTTGCCGTGTAGCACCAAAAATGCAGTACAGATGGGTTACCCATTTTAGCGACGTTCCTTTTTAATTCCCCCTGCCTCCCCGCAAAGGTTAATGCTCCTAATCTCATTATTGCTGTAGGTGATTGCTCTGGGCTGCTGCTAAAGCTGGTTCCTTGGTACAACCTTTGATTCCCCCCCCCCCCCAGTGTGTCATGGGAACGGTGAAAAAGTCACTGGGTATATACAGTGCATTCCGACCTGTGCTATTTTAGGATTTTGATTTATGATGCAGCGCTCTTTTCTTCTTCTAAAAATTTAATTCCTATAAGGAGATTGTGCAGTATTATTTATTCAAATGCACACTGTATGTAGGAGTCTGCTTGGGAAGATAAGGTTTCGTCAAAAGATGCATCTCTGTGTGTTGTTCCATGTCTGTGCCTTCTTGGAAACCGTATCCCCTTTTTTTCCTAATCTCTCAAGTGTGAGGACTGTCTGTCGTTATTTAGGGAGGGGGATATATTCTGCATGTTCTCAGAGGCACCCTTGCCTCTTGTTTCACATGTCAGCGCTGCTAAACTTTAGCCCCACAAATAGGAGCTGGCTGGGGCTGATGGAAATTGGAAGGACTTGTCTTCATTTGAGGTTGTAAAGCAAGGGTTGGGTGCCCACCTGTGAAGGATTCTTTAGTTGTGATTACTCCAATGCAGGGGGTTGGACTAAATAATAATAATAATAAATTTTATTTATACCCTGCCCTCCCCAGCCAGAGCCAGGCTCAGGGCAGCTAACACCAGTAAAATTACAATACAAACATAATGGGGGAACGGACGGACCCAATTTAAAATACAGGTTAAAATGCAATTTAAAAAGCAGCCTCATTTTAAAAGTAGCCCATAAATCAAAACCGTAAGGGGAGGGAAGACATAAGGGTCAGACTGAGTCCAAACTTGAAATATACTCAGAGTTGAGTGTGGATTTCATGCTCTTTATTCAGCTCATAGTAGTGACGAATGCCAGTTCCCCCAAAGTGTCTGCTTTATATACATTATTTACACAATGGGCCCCGCGTGATTGGCTAATTCCGGGATTCTCCTGTAGGCCAATCAGGTTGCGGATTCACTTCCACCTGGAGCTGGATTGGGTGGCTCCTGTGGACCAATCAGACTGCTGCATTTTGGATCCTAGTCAACTCAGTACATAACAAAACCAAAGGCCAGGCAGAACAGATTGTCAGCCCCTTCCAACTCTTCTATGATTCTGAAGGCCACAGATCCCCTCTCTTCCTTGATTTAAACCCATTTCTCACCACCCACAAAGGGCTAAAAGCAGTCTGGGTGCTATATTGCTTGAAGAACAACCCAGGAGGATAGGATTGAGAAGCTTTCTTCACCTGCTGTTTTATCTCAGTATATTCCCAGCTGCGGTTCAGTGCTTTTAAAAGTTGGGAGGTGGAATCTTGCATTTTGCTCCTCTGAGTGGGTAGGGTTAATGGCACATTCCGAGACACCGTCTTCCAGAAATATATCCCGATATAGACTCAACTGTTTCTGTAGAGGAACTTTGAAAGTTCCCATTGGTGAGCTGTTTTGGAGCAACGGCTCCAGTTATGTAAAAGTTTACGAGATTACGAAAGACAAAAGAGTGCCTGCTGGCTCAGGGAAAATGTATTTCTGAGACTCTATTGCAATTTAGGTTGAAAGCTCGGTCAGGTTACTGGTGCCAGTTACCTTCTTACATAAGATGGGGGGGGCGCAGCGGGCATTTTTTCAGCAGCATGGGCGATCTGAATGTGAACTTGCTGCGTTCAGGCTAACTGTACTTTTCTTCTTCTGAGCAGGCTGGCCATTAGAGCAGACAGTCCTATCTCTGGCGGACTCCTCTGTCTGAAGGGCTGTCCAGCATAATAATAATAATAATAATAATAATAATAATAATAATAATAATATTTGTACCCCGCCCATCTGGCTGGGTTTCCCCAGCCACTCTGGGCGGCTTCCAACAAAGATTAAAAATACATTAAAATGTCACACTTCCCTGAACAGGGCTGCCTTCAGATGTCTTCTAAATGTTGTTGTTGTTGTTGTGTAGTCGTTTAGTTGTGTCTGACTCTTTGTGACCCCATGGACCAGAGCACGCCAGGCACTCCTGTCTTCCACTGCCTCCCGCAGTTTGGTCAAACTCAGGCTGGTAGCTTCAAGAACACTGTCCAACCATCTCGTCCTCTGTCATCCCCTTCTCCTTGTGCCCTCCATCTTTCCCAACATCAGGGTCTTCTCCAGGGAGTCTTCTCTTCTCATGAGGTGGCCAAAGTATTGGAGCCTCAGCTTCACGATCTGTCCTTCTAAATGTTAGGTAGTTGTTTATCTCTTTGACGTCTGATGGGAGGGCGTTCCACAGGGCAGGTACCACTACCAAGAAGGCCTTCTGCCTGGTTCCCTGTAGTTTTGCTTCTCGCTGGACCTCAGTCTCCGGGCAGAATGATGGGGGTGAAGACCCTCCTTCAGGTATACTGGGCCGAGGCCATTTAGGGCTTTTTTTCACTAGTGGGACTGGTTGGTTGAATCTGGCAGTTTTAGGCCCTCCAGATGTTGCTGGACTTCAGCTCCCATCATCCTTGACGTCAAACTATGCTGGCTGGAACTGATGGGAGTTGGAGTGCAACAACCTCTGGAGGGCCACACTCTCCCTACGCCTGCCATAGAAGGACCCAGGGGGGTATGACCCTGTATAAGGCAGCTTCCTGCGCCAACACCAAAGCAAAAGAATCAGCTGTTGCTTATTTCTGTTCTGCTTGGCTGTTTGCGCTACTCTTGTTTGTTGCATATTGACATGGCATATTGACTAGCTTAAATGAGTGTTGAAAAACAACCTGCCTCTTGGCAAATCTTGACGCTTTGCCTTGAGCAGAGGTCAGTAGTCACTTACTCTTCCTGATGATTTGCAAGTGGTGATTTGTAGGTGCAATCGCTTTGAGCTGTAATTGATTGGATTGATTTTGCCGTTGCAGATGCCTGAGAGGGCCCCCCCCCCCATTCCCAAGCCCCTTTCCTGGACCACTCTGCTTTCCATGCAGTAACAGCAAAGCCTATTTTTATGGCCAGGATAACTAAGGCTGCCATAAATAGCCTCTGAGCATCACTCCCTTTTTTCCCTTCTTTTTTTTTGCTGCTTGAAAGCAAATAGTTTTTGCAGGGCTCCTGTTGATGGATAGGGAGCCTTTTAAGTTAATTAAGGGTGCATCCGTGAGGCTCTTACTTTCTCAATTAGGGGCACTTAAGCAACTCAGAGCATTGCTGCTTTTCCTGCTATCTTCCCTGGTGCACGCTTTATTGCCTGCATTGGTCCTAAAAAGGTAAAGGTAAAGGTAAAGGACCCCTGACCATGAGGTCCAGTCGTGGACGACTCTGGGGTTGCAGCACTGATCTCACTTTACTGGCCGAGGGAGCCGGCGTACAGTTTCTGGGTCATGTGGCCAGCAAACCAGCTTCTAGGTCATGTGACTGGCAAACCAGAGCAGCGCACAGAAACGCCATTTACCTTCCCGCTGGAGCGGTACCTATTGATCTACTTGCACTTTGACATGCTTCCGAACTGCTAGGTTGGCAGGAGCAGGGACTGAGCAACGGGAGCTCACCCTGTTGTGGGGATTCGAACCGCCGACCTTCTGATCGGCAAGTCCTAGGCTCTGTGGTTTAACCCACAGCGCCACCCGACTGCTTTATATGGTCAGGGGGAAAGCAGGCAGTCTTGGACTATATGCCAATGCAGAATGCAGGTGGGGATGTGGGATGCATGACTGAGTATTCCCCAGCATTAAAAAGAAGAAGAAGAAGAGCCTATTTTCCTCGGCAAAGCTAGCTAGCTTACCTGCACAGTGATGCTAGCATGCCTGCTTCCTGAGATGCTAGTTTTCAGGCAGGGGGTGGCTGGGAGGAGAAGAATTGTTTTCTTTTCTTCAATGTATCATAGCGTAGGGTTACATTCAACAAGATCATAGCGTGAAGTGCTCCTTATTTTATTATTTATTCATTAACAGCATTTATCAGCCACCCCTAGCAGTTTCCCTGCTTACGGTAACATGCAACTGCAAACAAACAAACAAGTCCTAACTGAGCCCATAGAAGGCAACTGCAAGAACTTTCTGACAGTAAGTGCTGTTTGACAGTGGAATGAATGGGTTGCCACGACGGATGGTTGTGGACTCTCTCTCCTTGGAGGCTTTTAAGCAGAGGTTGCATAGCCCTCGGTCATGGATACTTTACAGTAGTACCTCGGGTTACATATGCTTCAGGTTACAGACTCTGCTAACCCAGAAATAGTACCTCGGTTGAGAACAGAAATTGTGCTCCAGTGGCGCGGCAGCAGCAGGAGGCCCCATTAGCTAAAGTGGTGCTTCAGGTTAGGAACAGTTTCAGGTGAAGAACGGACCTCCAGAACGAATTAAGTACTTAACCCGAGGTACCACAGCAGTTGATATTCCTGCATTGCAGGGGCTTGGACGATGGTTCTTGGGTGTCTCTTCCAAGTCTATGGTTCTGTGATTCTGTCATCCAGGGCATGCTCAAAGTCCAGCCGGACAAAAAAAAGGCTACGCAGATGTGCAACGAGGCCAATGAGAGGTATGGTTCGGGAGAGCCTATGTGGTTGGGAAGGGGGGTGGAGCATTGCCTGGGCAAAGCCCGAAGGGCCAACTAGAGAAACCTTCTTTGGCCCTTGAGATTGAGGTTCCCCACTCCTGTCCTTCCTGGTAATGTGCAAATTGGTCCTGAGCTTGCTGGATTTCGTTGTCTCTGCTCTGAGTTTCTGCAGGCTGCAGCTTCCCACTCACTTGTAGACATTGAAAGAGACTCAAGACCTTGCAGCGCTGCTGCTGCTGCGCACACCAGCAGATCTTCACAGATTCTCCTTCCCACGCCTGACGGAAATCGATCCAGGGAAGGCTGTTTGCTAACATCACCTTGTCGAGCCCTCGACTGTTGATGTTACAGCTGATTATTCCTCTCTGCCAGGGCTGGATTCAGCATGTGTGTTTTACTCTTCTCCAGAGGAAGCGGAGGACTTGCTTTGGAAAAATGCGACCTTTCCCTCCTCTGGGCTGGGCTTCGCCCTTTGAAAGTGCAACCAGCTATATCGCATGCTGCGTCCTTATAAACTGGAGAGAAAATTGTAAACTTCACACTTGTTGTGGTATTCTTAATAATGCCATTTGGTTGCCATAGAAACGTATTTTCCGAGCATTTTCTGGAGAGCATAGGGGGAGAGGAGGCAATGGGAAGAAGAAGACAGGTTTGGCTCAGGTCAGATCTGAAGGACAAACTTGGCACGTCAGTCTACTAAATCATACTCAGAGTAAACCCACTGAAATCAATTGACAATCTAGTTTTAAGAACATTAAGAAGAGCCCGCTAGATCAGGCCAGTGGACCATATAGTCTAACATCCTGTTCTCAGTGTGGCTATCTGTGGCAAACCCACCAGCAGCATCCGACCACAAGAGCACTCTCTCCTGTGGTTTCCAGCAAGTGATTTTGGAAGCATTTCTCGGTAGGGCCTTCTCGGTGGTGGCGCCCGCCCTGTGGAATGCCCTCCCATCAGATGTCAGGGAAATAAACAACTACAGTGGTACCTCGGGTTAAGAACTTAATTCGTTTTGGAGGTCTGTTCTTAATCTGAAAATGTTCTTAACCTGAGCACCACTTTAGCTAATGGGGCCTCCTGCTGCTTCTGTGCCGCCGCTGCATGATTTCTGTTCTCATCCTGAAGCAAAGTTCTTAACCCGAGGTACTATTTCTGGGTTACTGGAGTCTGTAACCTGAAGCATCTGTAACCTGAAGCGTCTGTAACCTGAGGTACCACTGTATCTGACTTTTAGAAGACACCTGAAGGCAGCCCTGTTGAGGGAAGTTTTTAATGTTTGATGGTTTATCGTGTTTTTAATATTCTGTTGGGAGCTGCCCAGAGTGGCTAGGGAAACCCAGCCAGATGGGCAGGGTATAAATTATTATTGTTACAGTTGTACCTCCGCTCATGTATCCCTCCGGTTACGTAAACTTTGGGATACGTAAGTGGCAAACCCGGAAGTATATTTCCGGGTTTTTGCCATGCGCGCATGCCCAGAAGCGCTCTATGTCCGCAGAAGCGGTCCCTCTAGTTGCGGATACCTCGGGGTCCGACCAGAGCACTGGAACAGATCCTGTTCACAACCGGAGGTACCACTGTATTATTATTATTATTATTATTATTATTATTATTATTATTATTTCTGGACCAGAGACCCACCTCTGATTCCCCGGCTGCAACATGGGACCCACTTTCACTTAATACAGTGGTACCTCTGGTTACGAACTTAATTCGTTCAGGAGGTCCGTTTTCAACTCAAAACCGTTCTTAACCTGAGGTGCACTTTCGCTAATGGGGTCTCCCGCTGTGCATGCGCCTCTGGCGCACGATTTCCACTTGCATCCCGGGGCAAAGTTCGCAACCAGGAGACCTACTTCTGGGTTAGCGGAGCTCACAACCCGAAGCGTTCACAAGGAGGATGGTTCGTAACCAGAGACATTACTGTAATGCTAAGAATGCACATTATTCATCTTGAAGTGGCAATTCACAGAGCAGTATGCCTAACATTACTTCAGCATTACTACTGAAGGAAAACTAGCCCTGCAATGTGGCAAGAGAAAGACATAAGCATTTGGCCAGAAATGTGTATCTTATTAAAAAAAAGCTCCTGCCTGTCTCCCATCATGTTGCAGCACTTGTGGAAATCTATAAAATGAGCATCTCATCAAAAGAATGTCTTCTAGTCCAGACACACATGTAGTGCTCCTTTGGTCTGGTCGGCCTAAGATGGAATCCAGCCTGGTAGCAACAGCTGTGTTGTGGGACGTCTGATGTGGCCTTGTGCTTCCCCATAGGCTGAGAACCTTTGCACTAGACCACAACCTGCCTACAAATTTCCACCATAGAAATGAGTTGCGTGTCGAGGTCCCCAAGCCACCCCCCAAATAACTCACAACGCACACTTAATTTTTGTTTAAGGTTTTTGGCATAATTTTGGCCACAACTTTATTTAAATACAAAACCGTGAGTGGTTGTTTAGGCATTGGTTAAGACTATCTGTCCCCCGCCTGGGGACAGAACTGACTTCCGGGCACCACCGAAAGACAGTGCGGGGAAAGCAAGTCGGGGAGAAATGGAGCTGAGTCACAGACCCTCAATTCTCATCCGCATGCTCCCCGAAGGCTTGCCGGCCCTAGTCCCATTCCAGGGATTGGACGAAAAGATGGCAAGCCCCAGGATTCCTTTAACGGAATTCCCTTTCCGCAGCAACCATGGAGGGGCAGGCCCAGCCTATCCTAACCCCTCCTCCACCAATTTATAACCAATGCCTAACCGCAACCTTACAAGTTGTGACGATTTGCTACGCAGTAGGCAAAAACCAAATGGCCCAGCCAATCAGCCAGATGGACAAAATTCCTACCAGGCCCCTGCCCCAACGGCAGACGACCCCATGACAGGCATAGCAAGGTCAATGCAACAACCCCTTACTCAAGGGCAGGTGGGCGGGTGATCCTTTGCACGCAGCAAAGAGAAAGCTCCAGGCTGCGTGCAGAGTATTTAAACATTTTACCCCTCCCACCAAAATTGCAACATAACTTTTACCCCAGCAACCCAGTGAACCAATCACTGCCCCAGGCCATCTTTAGAGACCCTGCCTGGTAACAGAGGGGTGGCTCAGCAGACCCCACCGCAACATGTGCTCTCCATGAAGGAGAACACGCTTTGTGCGCACACCAAGAATACAAGAGTCAACAATCTCTGGTTTAAATCAGAAATGGAATGAATGAATGAGTCATAATAATGATACACTGCTTTTGTATTTTCCATTAAGGCCTTAATGCATTTCATAAACCCAGTTGTGGGATCAAAATGGAAGGGGAGGGGGAACGAGAGAGTGGGTGGAATTCAGTGTTGTGTTTCAGCTTGCCAGACGGGAGTTATCTCCCGCTTGGACTACTGTAATGCGCTCTACGTGGGGCTACCTTTGAAGGTGACCCGGAAACTGCAATTAATCCAGAATGCGGCAGCTAGACTGGTGACTGGGAGCAGCCGCTGAGACCACATAACACCGGTCCTGAGAGATCTGCATTGGTTCCCAGTACGTTTACGAGCACAATTCAAAGTGTTGGTGCTGACCTTTAAAGCCCTAAACGGTCTCAGTCCTGTATACCTGAAGGAGCGTCTCCACCCCCATCGTTCAGCCCAGACACTGAGGGCCTTCTGGCGGTTCCCTCATTGCGAGAAGTGAGGTTACAGGGAACCAGACGGAGGGCCTTCTCGGTAGTGGTGCCCACCCTGTGGAACACCCTCCCATCAGATGTCAAGGAAATAAGCAGCTATCTTATTTTGAAAAGACATCTGAAGGCAGCCCTGTTTAAGGAAGTTTTTAATATTTAATACTGTATTGTTTTATTTCTCGACTGGGAGCCGCTCAGAGTAGCTGGGGAAACTCAGCCAGATGGGCGGGGTATAAATAATATATTATTATTATTATTATTATTATTATTATTATTATTATTATCCTCCCCACTCTAGTACTGTTCTGGGGCTTCATCAGCCTAATTTCAGGAAGCACACAGGGAGAATAAAGGAAGGGGAAGCCCTATTGTGCAAACTCAGTTTCTCTGACGGCACCAGGTCCACTGTCAGACCAACTCTGTGTTACAAAGATGTTTGCAGATGTGACATGAAGGTTAGCAACATCAACCCTGCCTTGTGGAAATCCCCTGTAGGTGACTACAGTGCCTAGAGACAGACAGTCAGATCATGCATCCACAGCAATGACCAGAGGAGGAATGACTGCCAGGAGGAGTGCAGAGAGAAGAAATTCTGTGCTGCCTTTGTGGCAGTGCAACCGGACACCTTCAGCTGCCCCAGCTGCAACAAAACATGTCTCTCCCACATCGGTCTCTACAGCCACAACAGGCGCTGTAACCTTCCAGCGGTTTGACTTCACCCCCAAAGGCACACTCCTCCGTTGTCTCTTGAAACAGACGGCTGCCAGCAGTTCTGCTGTCGGAGCTCATAGTGCGAATCCTGCCCAGTGTCTTTCTTGGCGAAGGCTTGCTTTGTGTGCAGGAGTCCTGAGGTTAAATCAGCACCACTTCCACGAAGGGCTGGAAATGTCCCCAATGTTCCTACTAAAGGATATTGTTTCTAGGAGTTTAAAGATTATGCGTGGGATGGATAATTCTCAGCCTTGCATTAGGGGAATTGAAAGCTGCGCATGGCGTGATGCTTTTAAAAGATTCTGTGAGATCATGGATGTTTGCAGAAATGTTTGTAAATCTGATAAAGACCATTTTCCCGGCAAAGCAGCTGCCGTTCCTGCCGAGGGCTGCTCTTTACCAATCTAATTTGTGCCGCACACTCTCTGCATAGGCGGGTGCGATATACACAAGCCAATATCTGTGCCAAACCCTCAGTGATAGAAGAAGTCTGGGTGGGGAAACCCAACAGAATTATTTCAAGGAAAGCTTTGGCTTTGAGACCAGTTCTCTTGTCATTGGTTATTACAGTAGTACCTCAGGTTAAGTACTTAATTCGTTCCGGAGGTCTGTTCTTAACCTGAAACTGTTCTTAACCTGAAGCACCACTTTAGCTAATGGGGCCTCCTGCTGCTGCCGCGCTGCCGGAGCACGATTTCTGTTCTCATCCTGAAGCAAAGTTCTTAACCCGAGGTACTATTTCTGGGTTAGCAGAATCTGTAACCTGAAGCGTATGTAACCCGAGTTACCACTGTACAGCGGTAAGAGAAAAGGACTAGGTGTTTAGGAGGATATCTCAGCACACAGTGGCTTGCTGGCATTGAGGCCTTTATGGCATCCCTGAAGCACGGAACCAAGTTATCAGGCTTGCCTGAAGCATATGTAACCCGAGGTACCACTGTACCTATATCCCAGTTCTATTCCAAGGCAGGGATATGGACCTCCAGATGTTGATAGACTACAAGTCCCATGGACCCTGGACCATTGGCCTTATGCTGGCTGAAGTCTAGTAACATCTGGAGGGTGATGGGTTTTCAAGCTCTGCTGTAAGGAGCTGAAGGCAGCTTATAACACCATACTTTCAAAGCACGTTTAAAGCACGTTCCCCACTCCCCAGAAAAGAATCCGTGGGCTTTCTTTAGATTTGAAGGGTTGTATTCAAATAGCTCCCCCCCAATTTTTTTTATTCATTTTATAACGCAAATAAAGAACACAAACAGAAAAACAAACAATACAAACAAATTCTTGTCATATCCTTATTTTGTATTCAACTAACTTTTACTCAGAGTAGACCCATTAAAATAAATGGCAGCAACTACGTAGTTAGGTCCATTAATTCTGGTGTGTCTGCTCTGAGTAAAAGTTAGCTGAATTCAACCCAAAGTAATTGACATTCTCAGCCTTAGCAAAACACAGTCTCTTCCCGGAACCCTTTTTCTGCAAAGCCATCAGCCGTGACCTCATTAGCAGCCCTGCCTCTGTTTCCTCTTTGTCTCCTTGGCAAAGGTGCCTCAGGCCCAGCCTGTCTAAGTAAGTAAGTAAAATAAAGTAAGCAAGTAAGTAAGTAAGTAAGTAAGTAAGTAAGTAAAATAAAGTAAGTAAGTAAGTAAGTAAGTAAAGTAAAGTAAGTAAGTAAGTAAGTAAAATAAATAAATATCTGCATGATGTAATGGTTTGGCTTCCCTGACAAAGCCTGCAGGCTTGCAGCCAAGAGTCAGGCTGAAGCGCCGTGCTTTGGGATGATTTACTGCTGAACCTTGAATTCAGTGGAAGCTCTGCCCGGTTATTATGCCCGCAATGTATTAGGCCAGACACCCTTTCAAAAAGCTGTAGTGGGAAAAGCCCAGGATGGACAGCTCGTAATGCAGAGCCCATTAGCCAAGTGTGACAGCGCCTTTGGCTAGAGTGTTTAGGGATTTGGCAATCTCACAAGGCACAAGGACAGGAGATTTAAAAGGCAGCTGAACCTTCGTCAGTTCGACCTGCTTGCAGTCAAACGATCGCCGCAGCCATAAATCTTCTCTGTAGCTGAAGAACTGGCCGGAGAGGTGGAAATGCTGGAAAGGAGATACATGATTGGGTTCCCCTTGAGGAGATGGACTGTTGCCTCTGTGAAACACTTTTCATCGGTTTCTGTCATTGTCAACAGGTGGTTGTTGTTGACATCCATTTGTCTCGAGAGATAATGGAGTGCACCTCTGGGGGTGAACTCAAACTGCTGCGTTAGCAACACCAAAGTGACCTTTCTGGGGTGCAAGCCTGGGCAGTGTGTCTGGAGGTCCTGGACTGCCCAGACAACAAGACCCCCCTCTCAGCCTCACTGATCTGGTCCAAAGGAAAGCAGAGCAATACATTTGGCACCAGCTTGGCTGCAGGAGTTGCTGGAAGGAGGCGTACAAGGCGCCACCCAACCGTCTTAGGGATTCCACTCCAGTTTTACCCCTTAGCCTTTTGTCCCAGTACGTTTCTGAGCACAATTCAAAGTGTTGGTGCTGACCTTTATATCCCTAAACTACCTCGGTCCAGTATACCTTAAGGAGCGTCTCCACCCCCATCGTTCTGCCCAGACACTGACGTCCAGCGCCGAGGGCCTTCTGGCAGTTCCCTTGCTGCAAGAAGCCAAGTTACAGGGAACCAGACAGAGGGCCTTCTCAGTAGTGGCACCCGCCCTGTGGAACACCCTCCCACTAGATGTCAAAGAGAAAAATAACTACCAGACTTTTAGAAGATACCTGAAGGCAGCCTTGCTTAGGGAAGCTTTTAATGTTTAATAGGTTATTGTATTTTAATATTCTGTTGGAAGCCGTCCAGAGTGGCTGGGGAAACCCAGTCAGATGGGTGGGGTATAAATGATAAATTATTATTATTATTATTATTATTATTATTATTCCTCTGAAGATACTGTAAGTGTGATATATGGTAATTAAGTGTCCCTTGTGAAAACTGTCCACCTCCTCAAGGGACTGAATCCAAAAGCCAGCCGCAACCCGTTGACTATGCTCCCTGGGATTCTCATGTCCAGCCTCTGACTTATTGTTTGGCCTTGGGGAAGTGATAAACGCCATGGAGTTCTAACTCCCCAAAGGCTTCTACACTTAGAAGTGTGCTGAGTTCCAACAGTTAAATCCAGTGCTTCCCTAGCACCAGACATCCAGCTGGTGGCTGGGTATTTGGGAAGTGCTGTGCAAAGCATGAATAGCTTGTCCAAAATGGTCTCGTGGGCCAAATGGGGAGGAGGTCTGGTGGGCCATAAATGGCCTGAGGGATGGAGGTTCCCTACTGTTGGTGTAATAACCCTGGTCTACTTTGCACCTTGTTGCCTTGCATATCTGCAGCGTTGGTGGTGTCTAATGAGAAGTGGGACCATAGCTGTCAACTTTTTCCTTTTTTTAAGGGAAATTCCCTTATTCCAAATAGGATTCCTTGCAAGAAAAGGGAAAAGTTGACAGCTAATGAGAGGGACGTGGGTGGCGCTGTGGGTTAAACCACAGAGCCTAGGACTTGCTGATCAGAAGGTCGGCGGTTCAAATCCCCATAATGGGGTGATCTCCCGTTGCTTGGTTCCTGCTCCTGCCAACCTAGCAGTTCGAAAGCACATCAAAGTGCAAGTAGATAAATAGGTACCGCTCAGGCATTTCCGTGTGCTGCTCTGGTTCGCCAGAAGTGGCTTAGTCATGCTGGCCACATGACCCGGAAGCTGTACGCTGGCTCTCTCGGCCAGTAAAGCGAGATGAGCTCCGCAACCCCAGAGTCGGCCACGACTGGACCTAATGGTCAGGAGTCCCTTTACCTTTACTTTGCACATTGTTGCCTTGCATATCTGCAGCGTTGGTGATGTCTAATGAGAAGTGGGACCATAGCGTGTGAAGCAGGACCAGCGGGGGGTGCTCATAGGTAGGCAGTCTGCCCTGAAGAGAGTCTCAAGGGCCAGATAGAAAGTCTTGGTGGGCCACATGCAACAGCTTGGCCTGACCTTCACCACCCCTGGTGCAAGGGCTTATGTGGCACCTAAAAACTGGCGACAGTGCCCAGCACGCGTCTCTCTTACAGTTCTGCTTGGGCCTGCTGAAATAGCTGTTGCATTTTTCACCCCCCTAGTTGGCCTCTGTTCATTTGGCACAGGAATGGGTTGCTAAACATAGCCTGCGATCAGTCAGCGCTGCAGAAATGCAGAGATCATTATCAGAGGCAGACTTCTAGTTGCATTCGCTTGAGGAGTCCACGCCAGAGCGACCTGGCTGTGCTGAGCTTTGGGAAAGCACTTCAAGATGCGGGCGTTTGAATCGATATGTTTTGTAATTCAGCTCCTGTTCCAGTTCAGCTATGGTAAAAAAACACACCAAAAAAACCAAGGCTTTGCTTCCGTTCCACTTCATGTCGCCTGCATTTTTGCTTCAACTTTTTCTCATAACAAGATTCTGTTATGAAACTGGACTGGGCTGGGATGCCCTGAAGTCAGGTTTTATCTGCTGTCCTGCAAGGATATATATATATATATATATATATAGTGGGTAGATTTGGGGCTTAGCCATGCCTATCTCCAACACAGGATTGAAGCCTTAATGAGAGAGGTGGCATTTCATGGTTCATTTTGATAAATCCAAGGCCTGGCCTGGCACTCTGGGGAGAAGGAAGAACTGCTATTGGCACAGGGCGCCTAAATGGAGTCTAATTCTAGGTGGCTGACATTTTTAGAACAAAACTTTAGGGTGCTTAATTTTCCACCAAAATCTGCAAGAAATGCCTCTCAGTTTCTAATTTAGTGTAATTAAAAAAACAAAAAAAAACTTCGTGCAACCTGAACAAACAGGGAACACCAGACCCTCCTAAAGGTAAAGGTAAAAGGGCCGCTGACCATTAGGTCCAGTCATGGCTGACTCTGGGGTTGCGGCGCTCATCTCGCTTTATTGGCCGAGGGAGCCGGCGTACAGCTTCCAGGTCATGTGACCAGCATCAGTGGCGTAGCGTGGGTTGTCAGCACCCGGGGCAAGGCAAGTAATTTGTGCCCCCTAACCCGTGGATTTGCGCCCCCTAACCCGTGGATTTGCGCCCCCTAACCCTAACCCCCAGATGTTGCGCCCGGTGCGGCCGGCCCCCCCTGCACCCCCCACGCTACGCCACTGGCCAGCATGACTAATCCATTTCTGGCGAACCAGAGCAGCACACGGAAACACCGTTTACCTTCCCGCCGGAGCAGTACCTATTTATCGACTTGCACTTTGATGTGCCTTCGAACTGCTAGGTTGGCAGGAGCAGGGACCGAGCAACGGGAGCTCACCCCGTCACGGGGATTTGAACCACCGACCTTCTGATCGGCAAGCCCTAGGCTGTGTGGTTTAACCCACAGCGCCACCCACGTCCCTCCTAAATATACCTAAATCTTAAAGTTTTACAGACAGCTTTGCAAAATAGCCAGAGACTTTCAAATGCATCTTACCGTTACAGTCCCTTTCAGTTTTATGGTGCTGATAGGGAGGGAAAGTGGATTTCTGCTCCTTTTTCCTAACATGCTCCTACTTCTCATTGCTCACTCCCCTCACCTCAAGCACAGTCCTCCAGAGAGACAGCCATGTCTGGGGAAAAAACTGGAGAGATGCTAGCAGGCAGTATACACAATACTAAGGTGGTCTAGCTTGGTGTAACGCAGTTTCTTATCTTTCTTTTCTTTTATTTCTACAGTTCAGAGGGAGCCACAGAGAACCATGCAGAGCAGACCCAATCCATTTTGCTAGCTGAGATAAAGCAGCAAATATTAACCCCCCCCCCCCCGTCCCAAGTCAAGGTGCAGAGATCAGATTATTTTGGCACCTGAACACAGAAAACCTCATAGATTCCTCTCCCCTTCCCTGCCAGTAAGAATACAACCATAAAAAACTAAATAAATAACAATTTGCTGCTCCTTCAGTGCGGCGGTGGGGCTTGTTATTGAAGACATAGTGTCTACATTGGTTAGAAGTTCTTTCTTTCTTCTGTATAGTCTTTGGGTTCATCCTGATCATCGAATCATCGAATTGTAAAGTTGCATATGCAGGAATCTCGACTAAAGCATCCATGACCGATGGCCTTCCAACCTCTGCTTAAAACTCTCAATTGAAGGAGAGTCCACAACTACCTGAGGAAGTCCAGTCCACTGTCAAACCACTCTTAATGTCAGAAAGTTTCTCCAGCTCCCTCAACCATTCCTTATGAGGCTTGGTTTCCAGACCATTGATCATTTTGGTTGCCCTCCTGAATTACAAAACATACGGATTTGAAATTCAGCTGCAGGTGGAACCTAACACCAAGAAAGCTAGTGCTAATATGCCCAGGAACCTCACCAAAATGCTGGAGAGGGTGCACCTCCACATGTGGCGCATACCTCCACATGTGGTGGGAGTGCCCCAAAATCCAACTATTCTGGACAACCGCCATATGAGAAATATGTAAAATTATTAGAAATCACTCCAGAATTGGTCCTATTAAACATCTTCCAAGACAATAATGCCCATTTACACCACAAAGAACTCATAACCTACCTACTTTCAGCAGCCAGAAACATCATAACCAGACACTGGAGAGACCTGTCAGGAGTAAGCATGGACCAATGGTACCAAATAGTATGGGAAGCAGCCTTGCTAGAAAAACTAACCAATAAACTGAAACTGACACGGGGACAAATAGAAGAAGACGCCTTCACCCCAGTATGGCTCCCCTTTATCACATACACAGCCCAACAAGACAATGACAAAAATCCACCAACAGCATACAAATCAATATGGCTAACCTGATCCAAAGGGACGTGGGTGGCGCTGTGGGTTAAACCACAGAGCCTAGGGCTTGCCAATCAGAAGGTCGGTGGTTTGAATCCCCGCGACGGGATGAGCTCCCGTTGCTCGGTCCCTGCTCCTGCCAACCTAGCAGTTCGAAAGCATGTCAAAGTGCAAGTACATAAATAGGTATCGCTATGGCGGGAAGGTAAACGGTGTTTCCGTGCACTGCTCTGGTTCACCAGAAGCGGCTTAGTCATGCTGGCCACATGACCCGGAAGCTGTACGCTGGCTCCCTTGGCCAATAAAGCGAGATGAGCACCGCAACCCCAGAGTCATCCGTGACTGGACCTAACGGTCAGGGGTCCCTTTACCTTTACCTAACCTGATCCAAAACACCCACTCACACATGAAAACAAAGATCACCGCAGCCAATCACAAACAAACAACCACACCCTACCTCTCTCACCACCAAAGGAACACAAGTGAATAGCAGAGAACCTGCACAAGCGACACTTACACAATGCCCCACATATATTAAGTAAAATAATAACAAAGAAAATCTATAACAAAAATAAATTTAAAAAACCCAAAACATACGGATTCAAACACCCACATCTTGAAGTGCTTTTCCAAAGTACAATGCTTAAGTGGAGCTTAAATTATATGTGGTCTTTATTCAGCATTAGTTCTGATTTGCTTGTGGGATGTTTATGCATCTTCCCATTAATCATTAATTCAGCTCCACTCCTTTCAGTACATTTGACTGTCACTTTCCTAACTGCAAAAATGTCTTTTTAAAAAAAAAAAAAAAAAAGTGGATTTGTTGCACTAGGGCAACAGAGCACTATTAATCTGCTTTAATTGCATGAATTACACCAACCTAAATTTCCCACAGAATACTGGCAGTCTGGTGGGCTCTCATGCAGAAAACCTGCTCTTCAGAATTTACCGCTATGCCAGTGGAGTAGAGAGATAGAACTTAGAGGTGAGCCCAGGGATGGGAGAGAAATTCAGTTCCTCTACCCCATTGTGAAGCTCTTTCCAAAGTCTATCCTTGGTCAGCAGTCATGCATCCAATCAGTCATGCACCCAATCCTTCCTAGGAAGGAGGAGAAATATGATTCAGTTCATGTTTAAAGGCTAACCTATCTAATTCTCACTTTTCAAGCTAATTCACAAACTGAGACATACTGTAGCTACCCATCGAAAATTGCACTTCTGCAAATTTTGTAAATCACTTCTCCAGCCAAGGTTACTGATACAATGCATTTTTGCATGTTCTTTTCATTAAATGCATATATTTAAGTGAAAGGAACATACAAAAATACATTACATTGCAGAAAATGTGTATATCAGGAAAATTGCACACAAATGTGTATATTGGGAAAATTTTGCAGTAAAGTGCTGATGAATTTTAATTATTATTAGTATTATTAGTATTTATTAAATGTTTTTACCACCATGTACCCTATACCCACAGGTCTCAGAGTGGTTCACAGGATAAAATGAGGACCATAGGATTTTAATGAGGACCTCTTTTTAAAACATCACAAACTATGTGGAAATGAAGAGAATTGAACTTAAGATTGGAAAAATGAGAAAGCGAAAACCCCAATTTGACAGATTCGCCCACTCCTAGGTGACCATAATGATGTATTTTCTAATCCTGCATAACTAAATTTGTATTTTCTTGAGGTGTGTTAACCTTCGAGAAGGTAGGGTGTGGATAAAAGAAACTGCAGTAGCAAACTACTTCATTATCTATTTTTCACTTGCAGGAGGAGGGGCTATAACACGTGAGGATTTGACAGACACAATGAAGACCGAATGGTGATGAAGGAAGGATGTGGGAAGAACTGAGCATGGCTCTTTGTGGCACTCAGTTGATGGGGAGCAAGATTTATTGGGAGGAAAGCACTTCCGTCTTTTATCAGGTCTTGTGACGGCGAAATGGAAAAATCCACCCTGTGTTTAAGAGTGTGTGACAGAAGATTCACCAAAGCCTTGCAGAGCTAGAAAAAAAATGCTGAGTCTACTTCATGGAGAATAAAGGTTTCTGGAGAACCTCTCCACCATTTGCCGTCTGAAGGTCCATGTTTAGGTAGCCAACTGAATATTACAAGCATGTATATGTTGAAGCTTCACTTTCCCAAACTTAAAACGAAACGAGAAGGATGATATTTAAAAACTCTTGGAGCCCATTAGTTTATCAGCATATTGCAGCGAAAACCATTTGCTAGATTGGCAACTTTTCGCCTTTCCCCTACTTGCTTACCCGAACCGAAGAGAGTCATTATTTAAAGTTTGCAAGCTTGTTTCCAAGACTATTCTCGAATCCACTTTACGAACTTGTGTCTATTTTTCTTTTTAACCTCTGAACATTTGACTTGAAAACCTTCTCCTGTACGATTATGGGCTCCAAGCAAAGAACTGCACAGATTCTCATTCATGGTAACAATGCACTGTTTTCTATTAAACCGTATTGGTGACTGGGAGACAGGGCTCCTCCGCTGCCATTTCATTGCAGACACAAAGGCGGATCTGACCCCACCATGGCGGAGAAGTGCAATTACATCGCGAGCGTGTACGGCTATGACCTGGGCTGCCGTTTCATCAACTTCAGGCCCCTGGGCTTTGGCGTGAACGGGCTTGTCCTCTCAGCAGTCGACAGCAAGAGCTGCCGCAAAGTGGCCGTGAAGAAGATCGCGGTGAGCGATGCTCAGAGCATGAAGCACGCCTTCCGGGAGATCAAGATAATCCGCCGGCTGGACCACGACAACATTGTAAAGGTCTACGAGGTGTTGGGGCCCAAAGGAGCTGATCTCCAAGGGGATCTGTTCAAATTTAACATGGTGTACGTCATCCAGGAATACATGGAGACGGACCTGGCCCGTCTTCTGGAGCAAGGGCCTCTCTCTGAGGAACATGCCAAACTTTTCATGTACCAGTTGCTCAGAGGCCTGAAGTACATCCATTCAGCTAATGTCTTGCATAGGGACTTGAAGCCTGCCAACATCTTCATCAACACAGAGGATCTGGTGCTGAAGATCGGTGACTTTGGATTAGCTAGGGTTGTGGACCAACATTACTCACACAAGGTACGTCCCTCAATTTGTTTGGCCTGATAAAAGCTGAGTGTTCTTTAAAATAACAGCATGCAGAAGTTTAAACAGATACTGTGGCATCTTCACAAGCGGTTCCAAACAAAGTTTCCCATAGAATGAAAGAGCAATATTGATGAGGCTGTGCATTCATGCTAAATTGGCTGGCTTCCCCTTGGAGGCCAAAAGGCATTGCCTTGGCATATCCTGTGAAATCTCGCTGCGTTAATTGGATTACAAACAACCCAGTTATGTTGGAGGGAGTCCAGCCACGCCACTTTCCAGATGTCAGGTAGCAAAAAACTTCAACCTAGAAACTAATTTGCAAGGTATGTACAGTAGAACCTTGGTTCTCAAACTTAATCTGTTCCGGAAGTCCATTCGAAAACCAAGGCACGCTTTCCCATAGAACAGGTACCCCCAAACTCGGCCCTCCAGATGTTTTGGGACTACAGTTCCCATCATCCCTGACCACTGGTCCTGTTAGCTAGGGATGATGGGAGTTGTAGTCCCAAAACATCTGGTGGGCCGAGTTTGGGGATGCCTGCCATAGAAAGTAATGCAAAGTGGATTAATCCATTCCAGTAACATGAATGTTACTATCTAACGAGACCATTGATCCATAAAATGAAAGCAATAAACAATGAACTGCAGTAGCACAATAAATCAATCAGTAGCTGAACTGGGTTCCACACAGTCACAAAAACAAAACAAAAAGAGCCGCAAAAACAAAAACGCAAAATAAATAGCAAAACCAGACAGACCTCAGCGTAATACTCAAAACAGAAGTGTGGCACTCAAAATGGAACATGTTTGGCTTCCGAAAAAAGTTCGCAAACCGGAACACTTCCGGGTTTGCAATGTTTGGCTTCCAAGTTGTTTGAGTACCAAGGCAGTTGAGAACCAATGTACCACTGTATTCCATATCCGTGTTAGACCAAGAATGAGCAGCTGGTTACTTCCTTTTCCAGATCCAGCCTTGTAACGCATCTGGGAAATGCAGCTGAAAAGTTCACACAGAAATAAGTCCCACCAAATTGTAAGAGTCCTGCTTCCTGGTAGGTCGGCATAGGATGGACCCTTAGAATGCATTCTGGCCCTAATTTGAAAGCACATTTAGGCTGCAATGCAATCCTTGCTTTGGATAAGATCCACCCAAACTCACTGAAATTTTCATCTGAGTATGTGCATCTGGGATGTGCATCCCTTTGAATTCTTCAAGTTAGCGTGCAGAAGCTTGTCACCTTCAGAACTTTTAAGCTGCAGCTGGACTGCCCTCAAAGGCTAGAATTCAAACAAGCTTGCATTGTGTGGCTTTCATTGGAAGGTATGACCGAGAAAGCTCACAGGGGTCGGAGGACTTGGGACAGGGGAGGAAAATGGTAGGTTGGTGCTTCTTTGGCTATGGAGCGGCACTAGAAGAGAAGCAGTCAGAGCCAACGAAGGAGCCAACTCCTAGGCGCTGCGTGGGCTTTGGCCCCCAAAATAAAATATTTGAGGGGGCTGGGCCCCCACAAGGTTGATGGCCGTTGCCATTCAAATGGTGTGTGTGCACTGCGTCATGTGATCGATTATTCAGGGCGGGGCTTACCTGGCCCCCTGCAATATTTTATTCAAGTTGGAGCTTCCACAAGCACAGGCAGTTAGAAGTTGAGTTGAGAACAGAGGCTGGAAATTGGGCCACGCTCACACCAATACGTTCAAAGCACTATGATACCACTTTCAATTGTCACGATACCCAGAGTTTCCCAGGAAAGAGGGATTTATTGTTAAGCCACCCTGGCCATTGTAGCTATATGAGGGGAATAAGGGGGGGTCTCCTAAAAAGCACCCTTAGCAATCTACAGCTCCCATAATTCTTTGGGGGAAGCCATGTGCTTTACATGTGCAATGAATGCACTCCATGGATGGTTTGGGTCTGCCCTTTGTAGGAAGAAGGGGTAGGAGGGATAGAGTCAGGGAGAGAGCGATTGGGGAGTGGGAAACATCGTGCATGTGATGCCGGGAGGAGCCAGGGGTGGAGCCAAACGTGGAGACCATGAGGCTTCAATGGTTGCTGGCTCCTCCTCTGCCTCCTCTGCCTGGGGCCACCGTGGCAGTGTTGGGATGTGTCCAATGGAACGGCGGCATCAGGCAGGCCCCCAGCTGGCTCCAGCCCACCGGCCGGCAGCCAGACGAACTCCGGTCTCCCTTGGAACAACATCAAAACAGCGGCACACAGCTTCAGAGGGGTGTTATGTACTGAGTTGAATAGGATCCAAAATGCAGCAGTCTGATTGGTCCTAGAACAATAAGATTCAGAATGCAGCAGTCTGATTGGTCCTAGAACAATGCAGCAGTATGATTGGTCTGCAAGAGCCACCCAATCCAGCTCCAGATGGAAGTGAATTCACAACCTGATTGGCCTACAGGAGAATTCCGGAATTAGCCAATCACGTGCAGCCCATTGTGTAAATAATGTATATAAAGCAGATACTTTGGGGGGGACTTTCATTCCTCCTCACCACTATGAACTGAATAAAGAGCATGAAATCCACTCTCGACTCTGAGTATATTTCAAGAAGCCTTCAGAAACCTGAGCACGCCTTAAGCAGCAGAGTGAATATCTCGCAACAGAAGTGGCGGACAGAGGCATATGTAAAGCGTATTTACAAGCATTTTATTCAGCATCAGGACAAAGGAAAAACATGTCTGCTCCCCTTTGTGTCCAAGCAGCAGGAAGCACAAAGCAAAAGCAATACACAAACGGAAGTTCCCAGCAAGCTGTGCTGGAATGTAAACAGACATGTGACATACAGCAGCTCTACACATCTGTTTAGGTGGAACAGAACATCAATATCCTAACAGGCAGGAGGAAGAGGAGAAGGAGTAGAAGGAGTTGACCATTGGAACCACACAGTGCTCAGCTCAGTTCTTCACTCAGTTCTGTGCTCAGTCTCCTCTCCCCCCTCAACATTGGGGTGTGTGTGGAAGGCTCGCCCCATCCCAAAAGATATTGAGGGCCCCCAAAACAGCTCAGGCCCCCAGGAGCTGGTGTCCCTGGGTAGAGTATTTCACCTGCAGCATGGAAAATTCCACCAAGAAAAAGCCTGTTCAGAAAGAATGTCCTATTTCAGAAAACTTTGACCACCCCGCCCCGTAAAAGAGAGTTGCGTCCAAAGCGTGGGCTTGGCTCATATGCATGATTTCCCCAGATAAAAGGAACAGATGGACAGAAGGAGGAATTCAAAGTATGCTCAGCAATTTCGCTGCTACATTCCACCCCCTTCCAGCAGCCCGCCTGCCAGCTAGGGGCTTATATGGGATTTTTGTCTGACATGCCCTTCCTTTGCCAATGAATAATAAGAGAGATGCTTGTCCCCCTGTCCCTACCCCACCTTACTAAATATGGGACACACATGACTACTGCTTAGCTTACTTTAGTAAGAAAACAACGTGAAACCTTGGGCTCTTAAGGGGGAACCATTTATTTTTGAATCAGCGTTTGCAGCATCAGAAAACTAGGCAGTGTTTTTCCCCCCTGGGAGCTAGTGCAGCTTACAAAATTTTGAGAATATTATTAAAGCAGTTGGAGTACTTATCCTCTCCTGTGCAAGTAGCTCATGGAAACATAAGCAGGGCTTCCTATTCCTCCTCCCAGTGCTAATATTTTTTTATTCAGACAACGACACTGCAAGGTAGGCTACAGGCAGAGAAAAAGAGAGAAAAGGGAGAGAGTGGCTGGCTTAAGGACATCCAAACATCTTTTCAGGGTCACAACCAAATACATCTAATGAAACCCCAGTACAGTTTTTGTTTTGGGCTGTGTGTGCGCTTGTGTTTTCAGAAGCATCCATGGAGTTGTTGTTGTTTAGTCGTTTAGTCATGTCTGACTCTTCGTGACCCCATGGACCAGAGCACGCCAGGCACTCCTGTCTTCCACTGCCTCCTGCAGTTTGGTCAGACTCATGTTGGTAGCTTCGAGAACACTGTCCAACCATCTCGTCCTCTGTCGTCCCCTTCTTCTTGTGCCCTCGATCTTTCCCAACATCAGGGTCTTTTCCAGGGAGTCTTCTCTTCTCATGAGGTGGCCAGAGTATTGGAGCCTCAGCTTCAGAATCTGTCCTTCCAGTGAGCACTCAGGGCTGATTTCCTTCAGAATGGATAGGTTTGATCTTCTTGCAGTCCATGGGACTCTCAAGAGTCTCCTCCAGCACCATAATTCAAAAGCATCAATTCTTTGGCGATCAGCCTTCTTTATGGTCCTGCTCTCACTTCCATACATCACTACTGGGAAAACCATGGCTTTAACTATACGGACCTTTGTTGGCAAGGTGATGTCTCTGCTTTTTAAGATGCTGTCTAGGTTTGCCATTGCCTTTCTCCCAAGGAGCAGGCATCTTTTAATTTTGTGACTGCTGTCAACATCCATGGAGACGAGATGCTTAACTCTGAAAACTCTGATGTCTGCTCGTTTCCCCACTCCCTGTCAGTTTGGTGATGCAGAAAAGTTTTCAACAGGTGTTTGAAGCTTAAAGCAGAAAGCTCCCGTCGAATTTTCTGTTGGCAGAGCATTCCACAGGACTGGGCAGATGACACTAAAAGCTTGGTATCTTCTTGACGTCCGATGAGCTGCACCAACTTGGGAAACGATCAGCAATGCTCCTGCAGATGATCTCAGAGACTGAGCAGGGATATAAGGGATCAGGCTGTTCCTAAAGTACCCTGGGCCTAAGCTGTTCAGGGCTTTGTAAATTAATACAAGGCCCTTGAACCTAGCTTGGTCGTAGATGTAGTAGCCAGTGCAGGTGTTTTAACAGCGGTGTCACATGTTGTCGGCCACGTGACCCCAACAGCAGTCTGGCTGCCGCATTCTGCACCTGCTGGAGCTACTGAGCCAGACTCAAGGGCAGCCCCACACAGAGCGCATTGCAGTAATCCAGCCCTGAGGTTAGCAACGCATCAACTACAGTGGTCAGGCTACTAATAGGAACAATCATTTCCAACCAGAAAGAAGACTTTCTTTCGTTCAGCAGCATAATTATAAGAGGTAGGGAGGTGGCGGTGTTAATTTTGTTGCTCCTGTTATTAAAGAATTAGGAGCTGAAATGTTTGTCGATCTGTAAATCACCCAGTGGATCCAGATTGGGTTTCTGTCCACTCTGGCCCATCTCAGCTATTTGACAAATTCAGGTCTGAGCCAAAGACTTTGGGGGAAGTTGGGTTTTGACAAGGGATTTGAAGAATGTCAAATGTTATTCTTCCCTCTCACTTGTTTAAATGAAGATTTTGGATAACTATTCGGTTCTATGCAGAGTTTTGTGTGAATGTATGTCTGAGCTGCTTGCAGAACTGTAGGCATCAATCCTAGCCTGAAACGGCCATAATCTTAGTTCATTTTGACTCTGGAAAACCTTTTTTCCCCCTCCAGGTTTTTTTGTATTGTTTGGCCAGGCCTAAGATGATATTTGTACACTGTGGTGAGGAATGATGTCTCTCTCAAACTAATGTCTCTCTCCATCTGCACAGACAGAGTCATCTGTTGCTTCTCTGTTGTGATGCAACTGCAGAGAGGCTTGTGGTCACGGGCTAAGTGACATTTAAAACCTTCCACTCCTTTCCCTCCCTCACATGCTATAGAATCAGATAAAGGTTACCCATTCAGCACTGTATTATAGTGCCCTGCAGGTGAATGGAGGGAGATTTAATTCCACCTGGGCGGCTGAGTATAATTTCTCTGGCACAGTGGCATAAATCACCTACCTCTATTGTTACTGGCTTAAGAGAAACTGGAGAAGCCTCAGCCAGACCTTCCCCATTCAGGATGAGATTAAGGCGGAGAGACAAAAAGGTTGCCACCCTCGGTCCCATCCTACAGGGCAAGCTCAAGAGCTGGTTGCAATAGGAACAGGGCAGAATGAGAGGCTACAGTTTCTAACATTTCAAAAAGTTGTACTTGGACCGGACTGAGGGTTCCTGCAGAATGGTTTACTGAGCATTCATCCTGATGTGCTTGCACAAAGCTTACGCAGAGGTTAGATTATATTTGGTCTTCATTCTGATTTGATGTTGGGTTGCTCATCTTGGCTGTGAGTCCTGGAAGACCTGTTCCCTGCTTTGCAAGCCTTTTCCCACCTAGCCTGGGAGGGAGGGGCCCTGACTGACTCCAGCTACAAAAGCTGAGGCTGCTGGACAGACTCTTGGGCTGGGGTATTGCTTAGTGGGGTTTGTTGGGGGCGTTGTTGTTGTTAAAAGGTAAAGGTAAAGGGACCCCTGACTGCTGGGTCCAGTCGTGACCGACTCTGGGGTTGCGGCGCTCATCTCGCTTTATTGACTGAGGGAGCCGGCGTACAGCTTCCGGGTCATGTGGCCAGCATGACTAAGCCGCTTCTGGCAAACCAGAGCAGCGCACGGAAATGCCATTTACCTTCCCACCGGAGCGGTACCTGTTTACCTACTTGCACTTTGATGTGCTTTCGAACTGCTAAGTTGGCAGGAGCAGGGACCGAGCAACGGGAGCTCACCTCGTCGCCGGGATTCGAACTGCGGACCTTCTGATAGGCAAGTCCTTGGCTCCGTGGTTTAACCCACAGCGCCACCTGCGTCCCATTGTTGTTGTTACTAATGTTAAATTGTTGTCTCTTTATTTTAGATCCAGTTACGATTTATGTGGCAATTATTCAATTTGGTTGTGTGGTTTTTTGATGAACATAAGAAGAGCCCGCTGGATGAGGCCAATGGCCCATCTAATCTAGCATCATGTTCTCACAGTGGCTGACTTGATGCCTGTGGGAAACCTACAAGCAGGATTTGAGCACAAGAGCAACTCTGCCCTCCTGTGGTTTCCAGCAGCTGGAATAATAATAATAATAATAATAATAATAATTTATTATTTATACTCCGCCCATCTGGCTGGGTTTCCCCAGCCACTCAGGGCGGCTTCCAACAGAATATTAAAATACAATAATCTATTAAACATTAAATGCTTCCCTAAACAGGGCTGCCTTCAGATGTCTTCTAAAAGTCTGGTAGTTGTTGTTCTCTTTGACATCTGGTGGGAGGGTGTTCCACAGGGCGGGTGCCACCACCGAGAAGGCCCTCTGCCTCGTTCCCTGTAACCTCACTTCTCGCAATGAGGGAACCACCAGAAGGCCCTTGGCACTGGACCTCAGTGTCCAGGCAGAACGATGGGGGTGGAGACGCCCCTTCAGGTATACTGGACTGAGGCTGTTTAGGGCTTTAAAGGTCAGCACCAACACTTTGTGGCATTCAGATAGCCACTGATAGCTTTCTCTAGGAATTTGTCTAATCCACTTTTAAAACCAACATTCAGCGTCATTGAATGTCTTCTAACATTCAGTTTCACGGAACTTCCATAAGTTCTAGTGTTATAGGAGAGAATGCTAAACTTTTCTCTGTCCACTTTCTTGATGCCGTACGTAATTTTATAAATTTCTGTCATGTCTCCTGTTACTCATCTTTTCTCTAAACTAAAAAGTCCCAAATGCTACAACCTCTCTTCAAAAGTGACTCACTCTACCCCTTGATCATTTTGGCTGCCCTTTTCTGTACAATTCTTTTCTTCTGGCTCAAAAAGCACAGCGGTTTGGTTTTTCTTTTTTGCAAAGGAAAAAAAAAGCATTGCTGAGGGCACCCTTCCATTTACACACACACAAAAATATGTTTTACGGTTAGCCATCATAACTTTGATTTAAGGTAACCGAAGCTCATTCCGTATTTGGGCAAAAATGCAGTGATGGTGTAAGGCAAGGCTGTGTTTCTGCTTTGGGCAGGCTTGATTTAGCCTGGCAGTATCTTGGCAGGTAAACTGTCCCACTGGGTAGTGATCCTGCACCCTGTTCTTTGCTGCAAAGGGACAATTTTATCCTCCAGTCTGTCAAAGCACTGCTGCATTCCAGTGGATTTTTTCCCCTCAAGGATCTGTAGAAAGAAATAGTACAGTGGTACCTCGGGTTACATACGCTTCAGGTTACAGACGCTTCAGGTTACAGACTCCGCTAACCCAGAAATATTACCTCGGGTTAAGAACTTTGCTTCAGGATGAGAACAGAAATTGTGCTCCGGCGGGGCAGCGGCAGCAGGAGGCCCCATTAGCTAAAGTGGTACCTCAGGTTAAGAACAGTTTCAGGTTCAGAACGGACCTCTAGAACGAATTAAGTTCTTAACCAGAGGTACCACTGTACAGTCATACCTCTGGTTGCAAACACTGTGGGTTGCGCGTTTTCGGGTTGCGAACCGCACTGAACCTGGAAGTACCAGAATGGGTTACTTCTGGGTTTCGGCACTCGCGCATGCGCAGAAACACAAAATGATGTCATGTGCATGCGCAGAAGCGCCAAATCGCGTTACGCACATGTTGCAGGTTGCGAATGTGCCTCCCGCACGGATCACGCTCGCAACCCGAGGTATCACTGTACTCAAGAAGGATTCCCCTTCCCCTGGGTTGTCTGTTGTATATGACGCTGGCATATTTTAAGCCCCTCTCACACTTTCATGCCATGTGCAAATAATGTTGAAGGGAACTCAGAAGAGAAAGCTCAAATGGAACTGTTATTAATGCTGTCTGCAGTAGGAGCCGTTTTGAAACAAAGTGGACTTTGCTCTAAGAATAGGGCCCTAGGTCTTCCTTTACAGATGACAGCCCTCCATTTGAAATCAATCCTCTTTGTGAAGGAGTCCTCTAGAAGAAGGGTATTGTTGTTCATTTGTGGTTTAAAGATACCTAAGGAAGGTGAGCAGGAGAGGCCTTGAAGTTGCCCGTTTGGAGTGAGCAGTACCTGAGCATCAAACCCATCAGGCACACAGATCACCAGGTCATTTGCCCCCCACTGTTGTGTTTCTGCTGAAATAATAGTCTTTCTAAAGTTTCATCTATGCCTATAACCTAATATGTACAAATCTGTGCCTTTTTCATTCTCTCTCTTTTTGTGTCCTCTCAGAGAGCAGTGTTGATGGCTTGTCAAGAAATGACACAATTTTCTTGTGGGCTTTTCTCTCTCCTGAAAAAGAGAAATATATTTGCTTTTGGAATAATTTTCTACTACTACAGTTTTGTGTTTTGGCTTCAGTATATGCTACTAAAAACAACCATAACAAACCAAAACAGATTTTTAATTTTTTATATTTTTATCGCAATCTCACCTTTCTTCCAAGGAGCTCAATGTGGTGTACGTGGTTCTCGTCCCCATTTTATCCTCACAATAACCCTGTGAGGTAAGTTAGGCTGAGAGACAGTAACTGGCCCAGGGTCACCCAGTGGGTTTCATAGATGAGCAGGGAATTTTAACCTTGGCCGTAAGCCAACCATCTAATCACTATTCCATACTGACTCTCAATACTGACTTTGAGCTCCATGAGTGAAAATTGCCTCATATATTTTCTGATAGACTATTCTTACTATTTTCATTTATTTGTCACTTTCCACAACAAAATGTCTCAAAGAGACTTGCTGATCTCTAACTTGCTCACAAATCTTAAAAGGCAAATGCATCAAGGAAACAAGTTTGTGTAATCTGGAAATGATAGCAACAGAGAAAGCTCCCCTGGATGCGTGATTTACGATGCTCTGATTTGACAGAGTGTTTCAGGGTGAAGACGGATATAGATTTTTAAGAGCAGGACCCTGTCTATTTGTAATCTACCATATAAACTAGATTCACAACTTCCTGAACATACAGTAATTCATAAAACAAGGAACCAGCAGATGAAAGAAGAGGAATCAGATGTAGCCACTGGAACAGAAGGGGTAGAGATCTGCAAAGTTGCATGTGCCATAATTTATTAAGATCTGGATTTCAAGTCTCCAGCTTTCTTGATGTAGTGTGAAATATGGTCTTGTTTTTTCTCTGAAAGAGCTGAATCAGTTTTCCCTGAGAAAGAGCTACAGTACATGAAACGCATCATCAGGCAATAAATGATCTTCTATGCACCTTTTGGACGTCTCTTCTGCTTTCATTCTTAACATAATTCATACCTGCAAGTCAAGTACTAGATCAGCCTTGCAGCTTCCACTGTGCATCTGGCAGACTGCTTTTGTTAGAAAGACAGACAGACAGACAAACAGACAGGGAAAGGTAGGTAGGTAGGAGGCACATGAAATCCAAGGGCTCTACCAGACTACCTTTCATTGAGAATTCCTTCAGATTGGTTCACAGAGAGATCAAAGCAAGTGTTATCTCATATGTCACAATAGATTTTCTTCTCACTTTCCTTACTGCTAAAAGTCAAATCTTTGGAGGAAGAGGGTTTCTTGCCCAAGACCTCTCAATCAACCATCATTCTACAACCTGAATTTGCAGGTGTGTGCTCATAGGTTCAAAGAGCAACACAGGACAGTTTGAAAGCCTTCCCCTGAACAGCCCTTTGCTCCTCTTTAAGTCTCTGTTAAAGAAAAACTTCTTTAAGCATCCAATTTGCTTGCAAAGGGCTTCCAGATAGCTCCATGCTGCACTGTGAAGACTCAAAGTGGCCTTGCCACCAACGGAGCAGGTAGGCCAGGATCCAGATGCATTGGCAAATCCTCACAGTTGCATTGGTGCAACTTGGTTCCCCTGGCATAGTGTGACTGACCTGTGACCCTCCAGATATTGCTGGATTACAACCCCCAGACCATTGACCATGGTGAATGGAGCTGATGGGAACAAAATCCAGATGGCCACAGGTTAGACGCCCCTGCTTTTGCTTCCTAGCTGGTATATGTCAAGTAAAGAATGCTTCCTAAAATTAATACTGCTACAGACAAGCACATTAAAGTGTGAAGTGCAGTTATAACAAGCAGGAAAACTTAAAAACACACAGCTGCTAATTCAGTGTACACTTAGATATCTTTGCACCTAATGCTATTAAAGTGCAATTCTAAAAAGATATAAATATCATTCAGTATCGAATATTACAAATATTATTGCACCTGGTGCTACTAAAATAAAATACAGACCGCCGCATGGTTCTGTGTGCCTCACTGGGCGATTTACAGCTCCTTACGACCAATCAAACCCTGGCATCTGTTTTCTAATTAAGGCTCATCTTCCCTTTTGCACAGAGTGCTGAGAGCTTCCTGGAATCGAATGCAAACATGAGGCATTTGCTATAGCGATGTGGTACTCGGCAGTGCTAATTAATTTCAGCGGGAGCTCGGTCTGCTTTGGTGTCTTTGTACAATCTCAGACTTCTGAGACTGTTGTTCTTACAGTGAAGCCTAATTAACAATCCCCTTTCTGAAACCAATGCTGCTGTGATGCTCTCAGATTTTTTTGGTGCCTGAATGCAGCTAATATTGCGTTTGTGTTTGACTTCCAATCTACTCAATTACAATTTCTTTCCACTTCTATTACTTTCTTTCACACACCTTTAACCTAATTTCATACTTCTTTTTCTGTTACACATTGTTATCCATCTTATTTAGTATTTCAGTATTTGAAACGGAACTTGTTCATTCTAATAGGAGTTCTGATTTTTCGATATGGTTTTGCAAGTATCTTTTAAACACCTTCCAGTCCCTGTCTATCTTCTCTTTTGAGATCCTTCCAATTTCTCCCATTGTTTTGGATATGTTGTAGTACTCCAATAATTTGGCAAACCACTCTATTTTTGTCGGTACAATACCGCTTTTCCAATTTTTCGCAATCAATAGCCTTGCGGCTACTGTTGTGTATAAATATAAGGTCTTGTCTTCTTCCTTTAGGCTTCCTGGTACTATTCCCAATAGAAAACCCTCTCGTGTTTTCCTAAACGAATATCTGAACATTTTTTTCATTTCGTTATAAATTATTTCCCAAAATTGTTTGATGTTTAAACAATTCCACCAAATATGTATCATAGTCCCTTTTCCAGTGTTGCACTTCCTTGAGGAGGCCTTGCAGAGAAGGCAGGCCTTGGCAGAGGTCTTGCAGAGGCAGCACCAGAGAAAGCGGGACATCACAGACTGACATAAGAAGCCAGGGCAGCTTCTGTGTGATGGCCTGGAATTCGGACTCGAATGCTGAACCTGAGGGATCCCAGCCTGCACAGGATTCTCTGCCTCCAGAACCAGCTGAGCCGGGGCTGGGGCATGAGCCTGAAGGGTCCTCACCTGTGCTGGCTCAGGTGCAGGCATCAGCTAAGTCTGCTCTGGCTCCTGAGGGGATGGAGGACCCATTGCCTGCAGGTGCTCCACTCTCAGCCCAGTCAGAGGAAGCTGAGGTTGCCTCTGGGTCCGGTAACCCTCCTGAGCTGCAGAGACTCAGGGCAGAGAGGTGGAGGGAACTAAGTTCCCGCAGGAGGAGTGTTCGCCTCCAGGCCAGGAGAGGCGAGTCACCAGAGGATCGGGGCCGCCCTATGCCCCGGGGCAGATAAAAGCCGGCCAGCCCCAGTCCCAAGTTGCGGGAGCAACATTGTTGGTTGCGAGTTCCTGCCTGAACCCTGTCCTGCTTTCCTGCCTGAGCTGACCAGTGCTGGCTCCCTGCTTGCAAGCCTGTTACTGACTTCACCCGGCTCCCTGCCCTGCACCCAGCTTCAGCTACTATGGACTGCCTCCTCGTTGCACCTTTGACCATGGACCAGACTTGGACCTTGCCTTTTGGGTAACCCACGGGACCAGCACATTCTGTCAATCTGTGACGTCCCAGAGAAATCAGGACTATTGTCACAGGTGTTATATGTTAGGTTTGCCATACATCCGGAATTTCCCAGACATTGCCAGGATCCGGCCATTGGAAGGGTGTCCGTGTAGGGGAAAAGCTCAACAACTTTGGGTGACGACTTCTTTGGTGTCCGGATTTTCACTTTTTGAAATATGGCAACCCTGTTATATGCTCAAGCCATCTTGCTGCAATGTGCAATTTGGCAGCCGAATTCTGCACCAGCTGAAGTTTCCAAACCGTCTTCAAAGACAACCCCAATTATGACGTGTTGGATTTCTGTTTCACGCATGGTGGGGAATAATCGAACATCTGTAGTTTCTGCTTGTGTTTTTGTTGGAATCCTCCGGCATCTCTCGTCAGGGTCTGCGGCTCCTCTGCTTCAGATGTGGAGGCCACAGAAGTAATGACTGGGTCTCAGAGTAGGCTGCTTGATGTGTGACTCAGTGCTCTGGGTGCAAGAGTACAGCGCACACTCCGGTCCTAAATCAGAAAGTAAATCTGCACAGCTGTCAGCCTTAGGCTAGCCTTCCCTCAACCACGGGACCTTCAAGTGTTTGGGACTAGCGTACCCATCAGCTAGCATGGCAGTGGCTGGTGAGAAGGCACCAAGTTGGCAAAGGCTGCCTCAGACCCTGGTGGCCATTGGGACAGGTAGAGCTTAAAGCAGAGTATCCTACTGGAGATAGGCAGCTAATGACAGGCAGAGCCGATGAATTCTAGTTTGTCCCCATCCTCTTCCCTGCTGAGTTCTGCAAGGGCAACACTAAGACTACAGAGGAGGAAGCTGTATTAGCTGTAAGTAAGAAAGCAGATCAGTGCGGCAGATTGGACTTGGTGGGGTAAAGCCCCATTTGCCCTATGATACAATAATCTTTATTGTCATTGTCCCATACAGAACAACGAAATTGAAAAAATCTACATCAGACATTCAAAAACCAACAAGCCTGCTATCCTAGCTATCCCAGCCTGGTTAACCCCCTAAAAACTCTGATACCCCATAATTAAATACGATATACTCCCACAGAGACTTCCTTACACTGCGTTTAAAGCCAAAATCGGCTAAATTTCTCAGTCCTAGTCCTAGTCTTTATAACCCTGTACAGTGGTACCTCAGATTAAGTACTTAATTTGTTCCGGAGGTCCGTACTTAACCTGAAACTGTTCTTAACCTGAAGCACCACTTTAACTAATGGGGCCTCCCACTGTCACCGTGCCTCCAGAGCACGATTTCTGTTCTCATCCTGAAGCAAAGTTCTTAACCTGAAGCACTATTTCTGGATTATCGGAGTATGTAACCTGAAGCGTATGTAACCTGAGGTACCACTGTACCTTCTTCCAGAAGGCAGAAGCTGAAGGAGATCACATCCGGGGTGCGTACTATCTTGCACTATCTCTGCAGCTTTCTTATGACACCTGGAAGCATAGATTTGATCCAAGGTGGGAAGAATGCACCCGATTATTCTCTCCGCAGTCTTTACAACCCTGGAGAGCATTGCTTTTTCCCTGACCGTGCAGCTCCCAAACCACACACACAGACTATAAGTTAATAGACAAGCATCCACTGGCCTCAGACCATTTCAAATGAGGAGGTCGAATTCTGGCCTTCCCTTTCTAACCCAAGGCATTTCTCCCTCCTCTGGGTTCTGTCCTAGCATAGGCTTGGGAGATTTGAGGTAGAGCTGCCTCCCGATTCAGAAACACTTCCTAGTTTTGAGTTGGGTTAAGAATCACAGAATCGTAGAATTGGAAGGTTCACCTAGCCCAATCCCCTGCGATGTAGGAATCTTTTGCCCAGTGTGGGACTTGAACCCACGATCCCAAGATTAAGCGTCTTATGATCTACCGACTGAGCTATCCTTCTTAAGGAAGCCGTCAGAAAAGCAAAAAGGTTTTTCTTTAAAAAATAAATGCAACCAATCGTAATAATAATCCCAATTTTGCTGCACGGGCACAGAAAGCAGTGGCGTTGAAGGATATCATTATCTCATCAGGGAGCGAAGATGATGATAGGAAATGTCTACACACTCCTGCTGGTAAACTGCTGCTATTTCCAGGGCACTCGTCCATTGGATTAATAGCCAGCAGCACCGCCAAGGAGATGTCCGACCAGAATCGTCAGGAACGGCTGCCATTCTGTTGTGAGGGCACCTTTAGCAGAATGCCCCAGGATGCTGTCTGGTCCGCCCATCTGCGCCGTCTGCTGGTAAAGGTTCTGAATGGACGGCCCTTTGCACAGTGCACATTGTGGGATTTATAATGGAGTGGAGGCCTCCAACTTAGTTGGCTTTAGAAGGGGGGTTAAGAAATCCACTCCATTTCATCGTGGGGAGGAGTTGCGGTGGACCGCGTGGCCACCCACTTTTCCCCAGGGGCGGGGGACGAAGTCCCGCGTTGCCCTGGGGATCTCGGCCGCGTCAGCACTCAGCCAGCCAATTAGCTGGTTGGTGGGGGCATGGCCGGGACCATTTAAACAGAGGCACGAGATGAAGGGCTTCCTCCTGGCTCGCTTCTTCAATCTCCTGCCCTCCCTCCCCTTGTTTGCAGGTTTTCACCGGCCTTGCTATGGACCTCGGTTGGTTGCCGTTAAGGGGCCTGGTAGGAATTTTTCCACTTGGCAAAATTGGCGCGGGCCATTTGGTTTTTGCCTACCTCATAACAATCGTCACAACTTGGTAAGGTTTTGCGGTTAGGCATTGTTTGACCTTTTGATGGGGGAGGGGAGGTGTGGCCATCACCTGCCCCTCCAAGCTTAAGGGTATTCTGCTAAAGGAATCCGGGCGTGTGGATCTTGTCCGAAGCCCAGGGTGGGGCTAGGGCCATGACACGACCCCGTCGGGAACACCTGGGGGAGCTTGAGTTGGTCTGCATCGATGGGGCTCCCCCTTCTGGTGGTATCCCTTACCGGACTCCCTGCACAATGGGCAGGAGTCAGATATAGTCGGGTCCATTCAATGCCTAAGCCAATTACCGCTCACATTCTATAATCAATAAAGTTGTGGCCTAAATTTGCCCAATAACATTAACCTAATATCTGTGTCCTGGTGTATTTTATGCTTCTACGAGGGGGTGGTTGCGGGGTCTAGACATGCAAATTCATGTAGGAAGAAGCCAACAGTGACTACTAGCCATGATGGAAGTGCACAGCCTCCATTGACAGGGACACTGTGCCTCCAAATACCAGTTTCTGGGGATTCGCGAGTGGGAAGAGTGCTGCTGCTCTCAAGTCCTGCTTGCAGTCTTCCCATGAACATCTGGTTGGCCACTGTGAGAACAGGATGCTGGACTAGACCAGAGACTTCCAAGTGTCCCTATTTCTTAGGGGCGGTCCCAAATCTACAGAAGCCATCCCAGTTGAATGTCCTGCTTTTCCTTAGGACGTCCCTGTTTTCGTTGGAGAGGTGTTGGAGTTATCTGACCCCTGAGCCATCTGAAAGCAGCCCTGTACAGCCATACCTCTTGTTACATCCGCTTCATGTTACGTTCTTTCAGGTTACGTTCTCTGGCGACCAGGAAGTACCAGAAAGGGTTACTTCTGGGTTTTGCCGCTTGTGCATGCGCAGAAGCACAAAATGACATCACGTGCATGCTCAGAAGCAGCGAATCGCAACCCACACATGCGCAGACGCGCTGCTGCGGGTTGTGCTCTTTTCATGTTGCGAACGGGCCTCCGGAATGGATCCCATTCTCAACCAGAGGTACCACTGTACAGGGAAGTTTCTTTTAATGATTTATTATGTTTTTAGATATGTTGGAAGCTGCCCAGAGTGGCTGGGGCAACCCAGGCAGATGGGCCGTGTATACAAATAGTAACATTATTGTTGTTGTTATGATGGAATAGGACACCTCTGTTTTCATCGGAGAAATGTTGGAGGGTGTGCTAGACAGACCTTTGGCCTGATCCATCTTCTTACGCTCTGGTGTCTTCCATTGCACATTTATTGGGAAAGGTTGTGGTTCCCATTAAATTGGGGATGAGCAGAAGAAGAAGAAGAGTTTGGATTTGATATCCCGCCTTTCACTCCCCTTCAGGAGTCTCAAAGCGGCTAACAATCTCCTTTCCCTTCCTCCCCCACAACAAACACTCTGTGAGGTGAGTGGGGCTGAGAGACTTCAGAGAAGTGTGACTGGCCAAGGTCACCCAGCAGCTGCATGTGGAGGAGCGGAGACGCGAACCCGGTTCCCCAGATTACATGACTACCGCTCTTAACCACTACACCACACTGGCTCTTGGTTTTAGGCCCCTGGTTGGTCACAGGCAGGGGTGATTTTGTGGGAATGTTCAGGGTGGCAGGAGAGGATATATTGTTTAATAATATTCTTCCTATCTTGCATTAGCAAGTTTCTTTACTTAGCAGAGTTTACATGCACAGCAGAAATCTGGTTGCAGGCTCATTAGAACCTCTTACTATTATGCAATTCAATCTCCCTCAGATTGAATTGTATGTTCCTGGTAAGACCCCCTTTTTAAATCCCTCCTAAAAGAATAAAGACACCACAGTCTTATTCATAAGCAATAAAAGGAAAGTTTACTCATGATCAGGCAGAGCACAGTGTGATCCCTGAAGGCAGGCTTAAGGCTTAAAGTTACAAGCATATACAAACAGGTTTACCCCATATGTGTGTTGACCTAGTATCTGCAGTTAGCAGTCCGGGAAGTTCGCAGGACGAAAGGAATATGGAAAAGAGAAAGCAGTGCCAGCATGCCTTGTCCGTTTACAAGATCTGGAAAGGTGACACCCACCCACTAGTCACATTCAAGGAAGGCCTCTCCAGGCCAGGAGGAACAAGAAGTTTGACTGGCTGGACCAAACATTCCCTTGCACGTCCACTCTAGCAAAACAAGGAATGTTGTACTTGACTGCTCTCAGTGGATTGCATCCCACAGATTGGTTGGTGGGGCATGTTCCAGTAGGTGTGGCCAGAGCTAGCCACTTCCACAAAAGCACACATTAACACACACAGTGTGGAGCGACTGACTTTTCTCCCCTTTGTGGCCAAGCCATTATGAGGTGAGTTTTCTTGAGGGTGGTTGTCAGGCTTCGGGTAATCAGATCCCTCCCACAGTGGCAGCCAAGAAGCAGAGAAACGATAAAAGTTCTTACCAAGCAATGTATTCAATAATTCACAGAGAGCGACGAAGGAATGCAGTCTTCCGTAAATAATGGCGTTGCTCCAAGTAAAGTCCCTACCCCCCTACGACTCCCCTATTTGATGTCACTCCTCTGTCGGTTAATCTGAGCTTTCTGCCTCTGAGCTCTCTGTTCTACTACTCTCAATGCACGCCTGGTCCTGGGAGAGGAATGCTTTCCAAGGACACTGAGTCTGTCAGCTATCTCCCCCTGGTGCTGCTTCTTCCTGCTGTTCCTTTCCCAATATTTCCCAGCTTCTGCCCTCTGCAGCCTCTGAACTATGCCCTTCTGCAAGCCACTGTTCTAAATCTATACTGTCCTCCTGTTCTAGGGAAGGTTCGGGAGAGGGGTGGTCCCCACCCTTCCTCCTCAGTCCAGCCCCTGACAGCAGTCCTGTCTGGTTGGTAGACCTGCAGTGAATGGGCCTGCTAAATGGGGGGGGGATGTCGTTCCCAGAGTGGCTGGTTTTTAGCACCTCCCCAGACAGTAGAGAATTATGTGTTGTTGTGCATAGTTTGCAGCTCACAGCCTGCTGTGTGGAGGAGGCCCCCAAGCCCACCCTGAGAAGAAATGATGCACCCTGGGAACAAGTATTCGTGACTATAGCCGTGCAGAATGGTACCACAACACCCACCAGAGAGTCACCAACAACTACCCTTCAGCCTTCCGTCACCCACTGAGTGTATGGGAGATGGCCGTGAGTAATGGGTGCAGGTAGGCAGAAATAATGAAATCATAGGACTGTTGGAAGGGACCCAAAGGGTTCCTCGGTGTATCTCTATGCACACAAGAGAAGGAATGAGAGCGAGTGGTTGTTACTGTACACTTGATGCCGTGGGCGGGCTGATTGGACCATGTGGTGCCATTTTACAGCAGCTCCGAGTACAACTCTTGCCATATGGAACGGGAGTTCCCAGCTCACAAGTCCTGCTTCTTTCCCTCCTACGGCCAGATGTCCTAAGCTAGCAGGAGGGCGCTCCATCTTTTGCCTCGTCTAATTTGAGGGAAGACGCGTCATCGGTAGCAGGCACCGTTCCCAGCGTTGGCTCAGCGATGGCTCAGATCCTCTTGTCTGTTTTCTGTTGAAAAGCGCAGAGTGAAAACAAGGGTGTTTAATTGAGACCCACAAGTAATGCTGTCATAGATCTATGGTGCTAAATGCTTAGGTTAGTAAACATTAGGATTTAATCAGAACTTGTATGTTATGAGGCGGTCTCAAATGTATATTAACGTTAACGGGGTTTGAGGTGTTTAAGTAGCGGTTTATGTGTAAAGGTTGCGTATCAGACCTTGAGAATGTAATCAAGATCCATGTGTATTGGAATATGTGTGTGGACCTACTTCTGAGCATCACCTATTATTAATTAACTAATTAATTAATTAATATCTGGTCTGCAGATCTGATTAGGCTCACCAGGTCTCCCTATTTGGTCTGCAAAGTTGTTTTGACCAAGCCATGCCCACCAACTGTACGCCTGGTGCTAAATATGACGTCAGATGCGATGATGACCAGCTGATTGCTGGGACTTGTAAAGCACTGTGTACGTGCAGTTGTCATTTGATTTCAAACTATGCAGGCAAAAACAGGTCACCTGACATCAGATGACTGACAGGTGGGTAGCCCTGCCTACTTGTCCAACCTGGCCTGGGGGAGGTGGGAGGTCCGCTTCTCTATCCCTGGCTTAGTGTTATGAATGAATCTTGTGCGGTGTTTTAACTATGGTTTGTTTACTGCCACCAAGCCCACAATCTGAATCCATGGTCTGCCGTTAGCTTGCAAAGCTTGGTTTGCTTTACCTACGGGACCGCCTCTCCTGGTATGCCCCGCGGAGGACCTTAAGGTCCACAAATGACAACATTTTGGAGGTCCCAAGTTGCAAGGTGGTTAGATTGGTCTCAACTAGGGCCAGGGCCTTTTCAGTACTGGCCCCAACTTGGTGGAACGCTCTGTCACAAGAGACTAGGGCCCTGCCGGACTTGACATCTTTCCGCAGGGCCTGCAAGACAGAGCTGTCCACCTGGCCTTTGGTTTGGACTCAGTCTGACCCTTATGTTTCCCTCCCCTTATGGTTTTGATCTATGGGGTATTATTAAAATGAGGCTGCATTTTAAATTGTTTCCCTCCCTTATTATGTTTTTATTGTAATTTTACTGGTGTTAGCCACCCTGAACCCAGCTCCAGCCGGGGAGGGCAGGGTATAAATAATAATAATAATAATTATTATTATTATTATTATTATTATTAACTGTACTTTGTGCAACCAACACACTCCCCCGCCTCAACCTGCTGGATTTTGAAACAACTTTGAAATGGCAATTGCTTGACCTGATATCATATAATCTACCTGCAAACAAATCAGAATGAATGCTCAAAAGTCTCTTGGAAGCAACAGGTGTTGGGTTGGGTGTTGAGGAAACATTCATGGGTGATAGAGTTAGCTGCCATGTTTTAGGTTCCCTCTCCTTAGTGTAGAGATCAAACTATACATCTGTGCATTGGTGGTTTTTTAAAAAAAAGTTTTTAATTTGATATTAAAAAATTTAAACATGCAACAAACAACAATTCGCAATCTAAAGAATGAGATTACTCTGAATCTCCTGACCTCCCCTCATCCCTTCCATGGCTCCTAATGAAAGTATTTACAACTGCATATCAATATTTATCCAAGTATTTTTCCTTCTGAATTATCCATAGTATCCGTTACTTTACAAGTGTGGTTAAAATCCTGCCAATGTTTTAATCTGCTTGCAGTGGTCTCTTATGTAAATTATAAACTTTCCCCATTCTTTTTAAAAGTGCTTGTCTTCTTGATTTCTGAGCTTCCCAGTTAGTTTTGCCATTTCGGCATAGTCCGCCATCTTGATCTGCCATTCTTCTCTGGTCGGGGTTGGCTCTTCCTTCCATCTCTGGGCCAGTAGTATCTGTGCGGCCATCTGTGCATTGTTTTAACTCTTCTGTCACAATTATATTCTTAGTCTGATGTTCTTAGTCTTAACGCTTTATCTGCAAAACCTTGGAACTGAAAAGCTTTGGCTCAGGCTGAGGGTGCTGCTGCCATTTCCCCCCTTTTTTCAAACAGAAGAAGCAATATTAAACAGGCTTAATAACAGGCATTTCCCACCCTGCCTATTGTTTATATGTATAAGCTACAGGGAACAGCCACCTAATTAAGATAATTGTACTTTGGCAAGGAGATTCTTGATTTATGCTGGATACTCACTCCCCATGCTCATTACTGAAAACCATGTGGGTGCTTTCCTAGTTGAACAAAGCGAGCAGGGAGAGCAAGCCAGCTACCCCTCCCCAGGCATTGGGATGAATCTACAGAAAATGCATCCGCAGTATGAAAATTTGATGGTATGAAACTTCAATCCATCCTTGGGCTCCTCTGAACAACCTATCCGTTGAGCATTCATCCTGATTTGCTTGCACAAAGCTTATGCAGTAGTTAGACCACAGGCCCCTCTATAAACATCCTCTCCCCCCCCCTTTTTGGTATACATTTTTATTTACCGTATTTTAATACAGACAGAACAAAGAAACATATTTACAAAGCTGCACTGTGGATCAATGTCAAATATAAAGTTTTTAACTTAAAAAGCAGGGAGAATGAAAAAAAGGCAATAGCGCAAGATACAGATTAGGAAACACAGGTATCTCCAATATCAAAGGATTACAATTCTGAGCTAATTTATTTAATCTGTTAGGTGGAACGGGAAAGAGACATCAAGAGGCCTGCGGTGTATGACATCTATTGAATCAACCAGGTGGAGGAGAATGTCCATGTGTCATTGGCAAGCGTAACAAAACTGTGCCACACTGAAGGAAATCTGTTTTTCTTGCTTTGACCTTTAACAATTCACAATTTATATGCTAATTTTTTTCTAAGAAGGCTATCTCCCAAACTTTCAAGTACCATGCTTGGAGGACAGCACCAGGAAGGTCTTTTCCCAGCAGACGTCCTTTTTATTGTGCATTGATGTTGGTTTGTGCTTATAATGGTATTTGGTATTTAGTCCCAGTTTTGTTGTGGCTCCATACGGCAATGGTGCAAATAATATGCTCTCCCAAGTCCACATTCCCAGCATGTTCACAATCCTGGCTTTGTCATGTCCACAAAATGGAAGATGGCAGGATTCCTAAGGATGTGCTCTATGGGGAGCTGGCTTCAGGCACCAGGCCCATTGGCAAACCAACTCTGTGTTACAAAGATGTCTGCAAATGCGTCACAAAGGCTGGCAACATCAACCTTTCTCTTTCCCCACAATACAACAGTAGCGATGGGTGAATCTCTCTATTTCAGTTTCTCATTTGTCCCATCTAAAGTTCAGTTCTCCAAATTTCCACATTGCAGTGATACCTTGGTTGTTGAATGTAATCTGTTCCGGAAGACCATTTGGCTTCCAAAACGTTTGACAACTGAGGAGCAAAGGGTGGTCTCCGAAGTCAACAGAGAAAATTGAAAAACACGCACCATTCAACTTCTGAGGCACGTTCAAAAACAGAAGCAATTACTTCCAGGTTTTCAGCATTCAAAAACCAAAACTTTTGGCTTCCAAGATGCTTGAAAACCGAGGTACCACTGTAGTTTGTGGTGGTTGTTTTTTAAAAAAGCCCTCAAGAAAATACATCAGCATTTTAGTGTGACTTTCTCCTACTACACAAATGTTGTTTGTGTGCAGTTTTCCCTAATACATACATTTTTTGCAAAGCAGTTCCTCCCTAATATAGTGCGTTATTGTTTCCATTAATATATGCACTTCAATGTATATATGCGTATGCATTTTTGTATACATTACTTGACTGGGGAACGGTGCAGCAAAATTCTGAGAAGTGCAAATGGCAAAATGGCTGTTTTGGGAAAATGTGAATTAGGCAGGTTCGCCTTTAAATGCAAACTGAATCCCATTTCCCCCCATCCTTGCTTGACAACAAAACTAGGGCTTCGGTTTGTTCTCGTTTGCAAAGCCCAGACTGCAAGGATCAGACTTCTTGTGCCATAGCAATGTCTGGAATCTGGCAGAGTGATCAGAGACCAAATTACCTAGAGGAAGGTTACATAAATGTGCCGCAGCTGAATATTTTCATTTTACTGCATCACCTCAGTTCCTAGGATGGGACTACCCTGCGGGGCTGGATGCGGATCCTGGAAAAGTACAGACAGAGTGACGAGGAAGTTATCAGTATTCTTGCCCCCTCCCTTCTAAGGGTGCTGGCTGGGTCATAAAGCAACTGTCACATTGCATTAGCCTGCGAACTGCTTCTCTCCACACATGCCAGCGAAGGCAACTGCAGCACCGTTTGTGAGCAGTGAGAGATCAGTGCCTTTTGTTCATCAGACAACACTCCCTCCCCACGAGACCCGCACGCTTGCTTCTTTCGCATGCAGAACGAGGTTCTCGTGCCCAGCAACCACCCGGTCCCTTGTGGGTTTGTGATCTTGTGCAAAGAGATTCTGGAACACGTGCAGCACCCTAAATCCAGGCTGTTTCTGCGCCTACATTTCAGGAAGGTCTCCCTGCTGCTTGCATAGTGAGAGGCAGTGTTGCGTAATGGTCAGAGAATCAGACTAACGTTGGGGAGAACTGGGTTCAAATAGTCACTCAGGCAGGGGTGCCAACTTGAATAAAATACAGGGTGGGAGCAGGCAAGTCTCGACCTGCATAATCGATCACAAGATGTGGCCGCAAACACCATTTGAATGGCAATACCCATCAGCTTGGGGGAGGGGCTCAAATATTTTATTGGGGAGGGGACGAAGGGACCTTGGCCCCGCAGGAGTTGGCTCCTATGCACTCAGGGCACTTCCAGACTGTCGACGTTTTCAGCTGGGATTCTATCACCTTCCAGCAAATTACAACTGATGGGATGGTTGTGCACAACAAACCCACTTTCCTGAAAGTTTTTTGCAACAAGGAAAGTGGCAGGAAAATATACCTGGGAAAATACGAGATAACACCTGCTTGGATGCAGCCTCATCTAACCTCCCCACAAACAAATCAGAATGAATGGTCATTAAATAGCCAGTCTCATCTGATCTCCCTGCAAACAGCCAGGATGCTCAATAAACAGGCCAGCTGATGTCCCAGGAGAAAAATGGATCTTCCATTGCATTATGTGTGTGACAAGAAGCATTCCTACCAAATCACATTACTGGTCTGCCCAGAGTACATACTGGGAGAGATGGAGCATGCAGCCCTGAAGGCAATGGTGACTTTTGGGCTTTGTATTCATTCCCCTCCTCCAATACTCATTGGTTGAGAGGTCCACTAATAGCCTCTTACTGACAACCCCAGAAGATCCTGTGTCAAGACCTAGGCAATAAGTCCCGCTTCCTTCCTTCCTTCCTTCCTTCCTTCCTTCCTTCCTTGTGTTTTATTCTCAACAAAGGAGAGAAGCTCCATGGAAATGAATTAATTGTAGAGTCTGTCTGGAAAAGGACCATCTCTGATGGAGTCTTCATAATCATCAGCAGCATTAGCAATAAGACAAAAGCTGTAAACAAGCTGGCTGCAAAGGAGCTCAGCAAATTGGTCTCAATTACTTGCCTATCTTGGGGAGAGAAAAATTAAAGTGGCCTTTTAAGTGCAGAGAGACGTGTTGAATGGAAATCCATTGTTATAAATTAGAACAGCAGCACATGGTCACAGAGAGAAAGCAAAGAGGTAATATGCTTTGTGTGTCCCTTGCATTGCTTAATAGAGCCTGTAGCAAATTGCATTCCATTCTACAGGTAAATGGTGTTTCTTTTTCTCCCCTTCCTATTTTTGCTCACAAGCACTGGAGCCAATTTGAGACTGTTGCTACTTTGTGGGTGAGATTCAGTAACGTAGTGACAAATTTAGGTTCCTCAGTTGAAGTGGCTTCGGCGCTCTTGCATATCAAACCCCCTCCCCAAGGACATTTTGCAATAAGTAAGGGGGTGAAAAAAGACACTAAAAGGTGAGGTATAACCATCCCTTGATGCAATGTCGTATAACCTTTGCTGATTGTTGTGGCGATCACACAGGGTCCCCGGACGTTTCACCATCTCTTGATCCCTGTGCCACCATTTTATTTCTCGCTGCCACCACCCAGGCCCTACCTGATACAATACTGAGTCCAGTCAGGGTTAAATTGGAACATAAACTTCTGTTTATTTATTGCAGTTTAACAAGCGTGTGGTTTCATAAATAGTATCGGTCAATTACAATCATGGGGTGCCTATCCAGACCTATAACTTTTGCTACCTGCTCTCACTCACTAAACCACCTCTCAGATATTTACTTGTCTTCCTAGCCCCTAACTGTTCCTGACTCAGCTTATTTCACTACACTAACTCAACCTACCCACAGACTCTATCCCCATTCACTCCCACTCCAACCAACCACCCAACTCCCAACAAACTTCTTCCTTCGCCCCTCCCAGAGCTGGTTTTATAGCCCCTCTGACTCCACCCCCCGGGTCCTGATTGGGTAACCTGTTTAACTATTTCACCTCCAGCACTCTCATATATTAACGTCACAATTGTTAGCTTCAAAAATGATGCAATTAGTGATCTTAGTACTACCAGTGGCAGCACCAGAAAAAAAATGGGAGTGGGGCATAGAACTGGCAAAGTTGGAAGGAACCACAAGGATCATCTAGCCCTCTGCAATGCAGGAATCTTTCGCCCAAAGCGGGACTCGAACCCACAGCCCTGACATTAAGAGTCTCATGCTCTATCAACTAAGCTATGATATCCTTCCTCCTACCTCTCTTGTGTCATATTAGGTTTTGCAGCTGAGCTCTGGGAATGGCTGCTTTCACTTCGGGGTAGAGTTTCTAATCAGCAAAGAGCAGTACGAATTTCCCAGGGTCGCCATCCCACTGGTCCAGTGACTGAACCAGCCTGAGGCTCATTGTCTTACAGCCGGCTCTCTTGGGTTCCAGTTTTCCTGCATTTAGAGCTGTGTAAGTGTCCCTTTTAAGGACCTGCTATCTAGTACAAGCTGGGAGCTGGAGTGTACCTGCTCCTTTCATGAACACATCGGTGCATGAAAGAGGATGCCTCCAGCCAGCTGTTGAGTTGGATTAAGTTATTCATCCCTAAGACGTCAGGCTGTTTAGCAATTAATAATGAAAAGGCATTGCGTGCATTAGAATAACTGCTATGGTTCTGCAAGGGGGGAAAAAAGATGCAAGAAGTATTATCTTAGCAAATGCCCTACAGCTTTGTGGAAGAGCAGGAAGAGAGAATCTTCCTGGAGCTCTCAAATCAATACCCACAGTAACAATGGCAGGTTGTGTTCTTTGAATGTTCAGAGTTGCTCACTTCTGAATTCTGCGGTTTAATACAGAGGAGATATTCTGAGCACCCATCTGGCCCAATTTCGTTGAATGTGTTTCAGTTATTGGGGCTTGTGGAGAAGGTATTTGGTCAAGGCCAGCTCTCTGTCTTTGCCTATTACGGCAACTAGCAGTGAAAGGGCAGTTGGCTGGTCCCAGGAAGCTGTAAATGTCTCCATAAAGAAGCAGTTCTTAGAGACCTGTACTCAAAAGATGTTGACAACTACAGCCTGGTGGCTAAAGGCTTCTCTAGATGTCCTCCATATTGTGCTTTCATGATGATTGGTTCTCATGATGCTATAGGGACATTCACACGTGATGACGCTTTCAATACTTGTTGCACCTGCAGAGGTTTTGGGCTGGTCCTATTGCTTCATTTCCAAACAGTGCATGTTCTATAAGTGGGCATGGTGGGCATAGGTGCCAACTCAATGAGGCCCTGGCTCCTTTGCTCCTCCAAAAAATATTTAGGTCCTAGAGCCAGTGTGCCAAGGGGACCTTGCCTGTGGAGCAAGGCTGAGAGCTTAAAAGCTCTCTTTGCGCTGGGTAACTCCAAGTGGATGAATGCTTGGCCTTGCTCCAGCAAGGCCTGCTCAGTGTGCCAGTTCTGGCCTCCCTCTCATCATCCGCCTTATTGAAGGCAGGCTGGCTAGCTGCGAGGTGGCTCCAAGAGCAACGTGATTCTGACCAGACGCGAATTTTGTGTGTCCGTGTTACCCGTGGAACCGAACCCCCATGTAAGATGCTGGTGTGCTGTTCAACGTGCCTGTATTAGGTACCTCAGGCCAAAGCATCGTTTCCATGATGATTTATATACGTGTGGGTGTAAAAGACTATTTCTTTCTCTTGCAGGGTTACCTCTCGGAAGGGCTGGTGACAAAATGGTATCGATCTCCTCGCCTGCTGCTTTCACCAAACAACTACACCAAAGCAATTGACATGTGGGCAGCTGGTTGCATTCTAGCAGAGATGCTGACAGGAAAGATGCTTTTTGCTGGTAGGTCTTCAGTTCTTGCTGGTAGGTCTCAAATTTTCTTTCTTTCTTTCTTTCTTTCTTTCTTTGGTGGAAAGAAGCTTGTTTAAATGCAATAGCTCAGCCGTGGATGTCCATTTAGGCTGAGCGTAAAATGCTGAGCATTTCAGTTGGCTTTCAGATTACCAGGTATTTTGCAGGTATGATTCAGTTGTACACAGTCGTACCTTGGTTGTCAAATGGAATCAATTCCGGAAGTCTGTTTGACTTCCAAAACATTCGCAAACCAAGGCGCGGCTTCCGATTGGCCCCAGAAACAATGCCGACAGCCGAAACAGATGTTTGGCTTCCAAAAAACGTTCGCAAACCAGAACACTTACTTCTGGGTTTGTGGCATTCGGGAGCCAAAACATCCGAGTACCAAGGCGTTCGACAACCAAGGTACGACTGTACTGGTGAATTTAGGTTGCGCAGTTGAATCCGGCAGTCTTGTGCAACAAACCACTTAAGAAACCAAAACACCCTGGGGTTTTTTGCAGATTAGGAACGTGATGGGAAAATATACTGGAAAGTGTGGGATAATGGTAAAGAGAATTGAAAGTGGGATTGCGAATAACTGCCTGGATAGCATCACAAGCACAAATCATCAGAAATGCACAATAGGAAGGATGCCTAGAGGGGTCCAAAATGCTTATAAAAAAAATAACCTGGCGAGAACAATAAGTTTCCCCGCCTGTTGAAAAGCTGTTGTCCGAGTCCATCGCCAGCAGCTGGAAACGGGGCCATCCATATTTGTTCAGGAATCGAGTGCACCCCCTGATGCTACTTAACAAATAAACATCCCTCCTTTTCGGTTTGACCCAACAGCCTTTCTTTCATCTCTGCTTTCATGGTGGTTATTATTATCCTATCCTTGCCCATTATTTGTTTTGCAAGACTGCAGGATTTTGACACTCTGGGTAAGCTGGCTGCATGCAGCTTTCTCTAAATAAATAACAAGGTTCATTAATAATGGATTCGAACGCTTGGCCTTCCAAAATATTTCTGCTCTGAAGACCTGGTAGCGTTGGCTGTGCATAGACTAAGGCCTTGTCCACACTCCTGTTTGCCCTGCACCTCGGGGTTTTCCACTGGCCCTGTGCTTTCTAAGCATGGGTCTGAGAGGTTTTGCCTTTCCCTCACCGCTCCCCCCCAACCCCCCCCCCCACTTTTACAGAGATAGTTCCATATCTTCCAAGTTCCCTGTTTTAAGAGGGATGTCCCCACTTTCTTTGAAGACTCCCTTTGTCCTGGGGCACTCAAGTTTTGAGTGACAGGTGGTATCTATTACATGTTCTAGGATTTTCTATTTATTTATTTAATCAGTTTTTCAATACAAACAACAACCAAAAAAACCATATACAACAAAAACCACAATAACACTAATAACACAATTTAACAATTCAGATTTGACTACTGATATACCTATAACTACACCTTTTTAACAATATTTCCCCACCTCTCCTCCCCCTACTTCCCACCACTGTCCGCCTTATCACTTAAGTATTCCTTCCAGATTTCTTCATATTTATCCATTCTTAATTTGCGTCGATATGCAATTCGTTTGTAGGTAACTAGTCTGTCCATATTGCCAATCCATGTGCTCAATGGGATCTTTTTGTCCTGGGGCGCCCAGGTTTTGCGTGATAGGTGGGCTTTATTACATGTTCTGGGATGTGTCTTTTGAGTACAGGTTAGGTAATTATGACTTGACAGTGTGGGAATGTTCAGGGAGGCAGGAGAGGATATATTGTTTATAATATCCTTCCTAACTTTCGTTAGCAAGTTCCTTTACTTAGCAGAGTTTACATTCCCCTTTTACATGCACAGCAGATAGCTGGCTGCAGGCTTGTGTAAGCCTCTCACTATTATACAATTCAATCTGTCTGAGACTGAATTGTACGTTCCTGGTAAGCTTGCATGAATCCCTCTTGAAAGAATAAAGACGCCACAATCTTATTTAAAGCCAATAAAAGAAGTTTGCTTACATCCGGAAGAGCACAGTGTGATCCCTGAAGGCAGACTTAGTTACAAATAAGTACATGTGGATCTACCCCATATGGCTAGCAGAGCATTCCTAGCTAAGAAGCTGATCCAACGAGGAAGGAAGTGAAAAAGAGAGAGGTGTGCTGCGTGACTCGTCCTTTTGTTACCTGGACAGGTTAGGTCACGCCCACCTTCTATCACATGCAAAGGAAGGATGCTCCAGCCAGGAGGAACAGGAAGTTTCGACTGGCTGGACCAAACATTCCCTTGCATGTATTCTCTAGGAAAACAAGGAATGTTGTGTTTGGACTGCTCTCAGTGGATTACATCCCACAGAGAGAAGAAATAACGTCCTTTTTAATTTCAGTCTTCTTTCATGTAATCTCACCTGACACATTGATCTCATTTTCAAAAGGCACCACTGAGTGGTGTAAACCACTCATGAGAGACAACAAAACCAATAGCTGAGTGCTGAATCCAACGTTAGTAATATTCAGAGCAGACTCATTGAAATGAATGGACATGACTAGCTTATTTCCATTAATTTCAGTGGATCTACTCTGGGTAAAACTATGTTGTATACAACATAGGAAAAGAGGAAAAGAAAACAGAGAGATAAATAAAAAAATAACGTTTGTAAAAAAAACACAACAAAAAAACCTAGAAGCTTTTCTCTTGGGAATTATAGGGATGAACTACCTAAATTGTATAGAAATTTACTTGTGTATTTCACTTGCTCCAAAATGGAAAGAAGTCCCAGCAAAGGAAGAATGGATACAAAACCTTATGGAATATGCAGAAAAAGCAAAACTTACCAGAAGAATAAGAAATCGAGATAACAAACTTTTTATAAAAGAATGGAAATGGTTTATTGAATATTTACAGATAAATTGTAAACAGATAAAAATACTGGCAGGATTATTGTAATAACCTGCAGCTACATAAATGTTTGTAAAATCAATGAAATGTATATATCTGAAAAGTATAACTATTTTTTTAAAAAAAACAACAACCATAAATAAAAATTCCTGCAGCGTGATTAACAATAGGCTTCCTGAATAAGGAGACTTTTTATCTGATGGTGGAAGCTAAAATGAGCAGGTGCTGAGTAGAATCCTAGAACTGTAGAATGAAAGGGAGCCTCAGCGATCATCTAGTCCAGCCCCCTGCAATGCAGGAATTGTAGCTAAACAGCTGAGGTCCATGAGTGGTCTGGGCAGCCCAGAATGCCCTGCCCAGGCTCCTGGCCTGAAGGTTGATTGTATGGTCACATAGTTCTCCAGGCAAATATTCCCTGTACCTAGAAAAGTAGCTTGCCATGCTAGTCTAGACTCTGTCTCTGACACCTAATTTTGTATGTGCAGGGATTTTGTGGAGGAGCATTCAATCTTGTGAGCCACCACTTTTGACGTGCCTTAAGTGGTGCAGTCCAAACGCACTGCTGGGAACAGCGAGTGCAAAACTCGGGTGATGTTGATGGCTTCTGGAGTGGTAGATCAGAGTTGCCACTGGTCTGCCGCTTCATAATTTGGCTAAAACTGTTGCAGAGAGAGTTGTTTTGAGCTAAGGGATAAAAGAAGAAGAAGAAGGTACTGCTAAATCTATTCTGAGTGGGATTTGGTTTGTTTGGGGCCCGGGGAGAGGGAGACAGCATGTCCACACATTCTTCAGCACCCCTCCTTGCAACCCCCAGCTAGGACATGTACAATTAGAGCTGTTGTTTTAAAATAAATAGTCAAGTGCTTTCCAGTCGTGCTGAGGATGTGCTTCTCCACCCAATTAAGCTATGGGAAGCAGGGGAAGAAATGGAAAATGAGTCAACTGATTCTGTGATCACAACATCGGTTCCCTCCTGTGAAAGAGCGAGGGGGGGTTGGGGAATGCAGGACATAGCAAGGCGATGCGTTGACCTGTGTATCAAAATACTGACCTGACCAGACTCCAGAATGTTAGTGCAAATCTGCAGAATATTCTTATGCAAGAACTGATTTGCTCCCAGCAGTTTCTTCAGACGATAAATAATGGTGAACACGCACAAGTGTGGCCGCGCCATAAATGTGTCCAAAGTTCTCCAGACTTACTAGTGTCTGAAGATATATGTAAATAGTAGACACGTTTCTCTTCTAAAGGGCACACCAAAATTAGGTACATGCTATGAGCATTCCCACCAGGGATGCGGGTGGCGCTGTGGTCTGAACCACTGAGCCTAGGGCTTGCCAATCGAAAGGTCAGCGGTTTGAATCCTCGCGATGGGTTGAGCTTCCGTTGCTCAGTCCCAGCTCCTGCCAACCTAGCAGTTTGAAAGCACGTCAAAGTGCAAGTAGATAAATAGGTACCGCTCCGGCGGGAAGATAAACGGTGTTTCTGTGCGCTGCTCTGGTTCACCAGAAGTGGCTTAGTCATGCTGGCCACATGACCCGGAAAAACTGTCTGCGCACAAATGTCAGCTCCCTCGGCCAGTAAAGCGAGATGAGCACTGCAACCCCAGAGTCGTCCACGACTGGACTTAACTGTCAGGGGTCCTTTACCTTTTATGAGTATTCCCACCTTTATAGCACCTTGCCTTCTGTGGCTGGTGTGGGCATATGCGTACCTTTCAAATGAACAGTACAAGGGGGTTTCTAGATGACCTGTTTAGAAGCCACTCATTCTGACTCATTTGCACCAAGTTTGCAAAAGATTATACAACATCACGTCAAGCAATTATTACCCTAATCTTCCTAGTGTATTTCCCAGTCACTTTCTTTAGAGCAGAAAGTCTGATTGTTTTTGGAAGCAAGTTTCTTGCATGTCAAATCCATTTTGGTTGGGCAACCCAAATTTGCTGGCGTGCAGCTGAAATTCCACTGGCAAATTAGCCTTGATGTGACCCAAGAGGCTATTGTCATGGTGTTCAGTGGCAGAGTGTGTACTTTGCATGCAGACAACCACAGATTTAACCCCCAATATCTCCAGTAAAGGTTCTCTAGGAGGAAAGTTAGGACAGTATCTATAATGGCTTTCAAACACATGCATAGGTACCATAATTTTCACACATGACTTTACCACGTGTACCGCTCCCTCACCTGATATATTGGAGTCAGACCTATTGGGTGATCATGCTCAGCATTTTCTACACCTATGGGTAGTGGCTCTCTGGGATTTCAGGCAAGGGGCTCTCCCAGCCCTATGTGGAGATTTCAGGAACCTGGGACCTCCTACCTTGAGATCTACTACCAATCTGTCTTGTCCATACTGCGCTAGATGGATCAGGTATTGTCCCCAGCAAAAGATGGCATCATTTATTCAGAAATTCAGTATATCAGCACATACATGGGTCCCTAACACTGTACTTACATTTACCAGGGATAGCTATTGCTCCTTATTCCATATCCATAATTGCTGCTGTGTATATAAAGGGTCTTAATAAAGCTGGTCCATTTTAGCCTGTCCTCATGAAATCATAGAGCTTGAAGAGACTAGGAGACTATCAAACCCAACCCCTTCTTCATGCTCCATTCCCCTCATCTTCAATTAACTCACATAATCCACTTTTTTAAGAGGGCGACCTCATTCGCTAGCATGCGAGAGCGGTGAGCCACTTTCAAGAGATGAGACCCCAACCTAATTCCTGCATGGCTGTTGGAAGTAGGCAATTTCAGCTGCTAAAATAATCATGAACGCAGATCTGGAGTTTGTTAATTATTTAGGCAACGTTAATGAGACTCCAACAATAAAAAAACCCAACCCTCTGTTGTGGTAGTTATGCTCTCAGTCTGACCTGGACATCTCTGGCTAATGGTCCTCAGAAATAAATGCACAAAACGATCTAATGAAATGCACCCTGTGTTAACTTATTTTGTTTTTGCTGTAAACCTCCTTGCTTTACTTTTTGTCCTTCAGCTATTACTCTTATTAAGTTGCACTGATAGCCAGTTCTGAACATTTGGTGGTCGTGGTGGGGGAGAGAACATGCATAGATGGTCCTCTTCGCAGCAGGTGATTGTGGACTTCACAGTGTCCACACGATGTCACCTTCATCAAAATGCCATTCTATGTGATTTCCCCATCTAATCTGGATTTATCATTTCTTCAGTAAATCAATCAAACAAACAAACAAGCCTGGGCAACATTAAATCCAGATAAAAGGAGTGGGAATGGAATGGCATTTTTATGAGGATGATGTTGTGTGGATGATGTGGAAAACTTGCAGGCATAAGCAGCACCAAATCCACAAAAAAGTTGCTTTGTGGAAGCACCCAAAGGACCCTCCCCCCCCATTAGTTATCTCCCTTGTTACGGAAATTACCGGGGGGGGGGCACATCTTTAAAGTTAAATATTACAAATATTACAAATATTATGCCTGAATGTATCCTTTCGACTTGACAGCTCAGGGAAATTACCTAGCTTTAAAAATAATATAAAATCATCTCCTTTCCCAGTTTCCTCCATTCCAAAGCTATTTTCCCGTTTAAAAAGGGCTCCAGGAAGTTCCCAGAGGTGACAATTGCTGGGCTCATTTTTAGCCAAAGGAAGCCAAATCTCATCGCCTGACTCGCCTCAGGCTCCAGACATGCAAAGGAACTTCCATTGTACTTTTGGGTGGTGGGTACTTAAGACATATTTGTCTATGCTAATATTATACCTGAGTCTTGCCCTGCCATGTCTGCTTATGCTAATCTTGTACCAAGGACTTGTCTGGACATGTTTGCCAAGGTTAACCCCTCCCTTTTTGTCACATGTCAGTGATGTAGCAATGATGCTGTACGAACTGTATTCTGGAATATGGTGGGAAAGTTTTAAAAGTCTTTGTCACCCCATCCTCGGGGTTCAAATTTGCTCTTTGAACCTATTGCGCAATAAACTTTGGTCTACAGCTATTTGCTCCAGTTGGCTGGACTCCTTCCTTTATTCCGCAGGGACCCACGGGCTCTGCCCGATGAGCTGGGTGACTGAGCAGCCTCGCACCTAGATTTTTTCCATAACACCCTTAACAAAGCCTCTCTTCTGAACCACCAGTGGTGACTGGTGCCCATTGCATCTTGTAGGGCAGATGGAAGGGAAACCAACAATAGGCAGAGCCACAACTGTCCTGCTAAGAGGTGCAAGGCACAGAAAGAAGTTATTCATTGAATTGTTATGGAAGTTGCACAGCCAATTGGTGGACTGTGCTTAGATCTCTTGGCTGTTTATTGTGGCACAAAAAACTGTTGTCTTCTCCCACCTAGTGGCAAAAAAGAACCATGAGCTTATAGTCCTTGTCTCTGAGAGTTCTTATAGAGCATTCATCCACATTTATTTCCATTAAGTTTGTGGGGACGTTATATGATGCCTGCTGTTTACTGAGCCTTCATCCGATTTGTGCGTAGGTTTTAAGACACAGCATCAAGAGATTGTTATGTCACACATTATAGTATATTTTTCTGCCGCTTTCCTTACCTCAAAAGAACAAAAGGAGCAACAACAATTTTGGGAGGCGTGAGTTTTTTGTGAAAGAGCACCAAACCCACTTTAATCATGCAACTGAACTCTGCTGGTATAGACCTGAATCTTGAGGGCATAGCTACACTCCAAGTTTTGTATTATTTTTTAAAAAATAATTTTTATTAACAGACCAATCAAATCAAATCAGATCACATAAATTCCGAATTACAGAGCCTAATTTTAAATTTTTGTTGGGGGTACCCATATTTCAAGTTCCGAAAGGGATCCAATCCTCTTGTTGCTGCTGCTTTAAACGTCCACAAATCTGTCCAAATAATGTTCACATTTCTGTCCAATCCTTTCTTGCTGTTTTCCACATCTCTTCTAGTTGTTTTCATATATTTTTCCTTTCTCTTTGTCTTTGTGGCCTCTGATAGTCTCCATAAGCGGGTTGAAACAAATTTGTATTCCTGTGTGGATTTTTCCGTTCGTCCAAGGGTCATATTTCAGACAGCTACCGTATTTCATCGCTTCCATAAAGAAAAACATTCTTGCTGTCTACTCTTAACTTTTCACAGGTCTGTCCTCTCTTTCTCAGTCCTCGAGGAGGTTCTACCAGGAATCCAATATGAAAACAAAGCTTCCTCCTCCCGATCATGAATCTTTAGACAGAACCTGTCAAAATGGCAACTCCCTTTTTGTTGCTGCGCCATCAAAAGCCCTTGTTCTTTTTCTCGATCTCACAAGCCAAACTTCCACACAGTTTTTAATCATCCTGCTTAGGTTGGTTATGCGACGGTTCTTTTTGGGGAGGGGTTATTGATTAATCACATAGAAGAAAAGAAAAAAAGTCCCCCCCCATCCAGTCCCGCTCCGGCATACTGAACCTGGTGTATTTTCTTCATGTTGTATTCCATTAAATCATTTCACAGAGGTTACTTCAGTTAGCAGTCTTCACTCCCATTCTTCACTTGAAATATGTGCATTTGCTTCTTTTCCAATTATATATTTCGAGCTGATGCAAACCAGTGCGCGATCAGAGACAGCATCCGGGAGAGCCGGACCCACCCGAGGGCTTTGTGCCTAGTGCCCTCACCCCCTTCTTTCGAATCTGGGGGTGAATTATGGACACAGCAGGCAAGGCAGCGTTCCCCATTCCCTTGGGGCAACGAAGGGAGGCTGCATACTCCCATATCAGCCTCTTAATTACCTCGTGTGGGTCGGAGAGATGTTATTGTTGCCCATCTTCCAATGCGCCCCCTGGTGGCCCCCCACTCCAAGTTTTGTATTGAATTAATCTCCTTCTGACTCCTGCTTCCAAGGAAGCTGAATGCTGGAGAATTTCAAAACAGATTTTTTTAAAAAGCACATATTCACGCAACACATAGTTAAATTGAGGAACTCACTCTGAAAGGAGACAGCAATGGCCACCAACTTGGGTGGCTCTAAAAGAGGATAAGAAAGTCATGGGGGAGATGGCTATTGATGGCTACTAACCATGATGGCTAGACTTTGCCTCCACAGCTGGAAGCAGTAATGCTTCTGAATATCAGTTGCTGAAGACCATAGGAGGGGAAGGGGCCATGTGCTCGGGTCCAGCTTATGGGTTTCCCACTGGCATCTGGTTGGCCACCATGAGAACAGTATGTTGGACTAGATGGGCCGTTAGCGTCATCCAGCAGGTTCATCTTAAGCTCTTATAGTATACCTGAAGGAGCGTCTCCACCCCCATTGTTCTGCCCGGACGCTGAGGTCCAGCGCCGAGGGCCTTCTGGCGGTTCCCTCATTGCGAGAAGCAAAGCTACAGGGAACCAGGCAGAGGGCCTTCTCGGTAGTGGCGCCCGCCCTGTGGAACGCCCTCCCATCAGATGTCAAAGCAATAAATAACTACCTGACATTTAGAAGGCATCTTAAGGCAGCCCTGTTCAGGGAAGCTTTTAATCTGTGATATTTTACTGTATTTTTTGTTTCTATGGAAGCCGCCCAGAGTGGCTGGGGAAACCCAGCCAGATGGGCGGGGTACAAATAATAAATTATTATTATTATTATTACTGAAGGAGCATCTCCACCTCCACTGTTCAGCCCGGACACTGAGGTCCAGCTCCGAGGGCCTTCTGGTGGTTCCCTTACTGTGAGAAGTGAAGCTACAGGGAACCAGGCAGAGGGCCTTCTCAGGAACGCCCTCCCATCAGATGTCAAGGAAATAAGCAACTATCTGACTTTCAGAAGACATCTGAAGGCAGCCCTGTTTAGGGAAGTTTTTAATGTCTGATGTTTTATTGTATTTTTAATATTTTGTTGGATGTTGCCCAGAGCGGCTGGGAAATCCCAGCCAGATGGGCAGGGTATAAGTAATAAATTAATCATCATCATCTTCATCATCATCTTATGTGCTGGCCTGGTTGGTAAACGTGCTGGCTAAGCAGACACCTGCAGTCAGCTGGACTGAAACCTCTGCTCATCAGTTGGTTCCCTGTGGAAAATGAGCTCTAGTGAAGCAGATCCATCCACCCACCCACCCAGTTCGACTCTGAGAGGTGGGCAGGACTGCCCTCTTCTCAGTCACCAGACACCATCATGGAGTCAGATGATTGACAGGTGGGTGACTTTGTCCACCTATCAAAGTTGGCCCATGAGGAGGGGGCGCTAAAGATCTGACATGCCAGCTCCCCAAAATTCTGTACTTCTCCTGTAGTACTAATTCTGTTCAGCATTGCATCCTACCCAGCCCCATGTGTTTTGAAGTGATATGAATACGTCATGTTTGCTCTGTGGTGGCTCATTAGCACATGCCAAAGCTATCAAGTGGTGGAATGCACACGTGAGCAAGGCCATAGGCGCCAGAGATCACAATGTCACCCTTCTGAGCAACGTTCTTTTTGTTCGTTTAGGAAGCCACGAGCTGGAGCAGATGCAGCTCATTTTGGAGACCATCCCTGTTTTCCACGAAGAGGACAAGGAGGAACTGCTCAAAGTGATGCCGACATTCGTCAACAGCACCTGGGAAGTGAAGAAGCCGTTGCGGAAGCTCCTTCCTGAAGTGAACAGCAAAGGTAGAGACTCGGTTCCACATCTGCTCGGATCCAAGGGTGGGCTCCTTTGCTGGAAAGCATTTGGTTCCTAGTGGGGCTGTCCCAGAAAAAATGGGGCATTCTGTTTTCTCCTGTGAGAGAGCACGGCGGCCATTTTGGGCACTGTGCTCTTGCGTGATTTCAGGCTGAGCTCTTGCCCTGAAGAAAGCACATTTTCTTGTACAGCATCCCAAAATGTGTTTTTTTGGGTGTCGTACTGGGGGAAAAAAAGAGGGATGCGGGTGGCACTGTGGGTTAAACCACAGAGCCTAGGACTTGCCGATCAGAAGGTCGGCGGTTTGAATCCCCAAGACGGGGTGAGCTCCCATTGCTCTGTCCCTGCTCCTGCCAACCTAGCAGTTCGAAAGCACATCAAAGTGCAAATAGATAAATAGGTACCGCTCCAGCAGGAAGGTAAACGGCATTTCTGTGTCTCTGGTTTCGCCAGAAGTGGCTTAGTCATGCTGACCACATGACCTGGAAGCTGTACGCCGGCTCCCTCGGCCAATAAAGCGAGATGAGCGCCGCAACCCTAGAGTCGGCCACGACTGGACCTAATGGTCAGGGGTCCCTTTACCTTACTGGAAAAAAGTGCTTGGGGGGGTGCCCTCTCATGCGGGTCATGTGACTCGTGTGGGACTACAGCCCTGGAAGATGGCATCCTGTTTTTTTGTGGCAAAAGCCTTGGAGGATATGCTTTCTCGAAATTCCAAATGTGCCCACTGGCTCAAAAAAAGAAAGAGAAAAAAAGGCAACCCCTGGGTTAGAGACGTTAGGGCTTACTTCTGAGTCGACATGTATAGGATTTCTTTCTCTCATGCTTGTTAGACCTGACTTTCTTCGACTGTGACTCCTGTCCTTTCCAAAAATAAGTAACATCCCCAAGACTCACCGTCCTTCCAAAGCTTGCGCAACACTCCCATTAAATATAATTAAGAGCTTTACATCTGAATCAAGGACAATTACATTCAATAATTAAATAGAAATGGAGCTTAAAGGTGAAGTCTTTGTCTGATTTCAGAGTGACTGTTCTTATCATGCATATAAGTGTTCCCAGGTGACTCTGTCTTGGGGACTAAGAACTGCTGACCTGATTGTATTAACTTGCCCCTCACAGCCATCGATTTTCTGGAGAAGATTCTGACATTCAATCCCATGGACCGGCTGACCGCAGAGATGGGTTTGCAACACCCTTATATGAGTCCCTATTACTGTCCTGAAGATGAGCCCGTTTCTCAGCACCCGTTCCGGATTGAAGACGAGATTGACGACATTTTGCTGATGGAAGCGAACCAAAGCCAGATGTCCAACTGGGACAGGTACATTAATTCACATGTTATTCACGTGTTCTGCTGCTGAGCTGCTTCTTTTGCTCCTTTGAGACCAGTTTCCGAGAGTCTCAAGCTGCAATCCTGTACTGAGCTTCCTTGGAGAGTAGGGTTGCTGGAGAATTTTGATGGAAATGGTAGTAGAACCATTAGCTGGTGAAGTTTGGGATAGCAGTGGCAATTTGCCCTTGCAAGGATAGTAAGCCTGTTTGGATGACCGGTTCTTGGAAACCGATGGAAACTGAGGGGTTCCTGAGTGCTCTGGAGGATCTTCTAATGGAAAAAGTTGGTGGTTCTGCTGAAGATGGAGTTGGTAGAACCACTTCTGAGTGTCTTCTCTGTCTTTGTGGAACCCTGATAGCTTCTCAGTATTCTGGAGAGATTCAGGCTATGAAGCAAGCTGGACAAAGACTAGTACACAAATGATGCAAGTTTCACTCCAAAGCTAATACAGTGGTACCTCAGGTTAAGTACTTAATTCGTTCCGGAGGTCCGTACTTAACCCGAAACTGTTCTTAACCTGAAGCACCACTTTAGCTAATGGGGCCTCCTGCTGCTGCCACGCCGCCAGAGCACGATTTCTGTTCTCAACCTGAAGCAAAGTTCTTAACCTGAAGCATTATTTCTGGGTTAGCAGAGTCTGTAACCTGAAGCGTATGTAACCTGAGGTACCACTGTAGAACGCTGGTTAGTGTACATAATTGTCAGAATAGAAGGCCCATTTTGCAGCTTGCATTGTATTCTCTAGTAGCCAGCCAGTTGGAGTTATTTCAGATGGTCCAAAGGTTACTGACTCCCAATGAGGCACAAAGCAAAGCAGGGAGCTAGGGCCCGTCCCAATTTCTGGAAAATATATTCAGTGAAAGTAAATAAATAAATTCTAAATTTGCTTAAATGGGAGTATGCGCCTGACCCTTAGCTGTGCGTCTAACGTTGTCACTTCGAACACACAGGTACCAAGTCAGCTTATCCTCGGATTTGGAATGGCGACAAGAGAAGTGCCATGATTTGGAGGAGGTGCAACGAGATCCCAGAGCGGGGTCGGAATCCATTGCTGAGGAGGCTCAGGTAGACCCGCGCAAATATTCCCAGAGCAGCTCCGAGAGATTCCTGGAGCAGTCGCATTCCTCGATGGACCGAGCGTTTGAGGGAGATTACGGGCGGTCGTGTGATTACAAAGTGGGGTCGCCTTCCTATTTGGACAAGCTCTTGTGGAGGGACAACAAGCTCCATCATTATTCAGAGCCCAAGCTCATCTTAGACTTGTCCCACTGGAAAAGGGCATCCATTGCACCCACGGCGGAGATCGCCTTGGAGGAGGAACCATCCAACCTATTCCTAGAGATAGCGCAATGGGTTACAAGTACCCAGACAGGACTTGAATGCCCAAATCCTCTCCCAGAGATCCAGGAGAGGAGCTTACCATCTTCTCCTCACCATCTCCACAAAGAACCCAAGGAGGTCAGCAGCGAAAGCGACCCCCAGTTTGACTTGGACGTCTTCATTTCCAGGGCATTGAAACTTTGCACAAAGCCAGAAGATCTGCCTGACAACAAGCTCAAAGACATCAACGGTGCATGCCTAGCAGAACACCCTAGTGAGATTGTACAGACGGAGGTGTACCATAAAGAGAGGTGGTAAAATAATAATAATAATAATAATAATTAAACGTTGCTGCTGGTATTCGTGGCTGATTCCTTACAAATTCTTCCAGTCTTCATGCTAATTACCCAATGCTGAACAGTAACCAAGGTTTGATCGAACGTGCTCGGTACCCGATGTTACTGAAATGCCTTTTTTGTTAAGGGCAGGTAGAAAACCAGGTCCCCTTCTGATGCCTTGAACGGAAAAGGAATCCAGAGGTGTGAATGAAATTTTAGGGGTTTTACGCTGCCTTAACAATCTTGCCTTGTACCTCCAGGGGTGTGTTTTGGACATGAGTCCCCCATTGCGGAGGTGTTCTGGATGTTAAACTCTTAATCTTATAGAGAGAGGCTGAATTGGCATTATTTTGAGAGTCGTAGGACTTGAAGCCCCTGCTCGTTTGATAACCGGGCAGCCCGGTTTTTAGTGACCTCATGATTTACATTGGTATGACACTTTTCCTGAGAGCCCGGAGCATTTAAGGGAAGGGCTGTAGCTCAGTGGTAGGACACCTGCTAGGCATGCAGAGGGTCCCATCTCCGGCACCACCAGGTAGGGCTAGGAATGACCCCCTTTAGACAATACTGAGCTAGATTGACTTGGCAGCTTCCAAGTTTCCTCTGTTCCACAAGGTTCCTCTCGTTCTAGCTTGGCCAGGTAGGCCTATAGTACTCTCCTGATATTACAGCTAGACTTTGCTTCCTAGTTAATTGGTGACTGAGCTGAGAGTCGGAATGGGGATCTCTGGCTTGTAGTTCATGCTTGCAACCACCACACGAGCACACCCTCTTTGTCACACTTAACGAGTGGAAAGGTAGGGCTTCTCCTGAGACATATTTTACCATCATTCCTTGGAAACAAGACCGCCGTACAGCTAAATCAGTTTGAACATCTCAACCTTAAGAACTTTATTTGCTTACGCATTGCTCTTTGTCGGATCAGGGCAAAGGTGTCAAGATGCTTGTCAGGCCTCTAACCTCCCCTTGCCCTTCACATAGTACCCTTAAGTCCCCTGTTCTTCCCAGCTCTCTCGCTCTCTCTGTTTGCTTTTTGCTCTTTTTTTGCAGGGCGTGTGTGCCTCATTTGTGTGTGTGTGTGTGTTTATTTGTTTTGGGAGATATGTCTGTGTTCTGCCTGGGCTTTTTTGTGTATGTGCGCACAGGGGGTTGAGCCTTGCCAGTTTGGATTCTGGGTCTCTTATAGTGCCCACGACACTTTCTTAAATTTCCAAATGTGCCCCTGGACCTCAAAAAGTTGAGGAACCCCCACCTAGGCTATCAATTTCCAGACTATCAGTATGCATGTTTCAGAAGCAGGTATATCACCCCAAACAAGCAGGCTGTCCAGGCTGAATACAGTGGTACCTCTGGTTACGTACTTAATTCGTTCCGGAGGTCCGTTCTTAACCTGAAGCACCCCTTTAGCTAATGGGGCCTCCTGCTGCTGCTGCGCCGCCGCCACACGATTTCTGTTCTCACCCTGAAGCAAAGTTCTTAACCCGAGGTACTATTTCTGGGTTAGCAGAGTCTGTAACCTGAAGCGTATGTACCATGAAGCGTATGTAACCTGAGTTACCACTGTACAGCAGTAAGAGAAAAGGACTAGGTGTTTAGGAGGATATCTCAGCACACAGTGGCTTGCTGGCATTGAGGCCTTTATGGCATCCCTGAAGCACAGAACCGAGTTATCAGGCTTGCCCTAGTGTTTCTTAGGAGGCATGGCAACGGAGCCTGGCTGTTGGGAACCCCAGTTCAAGAACCCCTCCCCAAGCGCCTTACAAGCATAGTGAATTTATTATGCCGTTGCCTTAAAGCCCACCAGGAAGAGTTAATGCCAAAGTCAGATTTCAAAAGCGAAGCAAGGAAAAAGACTAGAAATTCTGAAAGTTGAATCTGAATTCTGAGGTGCCGTCAAATGTTGGAACTTCTGTGGAATTTAGTTTCGCATATACCGTTAAACCAGGTGCTCAAACTAAGTAGTGAAGCTGAGGGCTTAAATGTTAAGTGATGGTCTTTTGTGCACAGACTCTCCCGCAGACAAAAACAACAACCCCCAAACAAAAGACCCCACCCTGAAAAAGAATGCTAACAAATCTGGGTGGTATTCAGTTAAATAATTGCTCAAGCAGAATTTCTTGCACTTGTGCAATGGGACTCCCACACCCAAACTCTTCCCCTAAATATATTCTGGGTTTTGCCCTAACCCCCTGGAGCAGATATGGGGATGTGTAGGGTGAAGGCAGGGGGAAGATGATTACACAAATTTGTGTAAAGTTGTTGAGGCCAAGGGTTGTAGGCCTTAACATCTTGAAAATGACACTCACAAAAGTTTCCTGGGATTAGCCAAGACTGAACTCCAGCTCTTCTGCCACAGTTGTTTTTGCACTGAAGTGTCCTTGGAAGGAAAAGGAGTCAAATGAAAACTCAAAGAAGCTTTGTAAATAAATGAAAATTACACACCATGGATCTGCTGTAGGCTCTATTTTCATTCACATTTCTGAGCACCTTATTAATGAATCGGTTGAGTTTGATTTGTATATTGAAGAAATGTTATGAACTTCTATGTAATCTGCCTGATCAATTTTTTTTTAAAAAAAGGAAATACTGAAAATGTGTAATTAGCATGCGCTTTTCTAAAAAAAAAAAAAAGAATTACCTTCTTTGCACCATTTTGTTCACTGGATTATGTAAATTTCTTCTGGGAAATTCATCCTGCTTATTATTTAACACTTGGAAAGCTGGTATATGACTTCTGCTGAGATAGTTATTTTATTAGCGGCATTCAGAACGTGTGCAAGCTTTTGAGTTCCACGGAGATCTTTTAAAATGTGCATTGCATTTTCAGCTGACAGATCTCAATAAAAGGCATCTTCTATCTTGCTTGCTCTATGGTTCGACCCTCCCACTTACTGTTGGGCCAACGCTTCTACCAAGAGTTTGCATCCTAAAAAGCTAATTCTGCCATTTAGTAGCCAAGTTAGTAAACTATTGCCTGCATGTTGTGGGGGGAGGAGAGAGATGGAAGATCATTCTGTCTAGCAAGCAGAATGCTTGCGCTAATGATTGTTTGTATTAACATGATGCTGACGTTTCTGGCAACGATGGGCTTGGAATTTGGCTACAAGATTAACTCCAAGGTAGAGGTTGCAGCAGACCTCAGCATTTAGTTCGGCAAAACTCAGAACACTGGAATTCACAGATGTGCTGCATATTCAGAAAAGAAATACAATGTAGTGCAGTCTTTCGTGGAGGAAAGTGCTCCCCCTGCACACCCCTCCACTTCCCTGTACTTAGAAAACTAGCGTGTCAAGAAGGCTAAGCTGGAGACATCTCCCTGACCAGCTTGTTTTCTGCAAGCAGGGATTTTTTCTGTGGCAGTAAAAAAAAAATTAAGGTATATTCAGGTGAGTCTTTTTCTACAATGAACAAAATGAAAGAACCAGGAGCACAGGGGTTCCAAAGAACTGATATACCTCAAAAACAAAAAATTGGCATGTCCTCTAGCCCAATTTAATCTTTGATGTAACAGGCCCAGTTGTTTTCAGTGAGGTTATAACTATGTGGATCATAGGTACAGTATGAATTTTACGCTGCCCCACCAAACTCGTACAAATATTATTGATGTATTTATTAGTCTACTACCGGCTGCAATGAATTCAGAGTTTTTCCTGTGTGTGCCCTCGTAGTTTAATGGTAACAGGACCAGTTAGCTCCCCCCCATTGGGATGAGGGTGATCATGCAACTGTTTTCTTGTTGTGCCTGCTTTACCTCTTCGCCATTTCCTGCCCTCCTACTCACCTGGTGGTTCTGGTTTGTCAGAGCTGGTGCCAGGGTTTGGCATTGTGAAGCACCTGTCAAGGCCCCGCAGCTTTGCAGGGGACCCAAATGTTTGGTACTCTACAGCAGAGCATCTTATCTTGCCAGGAGTTTTTTTTAAATCTTCCTTTCAGGTTTTATGCAATCCTTTAACAGCCTTGGTCCAGTATACCCGAAGGAGCGTCTCCACCTCCATCGTTCTGCCTGGACACTGAGGTCCAGCACCGAGGGCCTTCTGGCGGTTCCCTCGCTACGAGAAGCCAAGTTACAGGGAAGCAGGCATAGGGCCTTCTCGGTAGTGGCACCCGTCCTGTGGAACGCCCTCCCATCAGATGTCAAAGAGAAAAATAATTACCAAACTTTTAGAAGACATCTGAAGGCAGTCCTGTTTAGGGAAGCTTTTAATGTTTAATAGATTATTGTATTTTAGTGTTTTGTTGGAAGCCGCCCAGAGTGGCTGGGGAAACCCAGCCAGATGGGCGGAGTATAAATAATAAATTATTATTATTATTATTATTATTATTATTATTAGGACAAATCAAAAGCTGATGAACATTTGAAGCATCATAACCATAAGGGAAAGCACTAGATATTTTATGTATTTATGTGTTTATTTATTCGGAGAAGTTACCCCGCTGTTCCATTGAAAGAAATGCTCATAACAAACGATAGCTTTAATACTGTATTGATTCTCTCCCTAGACGTATCTGCAGTATCCCACATAACTGTTTTATGCCAGCTTCACTGCTATGGCTTCCTCCAAAGAACACTAGGAATTTTAGATTGCTGAGAGTTTTGAGACTTCCTTGTTAGAGATTCCTATCTTTGCCCCCTGAGAATTGCCTTGCTCTGGGGGAATGACTACTAACCAAGTTTGTAGCATAGATCTGGCTTCGTTCGCTCACTGTACATTGAATCTGACACCACACCAGCAGCCAGCTTGAGAAAAATAAGCAATTCCACATGAGTTCATGTCTCGGATCTTATGCTGTTCACCTGCGTAGACAGTTTGTGTGGACCGAGTTTGTTTTCAGTAGCTTATAGCTGGCTACTGCTGTATCACTAGAACTTATGTTCCTGTATGAACGCACATTGGAAACTGAGAAACAGAGAATCCCCTATGGTCAACCCACATAACAATGCACCAGTTGAAAAAGTATCCATGGTGAGGTGCATGTTCTAGCTGAAAGTTAAACACTTGTAAGTCTCTACCACTGAAATCAGTGGGACTTAAAAGCACTTGACTGTGGCCAAACCATACCCATTGTGGTAGTCACAGGTGTAACCCTTATAAGACAGAAGTTTCAAAAGCAGTTTTTAAAACGCTTCCTTTTGTGTCAAAGAATGGTCCTGATTCACCCTGTTGAAGCTAAGTGGTTCTGGTCAGTTCCTAGTTTAGCAGGCTGTGTACCACACCTTGAGTTCCAGCGTAGAAAGGCAGGGTGACAAAAGAAAGCACTTTTTTCACATAGCACTCCCAGAAGTAATGATAGCCAGCAATACTGCAGCAGGGAGAGAATGTTCTTGTGCCTGGGTTCTGCTTGCAAGTTCTGGTTGGCCACTGTGAGAACAGAATGATGAACTAGTTGGGCCACCGGCCTGATCCACCAGGGTTTTCTTACTTTCTTAATCTCAGTGGGTGTTGGCATGAGCAACAAAATATTGTCACCAGCCCCATCCAGTGACCAGTATCTGGTATTTGCAGTTGCATCGAAAACCTTCTTCTAAGATTCAAGATCTGAGTAACTGATCTTACATTTTAAATGTTTAAAATGTTTGCACCTGGAAAACGGATGTTTGAATATTTGGTACTATTTTACTGTCAGATTTTAAATGTCTCTTTCTGTACCCTGGATGTACGATGGATGAAAGACAGTGCGCTCCCATCGCATGAGACTTGATGCTGCTATACACTACAACATGAATAGCTACAGCAACAAGCCACAAGTAATTATTCATATGCATTTCCGTTTAAACATAGTCTGACTGTCATCACACATCTTGAAATTTATCACCGTGGATATGAATGTTAATAAAATAATTCTGTTTCTTTGAAATGGCCATTGTGATGAGGAAGCCATTGAAAAATCAGGAAAAAACCCCACACCACTATGTTTCTTAGTACTTTATCATTTTCTCTGGATCTCTGCTGGTACACAATCAGTTCACACTGTTTCAAATTCCAGTATTATCAAACCACTTTTAAAAAGAACAGAGCGCTCTTAAACCTACCACATGATTGTTTTCAGCCAGCCGTGAGCCAAGACTTTCTCATGTATGTAACCAACAACAATAAAGGAAATTTAACAATGCTTTCCGTTTGGAGATGTATATCTTTGGTATGAAGCAAGGCTTTCAAATGGTTTCCCAGAGAAACCTGCACTTCTTTGTAAGCTTATTGGGATACCTCAGTTAGAAGATCAGAAATGGCAGGTAGGTATGCTTTTCTTAAAGACAACATTGCCTATAACTACTGATGTTCCCCAATAAAGTGCAGTGCATGGTCTGAAGACACATGATGCAGCAATCTTGCTGACGCTAAGAAGGTCAGGATTGGTTTAGTGCCTCAATGGGAGATAAGAACCCCAAAGATACTGTCTTGAGTTCCATAACAGAAGAAAGGTGGAACAAAAAATGTAACCAGTAAATAAAATAGGGTGGGGTGTTTTTTTTATTAGAATGCACTCTCGATTTATGTGGTCACAGTGAGACCCAAAAGGTTTATTCAAGGCCCAGAACTGAGTGTGCACACTTGAATATTCTCCAGATGGTCTGGAATGTCCAGAGGTTATGTGACATATACGTGTGGCAGTGCTGTAACTGGAGGGGGGGGCTAGTTGCCCCCCCCCAGGTGAAGCCTCCAGAGGGGTGCCATTGAGACTCCCAGCCTGTGTGTGTGTGTGTGTATGCAAATGTGCGTGGCAGGGGTGTCAAACTGGGTTTTTGACCTGGGTAAAATAAAACCTAGTTTTACTTCTGCTTGCAGCAGTTCTCACCCTGTGGCTCCCCAGATGTTGTTGGACTACAACTCCCATCATCCCTGAGCTCTGGTCTTGCTAGCTAGGGATGACGGGAGTTGTAGTCCAACAACATCTGGGGACCCACAGGGTGAGAACCACTGGCCGGTTCCTTGGCAGATAAACTGACATAGAAAAAAGTGGTACTAGTATCTGAAGGAAAAGCACAACTGTGGGTAAATATTTGTAGACTGGCACTCCAAATGAGAAACGTATTAAGGTTACATTTGGAGGGGGGATATTGTGCTCAAAATCCCTTAAGTGCTGCTCTTAGAAAGCATAGTTCCATCCATTTTCTGTATTCATTGTTTCTGACTAGAATCAGGAATACTGTATGTATGTATGTATGTATGTATGTATGTATGTATATTGCTCAATCAAGAGTTTAAGCTGCAATTCTAAACTCCTGGCTGGCAGTGGTGGGGCCTGAAGGAACGGCATAGCCAGCACCGCATCCATAGCCCCAGCGGTTGTGCAAGTTATGGTGGAAGGTGTGAGCAAAGGCAGGGGGAAAATGCTCCTTTGCTGTGGGCCCATTGCAAGGTGTTGCAAGCTGGGTGGGCTTCAAGGGGCAGCATAGAAAGGCACGTGGTTGGGGCCCCAGGTCCAGCTCAATGAGGAGTTCTGTGGAAGCTGGATTCAAACAAAGGCATCATTTACTCTTTACTATCCTATCTGCTTTAACTGGCACAATGGAATAAGACAAGTGTATTGGTGGTGAAACTGCATTTGGTTATAATTCTCAGCTCTGCCATGAACTCACTGGGTGTGAACACATGGTAAAATAAAAACAAAAAGAAATGGAGCCAGTTGAATTAAAATCACAGTGCCGGTGAAGTAGTATATTTCACTAAGACTAGCCACTGTTCAAAATGCAATATGCAAGCTTTTGAATAACACAGGGCCCTTCCTTGTGTTTAGTGTCCAGGAAAAGAACACATATTTACGTACAACACAACACAGAAATATTTGAAACTATTCCATTAAACAGAAGCTGATCAGTGCCCTCTTCTGGTTATCTGCTGTAGGCTACTATTCCAAACCATCATTTGGTTTGTGTGCACTCCCTGGTCATTTCTGAAGTCAGAGCCCAGATTTCAGGCATGACCTGTAATATTCACTACCATCAAATGAGATTCCATTCTGCGCTGAAGGCTATAAAGTGGAAGTCTTTAACCTGTGGTGTGTGTGTGTCTTGACGTGTTGTGCATTTCCTTCCATGTGCCCACATGCACAGTGAGAAGCTCAGCCTATGGATTTCACACTAACTCCTACATGGAAATGCTTCCCATCAGAATAAGCCCCAGGAGATGGGGCTGCTTGTGTAGCTTTCTGGCAGTTCTCCGCACACCTCCGCAATCTGCAATCCATGTTTCCCAAAGGGGTTATGGTTAAAAGCAGCTTGGTTTTGCAAGGGGAGTGGGGTTTGAAAACAGCAAGCAGGAACAACGCTACCATCGGAGTGAAGCGACTGCTTCACATCGCTGCTAAGAGAGCTTTTGTGAAACTGATGCCCTCTAGTTGCTACACCAGTGCCTGGAGATGGACAGTCAGGTCATGTAGCCATAGCAGAGACCAGAGGAGGAACGACTGCTGGGTGCAGAGAGAAGAAACGCCATGGTGTATCTACTGCAGCACAACTGGACACCATCATCTGCCCCAGATGCAATACAATATGTCCCTCCTGTATCTGCCTCTATACCCACAGCAGGTGCTGCAAGCTTTCAACAATTTGACATCATCCGCCAGAGGTGCACTCCTCCATTGTCTCCCAAAACAGCCCTGTCCCTCACAGAACTTAAATTTCACTGTGACGTGGGATTGATAGTTAAACCACTCTGGAAATTGTATCTGTGGAGGAAATAAGGGCCTCCTAGCAATTCTCAGCACCCTTAAAAAACTGTAGCAGCTCCCAATATTCTTTGGGGGAAGCCATGACTGTTCAAAGTGATATCATAGTGCTTTAAAAGTGGTCTCATAGTGCTTTAAATGGTGTGAATATGGCCACAGTCATGCATCTCTAGGTGCCCTCAGTCATTCCCAAGCTATCTCTCTCTGCTATTGCCTCTTACGCAACTGTTGTTTTGTCATACCCTTTACACCCACCTCATCTCTATTCACCTGGTGAGGTGTCCCTATTTACCAAGCTCTGGTGTGTACAAACATGTAAGGCTGGAAGGATAAACCTCCCTTTCTATGTTCGGACATGTATCTTAACCATGGTCATTCTTGTTTGGCTACTGGTTTGGACATTTGGCAGCTTATATTAATAAACGTGTCTTATGTGTGTGGGGGGTGGTATTGTTTTGTGTTTCATTATGTTATGTATCTTTGTGTTTCTACATTGTAAACTGTCCTGTATTCCTCGGATGAAGGGTAGTGCACAAATGTAATAAAACTACCTACCTCACAGAGTTGTTGTGGGGATCAAATGAGGAGGAGAAGTGTAAACATATTGAGCTCGTTGGAGAAAAAGGTGGGATATAAATGTAAACAATCAGTGCTATTTTTCTGGAAAAAGAGGTGCCGAAACTCAAAATGAAAGCCTCCCTTGTTCTCTTATAATGGCAATGATGTCCACCTGAGAGGTGCCGGAACTGAGTTCTGGTGAGTCCCTGCTGAAAAAAGCCCTGTCAACAAAATATGTATTTGCTTGGCTACAGATGGCCAGCAACAGGTGGAGGAATTTCAGGTGACCGCCAAATGCTCGTGCGAACTCTCCCATAGACCTTCCCTTTAAATCAGCGCCGGCTGGCCAAGCCGCACCCACCAACCTCCCGTTGCTTTCATTGCCTCCCAAGTCCGCCATCATCTCCCCAGCCAGATGTTTTCCTCTGCATCCCGGCGCGGTGGTCCTTCTGAAGATGCTTTAGCCTTACGAGAGCGCTCTGATTGGCTGCTCCGGCCAGCTTATCAGCATAATTCAAATAAGCCCCCCCCCCCATCCCCTTGCTTCCGCCTTCTGTGGTTCCACGGCGAGAGCGGCGGGACCGAGCTGCGGAAGCACCATTGGCTGGCGGCCGCTCCCGGCTGTCTACTCGCCTGCGCCTTTCATTGGTCGGGCTGCGATGTCGCTCAGCGAGGGAAGACCCGCCTCCCAGGGTGTCGCTCCCTGACTCCGGCTTGCGTGCTTCATTCACTCCCGGGGCCTGCAGGAGGATCGTGGGCTTGGCAGAGGGCTTAGATGGTGGAATAGCATCACATAGCGTTGCGACGAAGAGCAGAAGGTGTCGGCAGCCACTTGCCTGGTAAACTATTTCTCACTTTTATTAAAATCTACAACCTGCGTTTCTTATGGTTGCCCTTTGTAGTTATATTCATTTTATTTTCTTCCTGGTTGCTTTTCAGTTCAGTCCCTTTCCCTCCCGGGACCTGTCTTTTAGACTCTTAATGTACCTTTACATATATACATATACTTTTCATGTATGTGTGTGTGTTTGCTATGGGCAAATTCATAATTAAACTCCAGCTCAAGCTGGTATTACTATTATTAATAATTATTATTATATTATAATATAATAATTAAGAATAATAATAATTCATCATAGCAGTGGCCGCTGGATGGGTCACCCTGTTTCAAATGGCATTTTGAAACTTGCTTGGCAAATAGTGCTTCTCCGCAGGCCCTCTGTTGAGTGATTTAGGATGCTGATAGGATTGTGTGTCTTTAGGTAGACAGTTAAGCATCCATGCTGTGGGGTAGTGATCTCCTCAAAATAATTTGTCTTTAGAAATTAGATCAAACAGATTTTTCGCTTGGGCAGGTCGAGCCCCCTCCTGCTCAGATCCATATCCGATTTATTTTTCGCAGTCCTCTGTTTGCAAATCATTACTTCCAAGAGTGGAGACCGTTTGCATTCCTGCAGGCTGCTTACTGGTATCTGGCAAGATTCCTTGGGACAGCGCAATTTGCTTGGGACAGTGTCTATGGTTTTATTTTGAAGGAAACAAGCTGTCTGAAATGAAGTGTGTGTGTGTTATAAAAGCAAGTGAGAGCATATTTGCAAAAAACCTTCACTTTAGTGAAGACCTGTCAATAAAGAGGCAGGGCTGTGAGGGGAAGGAAACTTATCCTGAAGGGTAGCTAAACCTTCAAGCTAAAATCTGATGGTAGTTGAGCTTTAAAACTAGTCATCCTTATTGCTGCACGTCCAGCCCTTAGAGCAAAGCCATTTTGTGTGTCAGCTCTTGGCCTGAAGTGAACCTCTCTCTTCTCAACCGTAAAAGTCAGGAAGTGAAGATTTCAGACTCGGAAGCAAACATTTTCACTCTGGGTTTGATCGCAGATTTCTTTTGCAGTGACTTTGACATATGTAGAGCCAAAACGTCACTTAGAGCTTGCAGCAGTGAAGAGAGAAAGAAAAATTCCATTCTAATGGGCCATAGAAAGGAGACCAGAATAGAAATAACGAAATGTTCCTTGTAGGTTTATCACGTAAACTGCAGAAATAGCAACAACTAATTGATGGTTAATTCTTGACTCTTTTTCCTGATCCTTTCTTTGCTTGTGGTTCACTGGAATATTATTTTCCATTCCACCTTTAATTGCTGCAAATAAAGACTACTTGTGCTGTCAGCACAGCCAGAGTGAGTTTTGCTTTCTGTTGTATGAAACCATTTCCTTAGTTTGGAGGGACACACGCAGAACACAGGAATGTCTCTCCATAGCAGGTGGGCTGGTGGCTGTGGTATTTTCTATAGTGTTCAATCTGTTCCTTGTAATATGCTCAGTGGCTTACTTGCTAGAGCCACCTGCCATGTGCACATCTTTGCATGTAGAGTACTTTGGCTTCTGCCACCTGCTTATGTATTCCAGAGTACTGTAAATATCCTGTGAGATATTGCTGCAAGGAAAATTCTCTATTGTAGTATTGGGCTTGGACCTGTCAATCTTACTGCATTTTATGTGGTGGAGGGGTGTAACAAACATACCCACAGTGACAAGTGCCTTCTCTTCAGTTTCTTTCATAAGTCCCTGAAAATTAGCGCAAGACTAGCCGTGAGGGCTTAGTTATGTGTTGTCTGTCCTCATCCTCATCCTTTTCTGTTCTGTGTTATAAAATGCAAAGGTTCTTTTACAGGCCAAATTAAGCAGCTTTTTAGCAGCAGGGGTATGAGGGGAGAGGTTGAAAACCCCACCCACTTCACACACTTCCTTTGCAGGTTATTATTTATTTACAGTATTTAAAATGTGCATAACCTGCCTTTCAGGGTCAAAATCAATAGCTGAACTGCAGCAGGCCTGTTAAGAGCCTTAATCACAAGAAAGCAGCAGTGAATCGATAAGTTTTTATGGCCTTGTGTATCACGACAAAAGCAGAGTTCCACACAGCTGGAAAATGGTTCCATGTCCACAGTTTGTAAAACAAAGCACACAAAAATGCAAGGACAAACTATGTTTGATATGTGGTCTTTAAATTCCCCTGTTGTTGGGAATGGAGTGCAGCTTGTCATGGGGTGAGGTAGGTTCTCTCTTTTTAGCATTATGAAATCCTAAGATCTAACATTAACAGGAAATAAAGTAGAGAGACAATGTTAGAGAGTCCCTTCTTATACAATTGCATTACATACTTACATACTCCTTCATCCCTGAAAGGAGCAAACCTAAAACTTGCTTCTAGTTTGAACAAGCTGGTTGTAGATGTGTTTTGCTTGCCACAGAAGTGCCACTTTGAAGTTTCTTTTCTGTGTCTCTGTGATGCTCTCCGTTTCATACACAGGCAAAGGAATTAAATACTGTATGCCTACTTTTACTATTTACACTATTAGGAGGCTTTAAATACAGGTCTGAGGGACGCGGGTGGTTCTGTGGGTAAAACCTCAGTGCCTAGGACTTGCTGATTGTAAGGTCGGCGGTTCGAATCCCCGCAGCGGGGTGAGCTCCCGTCGTTCGGTCCCAGCTCCTGCCCAACTAGCAGTTTGAAAGCACCCCTAAGTGCAAGTAGATAAATAGGTACCGCTTTATAGTGGGAAGGTAAACGGCGTTTCCGTGTGCTGCGCTGGTGCTGGCTCGCCAGTTGCAGCTTCGTCACGCTGGCAACGTGACCCGGAAGTGTCTTCGGACGGCGCCGGCTCCCGGCCTCTTGAGCGAGATGAGCGCACAACCCTAGAGTCGGGCACCGTACGGGCAGGGGTACCTTTACCTTTACCTTTAACTACAGGTCTAGAAACAAACTATTAAAAACGGGCATTAACGTGTTTCCAATTTTGTTGCTCTGTCTATAAAGTCAATAAGTCCGAAGTAGATTATTTAGGACCACCTGAAAATATGTGGTTGCTCACTGCACTCCGGTATATTATATATTTTTGATGTAGTCATCATTTTGAGCAAGATAATTGCATTAATATGTCTGTAACATCTAACATAAATGTCTTCACTTTTTTGCTGCGGGACAAAAATGTGAAGAATTAACTGATTCTGAAATCTAATATGCAGAAGCAGTGTCTCTGTTTGTTTGAAGCAGAGGCATAATGCATCGATCAATTTGTACCTGGAACTTGCCCAGCTTAATGAATTATAGCCTGTTTTATCTCTGCTAAAGTGGTGAGCCAATCTAGCATGAGCTGTTCTGTCTCAAGCTTATAAAAAGGTCTGACTATTTCCACAAAAAGAGTGGACACTTAGTACTGTGATTCATCTTGCTTGTTCTAAGGAGCATAAAGTCCTTCTTTTTTAATGGTCCTCATGCCTTTGGATGAGGTCTAATCCTGTGCAAGGTCTCTGCTCTTTATTACTTTGGACTGCAGATTGGAGGCCCATGTGGTCTTTTTAAAAAAGAAAATAATCCGCCCCACAGAAAGCTAGCATGTCAGGGAGAAAGGCTCCCATATCTCCTAGTTTTCAGAATGCAGGGAGTTCAGTATGCACAAGGAAATAGGTTCCCCTTCTCCTGACATGCTAGGTTTCTATATGCAAGGAAGGATTTGCATGGAGGAGTGTTCCGTTTTGTGAGGCTCCACACGGAGCCTGAAGTGGTTTGGCCAATAACATAGACTTACCATCTTAGTGTAAGGGACGCGAGTGGCGCTGTGGGTTAAACCACAGAGCCTAGGACTTGCCAATCAGAAGGTCGGCGGTTCGAATCCCCACGACGGGGTGAGCTCCCGTTGCTCGGTCCCTGCTCCTGCCAACCTAGCAGTTCCGAAGCACATCAAAGTGCAAGTAGATAAATAGGTACCGCTCCGGCGGGAAGGTAAACGGCATTTCCATGCGCTGCTCTGGTTTGCCAGAAGCGGCTTAGTCATGCTGGCCACATGACCCAGAAGCTGCACGCTGGCTTCCTCGGCCAATAAAGCGAGATGAGCGCCGCAACCCCAGAGTCGGTCACGACTAGACCTAATGGTCAGGGGTCCCTTTACCCTTTACCTTTACCATCTTAGTGAAGCCCTTTCCCCTCTCCTTCCAAATTTTGCCTCATTACCTGAAGCACTTTCCCCCTAGTAGTTCTGGTTCTGGAAGTTAGTTGGGTTAAGGGAGGAGAAGAAGTCTAGGGAAGGCTTAGTTCTCTTCACCCGCATGCCCCCTTTCCAGTGAAAGTAAAAACAGACACCTCTGCTTTATCCATGAGCAGGATCTCTCGGCATAGACCTCTCTGCTTATTCTATTTCTATGTTTAGATGGTGTGTATTCTTCTCCCCATTTTATCCTCCTAACAGCAACCCTGTGAGGTAGGCTAGGCTGAGAGTCGGGGACCATCCCAAGTTCACCCAGCGAACTTCATGGCTGAGTGTGGATTTGGACCCTAGTCTCCCAGTTCCTAGCCCAGCGCTCGAACTTCTCTCCCCATTGCATACCCGCTTCCCAGCCCGTGCTTTTCGGTGGTCTGACTTTGCACCCTCCTGGAGTGTTTTTGCCTGGCTGGAATTTGCCTCTCGCTTGTCTTGATGGAGGGCATGTGTCAATGTGTGTAGGAACTAGCCAAGCTCAGATAAATAAAATTTACATCCTTGAGCCGTCCACTTTCCCCCATGCTTCGTGTAAACATTGCTTTGACTGCTTTTGAATAACTTTTTTAAAATTCAGAAGAAATGTACATTCCTTTTTTTTAAAAAAAAATCATTTTTATTAATTTTCCAATAAAAAACATCCAATCAACATATCCAATCATAAACCAATTAAAACAAAAAACTAAAATAAAAAAGACCAATTAGAATCCAAATTGTAATTATTAATTTTTCGGGCCTCCCCATAGTCTGGACCTCTGAAGCATATCTCCAAATCTCAGTCCTGCCTCTCCTTGTTGTTTTCATATTTTCCACATTCCGATTTTAACGCTTTAACGTTCTCTGTCTCTGGCTCTACGATTCTCAATCATGTCAGAAATCATATATCCTTTCATCCGTCGAATATAGCTTTATCTGTGTCTGTATATTTTTCCAACTGTCTATTTGCCAGCGCAGCTTCCCCTGACTCCATTCCAGTCTGGGCTGTTGTCCAAGTCTGTTATCTGAAGTTTCATGACGCAGCAACTCCCAAGTCATTAATCCTTCCAATCCGGGCTGTTATCCAAACCTTCCTTTTGAGATTTAATGACACAGTACCTTCCACATTGTTGAGTTGTTTTTATAAATTGTTGGGAAAACTGTTTGCAATATTGCAGTGTAAATAAAGTGTATTCCACAGTCATTTGACCGATCGATTGATCGTCAGAAATGTACATTCCAAGATGATACGGCTACTGCAGTGTAACATACTCTCTCGTGCCCCCGCCTTCATTTTCTTTTTTGAAAAAAATGTTAATAATAACTCCCCCTGAGTGTTAGGGGCTGGCTGGAGACGAATAATGTAAATGCACCAGCTGGCTCTAATATTTATTTATTTTATGGAATTTATACACTGCTAGATTGTAAAAAATAAATAAAAATAAACCTGTAAATGGTTTACAGGAAATATAAAACAATGATTTTATCAATAAGAAATATTATTGCAAAAATAGAATATATTTAGCTATGCCTTCCCTTCCCCCCTGACAGGGACTCAAGGCAGCTTGCAGATAAAATAAGAAGAGAACAAGAATTAACAACAATAATTTGGAAAAGCTCAAACTAACAATAAACCAAAAACAGATTGAAACTCAACATCAGTGTACACTGGGTCCCACTGATGGGAAACATTTGCTCCCTAGATAAGCGCCTTTGTACAGTGCTAACGATTAGTTTGAACTGGCCGGCTGCCCTTGTGATAAGAGGTTTCCCCTCAGAAACCAGCAATCGTCCGTGACTCAGATAAATACCGTCTTCCAGATACCAAAAATTATTAGCTGTGTGAAATCGAGACGCGTAATGCAATTAGGAAGGGGAAAGCCATTGGTGCCTCTGGTCTGATTGAGCGGAAATCACATCTGTCCAGGAAAAAAATGGGTGTGAGAACTTTTCCACATAAAATGAGGCAGGGAGCTGTAGGAAGCCGACCTCTGACTTAGCGAACCTGGGGTTGTATTCAACCAAGCCCTGCTCAGAGTAATCCCGTTGAAATTAATGCACCTACTTTGTGACCTATGGGTTTACTCTGGGTAGAACTAGCATCCCAGGGTGCAGGTCCTCAGTCAGCCATCAAGATTACTGGGCGACCTTGGGCCAGCCAATGTCTCTGAGCTACCCTGCCTCACAGGATTGTTGTGAAGATAAAATGGGAAGGAGGAGAATCATGTCTGTCACCAGTTCCACAGGGCGGGTGCCACCACCAAGAAGGCCCTCTGCCTGGTTCCCTGTAACCTCACTTCTCGCAGTGAGGGAACCACCAGAAGGCCCTCAGAACTGGACCTCGGTGTCCGGGCAGAACGATGGGGGTGGAGACGCTCCTTCAGGTATACTGGGCCGAGGCCGTTTAGGGCTTTCAAGGTCAGCACCAACACTTTGAATTTTGCTCCGAAATGCACTGGGAGCCAATGAAGATCTTTCAGGATCAGCGGTCTCAGCGGCTGCCCCCAGTCACTAGTCTAGCTGCTGCATATGATATGATATGATATGATATGATATGATATGATAGCCATCTTCAAATATCTCAAGGGCTGTCCTATGGAAGATGGAGCAAGCTTGTTTACTCCTGCTCTGGAGGGTAGGATTTGAACCAATGGCTTCAAGTTACAAGAAAGGAGATTTGGACTAAACAACAGGAACAACTTTCTGACAGCAAGAGCTGTTTGACAGTGGAACGGTCTCCCTCAGGAGGTGCTGGACTCCCCTTTGTTGGAGGTTTTCCAGCAGCGGTTCAATGGCCATCTGTCATGGATGCTTTAGCTGATATTCCTGCATTGCAGGGGGTTGGACTAGATGGACTCTTGGGGTCTTTTCCAACTCTATGATTCCCCCTGTCCCAGCACCATGGCTCCCTTCTGCATCCTGGGATTGCCACAATTGCACTTACACCCCATCCCCCCAAAATAAAAATGTTGAAGGGGATTCAATCGCAGCTGTATCCCTTTTCAAATCATCGCTTCCCCCTGCATCCGTGGCTTGCCAAGTCCACATCTTTCTGATTTCCTCCTCGTCTGAACTGCTGTGGCTTTTCAACTTACTTCCTACTTACCTGTTTGCTGAGGATTCCTCCCCCAGGAAAGCTGGGCCAGTGCTTTGTGTGGAGTAAGTGACCACATTAGTGAGAGTTAAGTGGTTGCCCCCACTTCTGCTTGTCCCGCTGCTCCCCCCCCCCACCGGGAAAACCCGCTGTTCACCGCTGAATCAGAATAAACATGTTATGTACTGAGTTGCATAGGATCCAAAATGCAGCACTCTGATTGGTCCTAGAACAATAGGATTCAGAATGCAGCAGTCTGATTGGTCCTAGAACAATAGGATTCAGAATGCAGCAGTCTGATTGGTCCTCAGGAGCCACCCAATCCAACTCCAGGTGGAAGTGAATCCGCAACCTGATTGGCCTACAGGAGAATCCCAGAATTAGCCAATCACCTGGGGCCCATTGTGTAAATAATGTACAGTGGTACCTCGGGTTACATACGTTTCAGGTTACATACGCTTCAGGTTACAGACTCTGCTAACTCAGAAATAGTGCTTCAGGTTAAGAACTTTGCTTCAGGATCAGAACAGAACAGAAATCGTGTTCCTGCGGTGCGGCGGCAGCAGGAGGCCCCCATTAGCTAAAGTAATGCTTCAGGTTAAGAACAGTTTCAGGTTAAGAACGGACCTCCAGAACGAATTAAGTACTTAACCTGAGGTACCACTGTATATAAAGCAGACATTTCGGGGAACTTCCATTCCTCACTACTATGAGCTGAATAAAGAGCATGAAATCCACACATTAATTGGTCAAAACATTAATTGGTTTTTCTGCGGATAGCAGCTTGTTCCGCTTCAGCAGTAAATAGCGGGTTTTCTAAGAGAAAACTGTGTGACAAATGAAAAACTACTTGGACTCATGCGTAGACAGCACAGGACAAGTGGGGGAAAAAATCTCTTGGGCTTTGTGGGTGAGCCCTAAGCCTGAAACCACTGCAAGACGTCCTTGTTTTGCCAGGCTGGTATGTGGCACACTTGACTCAACCTTGCACGCTCATATTCACACGCTCACCTGGGGCGATTAGCAGTAGCCCCTAGGTGAGCAGGGGCTTGGCAAGTGCCCTGCCCCATTTTCCCCACGCTACCTCATTCCCCCAACTCCTGCTTGCCCCCATGGTTTAAAGCACCGGGGCAACTATTCTTACCCTTGGCAAAAAGAAATTTTAAAAAGCAAACAAACCCAATGTGTGTGTTCTCCTTGTGTTGAAAAACTAAATTAAGAAATTAATTTGAAGGACAAGTAGAAAGTCCGAATTCATTATGGTTTAATCGGCATTTATTTTAAATTATGAGTTCAAGGACAGAGTTCGGGAGAGAATAAGTAATGGCTAATTAGATTGTACCGGGGCCAGATGACACTTGTATCATATTTCATTTGTTCCTCCCCCTGCAACGGGAGAGGAATCCTGTTCCACAGGTTGCTCATTAACTGGAGACAGGTAAATTAATTTGTTGGGAGGAGTACCTTCTGTTGGCTTTATATCATGGCTAAATATATTTGAAGGTGCTTAGCCTCCTCTAATGGATGCCTGTCAATAATGCAAAGCAGAACGTAGAGGTAATTGCTGTCAAATTGGGATCTAAGGACCAGCGTTATTTGAGGTGCACCCCCCCCCCCCCGTAGCAATTGACGAATCTGTCTAGAGTTGCCTTTCAGACTGTGTCCAGGGAAATCGCCTTTCAGGGGGGTTTATTGGATAACTCCGGCTGATTCACAGCTTCTTCACTGAGGCATTGCAGTGCAAAACTTCAAAGCATTAGTTAATTAGTTCCATTAAAAGCCGAGTGGCAAATAAGCTCCAAAATCTTTTTGTTGGTTGACGGGTTCTAAAAACCTTCAACCTAGCTCAAGTTCTCCTGTTTGAATTGTCTGTGTACTAATGACATCTCTTCAATAAATTGGATTTGATACAGATTTCTGCTATAGATCTTTCTTGACCGATTAATTCCAGCAGGCCAGCTGGGTTTTGTCCCCAGTCACCTAAGCGCTCTTCAGAAAGCAGCTTGTGTTTCTGTTAGCAACGAAGTTTCCGTTGCTTCTGTTGCCAGGCTGTAAATGAATAAATTTGGCCACAGGTCCCTCTGAACTAGCGTGATTCAAAAGAAAACTTCTTATTCATATTCTTTTTTACTTTGATTTGTTTTTAAAGGGCCTACGCAGCAAAGGTTTGGAGATGTGCACCAAATTTGTGATTTATAAAACAAAGTCACTTCTCTCTCCCATAATACCTGCATCTTAAAGCGGGCAGCTAAGAGAGATGGATCTCAAGGCAGACTAAAAATAAAAAGGCACAATCGGTTCCCACGTTGCTGTTGGAACTTTCCAAAGGACATTTGGAGGTTTTTACATTCCTGGCAATGGATTTTATTTTTTTTAAAGAGCAATTTATGGCAGTAACCTCCCCTTGTATAATAGCGACCTGAATCTTGATTTCAAAGCCGTACTTAATATAGATAGATAATTTATTACGGTCAAAGACCAGCTCGCATAACACAATAAAAACAGCGTTCATAAAGATAAAATATACAATTAGAGCAGATTGCAGCAATAGCTCATGTGTTAAAATTGAGATATATACATACAACCCGTACAATTTGGGCTACCATAAAAATTGACCCTGAGGCACCCCAAAGGACGACTTCAGCTTTTCCCTAATAAGCTATTTTATTCTAGAGGATGATCTGTGCCTACAAATCTGGGCGCAGAATCTGGCTACCAGCCAGGTCGTCTTGTGATCTTTGCCCAAGAGGAGAGAATTAAGTTTAGACTTTTCTGAAAGATGGGCGAGCCTCTTCAGCAAAGGGTCAGTGGTATCTTTACAAATCTCAGCATAAAAAGGACGCCTAAAAATATATATGTTCGGGGCTTCCTATTTCCCCTAATAGGCAGGCGCAAAGTCTCTGTGTGTACAGGACTTTTCCATAGGAGCCTTCCAGTTCCGATGAGGGCAAGGCCGAGCTTCTAGCAAGAGTTAAAGCCCTTCTTGCATTTCTGGGTGCGAGGAAATAGAGATATGTTGCTGCAATGGCTACGTATCTCCCGTTTTCTAAGACAGCTGGACATATAAAGGGCCCCATTACCTTCAGTAGCTTAGGGCCTCATCAAACTTTTATAACCACTTCCCCAACTCACTAGTTTATAATTGATTAACATAATGTTGTGCCTAGAACTTTGACTGCTTCCCCTGCTAATTAATCAATAACTTGAGACATGGAACAGTATGCTATTCAAAAGAGGCCTCCACCAGAATTTCATTTCATTGGTGTTTAAAATATGTTGGCATCTCGCTCCTTCCCCTGCCACATTTAATATTCTATAAAATGACCTAAGGAAACCAGATAAAATTATTCCAGGGCCCAAATGAGACCAATGAAACACCGCTTCGCCACCCCTGCTATGGCATATCAAAGAAAGCCCCCCCTTTCCCCCTGTTGAAAAATTCAGCATTTATAGGCATGGCCTCTGCTTCAAACCATGCGCCCAAGCTTGCAAAACAATACTTAAGACTCATAGATGCTGCTGTTGTTATAGTGCCTGGATAGCTCAGCTGGTTAGAGCGTGGTGCTGATAACACCAAGGTTGCAGGTTCCATCCCCGTATGGGGCAGCTGCAGAGTCGTGCACTGCAGGCGGTTGGGCGAGATGATCTTTAGGGTCCCCTCCAACTCGTAAGATTCTATTTATATTGTGCCATGCATATGATGCTTTACTAAAGTCCCTACTGCAAAGGGCTAGCAATCTTAAAATATACCCAAGGAAGCAACAGAGGAAGAATGGTAGAATGTACCCTACGTACCCCTTCCCTGAAATGAGATTGTTTCAGTTACAGGTACTTTGGTTTAGCTACAGCAGGGACGTCCCACTCCCAATAGACTGCAATCTACTCACAGTATAAAAAAAGGGCAGTGATCTACCCATTGTCGTTGAATGGACCAAAGTTCTTGAGCTTCTTTGGGTGGACCAAAGTTGTTAAGCTTCTTTTAGGAAGCCAAAGTTGTTGCTGGGCGACCAAAGATCTACCAGGATCTACCAGGAATGCACCACAATCTACCAGTAGATCACGATCTACCTGTTGGACATGTCTGAGCTACAGTAAGAACATAAGAAGAGCTCTGCTGCATCGGGCCAGTGGCCCACCTGGTCCAGCATCCTGTGGCCAACCGCAGCATCCTTCCCCGCTTCTGTGCTTTCTATAGCTGACCTTCGGAAGCATTGCTGCCTTTGACCATGGAGGCTGAACATAGCCATCATGGCTCGTAGCCGTGGATTAGCCCTTGTCTTCCGTGGATTTTCCTAAGCCGTCCAAGTAGGTGTTGATCACTACATCTTGTGCGAATGAATTCCACAGGTTAGCTGTGCAGAGAAATGCCTTCTTTTGTCTATTCTGAATCTTCCAGCATTCAGCTTCATTGGACGTCTCTGAGCCTCTAGGGCAGCCTTTCTCAACCTGTGGATCCCCAGATGTTGTTGAACTACAACTCCCATCACCCCTAGCTAGCAAGGCCAGAGCTCAGGGATGGTGGGAGTTGTAGTCCAACAACATCTGGGGACCCACAGATTGAGAACTGCTGCTCTAGGGTTATGAGAATTAAATTTGTGATTTCTGCAACTCGGCAAGCTATGGCACACGATGGACATGGGTGGCACTGTGGTCTAAACCACTGAGCCTCTTGGGCTTGTCGATCGGAAGGTCGGCGGTTTGAATCCCCGCGGCGGAGTGAGCTCCTGTTGCTCTGTCCCAGCTCCTGCCTGCCTAGCAGTTCAAAAGCACACCAGTGCGAGTAGATAAGTAGGTACCATTGTAGCGGGAAGGTAAACAGCGTTTCTGTGCGCTCTGGTTTCCATCACGGTGTCCCGCTGTGCCAGAAGCAGTTTAGTCATTCTGGCCACACGACGTGAAAAACTGTCTGTGGATAAACGCCGGCTCCCTTGGTCTGAAAAGTGAGATGAGCGCCACGCCCCATAGTTGTGTTTGACTGTACTTAACCGTCCAGGGGCCCTTTACCTGTACCTGTTTTTTTACTGTAGTCGTGCCGCACCCTTATATAGTAAAGGTAAAGGGACCCCTGACCATTAGGTCCAGTCGTGGCCTTCTCTGGGGTTGCGGCGCTCATCTCGCTTTATTGGCCGAGGAAGCCAGCGTGCAGCTTCTGGGTCATGTGGCCAGCATGACTAAGCTGCTTCTGGTGAACCAGAGCAGTGCACGGAAACGCCATTTTAGCTTCCCGCCGGAGCGGTACCTATTTATCTACTTGCACTTTGACGTGCTTTCGAACTGCTAGGTTGGCAAGAGCAGGGGCTGAACAACGGGAGCTCACCCCATTGCAGGGATTCAAACCGCTGACCTTCTGATCGGCAAGCCCTAGGCTCTGTGGTTTAACCCACAGCGCCACCCGTGTCCCTTGCACCCTCATGTACGCAGCCACAAAGTGCCAGGAGTAAAGCAAAGCACTAATGTTCCTTCCCACCCCCGTCTCTTAGCTCTTTTTCATTCCTCCAAATGGTGTCCCTGCCTTGCTCGTAGACCGAGTTGTTGTTGTTTTGAAAGGCTATATGTGTTATCTAGCCAGCATGAAAAAGCTTAACTATCCATAAAGGGTTTTCTTGTACCTCTGTGTGTTGCCAGCGTGAAACAAGACTGCCCTCTTTGTAACGTGTAACGTAATGTTTTCTTTCTCCAGGCAAACCATACAGAATGTTCTCCAGATTGAGAATAGCTTCCGCTCCCTGCGTGTCGGCATGTCGCAGAGTACATACAAAAGAAAAAGGGAAGGTCTTGATGCTGAACCCGAGAACAAATAAGGTCGGTCGCATGGAATGTCTTTCACGTCCGTTCTTGAATTGCTATCTGTGCTGTGGATCTTACCCAGAGCTAAAAGCGTCTGCAAGAGCAGGGGGGAGGGGTTTTTTGTGCTGAGACTCGTAGCCTACACCCTCAAAAGAAAAGACCAAGGCTGGTGCAATTCTTACCCACAATTACCTGGGAGTAAACTCCATTGAATTCAGTAGGATTGACTTCTGAGTAGGTGTGGTTCAGATTGTGTCGTAAATGAGATAGAAGCCTTACTTTAAGCAAAGCCTGAATGACCGCATCTAACTTTGCATATCTTTATTACCGGTAGTTTGAATGGAAGGGCGACAACGTAGAGAATCACAACAAATCTTCCTCTTGTAATATGAGTACAGTGGTACCTCGGGTTAAGTACTTAATTTGTCCCAGAGGTCCGTTCTTAACCTGAAACTGTTCTTAACCTGAAGCACCACTTTAGCTAATGGGGCCTCCTGCTGCCGCCGCATCACGATTTCTGTTCTCATCCTGAAGCAAAGTGCTTAACCTGAAGCACTATTTCTGGGTTACTGGAGTCTGTAACCTGAAGCGTATGTAACCTGAACCGTATGTAAGCCGAGGTACCACTGTACAGTCGTACTGTGGCTCCCGAACGCCTTGGGAGTCGGAGGTTCTGGCTCCTAAATGATCAAAAATCGGAAGTGAGTGTTCCGTTTTTTGAACTTTTTTTTGGAAGCCGAACGTCTGCCATGGCTTCCGCTATTGTTTCTGGTGCGCCTGCGCAATTGAGAACCGATTGGAAGCCGCACCTTGGTTTCCGAACTTTTCAGAAGTCGAACGGACTTCCGGAACGGATTCCATTCGACTTCCTAGGTACGTCTGTATACGAGTACAGTGGTACCTCGGGTTACATACGCTTCAGGTTACATACTCTTCAGGTTACAGACTCTGCTAACCCAGAAATAGTGCTTCAGGTTAAGAACTTTGCTTCAGGATGAGAACAGAAATCATGCTCTGGTGGCGCAGCAGCAGCAGGAGGCCCCATTAGCTAAAGTGGTGCTTCAGGTTAAGAACAGTTTCAGGTTAAGTACGGACCTCCAGAACAAATTAAGTACTTAACCCGAGGTACCACTGTATAATACTGGTGGTGGTAGTGCATTGTGCTTGTGTTGGTGCAGTGTCATGGAATACTTAACTGATCGGGAAACACAGCAGTTTGCAGTCCTTCCATAAGGGAAGGAGACATTGTCAGTGTGGCTGGGATCAAAACTTTTCACGTGGCAGGTGCAGGGCTGGTAGGGAAAACACAGGGAACTGGTCAGCTAGAGGATAGAGGAATCTAGTGACAAGGAATGGCACAGGGAGAAGTGAGACGAGAAGAAGAAGCTGTGGGAGAATGAATCTTGAGAGAAAGGGTAGAGAAGAGGAAAAGTTTGCATCAGAGAAGAGGTTCATCCCATGTGGTTTAAGATTAGCACTTAGGGAATTGGGTTATTTAAGGTAAGTAACTTTTAAAGCAGGCCTTTTCTCAACAACACTCTCCACATACTTTTGGTCTACTGCAAAGTTCCTAACTAATGAATGGAAAGTAACAAGAAGTGGGGTGGGTGCTGGGTGTCTGCTAAATACGGGGCTCATTTCCTTGAAAACTCAGTGGTTCTTGGCTAAATTTGACTTTCAGAAGAATGTCACCTGGCTGCCTTATTGCCAGCCCAGAGCCAAGAGAGGAGTAATGGGTACGGCAATAGGTTTGGGTGTCAGCTGCCCCAACTGACCCACTGTCCCCTTTCCAAAGTGTCTTACCACAAAACTTGTGGCCCTCTAGTTAGCTGGTCTCCAACCTATAGCCTGCTCTACAATGGGTCACAGCCGCAACACTACAATGGTACAAGTATATGGTGTTTGTTTAAAAGTGGATCCCCAAATGCATGTTTGATCTAAAGGTGGCTCTCACTTCTGAAAAGGTTGCTTGAGATGTCACTGGGACTGCAGCTCCCATCATCCTTGACCATTGGCTGTGCTCGCTGAGGCTCATGGGAGTTGGAGTCCAACGACATTTGGAGGGTCACGGGGAGGTAGGGCAGGATGCAGCTCTGACAGACTGATCTCTTCCCCCCACGCCAGAAAAAGAGTTACGATTCTGTTGACAGGAAAAATAAGAAGCAATTCCGTGTGACAAGACGATAGGAGTGATGAACCCCGAGGTCACTGCTGGGTTTATTGTTCAATCCGGCAGTTTTTATTGAGGCTGAGTCATAAGAGGATTAAGAATGAAGTCGAGACAGATAGCTGTCAAAAGGCGTAGCTGGGGTTGCTGAGAGGGAATAGGCTCTGGAAAATAAAAGTGCTAAATAATGGCTGCCTGGTTCTCTTCTGCCCCCTCCCCCCAAAAAAGGACCCTTGCCCATTTCAACAATAATATTTTAATATTTCTTATTTCTTAAACAGATGTTTGTTGAGCATCTGGATAAGCCCTAAGTAGGCCATATTGAAGCTCAATCTTCTGAAAAAGGAGGGCCTCTGAACACTATTTCAAATCTCTGAAGAGACTGAACAAGATGCCATCTGAGATTAGTGACCCCGACTTTCCTTCAAAAAACAATATCCTTCATTACTCTCCAAGCCTCTTCATCCTTGGCAGATTAAAATTGAGGAAACTATGGGCCCTGTTAGCTCAATCAGATGTCAGGCTCACTGAGATTCAGCTTTGCTAAAAAAAATAAAACCCAACTAGATGGTACTGAGAATTGCCAGGAATTGTTTTGGCTTGTTGAATTAGATTAGTGTTGGTATAATCATCATCATCATCATCATCATCATCTATTATTTATTATTTATACCCCGCCCATCTGGCTGGGCTTCCCCAGCCACTCTGGGCGGCTTCCAACAAAACACTAAAATACAGTAATGCATCAAACATTAAAAGCTTCCCTAAACTAGAACAGGGGTGCTTGTTTTTATTTTCCTTAGCATTCTTATGATGAAGGAAATCTTAAGAGTAGGGCCGCGGATACTGGTTGCTAGGAAACAAGATTGAGAGGGGCCTGTTTCGCTCATGTCCTGCTTGTGGTCTCCTGGACTAAATAGAATCCTGGACTAGCGCTAGGCGAGATCAGCCTTTCAACATCAAGATGTATCACCAGCCAAACATTGCAATATGTATCCCCAGCCAACACATTGCAGTGTTGAAAAGCAGAGGGAGGAACGAGTTGCATCGGCCCTGGCCCTGCAAGGCGCCAGGGTGAAACCGCCTCAGCTCCCTTGGCGGGTGCTGGTGCTTAGCTGTCAACCGTCCCTTATTTGGCGGGAAAGTCCCTTATCCCAGCGCGGTGTCCCGCTGCTGTCCCTTATTGATGGTGTCCCTTAAATTTCCCGGGTTTCAAAGGAAGCAGCTCCTTTCCCTCCCTCCCTGCCGGCCAGGGAGGAGAGAGGCTCCAACTGTGTTGCTTGGCTGCGTTGCTCACCCAATAAGGAGTCTAAGAACGACTGGGGGGTGGAGCTTGCATGCCTTGTGCCGATCAAATCGGCCGTGTTGCTTGGGGACTCACCTTTGCTCAGCGCTTCCCAGCGGAGAGGTGACGGTGGTTTCCCTTGCTGCATCCCCTTTGCCAGGTTGCTGTGCTATGGGAACCACCGCTTGAGGCTTCGTTTGGCTGCTGGCTGGGCTTTCTGCCTTTGGCTCGGAGGGGCTCAGAAGTTGAGCATACCTGTGCTCTGAAAAATCCCTTATTTTGGCTGCTGATCCCTTATTTTCGAGGCTGCTGGTCCCTTATTTTCAAATCTGTAAGTTGACAGCTATGTGCTGGTGGCGAAGAGAGTTCCTCTACTGCTAGCACGCCAAATGAGAAACAAGTTGCATTGGCTCCATCGCTGGCAGATGGCCATTGAACTTCTGCTTAAAAACCTCCAAGGAAGGAGAGTCCACCACACCTTTCAAGGGAGTCCGTTACATTGCAGAACATCTCTTCCTGATGTTGAGTCGGAATGTCCTTTCTTGTAACTTGAATCCATTGGTTTGAATCCTTACCTCCAGGGCAGGAGAAAACAAGCTTTCCCCCTCCTCCGTGTGACAGCCCTTGAGATATTTGAAGATGGCTATCATCTCTCCTCTCAGTCTCCTCTTTGCCAGGCTGAATAGCGTCTGACTTCTCTTGTTCCTCTCGATCTCCAGGGTATGGCTTTTACGTTAAAAGAACGTCAAATGCTTGGCCTCCAGGGACTTCTACCTCCGAAGTTTGAGACGCAAGACATCCAAGCCTTACGGTTTCACAGGAACGTGGCAAAAATGACCGACCCATTGGAAAAGTAAGTGTGTGTTGGTAGGCACTTAGTCTTGTATCATTCATTCTCGAGTTTTTATTGCTATTGCTGTTGTAGCTTGGACATGTGTCGCGGCTCCAAATCCATGGGGAAAAGCCAGTTTGGCCCAAACTCAGCTTTTGAAAGTAGCCGGTTGACTCAGGCCTTAAAAAATGTCTGATAAGAGAACACTCAACAGTGCCTAAACACGTCCATCGAACGACAGACATTACATTCACAGCATGCTATAATCTCAGGGAAAATACCATGAAAATGGTATATAGATGGCATCTTACCCCCAAAAAGCTTGCTAAAATGTATAAAAGGAAAACATCAACCTGTTGGAGATGTAAAAAAGAGGAGGGGTAATTCTATCATATGTGATGGACCTGGGTAAAGGTAAAGGGACCCCTGACCATTAGGTCCAGTCGTGACCGACTCTGGGGTTGCGGTGCTCATCTCGCTCTGTAGGCCGAGGAGCCGGCGTTTGTCCGCAGACAGCTTCCGGGTCACGTGGCCAGCATGACTAAGCCGCTTCTGGCGAACCAGAGCAGCGCATGGTAATGCCGTTTACCTTCCCGCCAGAGCGGTACCTATTTATCTACTTGCACTTTGACGTGCTTTTGAACTGCTAGGTTGGCAGGAGCAGGGACTGAGCAACGGGAGCTCACCCTGTTGCAGGGATTCGAACCTCCAACCTTCTGATCGGCAAGTCCTAGGCTCTGTGGTTTAACTCACAGCGCCACCTGCCTCCCCTGTGGACCTGTGTAGCCATTGGCAAATACTGGAATGATATTTATAACGAGTTTAAGAAACTATTTAAAATTACTTTCAAAAACCCCCCAGAGATTTTCCTACTTGGTATATTACCATCAGAAATTAAAAAATATATAAGATCATTGTTTATGTATGGTATAACAGCAGCTAGAACCCTTATAGCAAGGAATTGGAAAAATGAATTTTCCTAGAGATTACAGATTAGCAGATACTCATGTTAGAATATCTACAATGAGCAAAACTGACGGGATCAGTTAGAGGAATATTGAAACAAAAAACAACTAGAGAACGGATACTATTTAAGAATTATGTAAAACTTTATTGTACAAATAACTCCATATTAGCAGAAATTGAGTGATATTTGTAAAGAAAAAGATCAAAGGAATGTATACAAAGCAGAAAGAAATAATATTATATAATGTAAACCTGTGTAAAAAAGAATGTTATATCAAACAGTATAATGAGAAGGATGGGAAGGATTGTGTCGATTATGTAAATAACTTTGTCTTTTTAAAAAAATTTCTTTGTTTCTTATCTTTGTTACTTCTTTTTTCCCCTTTCTTTATAAATTTTCTATTTTATATAATTTTCTTTTTTATACCTGTGAAGAGATAGTGCATAATGTTTGTATAGACATGCAATTTTTTTAATCAATAAAGAATATTAAAACACACACACACACACAAAAAACCAAACACGTCCATCGAAACGTCATCAGGGCTTCCATCAAAGCATCTCTGACCAGGTATAGGTCATGTATAAGTCATTCTTCTTTCAACTCGTTCCCATTTTCCAAATATACCCCTTTGAAGCCTTTGTTGCTTTGCTTCTTATTAAATATATTTACTAGTAAAGCAACCTGCTTTCTTTTCTCCATTTCTGAGATTCCCAGCCCTACTTGGACCTGGGACCTTCTGCATGAGATTTAGATGCTGTGCCATTGAGCTAGAGCCCTTGCCCCACCCTTGATATAAATCTAAGAGTAATTACTGTTTTGAGTGTTAATATGTAGGCACTTAGGATCTGGGCAGTAACTGAAAGATAGATAACGTGCCCATAAAGCAGTGTTCTGACTAATAAAACAGCTCTCTTATCAAGGGAGCGCCATGTCCATTGAGCAAATGATGATTACACCGGATCACGTTCATTTCCACCGCCCTTTAAGTAGGTTTTCCCATAATCCTGATCCAGTGTGTGTTTCTTGGAAGAAACTACCACTTGGTTCATAGAGGTTACTTGGCATTCAGCGAATGCAACTGTTAAATGCAAAATAAAAACAAAAAGTTTAGTGTCGGTTGTAAAAACAACCTTGAATTGGAGTCCAAAATCCTGCATTAGCTTAACTGGAAGTAACCTCCATGAACAAAGTGTTCAGAGGTTTTCAGCCTTTTTGAGTCCACGGTTCCCTTGACCAACTGCGTTCTTTCTGCGGCACCCCCATGGAGCCATATATGTGTGTGTGTGTGTGTGTGTGTGTGTGTGTGTGTATATATATATATATATATATATATATATATATATATATATTATGCCCTGCCCTCCCCAGCCAGAGCTGGGCTCAGGGTGGCTAACACCAGTAAAATTACAATAAAAAAAACCAATTTAAAATACAGGATAAAATATAATTTAAAATGCAGCCTCATTTTAATAGTAGCCCATAGATCAGAACCATAAGGGGAGGGAAACATAAGGGTCAGACTGAGTCCAAACCAAAGGCCAGGCGGAACAGCTCTGTCTTGCAGGCCCTGCGGAAAGATGTCCAGTCCCGCAGGGCTCTGGTCTCTTGTGACAGAGCGTTCCACCAAGTCGGGGCCAGTACTGAAAAGGCCCTGGCCCTAGTTGAGACCAATCTAACCACCTTGCGACTTGGGACCTCCAAAGTGTTGTCATTTGTGGATCATGTCTCCGCCCCCCTGCGTCGCGTTTAGTGTGTGTTCCTTTTTTGTAGTGCTGCACTCATCTGTTAGCAGCTGTGTTGCTGGTGAGCAATTTATTCTAATTTTGCACACTTAGTGTTTAAAAAAAGGTCAAGAAGCTCGACAACTTTGACTTGCCTCCTAAGAAAAGCTCAACAACTCTGAACTCCCCTCCCCTACTCCCAATGGGCAGATCACTGCCTTTTCCCCCCCTGGGAGTAGGCAGTCTTTTGGGAGTTGGACGTCCCTGCAATAGAGTATTGGCAGGGGAAGAGGGGAGGGGAGGAGAAACAGTCTACTTAATTTTGTTTCCCCTTCTGGCAATTTTTTGCTCAAAATTCACCCCTCTTTTAAAGCTGCTTTTTGTTACACGGGGGGGGGGGGGGCGGACGGGGACGACGACAATATATGGAATACTTGTATCTTTTCCCCTGTGGGTGAAAAGCAGCCTGCGGATACTTTGAGCAGAAAGATGAGTGGAAGGGAGAGAATTAAGCAGCCCCTTCCCTTCTCTCACCCTCTACCCTTTTGCTGCCCTGCTGCTGAAATTTAACGCCGCTTGTGTTTTTTGTTTTTAAAGAGAAGAGATACTCATCTAAGTGAAATGAATAGTTTCTCCCTGAGAAGGATAGCACAGGAGAACCACAAATTCAAAAAGCAAAAGGTGGAAAAAAGAATGATTTTGTTATTGTTCTCCGTCTTTCATTTCAGCTTCAGAGTATTCCTCATTAGTGGGAAGGTATATAAATAAATCTAATCTTGCATTTCCACTGTTTCATTTACAGATACATCTATGTGATGGGCATGCAGGAAAGAAACGAGAAGCTATTCTACAGGGTATTGCAAGATGATATTGAGCAATTAATGCCAATTGTTTATACACCAACAGTAGGCTTAGCGTGTTCCCAGTATGGACATATCTTTAGGAGGCCAAAGTAAGAACATTTTTATATTCTGATTTTTATGTCTCAACCAATGAAGCTTTTCAGAATTTACAGTTGCTGTACCATGGTGACTCAAGAGCTGTCTGTTTGCTTGCTTATGTTACTTGATAAAGCACCGTGTACATGTGCTATAAAAAATAAACCAGGAGCCTGCAGCCAAATAATGGACTAATTTTGTCCAAATTGACATCTTTAATTTATCTGTTTACCCTTTTCCTCAAGCCTTCCTCTTCTTCATCTATCTTTCCTTTAGATTTGTGTTTGGTAGTCCATTGCCTAATCTGTTTCACAGTGGCAGTTGTTGAATTCAGAGATGTTGATAATAATAATAATAATAATAATAATAATAATAATAATATTGTTATTTACACCCCACCCATCTGGCTGGGTTTCCCCAGCCACTCTGGGCGGCTTACAGCACATAAAAAATTGTAAAATATTAGACATTAAAAATTTCCCGATACAGAGTTGCCTTCAGATGTCTTGTAAAGGTTGTATAGTTACTTTTTCCCTTAATATCTGATGGGCGGGCATTCCACAGGGCAGGTGCCACTACTGAGAAGGCCCTCTGCCTGGTTCCCTGTAACCTCACTTCTCGCAGTGAGAGAACCGCCAGAAGGTCCTTGGAGCTGGACCTCAGTGCCCGGGCAGAACGATGGCGGTGGGGACACTCCTTCAGGTATACTGGGCTGAGGCCATTTAGGGTTTTAATGGTCAGCAGCAACACTTTGAATTGTGCTCAGAAACGTACTGGGAGCCAATGTAGGTCTTTCAGGTATTATATGGTCTTGGCGGCCACTCCCAGTCACCAGTCTAGCTGCCGCATTCTGGATTAGTTGTAGTTTCTGGGTCACCTTCAAAGGTAGCCCCACGTAGAGCGCATTGCAGTAGTCCAAGCGGGAGATAACCAGAGCATGCACCACTCTGGTGAGACAGTCTGCGAGCAGGGAGGGCAAGCAGATATTCTATGAGCTAACTTCTCTGCACCCTTCCTTCAGCCCCATCCTTTTGAGCTTTCCTACGTACTTGATTTGATTTCCAGTCTTCAACTTGCCCCACCAAGATCCTCATCCTCCTGTTCCTTTGGGGCTAATGTGAGCTTTTCAACCCAGCAAAACAGACGACTTAGCCTTCCTGCACAGGTGACAAACATCTGCTTTGCCTTTTGTGCAGCTGTGAATTTCTGTTCGCAGAGAATAGCGTGGAGAAGAGAATGTTAGGACTGGTTTCCACTCCCCCATCTTTCTCTCCCTGTTCAGTCCTATACTTGATCTAAACCCTAAGTCCTTCTGTCAGCTTAGTTTGCTGATTTATGAAGTTCTGTCTAATTTTATTTCATGTGACAGATTGAAGTTGGGGTGGATTAATTTCACATTTCCCAAACTCCATAACCTTTTAATAATGCATTCCAAAATTCCAATCTAATATTCATTGTGTCTTCTTCTTTTTTAAAAGCACTATCTTTAGCTTGATTTATTAATTGAGAGGGTGCCCTTTGCTAAGCTCACACTGCAAAGAAAAGGAATGATTTGAATGCATCAGTGAGTGATATGTTTCTATTTTCTTGCAGAGGATTATTCATTGCCATAACAGATAGGGGCCATATTAGATCAGTTGTGAATAACTGGCCAGAAAACGATGTGAAGGTACGATGCATCCTCTTCTCATATGTGTGTGCTTCTCTTAATTCCAGCTTTGCTTTTTCAGCAATGGGGAAACTGGATAGATAAATACCGGGGGTTATTTGTCTTGCAGTCAGGGATTTGTGTCATGCAAGAACTATGAATATTGCACAGCCACCTGGTGCCATGTCTTGATGAACATGTCCTCCGCTTCTGGGTTTCTGAGTATGAAACTTAGGAACGCATCAAAACAGGACCATTTTTGTGAGACCCACTGTGCTCACTCTTTGAGCCAAACAGCTAGGCTCCACCAGGTGGGGGAAAACTGATTTAGGCAACTGTTTGCATCTCCTTGCTTCTCTACAATTGACAGAGCTTTCTAAAATGTGTGTGCATTGTGGGAATGTTCAGGGAGGCAGGAGAGGATATATTGTTTATTAATATCCTTCAAAACTTGCGCTAGCAAGTTCTATAACAGCAGAGTTTTACATTCCCCTTTTAAACGCACAGCAGATAGCTGGTTGCAGGCTTGTTTAAACCTCTCAATATTAGGTTCCTGGTAAGTTCCCTTATATCCCTCTTAAAAGAATGAACACGCCACAATCTTGTGTAAAGTATATACAGTGTTACCTTGGGTTACAGACACTTCAGGTTACAGACACTTCAGGTTACAGACTCCGCCAACCCAGAAATAGTACCTCGGGTTAAGAACTTTGCTTCAGGATGAGAACAGAAATCGTGCGGCGGTGGCACAGTGGCAGTGGGAGGCCCCATTAGCTAAAGTGGTACCTCAGGTTAAGAACAGTTTCAGGTTAAGAACAGACCTCCAGAACAAATTAAGTTCTTAACCCGAGGTACCACTGTAAAAGTAGTTTACTCACATCATCAGTTCACAGTTGGATTCCTGAAGGCAGACTTAGTTACAAAGTATATACCTGTCGATCTATCCCATATGGGGATAATTCCGGTGTCCTCTGTTGGCAGAAAGCCAACAGAGCATTTCTAGCTAAAAAGAGCTGCTCCAACGACAGAAGAAGTAAAAAATAGAAGGTGTGTTGCGTGCCTTGTCCGTTTGTTACCTAGACAGGTAAGGTCATGCCCACCTCTAGTCACATGCAAGAGGAAGGATGCTCCACGCCAGGAGGAAACAGGAAGTTTTCGACTGGCTGGACCAAACATTCCCCTGCACGTATTCTCTAGGAAAACAAGGAATGTTGGACTTGACTGCTACTTACGTATCACATCCCACATGCATGTCCACCTGTTCCCCAATCCAAGGCAATCCAAGTCTATTCTTTTTTTTTATTTGTGCAACCCCCACCTCTTTGCAATCTCAAAGTGGCATCTCATCGTCCCTTCTTTTGCCTATGGTTTAGTCAGGGAGCTGAGAAATTTCTTGGTTCCTCCTCCTCACTCCTGATCTGAGGGTTTCAGGATTCTCTGGGAAAGGGGAACAAACTGATTTGTCTATAGCGCAGCAGCTTGCCAGGTACTCCTAGTATCCCTATCCTAATTAGGAAAACAATTGCTTCTTCAGCCTAAACATTCTTACCTACCAGAAAAGAAAGACTGTAGAGATTTATACTGTACCTCTTCCATCTTTTACCTGTGTGCCTGAAGTTAATTTCCCCCTTGTGCCTTCAAGGCTGTTGTTGTCACAGATGGAGAACGGATATTGGGCCTTGGTGACCTTGGTGTGTATGGGATGGGGATTCCTGTTGGCAAGCTCTGCTTATACACAGCATGTGCTGGAATACAACCCGACAAGTGCCTCCCTGTGTGTATTGATGTCGGCACAGACAATCAGGTAAGTTACAGCACTGCCTCATCCCCTCTCCCGATACCAGTTTTGTATCGCTACATCGCTCAGACCTAGTGGGAGGTTTGGCCTTCCCTTTGTTTATGGGGTGTTGTTATTTAGACTTCCACGTTTTGGTTTGCCGCTTGGTTTGCCACAAAAAGCCCTAGCTTTTTCCAGTCAGGGACATGGGTGGCACTGTGGTCTAAACCACTGAGTCTCTTGGGCTTGCTGATTGGAAGATCGGTGGTTTGAATCCCCACGATGGAGTGAGCTCCCGTTGCTCTGTCCCAGCTCCTGCCAACCTAGCAGTTTGAAAGCACACCAGTGCAAGTAGATAAATAAGTACTGCTGCGCCGAGAAGGTATACGGCATTTCCATGCGCTCTGGTTTCTGTCACGGTGTTTCCGTTGCTCTAGAAGTGGTTTAGTCCTGCTAGCCACATGACCTGGAAAGCTGTTTGTGGACAAACGCCGGCTCCCTCGGCCTGAAAGCGAGTTGAGCGCCGCAACTCCATAATCTCCTTTGACTGGACTTAATCGTCCAGGGGTCCTTTACCTTTTATCTTTTTAGCCTTTTCTAGAGCCGTGGGTCCTCTCAAGAATTTCATGGCAGGTTGGATTTTGATTTGATTTGATGGATTTCTCTGCAAGATGAAAGCTAGACATAGGACAGCCTGGTTCTAGCATTTGCCTAGGCTGGTTTTCTCTCTGCAGAGGGAGTTTCATGTAGAGTAGCATTTGAAAACAATGTAGTCCTCTCCATTTTACAGTCTGAGGTGGTTCAGGCCATTCATTCATTCCACCATCCGATTCTGCTGCCTGGGTAGACACTCTTTTCTTGCAGAATGGTTGATTGATTTGATTGATTGCATTTCTATGCCAATTTTCGTTCGGACGAATCCCAAAGCGGCTTGCAAACAAGAAATAACAGTAATGTAATAAAACATAATAGGACATCACAAATACAGTATAAACCATATAAAATAGTTAGCAAATCATAAAACAGTTACAATCTATAAAACACTATTAACAAAGCAGCAACTTAAAAACGTCAAGATTACAGGAAATGTTGTATTATATGATTAACAAATCAATCCAACATTTATACTTTATTAAACAATATTAACAACATTAACAAAATAACAACTATAAGAAAATAAGCTAAGCACTGTTAAATTCACAACACACACTCCACAACCTATGACTCATAATCTTTAACACTATTCTGTTCATTAAAATACACATGAAATACATATAAAGCTTATTATTATTATTATTTGGCTTTTTTTGGATAATTTTATACATATAAAACATAACCATTTCAAACATTAAAATACAAGGTTCTTTTGAACTTTTGGATCTCCTTCTCTCCCTCCATGGGTTCCATGTTTAAGTTTAAATTTGCTGCATCTTTTACTATTATCCATCTATTATATAACCATAATTACCATAAATAATTCCACATTACAAGTGCCATTACATCCCTGCCAAAGATTTTAACTGTTTACAGTGGTCTTTTAAATAAATTACAAATTTACTCCAGTCCTTAGAAAATACTCGATCTTCCTGGTTTCGGATCTTCCCCATCAGTTTCGCCATCTCCACATATTCCATCAGTTTCATCTGCCATTCTTCTTTTGTTGTTATTTCTCCCATAATGCTCATTATTAAGCCAACTCAGCCAGATGTTTTTCTGTCTGGGGTCCTTGGGTAGTTGGACATGGTGGGGACGGTGGTCCTCGTCTGGGAGTGTAGTATTCTTAGTTTTATTTTTAAAGAGATGGTGAAGCGTTTAAAATTTGACTAAGGTGTGAAAGGCTACTTGATATCTGCTGCCAAAGTCCACACTTCCTGGGAATGGCACAAAATAAGTAAGTCCTCTGTAGAGCAGGGTACTGCAGAATGATCTAAGCGCTTCCTTTAATGGCTTTTGTTCTTCGTTTTCCACAGACGCTTCTTCATGACCCGTTTTATATGGGGCTCTACCAGAAGCGAGACCGCTCTCAGCTGTATGATGAACTCATTGATGAGTTCATGGAAGCCATCGTAGACAGGTATGCGTTCCAATAATCGCAAACATCAACCCATGTTCCAAGTACAGTGGTACCTCTGGTTATGTACTTAATTCGTTCCAGAGGTCCGTTCTTAACCTGAAACTGTTCTTAACCTGAAGCACCACTTTAGCTAATGGGGCCTCCTGCTGCTGCCGCACCGCCGGAGCACAATTTCTGTTCTCGTCCTGAAGCAAAGTAAAAGTAAAAAATAAGGAAGGCCATAGTTGGCTAGATGGACCAACCAACTCACTGTAAAGTAACTAAGTTAAGAAGAGAATCAGCAGCTTAGATTTACAAAGGTTTTCTTGCCTTGTTTCCTTACGTGGCAAGATTCTTAAATGGCTGTTTCCAAGTCTTGCATGAACATGCATAAAGTATTAAAACATTGTGCCCTTTGCAGCACAGCTATTGACTCCGTATTTCTCACGCTGCCCTCTAGGTACGGCCAAAACACCCTCATTCAGTTTGAAGACTTTGGAAACCACAACGCTTTCCGCTTTTTGAGGAAATACAGAGAGAAATATTGTACCTTCAATGATGATATACAGGGTAAATCATCCCCTCTTTGCTATCTGTTTTGATTATATTTTGCTGGCTGTATTTGTAGACGCCTTTTTTATTCCAGCTCTTTTCAGCAAGGTCTGTTCCTTTCACAGGGACAGCTTCGGTGGCCTTAGCTGGGTTGTTGGCAGCGCAGAAAGTTCTTGGTAAACCAATTACAGAGCACCAGATCTTGTTCCTTGGTGCAGGAGAGGTGAGTCGTGCTTCCGAGCGAGGCATGAAGTTCTTTCCCAGCTGGAAAAGGTTTGCGACTGACCTTTCACAGCTTTGTTGCAATGACCAAACGCAGTGAGGGATTACAGAAAGCTTTGCACATATAATATTGGCCTGTTTCACACAACCCACCAAGCCAAACTGTGGCTTAGCACACGCTCACAAGTATTCCTGGAGAAGTGATCGCTGCTGTCTCGCTCCTGGTCCTCCTGCTGATGCCTTGAGCTAAACCATGCTTTGGCTAAGTGCATCATCTGCACTCGGGCTCATGGTTTGCCTTGCTCTAGACTACTTAACTAATTTATTGAAAGGCAGTTGGTCAGCAGCTCTACAGAGTGACATACCATACTTTTCCATGTATAAGACTGTGTTCTTTTAATTCTAAAATAATGTTCAAAATCGGGGCTCGTCTTATACCTCTCCCCCCATTTTCTTAAATCGGAGTCCCCCCAAATAGGGGGCGTCTTATACATGGAAAAATACGGTATTTTCCCAGCATTTCTCTTATTTATCAGGCTGCCCTTGGAATTGCAAATCTCATCGTCATGGCTATGGTGGAAAGTGGTCTTTCTCCGGAAGAAGCTTATAAGAAAATATGGATGTTCGACAAATATGGCTTATTGGTTCAGGTGAGGCTTGGGGTTTGGTTGGGCACAATCTTATTGCTCTACTCCCCCCCCCCCCCCGCCCTGCCAACTCTCAATAATTCTTTATTTTTAAAATGTCTAGGGTCGGGAACAAACAGTTGATGCCAACCAAGAGTCCTTTACTCACGCAGCCCCAGACCAGGTGCCAAAGACCTTCTTAGAAGCAGTGAATGTGCTTCAGCCTTCAGCTATCATTGGTGAGTGTTGCGGACGCTTCTCATATCAGGTTAGCAGCCCAGAAATAATAATACTGATGCTTTCAGGAAGGGCTTTTAATGTCAGGTGGATACTACTACTACTACTACTACTAATAATAATAATTTATTTATACTCCTCCTATCTGGCTGGGCTTCCCCAGCCACTCTGGGCAGCTTCCAACAAAATATTAAAATACAGTAATGCATCAAACAGTAAAAGCTTCCCTAAACAGGGCTGCCTTCCCAAAGGAGGCTATGTGTTTACTGAGCACCAGACCTGCAAGAATTACATTTTCTACGGTGACTGGCCTGTGTGTGCTTGTACTGTCAACAGGTCTGAGGGGACACCCATGTGAATACTCAGTAAGGTAAAAGGTAAAGGTAAAGGACCCCTGGATGGTTAAGCCCAGTCAAAGGCAACTATGGGGTTGCGGCGCTTATCTCGCTTTCAGATTAAGGGAACCGCCGTTTGTCCACAGACAGCTTTCTGGGTCATGTCGCCAGCAGGATTAAACCGCTTCTGGCGCAACGGGACACTGTGATGGAAACCAGAGCGCACGGAAATACCATTTAGCTTCCCGCCAGAGCAGTACCTGTTTATCTACTTGCACTGGTGTGCTTTTGAACTGCTAGGTTGGCAGGAGCTGGGACAGAGCAACAGGAGCTCACCCTATTGCAGGGATTCAAACCGCCGACCTTTTGATCGGCAAGCCCAAGAGGCTCAGTGGTTTAGACCACAGCACCACCCGCGTCCCAACTGAACACTCACTGGGTGTGTTGGTCATCCTGTGCCATGCTATTCCCGATAAAGCAGAACTGAGCCTTATCCTCCATAAATTTATCGGTGGCTGCTAGTACTAGTGGCTAGATACTGCCTTCAGGATCAGAGGTGGCAGGCCCTGTTTAATGACTTCCCGTAGGCATTTGGTTGAATATTTCTGCGCCCAGATCCTCTTGATGCTTAAAGCCCTAAGAGGTGTAGGCCACAAATATCTGAAAGACCGCTTCCTTCCCTACAGTCCCTCTTGGATATTAAGATCAACAGAGGGGGCCCTCTTGATAGTTCCTTCACCCTCAGAAGCTTGCCGGGACGGGGGCATTCTCTGTTGCAGCCCCTCAGTTGTGCAACGTCCCACAGAGGTGTGGCTCAGGACCTCAATACCTCAAGGACCGCCCCTCCCCATATAAACCATCCCAGACTCTTCATGCATCATCTGAGGCATGACAAATGCCAGAGTGCACAGAAACACCATTTACCTTCCCGCCACAGTGGTACCTATTTATCTACTTGCACTAGCGTGCTTTTGAAATGCTAGCTTGGCAGGAGCTGGGACCGAGCAACGGAAGCTCACTCTGTCATGGGGATTCGAACCACCGACCTTCCGATCAGCAAGCCCAAGAGGCTCAGTGGTTTAGACCACCGTGCCACCCATGTCCCTGCCAGTTACGTGTGGAGACAAGGGAATATACAAACTTGCCATGAGATAAGACCTTACTGAGTCTGTGTGTTACCTGTCCTGCATTAACTGCTTTCATATCCCACTGGCATTGAGGCAAGTAGGAGCATGAGAAATAATTTTGCTTTAGCAGGAACGTGTGCCGTCACATCCCCAGAGTGGCCGTGCTGTGTCCAACCCAGTTGGCGCAGAAATACTTGCTGTGTTCCAGTGTCTTATTGCTACCATTTTTCAAAAAACTGCATGTGAGCCTCTTTTTGGCAGGAGGGCGGGGGAAAAGGCATCATGTTATTTGCTTCTTCCAGGGGTCGCAGGCGCAGGCCGACTCTTCTCCCATGACGTTCTCAAAGCGATGGGCTCCATCAACCAGAGACCGATCATATTTGCCCTGAGTAACCCTACTGCGAAAGCCGAGTGCACCGCTGAGGAGGCATACACATTAACAGAGGTGGGCCAAATAACTTGAAGCATCGCTGGTCATCACAGTCTTTCTCCTGGACTGTGCAGCTTGACTTGCTTGACTGAGCTGCCGGAAGCTTGATCAGGAAGCACCTTCTGTGCTGAAGACATTATGTGGTTGTGACTCGTGTGCTAGTGTGGCTGATCAGCTCACCTGCAGAGAACTGGTATCTGGTATCAATGGTCCTTTCCCTCTCTCACGAGGACCTCAAGAGACACACTGCCCAGATTTGCGCTCTGGGAGGTCACTTGGGTGCTGCTAACACAGTAGTTTGATTTCTTCTTTTCCTCCTCCTCCTCCTCTTCCTCCTCCTCCTCCTTCTTCCTCTCCTTCTCCTTCTCCTTCACTGATCACTCGTAGTCAAGTAAGATTGTCTTCCATGAACACAGTCTTAACAGTGAGTCCGTAAGTGACTGTGGAGGCCAATTCTGGATCCACATGTCCTTCCACAGTGGGGACATTGGTGGGAGTTGATCATGGTGAGGATTTGCCAAGCATGACTTCCTCTTAGCACGTTTCTTCCCTGCGTCCTGAGTTTGAGCATCTTCACAGCCCATGACACCTTTGGTAAAGGCTGTTCTCCAATTGGAGCGTTCGCAGGCCAGTGTTTCCCAGTTGTCTGTGTTTATACTACTTTTTTTTTTTTTAGATTTGCCTTGAGACAGTCTTTAAAGCTCTTTTGTTGACTACCAACATTACACTTTCCATTTTTAGGTTCTGAATAGAGTAGTTGCTTTGGAAGATGATAATCCCCAGAGGTGCACTCCATTGTCCCTTGAGACAGATGGATGCCAGCAGCAACAACTTCTGACTAGGCTCTAACTAGATATGGAATCGGCATGGTGGAGTAGAATCTCAGCTGCCCACCAGGAATATCTGCCCTACCTCTGGGTGTACCGGACATCCACACATTGGATGTCATAGTCACTTATGATCCACACACACCAGATCCAAAACACACAGACTGAATAGGGCAATATTATCCCTTTTTTTATGTGTTCAAAAGTTAACTGTTGTATTGTTGGGCTTACACACTTCCAAAGGCCCTATGGAAACATGGGTCCAGCGTATAGATATCTGGTAGGTTTGCCAATGGGGTCAGATTCTGCTGTAATGCAGTTTGCAGGGTGGATAAAAATCAATGATTTATTTATTTTAAAATAAAATAGGATTTTTTTTTATTTAAATCGATTTTTTAAATTTAAATTAGATTTTTAAAATAAAATGTTTTTGGAGGAAAAAATCTTTCTAAAGATAAGTTTTCTATTTAAGTTACATTATAGTCCAAAGGCCATCAGGAAATAAGGATTTGTTTTAAGCTTTTCATGTGTATTGAAACTCAGTCTAAGTTTTTTTTTCTTTATGTTTAACCACATCAGTTAACAAACATGGATACATATGCTATAATGTTATTGTTTTAGTTAAATAAATGGTTTAAATTGTTATTAATTGTTATTACTTTTCTCCTTCCAATAAAGTACAGCAGAAAAGTTGTACAAATATAAAAACAGTTAACTTATTCACTCCGGTGGGAAGGTAAACAGTGTTTCCGTGCACTGCTCTGGTTCGCCACAAGCGGCTTAGTCATGCTGGCCACATGACCCGGAAGCTGTATGCCAGCTCCCTCAGCCAATAAAGCAAGATGAGCGCCGCAACCCCAGAGTCATCTGCGACTGGACCTAATGGTCAGGGGTTCCTTTACCTTTACCTTTATATCTCATAGTACAACCAAATCAGTAATTTTTGATATAACTGTAAAAACTACTCTGAAAATGTATTATTCCAAAAATGAAACCTTCATCTGGTTGTAAATATTAAGATTATACCAGCAGGAATGCCTTTCTGTAAAAAAAAAAAATTGTTGTTTAGTCGTTTAGTCGTGTCCGACTCTTCGTGACCCCATGGACCAGAGCACGCCAGGCACTCCTGTCTTCCGCTGCCTCCCGCAGTTTGGTCAGACTCATGTTTGTAGCTTCGAGAACACTGTCCAACCATCTCGTCCTCTGTCGTTCCCTTCTCCTTGTGCCCTCAATCTTTCCCAACATCAGGGTCTTTTCCAGGGAGCCTTCTCTTCTCATGAGGTGGCCAAAGTATTGGAGCTTCAGCTTCAGGATCTGTCCTTCCAGTGAGCACTCAGGGCTGATTTCCTTCAGAATGGATCGGTTTGATCTTCTTGCAGTCCATGGGACTCTCAAGAGTCTCCTCCAGCACCATAATTCAAAAGCATCCATTCTTTGGCGATCAGCCTTCTTTATGGTCCAGCTCTCACTTCCATACATCACTACTGGGAAAACCATGGCTTTAACTATAAGGACCTTTGTCGGCAAGGTGATGTCTCTGCTTTTTAAGACGCTGTCTAGGTTTGCCATCGCCTGTCTCCCAAGGAGCAGGCGTCTTTTAATTTCGTGACTGCTGTTTTTTAACTGTTAACTGATGTGGTTAAACATAAAGGGAAAAAAACTTAGACTGAGTTTCAATACACACGAATAAAAAAATTTAAACCAAGTCTCACTGACTTAAATCAAATCCACCCTGGCAGTTTGTAATATTATTTGGCTGGAGACATGTGTGAGCACCTCTTGGTGTAGCTAAAAGTGTTGTGTCTGCCCAGTGTACAAATACTCACATGTATAAAATTGCAGTGGAACTTCATCTGTATTGTATTGCCCTTATTCTTGCAGAAGTGGCTTCCTGATGAATCGTTTCCTCTTTTTTCTATTTGACAGGGGCGTTGTCTGTTCGCAAGCGGCAGCCCTTTTGAGCCAGTGAAGCTAAGTGATGGGCGATCCTTCAAACCTGGACAAGGAAACAATGCATACATATTTCCAGGTAAAGCAGTTTGTTAAGAGACAATTTTGGCTTGTAAGAATCCAAAGGCCTCTTGCATTGCGAGATGGGCTTTACGATGGCAGGTTACAAGTTCATAATAAAATATATTTTTTGCCACAAGGGCATCAGGGAATTCTGTGCTGCCCCACAGAGAGCCAGTGTGGTGTAGTGGTTAAGAGCGGTAGACTCGTATTCTGGTGAACCGGGTTCGCTTCCCCGCTCCTCCACATGCAGCTGCTGGGTGACCTTGGGCTAGTCACACTTCTCTGAAGTCTCTCAGCCCCACTCACCTCACAGAGTGTTTGTTGTGGGGGGAGGAAGGGAAAGGAGAATGTTAGCTGCTTTGAGACTCCTTTGGGTAGTGATAAAGTGGGATATCAAATCCAAACTCCTCCTTCTCTTCCTCCTCCTCTTCCTCCTCTTCTTCTTCTTCTTCAGTTCCCTTCATGCTATTGGCTTTCAGTGCTGAGCGTTGTTGGTAGCAACGCTTATAAAAATAAACACTGCTGTTAGCTTCTACGCAAACAGCGGCATAAAAGCCTTTCAGTTCCGCAAATCCAGACGTTTTTGTAAAACGACTTTGAATGTCTCTGTTCTTTAGGCGTTGCTCTTGCTGTTATTCTCAGTGGGGTTCGGCACATTAGCGATCAAGTTTTCCTGGAGGCTGCGAAGGTAAGCGGTCCGAAGGCGAAACGCCTGGTGGGTGAAATAGTACGTGCATTGCAGTTTCCGCACGTGTGAGGGGATTTTCAAATGGAAAAGATAGAATATGAGTTCAAAACTGACCTGTGCATTGGTTGGCTTAAGAGGCTAGAAGCGAGGAGTTTGCTCCATGACGTCAAATGCCTTGGTTAGATCAGGGCTACCACAATGTGCTCTACATGGGGCTGCCTTGGAAGACAGTTTAGAAACGTCCTCTTGTTCAAAAACGTAGCAGCAAGGATGTAGACCGGAGCCCGTTACTGCAATTGCGTGGCTCCCATTATTGCAGCAACTTCACTGGCTTGAGAGCCATTTCCAGGCCTCAGCCAAAGTGTTGGTATCGTCTCTAAAGCCTTAAATGGCCCAGGACCAGTGTAACCCCAGATGGTGGTTCGTTCCTGTGTAATGTTTTTCTCTTTGTATTAAAAAAGGCGTTAACAGAGCAGCTGACTGAGGAAGAACTTGCTGAGGGACGGCTTTATCCTCCTCTTGCAAACATCCGGGAGGTTTCCATTAACATTGCCGTTAAAGTAAGTGCAATTTTGGGGGTGGCAGGAGGAGCGTTTGGATAGATGTACAGCCCACCTTAATTTTTCTGAATATCGCAGGGTGGAGCGGGTCGGGACAACCAATGATGTTCTAGGGGCTGGAATTGATTGTGTGGGATGAACCTAAACTGCCCATTCTAGGTGTCCGAACAAGGTTTGGATAATCACGATCATCATTGAACGGAAACCTTGAAGGACAAAGGTAGCACACGTCTGGGCCCAAAATGCCAAGGCCATCTTCAAGCCTTGTCTGTGAGCTTCCAGAAGCAATTGGCTGCTCGTGGTTGGAAACAAAATATTTCAATAGGAAGACACCAGTGATGGGGAATCTGTGGCTCTCTTTAGATGTTGCTTCCATCATCCCTGATGGTTGGCCTTGCTAGCTGAGGCTGATGGGAGATGGAGGGTCCAACGGCAAGCTGGAGGACCACAAGGAGGACTGTAGCTCAGTGGCAGAACATCTTCTTTGCGTGCGGACAGTCCCAGATCCAATTGCAGGCAGGGTTGAGAGGGACCCATAGAGAGGCACCCTCTGTTGCCTGACTCCCAACTCCCATTAGCCCCAGCCACCATGGCCCGACGGTCATGGATGATGGGTTTTGTAGTCCAGCATCCGAAGGGCACCAGGTTGGCTAGCCAGGGTGTAGACAATACTGAATGAGATGGACCAGCATAAATTCTGTGTTCCCCAACTCTGAGATGGATCATGGGAATCCTGCAGATCAATAATCTGATTTCCTCCCGCTCCAGGTTATGGAATTTTTGTATGCCAACAACATGGCGTTCCATTACCCTGAGCCTGCAGACAAAAACAAGCACATACGGTCGAGGATCTGGAACTACAAGTATGAATCGTTTCTGCCGGATTTGTATGATTGGCCAGAATCTACGGCGCATCCACCCAAAACACAGTGACTTGCCCAAGGGGGCGTGTTCTTCAGGTGGCACCTGAAATTCTGCAGGGAATCTCTTTCCGGAACAGATTTAAAACCAGGAACGTTTTGAGACTTTGATTTTTTTCAACAACGACAAAAGTATTTTTAAGCCTTGCCCCATAACAATTGCCTGGATTGCTCCTGGTGTAGATGTTCCTTCTGACGATTTGCATTCCAATGGATGGAAGTGACTTATCTGGAACCAAGATACAAAAACTTATACTGATTTTTTAATATAAAAAATTCACTTTTACAGTCCTCAGGGTCACTTAACCATATACAGGAAATCCTTAATTATCTTGTCATTCCTGTTATATAGACCCAGTTTATATATTTAGTGGTAGAGCTTCTTCTGAGCTGCCCCACTTCAGACTGCAAATGGTCTTCTTTATCTATATTGGAAACGAATAAACTCACCGAGTGTAGAAAATGAGCATGTCAGAAAGATTTGGCCTAGCCTTTTGTCATGTGCTGTTTTTCTGCTTGCACAGAACTTATTTTTTATGGAGAAAACATTCAAACAAGCAACCTTCCAGCATCTTGAAGTGGTACAGCGCAGAAATGGTTTTACCTCTTGATCCTGCTGCATGCATTAACTGGGCCTTAAGCTGGCTACCAAATCTCTTCATCCCTTTTTGTACTCTGGTTGCCTATTTTATATGTGCCCTGATGGCCCTTGCAGTTGTCTGATGTGCTGAGCTTTGTGGCCTCAATTGGGCAATGTCAGATTTTAGGACGGGCTACCAGCTTCCTTTGCAGGTAAACATGGCGAGTTGTCTGTTCTGAGCTTCGAGTAAGCAACTTTGCCCTTCTTAGCTCTGCTACAAAAACAAAAAGAAAAACAACCTTGCCAGCAAGCATGGTTTTAGAGTGCTTCCACATGGCTGTTTATTGTGAAGTCTGTGTTGTTAACAAATGCAGCATCCACACAATGTCACAATGCCTCCCATATTATTTTCCAGTTTAAAAATCCAGAAAATCTTCCAGAAAACCCAGCAAGTAACACCCTCCTCGCAAAAAAACCCCCAGACAATCAAACTGGCTTAAATGCAGTGGGCTAAATTATGGGATGGCATTTTGATGAGGATGATGTTTCAGGGATGCAGCAAAAAACTTTTATGCGTGAACAGCACAGAGTCCACAGTGTGTAAGTGACCTAAGTCTCTTGAATCTATACTAGGGGTGTGAGAACCTTTGACCCTCCAGATGTTGCTGAACTGGAACTCCCGTCATCCCTGGCCATTGGCCATGCTTGCTGGGGCTGATGGGAGTTGGAGTTCAGCAACATCTGGAGGGCCAAAGGTTCTCCACCCCACGTACCAGTGTTGGCTTCTACAGTGTTCCAATTTTGCCTTTTCAAAGTTTTTCTCTGCGGGGTGCTTACACTCCGTAGCCCCAAATCCTGGGCCTCCAGTGCATCCTCAGAGCTCTGTCCCAATGGCATCAGCATCGGGGTGGTCTTCCCATCTCTGCATTTCAGCATCCTGTACAGGTCATTCCCAGCTCCCTTGGAATTCTGCATTCGAAAACACATACACTCCCAAACTTTTGATTGAGGCATGTATTTAGGAATTGGCTTGAACTGGCTTTATTTTACAACATAATAGCAAGATTTGTGCCTCTTAAAACAAGGGGCAGTTTCAGTGTGGGCTTCCCCAGTGCTAAGTTGCATTTTGACCTGACCAGATGCAAGGCTTGCGTTTGGCCTGCAACGTGGTCAGTGAGCAGTCCGGCCACGGCTTCCACCCGACTGAGCCACCCTTAACTATAGATCCGCTATGTGTACAGCTGTTACAAAACTGATTTTTCAACCGATTGTACATTTAGTACAAAGACTTATTTGGTGCCTGGCTGTGTTTTTTTTTTTAATCTCTCAAATGAATTGTTACCTAAAATTGCGATGATAGTGGGAAATGGGGAGTGGGCATTTTCCCCTGTTTACTACGGAGAAACTTCTTCCGATAAGCATCAGGCGACAGCAGCTCTAGTTTTAAACAGACTTGGGAAACGGATTAGGTGCTGCAGAGTGATTTTTCTTGACCGCCTCATTTTGTGTAGAAGCAACAATGAGATATCGGGGTTTATATCTGGCACTCCACACTCGCTGCCCTTAATGGCTCCTCCTGCCAAAAGGGATGGAAGACATTTGTGATGAAAGCAATTAAACCAATCAAGCATACGGGGTACATTTCTGAACAGATTTAATTCGAATGTTCTCAGCAGACTGATGAGCTGCCGGACAAGCATCACTTAGTATTAGATTGGCATTATGCTAATGTCTTCTCTGCCATTTCCCCTACTTCACCTCTTTGCATAATTTTTTGTCTCCCAAGATGATTGCATGCTCATACAGCAAAGAGATGAATTTTTTGCACCAGCGAAGGTTGTGGTTACAAAAGGCGTAATTTACCAGGGTTTGCACAAGCTCCAGTAAATTCATTGGGGCTGTGCAAGCCAGCTACTGTTCTTTGGGTGAAGTCTCCTGGATTTCACTGAGGTTTGTGGACTGTTCCTGCAGCAGTGCTTATGCCACACTTCTCAACAGAAAGCAGAACAGAATGGTCCTTATCTCCTATACACACCCTCAAGGCTTTAAGAGTTGGATCATACATAAGGTATATGAACAGCCCAGTGTGTCATGGACACACAGAACATTCAAAGGAGTATTTTAAGGGTGTTTTCCATGCTACAGTTTTAAGATACAGGAGCACTCGCATAGTTTGAAACTGTCTTCCCACTGTCCTTCATAGGCATAGCTAGGTTAATGCAATTGGGCACATAATTTGCTAGATTCTAGAGGTAGTTGTGTGGTCATACTTGGATCCAAGTACACAAGCTTTGACAGAATGTATTTAGTCTGAGAGATAGTCCAGCTAATGTTTCCCTTCTTCCCATGTTGCTCTTGTGAGAACTGAGTTTACACAACTATCAGACCCTGCTGGATTGCACCTTCTTCAGACTCCAGGTGGGGAATTGCGTGCTTAAATGTTCCCCAGAATAAAAAGCGAGAGAGCGCTGTGCACATGCAAAACTAATATGTTAAGGAGAAAGTTGCCTTGAACCAACCTTCCCTTTATACTAGTTCTGTGATGTGCAGGAAGGTGTTTTAAAAAATAAAATAAAATAGGGATATTCAGATATTTATTTGCCCCCCTCAAGTGTGAAGTGGTAGTCTGGGAACAGGTGAATCTTGTGTTTGCTGAGCGTAGTTCAATTCCGATCCAATCAGTCTTCCTCCTCCAGGGATGTGAGCCTTCCATTCAAGTCAACCTTTGCAAGATTCTTGACGAATACCATTTTAAAAAATAGTACAAGTAAAACAACATGTGAAAAACAAGGCACTATAATGTAGCTGTGAGCGTAAGTTTCTCTTGTGTTATTGGCAAAAACAACAGTGGGGTGTCGGTAATGCTATTTAAAAGTGTGTCTTAGTTGTAATGTATTTTTTGTGGGGGGTTGCACACAAAATAGCATCACCTGGCACCTCTTTTAGGAGGGATTCCCCCTCCCCCTTGTTTGCCTTATAACATGGCTTCATCATTGCACTTCCCCACTTCCTAACCCTTGTTTTCTTTTTAGCGACGTTTATTTATTCTGTAAGTCGTTTTTAACGAATCTGTTTTAATGATTGCTCTTGCGGCTTTGTGCATGAAGATTGCTTTTCCATGAGTGCAACAGAAGGTTAAATGCTGCTTTAGAGGGACTGAAAGCAATTCTTCAGAAGAGGGTTCGTTATGTATTTGTACATCTTGTTAGCTTGGAATTCTTTTTTGAGAGGTGAAACTCGTGTTTGGAAAACTTGACCCGTGTCTCTCCTTAGCTGTCCAGCATCAGTGAAGGAGCTGTTCACACAACCGCCTGAACCCATGATGCCCTTTTGGGTCTGCGTAACAGCCACTATTTATTGAATTCAGCCCAGATCTGCTTTAGGCACATGCCACCAGAAATGTGACAGAAGCTACATTTTTGGAGATGTTCCGAAACCCAATGTGGTCTGAATTTAAAGGGAACATATGCATGTGTACACAATGATTTATACAACAGGAAATCTCTGTTGACTGCCATGTGCTGGTTGGGCTCCAGGATTTGGCCCTGAAACCATGTACTGTATACAGAAACAGGGACAGTTTTCTTATGGCTCAAGTGGGGAAACCCTTTCATTTTTCTGGCTCCTCTGCATGAGGAATCTTGATGGGAAATAAGAAACCCCAACTCTCTCTGGTAGCCCAAAATGTCCCAAGCGGAGCATAAAAGTAAGGCAATTTTAGTTCCATCAGCTGTTGTGTCTTGCATAAATGCTGTTTGGGCTGTTTCTAAAGCAAATCAAACACCTTTGTGGGAGCAATTCTTGCATAGTCAAAATACAAATCCTCAGGATGAACCTTTTTTCAGAATATGGTTTATTGCGAAGTAGTCTGTGTGGCTTAAAAATGAACAAACACTGTGTTTAAAAATGTGGGTTTATTTTTCTCCTTTGGTAATATTGTAACTGTACTGAGATATGTGTTAATGGTCTTCTATTTTCATAGTAAAAGCCGTCCCTTTTGCCTACGTTGTGTGTGTGAAACTATTATTTTGCCAAGTTGCATGAGCCTTCGGCTCACACACAAGGGAGCCCTGCCCCTCTCTACTCATTCATTCATTTAGGCAGCTTTTCTACACCATAGAATAATATTTGGAAGGGACCCTGAGTGTCATCTAGTCCAACGCCCTGCAATGCAGGAATATCAACTAAAGTATCCGTGACTGATGGCCATCCAACCTCTGCTTAAAAACCTCTATGTAATTAGTACTGTGATATGGTCTTTTGAAACACTGATATTGGAAACTGCTACATATAATTTCTAAGAAATTCGGATGGAAGAGATTCGAGGAAGTCAAATACTATGTTTATGAAGATGGATGGTACTTAATTTTAATTAATTAAGTGATAATATGTTGAATGTATCTTTTTTCTCTTTTTCTTTTCTTTTTTGTTTGTCTTTATTATTGTTAATCTTTTCTTTTTTTTTTACTATGTTTATCTACTGAGAATAATAAATATTATTTGGGGGGGGGGGAGGGAACCTCTCAAGGACGGAGAGTCTACAATTTCCCAAAGAAGACCGTTCCACTGTCAAACATCTCTTACCGTCAGAAAGTTCTCCTTTCTTGTAACATGAATCCATTGGTTTCGGGTCCTACCCTCTGGAGCAGGAGAAAACAAGTCTGCTCCATCTTCCATGGAAATAGCCCTTCAGATATTTGAAGATGGCCATCGTATCTCCTCTCAGATTACTCTTTTCCAGGCTAAACATGCCCCATTCCCTCAAGCATTCCTCATAAGGCCTGCTTTCCAGACCCTCGGTCATCTCGGTCGCCCTCCTCTGCACACATTCCAGCATGTCAGTATCCTCCCATATATAATATATATAATATTATTTATATTCTGGCTGGGTTTTCCCCAGCCACTCCGGGCGGCTTCCAACAAAATATTAAAATACAATAATCTATTAAACATTAACAGCTTCCCTAAACAAGGCTGCCTTCAGATGTCTTCTAAACGTCTGGTAGTTGTTTTTCTCTTTGACATCTGGTGGCAGAGTGTTCCACAGGGAGGGCGCCACTACCGAGAAGGCCCTCTGCCTGGTTCCCTGTAACTTGGCTTCTCACAGTGAGGAAACCACCAGAAGGTCCTCGGCGCTGGACCTCAGTGTCCGGGCAGAACGATGGGGGTGGAGACACTCCTTAAGGTATACTGGACCGAGGTAGTTTAGGGATTTAAAGGTCAGCACCAACACTTTGAATTGTGCTCGGAAACGTACTGCTTGTCAATATGCCTTTCAATCATCTTCATAGTGGTGCTGCCATAGGAAAACTGCAGCACTTATTGGCATCAGTGGACAGCACCGATCTGGAATGTGCACCAGGAAGGCTGACGCATAAAATCCTCTACATATGATCAAGCTGATGCATGTGATAAACTGCTTGTGGGTGATGCACCTGTCTTGTCCATGCAGAAGCAGGTCTCTGGCTTCCACAGGGTGGCCCCTATATATAAAGCTATATATGTATTTGGATAATGATAACAACACATACCTACATACTCAACAAGCATATATGAAATGGCAGCTGTTTGCATACATAGTGATATGTTGTACCTTTTCTTTTTAATTCTCAAGTTTTCCAAAGGAAAATAAAACAAATTATACAACATTTTCCAATTAGCATTCCATTAATGTTCGACTTCCCCTCCACCCTTCCATGGTGGAATTTCCTAATACCGCTACATATTAAAATTATACTATGCCATCTCTCCTCCACCTCTCAGTGTGGCGGACGCGGGTGGCGCTGTGGTCTAAACCACTGAGCCTCTTGGGCTTGCTGATTGTAAGGTTGGCAGTTCAAATCCCTGTGGGTGAGCTCCCGTTGCTCTGTCCCAGCTCCTACCAACCTAGCAGTTCGAAAGCACACCAGTGCAAGTAGATAAATAGGTACCACTGTGGCAGGAAGGTAATAGTTTCTGTGCGCTCTGGTTTCCTTCACAGTGTTCCGTTGCGCCAGAAGCGGTTTAGTCATGCTGACCACATGACCCACATGTGGACAAACGCTGGCTGCCTCGGCCTGAAAGCGAGATGAGCGCCACAACCCCATAGTTGTCTTTGACTGGAATTAACTGTCCAGGGGTCCTTTACCTTTACCTTCTCAGTGTGTACACTTTGCTGCTGTTCTTACTTGAAACTGCCTTGCGTTTTAACACGTTAACAAAAAAAATTAAGCAATCTACAAACTTTTCCCAGTCCTCCTTATAAACTATCTCACCTTGCTCTCTTAATTCATCTTCAGAAGAATCTTTATTTACACCAGCCACTAGCCATAACAATAAAATAAAAATGTACTGAAGATAGAGGTAAAAACTTAACTATACAAAATACATTCTGGATAGATAAATAAAACTTTATTCGCATTAGCCAATGGCCATAGCAACAGTAAAACATTACAGTATACGCAGAAAAGGAAATTTGATATAAAAGCACAATTTAAAGTCCTGAATCAGCAGTCAGTTAGTGGCCCTTATTCTGATTGCGCCTGCTATGAACCTACCAACCTTTGCTGTTATCTGCTCATTTTGATCTGATAGGGTTTACATCAATAATCAAATAATAGCTCTTATTCTAATTGCCCATGCATTTTTTTTTTTGCTGTCACCTGATTATTTTGATGACAGGCATGTCCAACTCTCAAGAGACCCTGATCTACTCCCAGTATTAAAAAAAACCTGGCAGTGATCTACCCATTGTGTGTTGTGTGGGTGGATTGCCCAGAGTTGTTGAACTTTTCGGGGGGGAGGATTGCAGGTTTTTTTAGCTTTCCCCCCCGTAACTTTTTGTACGCAAGGATCCTGCGATCCACCAGGATCAGCACGGGATCTACCAGTTAGATATCTCTCTGCTAGAAGAAAGGACACAGTAGCAATGGTTGAGCGATGTGGTATGGATAGTAGAGGGGTAATAAGTAATAACCTCACTCCTCAAATCTTTATAGAGTACAAACCAGAAGCAGATGAGCTACTGATTCAATACTGCCATTTCCACAGGGACATAACCGTTTTTCCAGGGGAGTTTTTTGAAATCGACCCTCAAGTACAGTCTGTATTCTGGAATTGCTAAATTTTGCAAATAGAGTGCCAACGTGTCAAAATGACTAGGTGGGAAATAATCCTAACCATGGACAAAATTTCCTTGTCGCGGCCAAATTTTTCTGCCGCTCGGTATCATATAGGCGCTGCCTAATTAAATTATTTGCTTTCCTAAAACCCAGTGCTGAGAACTGTTGTGGTGATAAACACCAGAAACGTAAAGCTTTGGGTTGACCATTTTAGTCCAATTTTACTAGTTAAACTTGCTAATTCAGCCTATTCCATCAGTTTCGGCTGCCGATTGTACCTTTTCCTTTTATGCACTTTTTAATATACTTTGCATAAAATAATGAAATTAGAAGCGTTCCCGATTTCCAGCCATTTCACCTCCAGACTCGCCAGCAGCTGCATCCAAAATGCCAAAGCGGTTCCTTTTCTTCCTCTGCAGCGGCTCCTCCTCCTCCTCCTCCCCCTGAACGGACTCAACCCCGGAACCTATTGCCTTTCCTATTATGCTCACTTCCTGAGCATGCGCAATAGCCCCCCCATCCCGCAGGAGAAGGGCGCCTCTGAGCTTGCAAAGAGAGCAGTTCATTCCTCCGGTTCCGGCTGCTTGCTTGCAAGGTTCGTTTTGGACCGGGGAAAGGTCCGAATGAGCAAAACTGATTTTCAAGCAGGAAGGCTTGCTAGAGCCCCGAAAAACCCTCCTCTTTAAACAAAAATCACCTATTCTTTATTTTCTTATTTCCCTTCCTTGGTAGCCGGGCTCTCAAGCTAAGAGGACTCCGAGAGAGAAAACCCCAGGTGGGTAGGAAAAAACCCACACACACACCAAACGCCCCATGAAACTGTAAACGAGCTGCTTTTACGCCCAGGAGCAAAATCAGGTGGCGAACTCCAGCTCCCATGAGCCCCAGCAATGACTAGGGATGATGGGAATTGTAGTCCAACGCTATGGGGGGGGCGGCGGAATTCCCAGGTCGATGAATGCCATCTGCAGATTGGCTGAGGTTCTATGCATGCCAGGAAAGGGTTAAAATGCATGCCATTTTTAAATGCTCTTGTCTTAAAAAAACCACACCAGCATTCTCTGCGAAAGGAAAGCTTGACATGGAACAGCCTGGTTCTAGCATTGATCAATGCTGGTTTTTTTCCTGCAGCGAGAGTTTCCGTTTGGAAGCAATGCTATCCCTCCTTTGCAACCTGAAGTGGCACAGGCCATTCTATCTGGGGAGACACGCTTTTATTGCAGAATGTTTGATTTAGTTGGTTGGTTGCAGTGCCAGATTTACGTATAAGGTAAACAAGCTATAGCTCAGGGCCCCACTCCCTTGGCCCACCCCCCAAATTTCACTATTAATATACTGTAAAGGTAAAGAGACCCCTGACTGTTAGGTCCAGTCGTGACCGACTCTGGGGTTGTGGCACTCATCTCGCTTTATTGGCCGAGGGAGCCAGCGTACAGCTTCAGGGTCATGTGGCCAACATGACTAAGCCGCTTCTGGCGAACCAGAGCAGCGCACGGAAACACCGTTTACCTTCCCACCGGAGCGGTACCTATTTATCTACTTGCACTTTGACGTGCTTTCGACGTGCCTTCCAACTTGGCGGCCATCACTCATTACCTCTTTGGGAGCAGACTTCTTTTGTCTGCCTTAAATCTTGCAACATTGAGCTTCATTGGGTATTCAAGAATCCTGGTGTTTAGGCCTTTACGCCTTAGTAAGTGTGCGTAGGATTGCAGCCTAAGCCTTTACCAGTTCATTTTGATGTCACGTAGCTTTTCTCTTTGTGCATGGGGCCAGAAAGCCCAAAAGTAAATCCCATTTGTTACTGTCTCCGCTAGGGTACCGCGCTGATTTGGAGCAAAATGGCGATGGATGTTACTTTCCTGGGAACCGGGGCTGCCTACCCGTCTCCAACGAGAGGGGCCTCGGCTACGGTGGTCCGTTTTGAAGGAGAAAGCTGGTTGTTCGATTGTGGCGAGGGGACGCAAACCCAGTTCATGAAAAGTCATCTGAAAGCAGGTCAGCAAACTCCATTGTCTCTCGAGTCAGATATAACCAACAACCTCTTTTCTAAAGTCACTGGTAGAAGCTAAAAGTTCTAGCCAAGCTGGCAGCTTTGGAAAAGTATGTGTTTCCAGTTCCATGCTTAAGGCTGCAATCCTATATACCAAGGTGTTGCCAACCATTTATTATCCCATGGAGGCACAGGTCAATTCTGTGTCCAGCGCAGTTGTTTACCAGCTCTATCTGGTACGCAGGCTGAGACCCTATCTGCCCGTGGACTGCCTTGCCAGAGTAGTGCATGCAACCAAGTAGTGGTTACCTCCCGCTTGGACTACTGCAATGCGCTCTACGTGGGGCTACTTTTGAAGGTGACCCGGAAACTACAACTAATCCAGAATGCGGCAGCTAGACTGGTGACTGGGAGCGGCCGCCGAGACCACATAACACCGGTCTTGAAGGACCTACATTGGCTCCCAGTACATTTCTGAGTACAATTCAAAGTGTTGGTGCTGACCTTTAAAAACCCTAAATGGCCTCGGTCCAGTATATCTGAAGGAGCGTTTCCACCCCCATCGTTCTACCCGGACACTGAGGTCCAGCGCCAAGGGCCTTCTGGCGGTTCCCTCACTGCGAGAAGCCAAGTTACAGGGAAACAGACAGAAGGCCTTCTCGGTAGTGGCGCCCGCCCTGTGGAACGCCCTCCCACCAGATATCAAAGAGAACAACAACTACCAAACATTTAGAAGACATCTGAAGGCAGCCCTGTTTAGGGAAGCTTTTAATGTTTGATGTATTACTGTATTTTAATATTTGGTTGGAAGCCACCTAGAGTGGCCTGGGAAGTCCAGCCAGATGGGCGGGGTATAAACAATATATTATTATTATTATTATCATTATTATTATTATTATTATTATTATTCATTTGATGTTTTATTTCATATAATATTTATTGATTTTGTTAAGAATGACAAACAGAGCCAAGAATGCAATAAAATGAAGAATCTAAAGTGCAGGCCAGGAGGCATCACAATAATAAAATATTGACTCATACTGATTATGATAATCGATAATGGGTGGCATGCCTATCTAATTTATGAGAAGGTGAAGTCTTCCTGAATCATCTAATAAGGAAATCATTATATATGATCTGGATAAAATATAAAGGAATATTGGAACCAAAATTACCTCTGTGGACCTCGCCGACAGAAGCGATGGCAGTTAAGAAAAAGAACAACTCCATATGCCTGTTCTAAAGGTGGAACGGAACTATATCCTAATATATTTGTACTTCTCTGGTGTGAACTTCTGTTTTCTCCATGTGCTGTTTTCAAAGTATGCCTCCTGAATTCTCTCATCTCTAATCCATTGTTGTGTTTTTAGGTAGGATTGCCAAGATCTTTATAACACACCTCCACGGCGACCACGTCTTTGGCCTGCCTGGGCTTCTTTGTACGATCAGCCTCCAGAGTAGCCCTGCCACAAACAAGCTGCCGGTTGAGATTTATGGACCTCTTGGGCTGAGGAGCTTCCTTTGCAGAACTTTGGAGCTTTCCCACTCGCAGCTCACCTTCCCCTGGGTCGTTCATGAACTGGTGCCTACGCCAGACCAGTGCCCTGCAGAGGAACGGAAGGAGCTGTCTTTTGTGGACGGAGACAAGGTCTCGTCTGAAGAGGCACCAGGAAAAACCCTTCGCCTGGACCCTCTAGAAGACTCGTACAGCTTGGTGGACAACTCTCAGTTTGTGGTGAAGGCGTTTAGGCTGTTTCACCGCATACCTTCCTTCGGATTTCTCGTGGAAGAGAAGCCACGGCCTGGCAAACTCAACGCCCAGAAGCTGAAGGAACTAGGTAATAACAGACCTGCCTCTTACGACCCTTGGGAAAACTGTCCTGTAGCAGGTGTTATGAAGTTTGTCTTAAAACAGGGACAACCAACAGGTACTCTCTAGATTTCATGGATATCAATTCCAAGCAGCCCCTTCCCGCATGGCCATTGATTATGGATGATGGGAATTTACACCTCTGAAGGGCACCCAGTGGTTACCTCTAGTCTCCCCCCCCCCTTTTTTTAGTGAGACCTGCAACAGAAAGTTGCAGCATGGAGGTTTCCTGTTCAGGGTGCCAGCCAGCCAAGCCCTCTCCTCAGGGTACTCCATTCCATTGCCCCTCCCTTGCCCAGCAGACAGTGTTCTGTGGCCACTGAGCATGCTCAGTCCTCATTAGAATGTTTTTTTTTTGGGGGGGTAAGATTTTTACATCGGCAAACTTTGCAATTTCCCCGATTGTACCCTTTTGTGTGTGAATGGTCCTGTTTTGGCTACAGAAGGATTGATACTTGAAGAATGGTTTTGCTGTTAGCATATAGGATGCTCCGCATCATGTTAATCCGGTGGTCCAATCAACATTAGCACACACCATGCCAAATCCTGGTCAATGTACTAATATTCATTGGATCCCAGTCAAGGTTCGATTTTACCCCCAGGCAGGCTGGGACAAAGCGGCTTGTTTGTATGGCTCAGCTGGCGTTCTGGAGTGCTCCTGATCCCCAGCTGAGACACCCCTGGTGTTTCCCCCGCTTGAGTGGGAGCCAGCACTGGGCTGGGGGCTCCTTTAATTGCTCTGTCGAGGGTAGCGGCAACTGCACACTCCTCAGCCAAGCAATTAAAGATACAGAGGGAGGCAGAGTGGGATGGCGGTTTCACTCAGCGGCATATCGCTGGTGAAACCGCCACCGTTCCTGAGTCCCTCTGCTAGCAACGCTCGCTGGAGGAAGTCGCTAGCAGAGGGACTCAGAAGCGGTAGCGGTTTCACCAGCAATATACCGCTGAATGAAGCCGACATCATGGTCTGTTCCTGGGCGATATATCAATATACGGTGGTACCTTGGTTCTCAAACTTAATCCTTTCTGGAAGTCCGTTCCAAAACCAAGGCGTGCTTTCCCATAGAAAGTAATGCAAAATGGATTAATCCGTTCCAGACTTTTAAAAACCCCTAAAACAGCAATTTAACATGAATTTTACTATCTGACAAGACCACTGATCCATAAAATGAAAGCAATAAACAACGTACCGCAGTCACACAATCAAACAGTAGCCGAACTGGGTTCCACACAGTCACAAAAACAAAACAAGGAGAGCCGCAAAAACGCAAAATAAATAGCAGAAACAGACAGACCTCAGCGTAACACTCAAAATGGAAGTGTGACACACAAATCGGAAGCGTAATACTCAATTCGGAAGTATAACACTCAAAACAGAAGTGTGGCACTCAGATTGGAAGCGTAACACTTAAAATGGAGCATGTTTGGCTTCCGAAAAAAGTTCGCAAACCGGAACACTTACTTCTGGGTTTGCAGTGTTTGGGTTCCAAGTTGTTTGCGTACCAAGGCGTTTGAGAACTAAGGTACCACTGTATCAGCCAGGCCTACTTGTAAACGATAGTCGTACTTAGCATTTACTTCAGGCAGAGTATCTCAACAGTTCCCACAACGGCCCTGAACTGTAGGTCGACATTGTGCTGCTGGCAGAGGTAGCCGTGAGAGATTTGAGCAGAGGGCTTCCTGGTACACAGCGCCACCTCTTAGCCACTGCTGTACACTTGATGGATTCAAATTCCCACAGCGCCTCTGCTGACTGTCGTGAGCGCTGACGTCACACCGCAGCTCCCGAGTGTGACTAATAACTTTCCGAGCAGGGGAAACGGCTTGCTTTTGCCCATAAAAGAGAGTGCTGTGGCACCTTAGGGAATAATTAATTTAGCACAGTGCTTGTGTGTGTGTGTGTGTGTGTGTGTGTGTGTGTGTGTCTTCAAAGCCATCGGCCTGCTCCATGTAATCGCCATTGGTTTCATGTGGGATGTGCTTTCGAGGCCAGTCTTTGAGATGCCTGCGCTCTTCTTTCCCTTTGCTGTTGCAGACTAATGCACATACAGTGGTACCTCAGGTTAAGTACTTAATTCGTTCTGGAGGTCCGTTCTTAACCTGAAACCGTTCTTAACCTGAAGCACCACTTTAGCTAATGGGGCCTCCTGCTGCCACCGTGCCGCCGGAGCACGATTTCTGTTCTCATCCTGAAGCAAAGTTCTTAACCTGAGGTAATATTTCTGGGTTAGCGGAGTCTGTAGTGTATGTAACCTGAAGCGTATGTAACCCAAGGTACCACTGTATTTCCCTCGTTTAGAGACGCAGGTAATGTTGGTTAATGCTTCTGATCAAATCTGAAAACTTTAGTGCAGAAATCTATGCGGGGTAAGAGCCGAGCTCCTTCCACCCCCACCCCCCCAAAAAAGCATTTCAAAGTAGAGCATCCTTCATGTAACAGGGAAGGAAAAATCAGTATTGCATAAGATTATAGCTCTACCCTTTTTATTTTTCAACCAAAGCTAACTGAGAGCTATATTTAATGTGTGGGGTTGTAGTATCAGGCTGGCCTTGGCTGAAGCACTGCAGATGTCATATTGCAAGTATTAAAATATATCATCTATAGGGCAAAAAGTCAGGTGGCAATGGATGCAGCGAGAAAGGGTTGAAAAGGAATCTGAATAGGATGGAACTTTTTCATGTGTAGAACTCGTTAGACAACAGAAACAATTCAGTACCTAAAAATGGAAACCCTGCATGCACTTTATTCTAAACTCAGTATTTCCCCTGCATAAAATGTTAAATCATACAGACTTGGAAGGGACCCTGAGGATCATCTAGTCCAACCCCCTGCAAAGCAGGAATATGCAACTGCCCCTTATGGGGATTGAACCTGCAACTTTGGAGTTATCAGCACCACACTCTAACCATCTGAGCTGTCCAGCTAAATGTTCTTTAGCAGTGGTCACTGATGCAGGGAGGGAATGGTTATGGATCTGGGACGGATCATTGGATAGGTACCATCAGAGGAAAAAGTATGCTGCAGAAAATGCCTGCATATTTTGCAAATGTGCATTCATAAGGACTAGAAACTTGGTGGCATGGATGCGTGAATTTTTGGGGAATTGCCGATTGCTCAAAAGTGTGTTTAAAATTTTGTGGCAAGCCAAGCTTCTTGACAAATAGCTTTGGACCTGTGCTTTAATTTCTAGGAGTCCCACCAGGCCCTATATACGGCAGACTGAAAGACGGGGCTACAGTTGTCCTGGAAAACGGTACAACCATCTTTCCTTCAGATGTCACGGAAGACCCGCTTCCTGGGAGAAAAGTATGCATTTTAGGAGACTGCTCTGGCATTGTAGGAGACGGAGCGGCGGCCCTTTGTTACGGAGCCGATCTCTTGGTTCACGAAGCCACGCTGGACGATGCCCAGGCAGACAAGGCGAAGGAGCATGGTCACAGCACTCCACGGGTGGCGGCGGAGTTTGCAAAGTTGTGCAAAGTGAAGAAACTGGTTCTGTCTCACTTCAGTCAGAGATACAAGCCCGCAGGTCAGACTGGTGAAGGAGATGTGGATGTCATGGAGCTGAAGAGGCAAGCCGAGGAGGTATTGGATGGCCAAGAAGTGGTGTTAGCCGAGGATTTTATGACCATTGATATTCCAATGAAAAAAGTAACAATAGTGCCGCCAAATTAATTTGCTGATAGGCTGAACCTCTAGCTATAGTTTACTTCCAAATTAGTTTCTTAATGCCCACTTGGAGGCACTTATGGACCTGATTCATTGGACTTACTTATGAGCACTTTTCCTACTTGAAAGACCTAATCCTTGCTTTCCTTTTGACAAATATATTAATTAAATCATCAAAAGACTGGGCTAGCTAGCTTACTTTCTGCTGAAGGCATATTGAGCTGGCTTAGCCTTTGATCTCAGGCAAACCATTACAAATTTCAGTTTCCTAAACTAAGCATTCTTACGAGTCATAATGCGTATCTGTTGAAAATAGGTTTGGCGTGAAGTGCAATCTGGGATGGAATTATAATGGGGAAAAGGTGGGTAGACCCTAGTGCCTGCAGGTGATATCAGGCTCCATGATCCATCTGCCATAACACAGACCTGTGCAACGTGGCAAAATCATAAAACAGGGATTGGAAATATGTGCAGTCAGAGAACTCAAGTGCACGATCATATCCACAGACTGCACATCAACTCACAAAACCACTGTTCATTTATTTAATAAAATTTATATCGCACTCGATTGTCAGAAACCTCAAAGCGGTTTACAAAAAGAACGCTAAAATTATCAGTCAAAACTGTTAAGAACAACCATTTTTACAATTCAAAACAATATATAATCAGTGATAAACTAAAAACAGATTAAACACACACACCCCGGCATGATAGATATCTATGTAGGCATGTATAAACAAATATTTTTTAGCAGGTGGCAGAAAGAGTACCGTGAAGGTGCCTGCCTCATGTCAAGTGGCAAGGAGTTCCAAAGTGCAGTACCACCGTAATCAAATATCAGTTTCTTACAAATGCAGTTTATTTGGCACCTGCGCTGTGGGTTAAACCACAGAGCCTAGGACTTGCTGATCAGAAGGTTGGCGGTTCGAATCCCCACGACGGGGTGAGCTCCCGTTGCTCGCTCCCTGCTCCTGCCAACCTAGCAGTTTGAAAGCACGTCAAAGTGCAAGTAGATAAATAGGTACCACTCCGGCGGGAAGGTTAACGGCGTTTCCGTGCACTGCTCTGGTTCGCCACAAGCGGCTTAGTCATGCTGGCCACATGACCCGGAATCTGTATTCTGGCTCCCTCAGCCAATAAAGCAAGATGAGCGCCGCAACCCCAGAGTCGGCCACGACTGGACCTAATGGTCAGGGGTCCCTTTACCTTTACTAATAGTACCACAAGAACTGGTGTTCAAATTAGGAATGCAGCAGAAGGCAGCTCTGTGCTGGAGGCTTCGCTTTAGCAGAAGCCGCTGCATAGAAGCGAGATGCACGCGGGATTGTGAAATGTGGTTCATCTCCTCTGCAGCTTCTAAAATGTCACGAAACTGGATATCTTTTACTTCCCCTTTTGCTTTTTGGATCCAAGTGCATCCAGAGTTTAAAAATACTTCTGCCTCCCCCGAGATCCCATCCGAGCTCAGATGTCCTTGATCTAATTTTAAACTTGGCAGGCACATTGGGCATGAAGGCTGAATCTTTCCCATGTTCAAAGAAAGAGGGCGTGGCTTGGGCCAAATATCCCAACTGCTGCGCACATTCTCCCCTTTAAATAGCATAGCCTGGCTCGGCTATCCCCAGGGTTTCCTCCTGTTCAGCGTCCCAAGCCAAGGAAAAATTTCCTGCAGCTAATCACTGGGAGTTCAACACTTTCTCCCTGCAAGCAGGTCCCTGATCCAATTTGTAATTACTGCATCTAATCGCATCCCAAGTGCTAGGTGCTTTTATGGTTGGTGTGGAAATCTGAACCGTGGGAATCGCTGGACTTTGGCAACCAGCAAGCAAGCCCAGCTTTTCACAATTGGATTCTCTCGCCTTATTGACCCAAGTTGAAGTTGGGCTGGAAAGGACCTTACACCCCATCCCAAAAGTGAGGAGGGGGAGGTCATTTGGTGGTTCCCCTCAGATCCCTTGCTTTATACAAACAGACTTGTTTGAAGGGGTCCTGAGGATCATCTAGTCCAACCCCCTGCAATGCGCGAATCTCAACTAGGTCACCTATGATTTATGGCCATTCAACCTCTGATTGGGAATTTGTGTGCGCCCGTGTGCCCCAAACCCAGCGCTGCTGGCAGATCAAGGCTGCTGGCTGTCGCCTGGTAGCAATCCAATACCGCGTGCACGCTGCAAACAAGAAGCAGTGCGGGTTTTTTAAAAGCAAAATCGGCGGTATTTCCGGGAAGGAATCGACGCTTCCTCGCCAGCCAGCAATTTCAGGGGAAAATAAAGTGTGTTTTTTTAAAAAAAACCGCCCGCCCGTTCCGTGTTCGCACGCTGACGACGCTCCTGAAAACCAAAAACCCAACTCCCTTTCCCTCTCCTGGTTCCCGCGGTTATTCCGCGCCCGCCCGCATTCTTTTCCAAGGAGAAAAAAAAAAATCTAAGGGCGCCGTCGCCTGGCTTGCCCTCGACTGAGCATGCGCGCTGTGTGCACGCTTGCGGGAGGTGGTGAAAGAGCCGTAGCAGAGAGCGGCGTGCGGCGGCGGCGCGACAGAGAGAAGCAGCAGCAAGCGCGGGAGGGTGGGAGGGAGAAGGGAAGAGAGAGGGAAAAACCCGGATGTGGCGCATGCGCGCTACGGCGCCTGCCTGGCCGTGTCTGCGGCGGCAGAAGCAGCGGCACCAACAACAACACCAGCCAGCCAGAGGCACGACGTAGGAGGTGGTGGCAGCGGCGGCGGCGGCTGGAACGTTCCTCCCTCCTCCTCCTCCTCCTCCTCGTGCCTCGGCCCCCCCTCCGTCTGCGCGCGCGTGCGCAGAGCGAGAGGCCGCGGCGCCCCTCAGGAAGCCTCCCCCCTCCCGGCTCGTCTCCCTCAGGGCCGCTGAGGAGGCGGGAAGGCGATCGCGAGGGGCGGCCGAGGAGGTGGGTTAGGGGCGCCCAGGAAGGCCCCTCACCGGAGGGCGGGCGGGCAGGCCGCGGCGGCGCCTCTGCTGCTGCTGCCGCCGCCCGACACGGGGTCCCGGCCGAGGCCCAGGTAACGCCCCCTCAGCCCCTTCTTCTTTCCCCCTCTCCGCCGCTCGGGCTTTTGTTTTCGCTCCGCTCGCTTTATTTACTACTTACTCGGCCTTGAAGCTCCTTCCCGAGTTAAGAGGCGAGGAGTAGTAATCTGTGTGTATAAACATTGCGAGGCTGTGATTGTAATAAATCTGCCGCGAGCAGAGAAGGAGAGACAAAGGGAGCCTGGGAGGTCTGTTTTCCCTACTCTCCCCCCCTCCCCCGGGATCCCCTTTTGTAATGATTTAAAAAGGAAACTCTGCACGTCTACTCTACTTGAGTTACTCCCGAGTAACTCCTGCCTAAGATTGAAGCCCGAGCAGTGGCTCTGGGCGGGTAAGGGGGGGCTCTTCGTGGAAGCCCCCTGCAAATCCGCTTCGAGACTTCATTATTCTAATTTTTTTTCCTGCCCCCTTTGCGCGGTGTAAGAGTTCCAGAAGTGTTTCTTTCATCTGTTGCTCTTGCAGCGGAAGGAGGACCCCCCCTAAAAAATATGGTACCTTTTAAAGGCTTTACGGGACTAGTTGGTGGAATCGTGAAGGGTTTTTTTTGGGGGGGGGTTCCCCCGAGGGTCGTCTAGTCCACCCCCGTGCAATGGCATGAGTGGGTTTTTGTTTTGTTTGCAGCAGAGCAAGAACACTTGCCACAGTAAACCTGCTAGTTTTTTAAAGTATTGTAAAGCTTGTGGTGACACTGTTGTGGCGAAAAGAACAAAGAGCTTAGTGGCACCGTAAAAACCTAAAACAGAGTTACTGTTTGCATGAGCATTTATGGAATAGCGCCTGCTTCATCTGATGCAGGGAAGAAAATCTGTTGCCACCGTACATCTGCTAAATCTCTCACGGGTTGCAAAGCTGCTCTTTTTGAATTATTGCGGTTAACAGTCCTGTGGCACCTTGGAGACTAGCAGTCTTATTGTGATGAGTTCTTCTGCATCTGATGAAGCAGGCGCTAGTCCGTGAAAGCTCATGCCATTTTTTTTTTAATTAAAAAAACACCTGTTAGCCTTTAGTAGTAACCATAGTAATGAAGTGCCCTCAGCAACATGAGACAGTTATGTCTGTGTGTATTATTATAAAATGCATGGATACTTCTGTTAATTTTCATTTAAAGAATGAATTCAGAAAACTAATTTTAATAATTAGCTGTAATGCTTCATATGTTTCTGTGGGTTGCTGTATACCTCTACAGTAAGTTAATGAAGAAGTTGGCTATAACCAACTTCATTAAAACTTGATCTGAAAAGTTGCTCCTGAATGTCATGTTTAAAAGCTCTATTATTATGTCTTTCTGGATAATAGCCCCCATCCATATTTAAAATATGGAAGGAGATTACACACCCACAAGAGGTGAATTGGTGGGTCGAGAGAGAAGCTTTGTAAAGCATGCTGTGATGTGCCCGAAAAAAGTGATCTGGAAGTGAATAATACTGCCTGAATCAGTGGTAGTAAGTGGGAAGCATTTTGTACAGTCAATATAAGAAGCTTGTTTTTGTCATACAAGGATTGTGAAGTACTGAAATACAAGGTTATAGAAGCTATTCACTTCTTTAGAAGAAGTTCTTTATGCTTTATTCTTTATGTCTGAAGAAGTTCTTTATGCTTCTTCACATTGTTGTTAAAACACAAAGCCTGATGTAAAAGTACTGTAGAAATGTGAGTCAGTGTTGGATCTAGGTTCCAAATCTAGCCTTGGGGTATTGCTAGCTATTGCCTTTCAGCCTTAGTTTGTGAAAAGAAGGGTGGGTTATCTATTGACTTTAATCTTAGTAGCTCAGAGTTGTGTGCAAAAGAACTTCCCCAATGCACTGTGTTAAAACTAATCTTGCCTCATTGCATTGCTCAGAGGTACATAAACCACTGAGTGGTTTTATTACAATCAAGCGCTATATACATTTTGTTAAGTAAATAAAAAATACTGCATAGTAAAAGAGCTCTATTGTGAATGGCAACGAATTTATAATAGCTTACGAGATGTTTTTCCATCACATATTAAGTAGGGATGGATTTGCTGTGAATATTTATTCTACTGTTCATCTGTCAAGTAGGGATGCATGTCATCCATCCCATGCAATCACACGCATTTTATCCTCTTTTCGCTATCATTAATGTGGATTAAGAACATAAGAGCCTCCTGGATAAGGCTGGTCTCACTGTAGCCAGCTCGATGCCTGTGGACATCCACATGCAGGACCCCAGCACAAGAGCGCTGAAGTTTCCAGCAACTATTATTCATAAGCATTACTGTCTTCTGCCATGAAGGTAGAGCATCAACATCATGGCTAGTAGCCCTTGATAGCTTTTTCATCCATGAATTTGTCTAATCCTCTTCTAAAGCCATGCAAGTTGGTGGCCATTGCTGCCTCCTGTGAGAACAAGTTCCATATGCACTCCATGACATGCTGATGCCACTTATGTTGGTGGAATGGGAAAAATCGCTATGTAAAATAAGCTTAAACTCAGAAGCACAGAAAAAAATATCACTGAGATGAATAGCAAGGATTAGAGCGAATGTGTTGAACATGTGTCATAATTAGTGTGTAGCCTTGGGTGCTGGCAGGTGTTGGAAGGGAGTGGGTTGAAAGTAATGTCGGATGATAACACATCCTTGAACAAGTCCAGCTAACAGAGTTGAATAAAGCTATGAGCATTTTATGAGCAGACAGTATTCTGGGAATGAAGGCCAACTTCAGGCAACCAGGCATTGGAAAAGGTTAGACACTGTGACTGCCATTGAAAGGGTTGACAGTGCGGTGGTAGCATTCAGTGGGTGATAGAGCTGGATGGCTATTTCCAATAGACTTGGTGGCAGGGCTGGGTGATCTGTGGCTCTTCAAATGTTTTGTACCACAGTTTCTATTATCTCTGACCATTAGTCACACCGGCTAGGACTGATGGGAGTTCAGAGTTCAACAACATCTAGAGGGCCAGAGACAAGCACCCATGCTTTATGGATACATTCTCTTTAGATAGTTTTCCCCACCACAATTAATGCACCAATGATTTTTTTTCTTTGACATTAAAAAACTGATCAGTTGCTTGTATGCATCATTGACTGTGAGTCCACCAGCCTGTTAGGAGTGGGCTAAGTCAAGCTGTCTGAGTCGAATTTTCCTTAGATGCAAAAACTACTATCCATTCTGAATAGGATGATCACATTTCCTAGATATCAGAGAATATGGGAATCTTGTAGGCATCTTACTTTTTGACTGTGATTAGATTCCCTTGCTATAGCTACACTTAAGCAAATTATCCTAACTGTCCATTAAGTTAATTCTGTACACTTTTAGCTACCCTTTCCTTGCTGTTTTCTTTCAGGTGATAAGGTGATCTTCCATGCAGTTGTAAATGGCTTTTTACTGGGACCAAACATTTGAGAGTGTTTCCAGTAAATAAGCATTCTTTGCCTCCTGACAATCTCCCCCGCATCCTGCCATTACATCTTTTTTTTTCTTTGTATTGTTAATGGATTGGATGTTCTGGCTAGTAACAGTATGTAACATTTTAGTTTACTCATTTAATGTCATTTAAGTATTAGGGACACCTCTGACATTATAATCTCAATTACTTTATAGAAACTTGTTTATTTTATCGTATTCAAGCACTTTGCATGCTGCAAGCACTCTCACTGCTCTCCAGCTCGGCTCTTCCATTCCTCCCCCTATTATGTGGGATTTCTCACATTCTTAAACAAAACAGTGTCCTATTGCTAGCCAGAGTTAAGTGATTCCTTTTGATTATTCAAAGCTTTTGGGGTTTATTTGTTTGTTTTTGCTTCTGACAGAAGTATCCATTTATATGTCTTAAGTCTTTGCTGTCCCTTATCTCATTATTGTATGTTGCTATGTTGAAATCTTTATCATCAGTTTTCCTGTTTGTATATACTCCCTATTCATTATTATTTTGTTTTGATGCTAAACCATGCTTTCACACAATATAATTTGATGCTACTTTTTAATGAAACCCAGAGCTTTTGACCCATGGCTAAACATAAATTATTATTTATTTGCCCTCCCCTTACTGTATTATTATTAACATGGATTTCCCCTTGATAATCAAATTCATATTTTGAATTTCCATTATGCCATCAGGAAATCAAATGTGCATGCAGAACAGAATCACATAGTAGACCTGAGTTCCCATTTAATTAACAGTTAGGTTTTACAGAATATAAAACTAAGCTTTTAAATCTATGAGTTTTGAGATTTTTTCAGTTTATGAATTCACATTCTGGGACTGGTGTGCCTTCAGACATTAAGATACTTAGTAATTATCCTTGATGTAAGCATTCTTGCACACACTGAAGGTCACCCTAACCTTACGCAATACATCATAAATCCCAGCAGCATTCAAGGTCATCCCAGATAACCCACCTGCCTTTAGACTCTAAAGTTTGGCTGGCTACAAGGCACAGAACCTTCTCAGTACAGTCATACCTCGGGTTAAAGTTGCTTCAGGTTGAGCGTTTTCGGGTTGTGCTCCACAGTGACCCAGAAGTAACGGAACGCGTTACTTCTAGGTTTCGCTGCTCACGCATGCGCAGATGCTCAAAATGACATCATGTGCAGAACTGGCAAAACGCGACCCACGCAGACGCAGGTTGCGTTCTGCTCCGGAACGGATCCCGTTCGCATCCAGAGGTACCACTGTAGTTCCCACGTTACTGTGGGATGTGCTAACATGATATCCACTTCTCTCTGAGCTTCCATGTGATGGTTGTGGCTTCTTTGGAAAGCTTTTCTTACTGTATGCTTTTTGCTACTTTTAGATAATTATGATGTTTTTATTGTGGTGATTTTGTAAATGTTTTTGAGAGCCTTGTGTGGCTGTAATGTGAGATGTAACTTCTTGATTTTTTAAATAAAATTGTCACAGGTTTTTAACAAGGATAAAAGCCACATAACTTCTGGAGTGAATAAAAAGATCAAATGGAGTTGGGTGCTTAGTTGATGGTTTCAGTGTTTGGCACAGATGGACAAATGCTGCAGTCATTTTCATGATCCTTTTATACAACCACATGAAGCATTTTTTGAAAAACAACTTCTTGCTACTTAAAGGTAACACATTTTAATTGGTGACGAGAAGAGGAGGTCTTTTGAGGTAGAAAGGGGACAGTGAGAGGCACACCTAAGTCTACTTCTTGTAGAATGCGTTTCATTGAAGCAGATTTACACCAGTCAATGAATAATCTAAATGAGCCTTCCCCAGCCTGCTACCCTCCACATATTTTGGACTACTGAATTTAGGATTATTACTGTTATTTTCATTTCTATTAAGTCATTTTCCTCCAAAGGACAGGAAACAACAAAATTGTGAAAACAATACGAACATTTCAAAAACATTGGCAATGGCTCTATTAGTCATGTGGGCATCTCAACTACATGAAAAAAAAGAACTGACATATTTCCAATTTACAAGCACTGGGTTTGCTGGACAGGTGACCTGTCAAGCTGCTATTTACAAGCTTGGATTAGTTGTACATTTGTAAAGAATATTCCTGTTTGATTTAGCTTCTACTCCTTCAGCTTTGTATGTTCTAGAAGCTCCTGTTTTTTATTTTTTTGTTCTGTCACCATTTTTATTGTGTGGGTTTTTTTGCATTGTTGGCTGCCCTCAACTGCAATATAAATTCTACAATAGAAATGCAATATAGGTGCAATATAAATTCTACAATAAATACATTTTGTTATGTTTATTTACCTAGGTTTATAGAGGTTGTTAACTTGTAAAGCTAGCTTTGTTGTTTATTTGACCGTAGCCAATATCAGATTAGGCCACAATCCTAACTACCGGTATGTATGCTCAGAAGTACATCTCATTGAATTAGTGGAGCTTTCTCCTAGGTAGATGGGTTTGGATTGCAGTCTTAGTCACTCTGTTGCGGGTGCCTTTGAGAGGAAGGAGGATATATATAATGATGATTATATTTCTTTAAGGATTGATCACTTTATATGCCAACTATGGGCTTATCTACACTTACCTTTCCTCTGCTCTTTCCAGGCACAATTTGTGATTTAAAGCTTCGTGTCTGAGCCTCTTTTTTCTTCTTCTCCAGAGCTTTCCCCACAAAACTCTACTCTTTAAAGCTCAGTCAGAGCAAGCATCAGTCTGCTCGAAACCTGAATTGATGTTTACTCTGATTGAACTTTGAAGAATGGGTTTTTGTGGGGAAAGCTTGGGGATGGGAGCCCGTTCTGTCTCGGACACGGAGCATTATACCTTCCTAGAAAGAGCGGGAGAAAAGGGAAGTGTGGGTAAGCCTTATTACAGTGCAGTCATGTATAGATAGAGATAAATTTGGAGGGAAGCTCTGTTGAGCTTAAAGGAATTTACTTCCAGGTAAGTGTGCGTTGGATCGGAATCTACAGATAAACCTGAGAATTAAACATGTAAGAAAGAGTTAAATGTGAGTGTGCATGTGTGCACACACAAATAAAAAACAGGTAGATTTTTTTTTTAAGTAAGCAAGCAAGCTTAAATATCTGGAATTCCTGAGTTGCTCTCCTATCATATTGTTTTTACAACATTAATTAAACATATTTCACCCAGGTCAGTAAAAGGAAATGTATAAATATATGATGTTGCAGGATGAGGTAGTTATGCACCATAAGGTTAAAATTGGGGGTTGTATCCAATGTTAGTCCTGTTCAGAGTTGATCCATTGAAAAGTCCTGACTAGCTTAGTCCATTAATTTTAATGGGTGCTGTCTAATTGCTTTCCTTTGATTGACTGGCAAGTGAATACCCCCCCTTTTGAATACAAATTAAAATCCTATTTTTATTTGCTGAGAAGGCAGTGGCGGTTGCTACTGCTCTCAAAAGCTAGATTAAAACTTCAGTAGCCTCTTGTTGATTCAAGTGCTTGAATGGCTTCCATTAGACCAGTGGCGTGATGATCTTAAAAGCATTATTGCTCTGCACAGTTGCTGAATGATTCACCCCAGCCTTGAAATTTGTTGTAGCTGGTGTCAGTGATTGTGATTATTGAATTTGTGCCATGTTTTCAGCAGTTAAGTATCTAAGCTGTGTACTAGATTATTGGTCTAGAAATGAGTTGAGGTCAAAGCTTTGGTCCATTAGATGGTTTAATACATATCATTTGAGATATGTATTTATTGTTTTACCTTATATTTCAGTAGCAGCATCACTCTAGTGTTGAATATCTTGGCTATTGACATCCTTATTAATTTATTAAGAAAATATTCACACACAAAAAACAGAAGAGGCCAATTCTAGGAATATGTTTCAAAACAGTCTATTTAGCTTCATCTATGGGGGAGTTGAGTATGTTTAGCCTGGAAAAGAGGAGACTGAGATATGATAGCCATCTTCAAATATCTAAAGAGCTGTCCCATGAAGATGGAGCAAGCTTGTTTTCTCCTGCTCCAGAGGGTAAGACCTGAATCAATGGCTTCAAGTTACAAGAAAGACGATTCCAACTCAACATCGGGAAGAACTTTCTGGTGATAAGAGCTGTTTGACAGCGGAGCAGGCTCCCTCAGAAGGTGGTGGACTCTCCTTCATTGGATGTTTAAAGCAGAGGATGGATAGCCATCTGTCATAGATGTTTTGGTTGACATTCCTGCTTTGCAGGGGGTTGGACTAGATGACCCTCAGGGTCCCTTCCAACTCTACAATTCTATGATTGTATGTATAAAATACTTCACATGCATATGGGTGTATTTTTGCTTCTCTAAACCACATGTGTTTGCCTGGGCAGAAGAAATACGGTGTACATGATCAGAAAGAGGAAGAGTTAATGGCCTGGTTCTGGTCTTTATGAATTGCATAGGGCAGCAGTGAGCAAACTGTGGTGCAGTACCTATGTTGTACTTTCACTCCCATCAACCCCTGCTGTCTTGGGCAGTGCTAAGAGGTACAGGAAACAATGAAACCTGGAGGGCCACAGCTGTCCCCTAGGAAATATAGTCCAGAAAGCCAACTGAAGACTGGCTGAGTAAGTGTTGTGATAATATATCCATCACATCAGTCCTCTTACAGTGATAAGCATGATTTCAACTCCCAAGACTAACGGTCAGGTCACTAACCGATTCAGCAGGATTCCAGTAAACATATTGGTCTGAGCTTCAGTTTGTCCATTTTGTGTATTGAACCAGGATCAGACTGTAGCTAGGAAGCGAAAAGGAGGAGCAGGGGTGCAGATCATTGTACTGGGTAAGGTTGATGGGAGATATGAGCCCAATGACATTTGGAGGGCCTCGAGTTAGCCAACCCTGATGTAGGAGGAAGAGACTTGTGAAGGTATCGGGTGCCTGAAGCAAAGAGGAAAACAAAGCAACCAACAAGAGAAGGGTGTTAAAGAGGGAAACATGTAGAGCAATGTAACCTGCAAACATGGAAGACAAGTTTGCACTTGTTTTGCCCCACCTCGCTACCTTCAAGTCTATATAGCTCACAAATAGATGCAGTGGCAGCTTGCGGCCTCTAGCTGTTCTTTATTAATGAAGTATATTATTAATTGTATGCCAGCCAGGGCTTTTGGAACAGATGTCACAGCAATCTAAGCTGAAGCACCTTGCATTTGGTGGCCACATCATGAGAAGCACTTTACATTTCCATGTTTCCGCTTGTGCCAAATGTATAATAATGGTTTTGTATCTGTTCGTATGAGTATGTGGGTGATGAGGAATTGGAGCTGGTGGTGTAAGATTGATTAGGGTCCCTTGGCATGATGGAGCCTTCCCATCCTTGATGAATCTGCCCCGACAAAACTACTGCACCCTGGGAATTAAGCATCAAGACTGAGGGGATGTGCATTTACTCACACATACCCGTCAACTCTGAGAGTAGATAATAGAGATCCTTTGAGAGAATAGGGTACTGGAAGGACATCTGTAGATGGAGATTTTACATGTATGCTGTAGTTAAGCCATCTAGAATCCCCACTAGCAGAGAGCATTTTGCCTGTCGTCTTTTCTATTGGAACTCTTAAAAAAAATAAAGTGCACATTTCTTCAACTTTGGGTTCCCAGCTCTGGACTCCAACTCTGATAATTTCCAAATACCGTATTTTTTGCTCTATAAGACTCACTTTTTCCCTCCTAAAAAGTAAGGGGAAATGTGTGTGCGTCTTATGGAGCGAATGCAGGCTGTGCAGCTATTCCAGAAGCCAGAACAGCAAGAGGGATTGCTGCTTTCACTATACATCGATCCCTCTTGCTGTTCTGGCTTCTGAGATTCAGATTTTTTTTTTCTTGTTTTCCTCCTCCAAAAACTAGGTGTGTCTTGTGGTCTGGTGCATCTTATAGAGCGAAAAATACGGTAGTTTAGCCAAGAGTGAAAGGAATTGTAGTCTAGCTGCATCTGGGGACCTAAAGTTCAAAAAGGTTGATGCAGGGGATTTTGGCTTTATGGATGTGCACCTTCTGAATCATGTGTGCCCCAGCACCACAAGGCAGCAAATGGCAGCAAATTAGGGCTATCCTATCAGTGACTGAGAGAAAAGCAAGCGGGTGGTATGTGTTAAGCTGAGAAACTAAAGCATTCAGCCCCAACCTGGGCCCTCCTGTTGTTGGAGTGCCACTCTCCTTGTTCATGACATTTGGCCATGCGAGTTGAGGCTGTTCATGGCTGCTCAGCAGCATCTGGAGGGAACCAGGAAGTGAAGGAAGGAATTTCTAACTTTTAATTGACACATCAGAACATCCTGTGATTTTCACAGATCCCTGTTTATATTGCTTTCTTTGGCGTAAACACCAGTAAATAGAAGAGATGCTAAAGCAAGCTATGCAGTATCTGCAATGACATTTAAAGCATGCAAGGCATTATCTTTGCAATGCAGCTTACAAATGTTGTCTCTTAATTGTTCAAATACCCCTTTGGGACAGAAATATCCCGAGGAATGAAAAGAGGCAGCATGTTGCACCATAACAGCAATGTTAATTGGAAGAACTGCCATCTGCTTTGAATTCCTACGCCTCCGTTGAAAAGACATAATCCCATACCAAATCAGTGCATTGGTCAGCTCAAAGTGGCATTTTTGTGGGGACTACTTTAAGCCACACATGCATAAAATGTATTCTGATGATAGCTCTGTGATTCAACAGGACATTTGTGTGTTGCTAATGCTTTCTTGGAAGTGATTTTATAACTTCCTGGCTCCTCTGAATGTTAAATGTCAGTTGTACAATAAGTCTTAATTGGAAAGAATTACAGCTACTCTGTTGACAGGGTATAGTGGATTGGAAACAGACTAAATGCTTAGAGTATACCGATTGAAATCAAAGGAACAAGTTATGACTAACTCAATTCTCATTTATTTCAGTGAGTCTGCTGTAAATATGACTAAGTCTGGATGCAGCCCATTGTTGAGGCCATCCAGGACTCTCAGTTACCAGAGAGCGGAGTTGCACATGGACTTCCGCAAGGGGAAAGCCTATGTGCATAGGTTTCCATTAGAGCTGGAATCCATCATGAAGCATGCCTAATATGTGAATACTGTGGAATAGAGAATGTAGGGGAAGCTGTATATCTTCAGGGGCAGAGCTAGGAGCATGAACTTGCTCTCTGGTAATATTCTATTCTGTTATATTCTATTGCAAAAAGGGGTTAGTGTGTCCAGGAAACTTAAATATTGGTGCAGATGTGTATGTGTGTGGAATGCTTGGCACTTTTTCTTTGAACTGTTTATCAAATCAGAATTGGCTTTCCCAGTTGCTTTCATCTCCATATCTTTCCCCCTTTATAAAGGAAAGCAAAAATTGTGCATGAGGAAAACTTTTAACACTCCTTCGGCCCTGCTGCTTTGCCAGTCAGATTTGGGACCCCCCCCATCTCTGATTTGATAGCGGCAAAATATTAAAAAGCCAACATAATTTGGAAGACACTAAATGTATCCTCTGCCTTGATGTCTACTGTGGCTCTTGAGAGCGGAATTAGACATTATAAAAATATGTGTGGTGATTAATGAAAATGATGGGCTCTTCCTCACCCCCTCACTCAATTTCTTACTGGTACTAATTTTAAAATTGAGATAAACTCACATGCATGATTTGGCTCTTATCAATGCAGCAATCCTATTAGTGTGGTTACTTTTTGAAAAACAAAGTGCATAAAGGGTTAAACCACATAGATCCACTGAGCTACATTTTGAGGGCAGGGAACAGAATAAAACATTGTCAAATAAGTATAGATACTTGTGGGAAGGCTGTTACATAGTTGCAGAAGAACAGGAGTATGCTTACTTCCTGTTGAATAATCGTCTCGAAAAATAGCTTGAACGCACTCAAATATTGCACATGGAAAAAACATGTTGATTTCTCATACATGATACTTCCTGGTGGCCCAGACAGTAAACATTTCATGGCCATTCTTGTGATGTTTGTTCTCTATTCCTTCTAGGTGCATGTTGGAGACAGTTCTTGGCCCACTGACTGGCAAGATTATTTGGTCTTGGAAGTAAAAGCTGTACCAAATGGACAATATGTCTATTACTAACACACCAACAAGTAATGATGCTTGTCTGAGCATTGTTCACAGTTTGATGTGCCATCGACAAGGAGGGGAGAGTGAAACATTTGCAAAGCGAGCAATTGAAAGCTTAGTAAAGAAACTGAAGGAGAAAAAAGATGAATTGGATTCTTTGATTACAGCTATAACTACAAATGGAGCTCATCCTAGCAAGTGTGTTACAATTCAGAGAACATTGGATGGAAGACTTCAGGTTGGTAGAAGCACATATGATACCTTAATATCCTTACTCTGAGAGCAGCAGGGTATGGGACATTTTGAAATAGGGAGAGTAGTGGTATGAGAGCATAATTTGCTTTGTGTCATGGAAATCAATTTGGGGTTTATAAACTGGGTTGGTTCCTTGTGGTGGTATTTACAGGGTATAAAGTGTTGTGTTGCTACCTGTAGTGGTTCTAGGGGTTGCTCGTGCGTAAGCCGGTGCAAACACCTGTCTGGGTTGCCTGAGTGAACCTTTTCTGTCCAGACAGCCACTCACCCGTGGCTGTCTCAATCGCTGGCAGAATCCGTCAGTGGGCGTTTCTTAAACTTCTTCCAGCAAAGAAGCTCTTTGACGCCTAGTCTCCTCCTACTCTCTCTGCGCGAAAGCCTTCTGCGCAAGGAGGGCGTGGGCAACGGAGGACCCCTACTCTCCCCGCTGGTCATGGGACCGCCTCGCCGCTTCCCCCATCTGCCCCCCTTCTCCACTGGTGCTACGCTGATTCTCTTCCCCAGAAGATGGGCTGCCTCTCCCAATCCCGGGACGCTCTCTGGAATCCCTCTGGATCTTGCTCTCTCCCTCCGGCACTGATGGCAGTTCCCTGACACTACCGCTTAGTGACATTTGATTCTGATCCTTTTCATCCTTTGTGATTTTCTATTCTCATTTGAAATTTTTATGATCTTCAATCTTTCTAGGTGGCTGGTCGTAAGGGTTTTCCTCATGTAATTTATGCACGGCTATGGAGGTGGCCTGATCTTCACAAAAACGAACTCAAACATGTCAAATATTGTCAGTATGCTTTTGACTTGAAATGTGATAGTGTCTGCGTGAATCCATATCATTATGAGCGTGTTGTATCACCCGGCATTGGTAAGTATGTTCATACTGTATGTGGAGTTGCATTTCATTAATGTTTCATTAGGTTGAGTATTGCAGGTTTTTCATTCACCCTGCTGTCCTGTGCTTTTTCATGATACCTCATGTATCCAGTTGATTCTAGATTATTGCAAAACACCCTTGGGGCTGGACAAGGGCCCATCCCTCCAAAACCCAGTTGCATGTATTTGCTTTTTTTAAGGGACGAAGGAATATACTGCTTTTTAGTCTATAGGTAGGTTGCTGCTGTGGCAGCTGCTGCTTACCATGAATGCTGTGCTGGTAGAAGCAAGGTTGCAGCCCTCAGGTGCTCTTGATCTTCACCTCTGTCACTTAAGCCAGCAGTTCTTGGTTTGTGCCTTTCCCTCAGACAAAGTAACTTCAGCGCTTAGGGAGATCTGCTGGGAGAGCAGGCTTTCCTGACAGTGGAACAACCCAGACCTTTCCTTCCTACTTTAGTGGGGATGCAGGCCAAATCTTACACCAGGGAGTGATGTTCTGTATTTCTCTGCACTTAGGGAAAGCAATAGCAGGAAAAAGTACAACAGCTGTGGGGTTAACATGAGTAGAGAGTTCCTGCCTCTCTTTGGACAGGGTTATTTGAAATACCATATCACAGAGCAGTTGTCTTCACCATTTTCTGACTTGAGACCCGACCTAAACATTCATTTGGTGACCCTCCCTTTTTAAAATAAAATAAAAAAGGCCATATATTTGTATGGTGGTAGTCCTGCCACCTTAGATTAGGCCATGACCTGGGAGTAGGTCCTGTGTTACCAGTTGATGTCCAGTGCCATAGATGACCTTGGGAATTCTTCTTTGGCTTCGGTTACTGTGGTATTCTGGCATTTTTTGTCTAGCCGTGTCTTTTCCTTCAAGGAATCGGGATACCTGTTGCATCAGGGTTGTGTTCTGTACTGCTGCAGCCAACCTGTTCTTGCTGAAAGTTGACCCTTGAGCAATGTTGTTCTATCCTACAAGATTTAGGCTATCCCTCACAAGTGGCACCTACTGTTAATGCAGTGTCTTCCAACAAAATGTATAGAACATTCAGGAAGGCTTTTGAAAAGAGTTGTGTCTCGTGAATCTTCCTTCCTTTTGAAGGATCTTTTAAAGTTCCTCTAAGATGGGTTGAATGAGAGTCTAAACACCAAAGGGGGGTATAATAATAATAATAATAATAATAATAATAATAATAATTTATTATTTATACCCCGCCCATCTGGCTGAGTTTCCCCAGCCACTCTGGGCGGCTCCCAATCAAGTATTAAAAACAATACAGCGTTAAATATTAAAAACGTCCCTGAACAGGGCTGCCTTCAGATGTATTTTAAAGATAGGATAGCTACTTATTTCCTTCACATCTGAAGGGAGGGTGTTCCACAGGGCAGGTGCCACTACCGAGAAGGCCCTCTGTCTGGTTCCCTGTAACCTTACTTCTCGCAATGAGGGAACCGCCAGAAGGCCCTCGGCGCTGGATCTCAGTGTCCGGGCTGAACGATGGGGGTGGAGACACTCCTTCAGGTATACAGGACCGAGGCCGTTTAGGGCTTTAAAGGTCAGCACCAACACTTTGAATTGTGCTCGGAAACTGGGAGCCAATGCAGATCTCTCAGGACCAGTGTTATGTGGTCCCGGCGGCCACATAAGAGGTATAGGTTGGTTGCTCGAGAGCAATCAGGCAATATGCTTCAATAGTCAGTTTTAAAGCTTTCTTATCGGTGATAAAAACCTTTGGAATGCAGAGCGCCTCTATTCCGTGTCTTGCTCATTCACTGGCAGAATCTGAGAGTGGGCGGTCCTTAAACCTTCCCCAGCAGATTAGTTTCTTGACGCCCAGTCTGCGCCTCCCCTCTCTGTGCGGACGCCTACTGCGCAAGGAAGGCGTGGATAACGGAGGACCTCTCTCCTCCCCGCTTTGCTCAGGCAAGGTGTCCAGGCACCGCCTCGCCTCTTCCGAGCCCTGCATCTCCTCTCCTTTAGAGGCATGGCTACTCTCCTCCGCTGAGGAGGTGCTGCTTCCCACGATCTTTGGGGGCTCTCTGTAATCCATCCGGCTTTCCCCCTCTCGCCCCTGAGCCGATGGCAGTTCCCTGACAGGGCGTGTCTTTCGTGGTGGAGAGGAAGGGTCAGTCCCTTGTCCAGGTCTGGAGATCAGTTAGGCTTTTTACTATTATTAAAGCCACCTCACTGACTGAGCAGGGAAGACCTTAATCATGTCATTAATTCATTAAATTCCATTTATGAATTGCTTTCCATAGAAATCTCAAAATGATTTCACATGAAAAGCATCAGCTATAACAACAATTACACAATTTCCTATCTAAAAGCAATTATAACAATTCAAAGAAATTGAAAACATTATCATATATAAAAACAACTAAAACCTTTCCATATTTAGAAACAATTCCATATTTAACTCCAGTATTGGTGGTAGAGGGAAGTGAATAGGTAAGGAGACAGTTTTCCAGTTTGTTATAAAAGTTGTGATAGAAAGTTATTTTAATGAGTATTTTAAGAGTAAAATTTCACTTTTCCAGTTTTCCACAAACATGAAGGAAATGTTTAATTGTGCTTCACTGACATATACAGTATGCCTGCAGTTATTTACCCACCTTCTGTTTATAGGCTTTATAGATAGTAAAATATTTGTTTATTGGTATTTAAAACTGAATTAGTGACTTTATATGCTCTTTTCTCTTTAAAGATCTGTCAGGACTGACACTGCAGAGTTCAGGTAAGCTATACGTGAAATCATAAGAAGTATAAACAGCAATATATTTTAAGGTGAATGCCTCTTCAATTTAAAGCATATGCAAAGCATTGCTAGGGAAATTACTTTGAGAATACTCAAGTTAATTGATATACAGACATCTTCCACTTGTTTGTGATGGACTCACGTGGTGGCGGTAAATAGTAAAATAACTTAATTCATACCCGGAAATGGAGGGAGAGAGATGGAGCATCTTTGTGGCTCACTAGGAGACCCTCCCCAGAGTCCAAAGAGGACTGAAGAGGAGAAGAGAGATCCAGCAGGGCTTTGTTTATGCTGCTCAGCCTCCCCATCTAACAGCTGGTGTGTGGGGTAGCACAGCCATAGCTGCTGCTTTCCTGCACTGCCTCCACCCAGCCCCAGAGCTTCAGTTCCAGTTGTGGATATTTTGGGTACAATATTTTTGATTTTTGGAGAGAGCACATCAGAGAGGGCATTTAAAGGGTGTTTAGAGAGTGTTCCCCATTTACACAATTTTCACTTATGCGTGAGGGGCACTGGAAGGTAACTCCTGTGTAAGTGGGGAGTCGCCTGTACTATGGGCCACGCAAACGTGTACAGACATGAGGGTAGAGAGAGAAATGTTCTTAGGCTGGGGTCTACTGACATTTTACACCAATGATCTCAGTGCTACTGGATGTAGCTAACTAAATTAAATCAACTAAAGTTAATTTAACAACCTTAATAAGATATTGCATGTATCTAAAATGTTAAAATTCTAATTATATTTGTTCCATGTGTTCACTAACAGAAGATGATTAGGTTGGATATCTTCAACTCTTCTCTGTGCAAAGTTTGTTGAAAACAAGTTTAGGAATTGTTGATGGTTTCATTTTGTCAAACTGGAATTAAATCCATTTCCATTGCTTGCTGGGGAAGTGAAAATCCCCGCCCCCCAAAAAAGTGTAGGATGTCTGTATATCTGCAGTATCAGTTTTGTGCATTCTTGATGGCCACTTCTGTTTTATCACTGAATTATTTGCATATCCAAATGTGCATCTTTGGATAATGGTGCAGAATTGTACCAACATAATATAAAGAGGTATCTGTGTTCTGTTCATATTATAGTTGATCTGTATTATTTTGATTTTCTAAAGCAGTTGAAACTTTTAGGGGTTCTAAGCAAGCCCCAGAGATTTCCGATTTAATCCCCAGAGCACAAATGTGGGATGGATCCAAGGGATTAGGAGGCCCAACAAAATAAACTGGAATAGGCATAGACAAGGCAAATAGGCTTTGATTTGAAAAGGCTGTGAATTGCTTTGTTTGCTCCGCTTTCCAAAACTGAATAATCTGTACATACATAAAGCATAATACCAGTTCTAAATTTTAAGAGTTTTGGAACCTAAAATGTTTTTGTTTAGAGAAGCCTACCCAGATATGTACAATGCTGATGAGTGTTTTTAGTTTATTGCTGGTCTTAATTGTTGAATATTTCAATTAGTCACTTTTAAATATAATTTTCGTGTTTTACTCATTTGGTACACTGCTTTGATGTTTTATTTTACAGTCAAGTGGTGTACACATTTTATGAAATAAATTATGGGGGGAAATACATCCCTAAAGGGGTTGCCTGTCTAACCTTATTTTGAATATCTCACCAAGCAGCTCACTTTATTACAGATCTGCCCTTGTAGTTAGAAGAGTTTCCCCAATTCACTTATCCTAAATTTCCTTCCTTGTAATTTAAAACAGTATCTTCTCATTCTAGTCTGTGGATAATGTCAACAATAGCTGTCCTTTCTGATATATTTTTTTTTTAAGTGTATTCCCTTCCTTAATATTTCCTTGTAACTTAACCTTTTATCTTATCACAGCACCCTCAAGCATGTTGGTGAAAGATGAATATGTTCATGAATTTGAGGGGCAGACATCGCTGTCAACTGCTGAAGGCCATTCAGTTCAGACTATCCAGCATCCGCCTAGTAACAGGGCATCTACTGAAACCTACAGCACCCCATCCATGTTAGCTCCTTCTGAGTCTAGCACCACCAGCACCACCAACTTTCCCAACATTCCTGTCGCTTCCACAAGTAAGATAACTGTTTATTTTAAAGATTACAAAACTTGTTTCAGCTTCTTTCAAACTTGGCAAGATTAACTTCTATTACAAACTGGCGAGATTACAAATACTGGTGTGGAATACTGATGTGGTTCAAAGAGCAACGCAAACCTTGATCTGCCGTATTGGAGGGGGTTTGGATGAGGTGGTGGTGCTCCTCATCCAGTGTGGTGTAGTGAGAGCCAGTGTGGTGTAGTGGTTAAGAGCGATAGACTTGTAATCTGGTGAACCTGGTTCGATTCCCTGCTCCTCCACATGCAGCTGCTGGATGACCTTGGGCTAGTCACACTTCTCTGAAGTCTCTCAGCCCCACTCACCTCACAGAGTGTTTGTTGTAGGGAAGGAAGGGAAAGGAGAATGTTAGCTTTGAGACTCCTTCGGGTAGTGATAAAGTGGGATATCAAATCCTAACTCTTCTTCTTCTTCTCCACCTGGCTGTGCTGGCACAGGAGCTTTTCCACAGGAGAACGCCCCATGGCACCTGCCCAAATGGAAGCTACCGTATTTTTTGCACCATAACACTCACTTTTTTCCTCCTAGAAAGTAAGGGGAAATGTCTGTGCGTGTTATGGAGGGAATGCCTACGGGTGGCATGCCTACGGATTTTCCTCCTCTGAAAACTACGTGCATGTTATGGTCGGGTGCGTGTTATAGAGCGAAAAATACGGTACTTCCAGTGTTCTCCCTGCTGGTTGTTGCCAGTGGAACACACCAAAATGCGACGGAGGGGGTAGGGCTGGCTGTGCTGCTGTCACATGATGGTGGCTGCCCATTCTGGCCTCTTCACTGTGCTAGCATGGGGGCTAGTGTAGCATACAGACATTTCCCTCTCTTCTCTCCCTGCTTCCCTTCCACTCTGGCCAGTGTGAACTGCAGGACTGTGGATGCCGCAGTGGTTGCACCACTCCTGTTAAGCCCCACTGCTGCTGGTCAGGGGTTTGGAATGCAGCCGCAGTCTCTGAAGTTAAGTGGTTTCTAGCTGTACAGGTACAAAAGAATATGGAAAAATTGGTTTTTAATATGTAAAAATTTAAAGTTATAATATATCGAGATTAAAGATTAGGATTAAAAAGGAGGGAAAGGAATTGTTGGATTAACAAATTTAATTGGAATACAAAAAGAGGAGGTATGATGAGGTCCGGGAAACAAGTAAACGTAAAAGAAGTGAGGAAAAGATGGAATTGTTTTTAACTGTTTTTTCTTTTTTTTCTACTTTGTATTTTTCTTTTTTATTGTTAATTTTTTTTTACTAATGTGATTTTTTTCCCCTTTGAAACTTTAATAAATATTATTTTTAAAAAAAAATGGAATGCAGCCGCAGTCTCAAATTACCTTACATGTTTTCTCCTCTTCACATCCTTGATTGATATTTCGTTACATTTCATTGTTGATTTTGCTGCAATTTAATTAGTGGGGAAATTTGATATGCTTTGTAATTATATGACACATGCTTCTTAAGTAACCCTTAAGTTGAGTAGGAATGTAAGTCTTGAAAGCTGTTCTCATTTGATTCCTAGTGTTGTGCAAATGATTGGATTGAAGAAGATAATTTACGAGCAGTGGAAACATGGCAAAACTTACACACATACACACACACTTGCATGCTCACAACTGTGTAGATTGTGTGAGTGCAGATTTGTTTGTGCAAGTATGTGGTCAACAGTTTAGCATTAGAAAACATTTTGAAATTCAGTTCTAGTTCCCATTGTTGTAGAGAGAACTTGTGTGTGCAGTTACCTGAAGTATGTACAGAAGTCAGAAGACTGAGAAATGATTTAGTGACTTGATAGTGAAGAGTTAATGGAAGACCCCTGGGTATAGGGCGGTATATAAATTCAATAATAATAATAATAATAATAATAATAAACACTTTGCAGTGGTCCTGTTTGCTCATCTGATTACTACTACTCTGTGCATGCTGGATAACACTGTTCATGAAAGTATCTACCATTGAGTATCAACATGTGAAAGTTAATTCTTTTTTCGTTTAAATAGTTTTATTGAGTTTTCAAGAAGTAGGTAAATAAGTAAGCAGAGGAAGTTATCTGTTCAATAAAGTATGTTAGTACATCTGCATTACAGACAACATCTATTTATGTGGGGGTTATGTTCCGGGGGCCCCTGCATATAACAGAGACCATGTTTATTGGGAGCATCACGGAGGGGCAGTGGGGCTTGCATAGCCCCCACGCATCAGCTGAGCTGCTCAGCAAGCCCTGCCTGCTGTTCCTCTAGTGGCTCAGCTAAGTGTTTCTGCTTCTCAGGCTCTTGCACAGCTGACACATGGGGCAGTGGCTGCTGTTGCGCTACCCTGCTCATTAGCTGTTAGGTGGGGAGGCCTCAGCAAAGCCCCAGCTCACAAGAAGACCCTCCCCAGAGCCCAAAGAGGATGTGTTCCCCATTTCCAGGTTCCACTTTTGAGATCCCGGCACCACAAGATTGCCCGCAAATAGAGCGAATGTAAATGGGGAGTTTTCTGTACATCATTGCACTTCACTTGTTCAGTAAACAAAAAGACACGGAACCACCATGACGAATAAACAAACTAACTTATGTGAAAGTTAATACTAAGATTTTCAGACTGTCATTTAAAACCTACCCAGAGGAAGAAAATAAGCCCATGCACCTCCAAGTATAACTTAGAAAAATGCTGTCAAGCGGTGTCTTTTTTGTCATTAATTCATACACATGTAAATGAAAGAATAGGGAATCAAACAAGACCCACTGCATTACAGTTTGTTGGGGTGGGGGAAAGGTGTATGTAGCCCATACTTCTATCAGCACTGATATAGTTTGATCCACAGCCTTCTCTTAACTTGCATGCTAGAACTCTGTTTCCTGGCCCATTCACACACGCTGCAGAACATCCACAAGTTATCTCCTTGTTCTAGGTTGTCTCTTCCCACCTTACAGGTTTGGGCATATAGAGAAGTTCCATTTATAAGTTATTTGGCATTAAGCAGCCGGTGTTAGTAATGAACCATATTTTGTGTCATGGCTTCCTGAAGGTGCCAAAATCAAAGAAGTGATTTTACAAAATAAAGGGCAAAGAAGGAGAATTGTGATGCTAACATCTGTCTAATGAAATGATAACTCATTTTAAGGCAGGTATTAACTGTTTTACATTTTGCCAGGTCAACCCCCCAGTATGCTGCCAGGTAGCCACAGTGATGGACTTTTGCAGATTGCTTCAGGGCCTCAGCCAGGAACACAGCAGAATGGCTTTACAGCTCAGCCCGCTACTTACCACCACAGTAAGTATTATTTATACCGTACATCAGTGTTTTAGGGCACTGGTAGTTTTTCAAATGAAATGGAGCGGGGAAGGGGTTTCCTAGGTAAAGCAAATTGATCAGACTTTTCTACTCTGCATTTTTAAGACAGTACAACAACATGGACTGGGAGTCGAACTGCCGCCTATACACCTACCATCCCTCACCATCAGAATGGGCATCTTCAACATCATCCACCTATGCCCCATCCTGGACATTACTGTAAGCACCCTTTTATTACCGCATTGAGATGCACTTACTTTTTGTGCAGCATCTTGGTGGCTGCAGGAGAGGCAGTAATGGTGCAGTGGGCTTGGACCAGAAAGATCTGACTTTAGGTGTTTGCTCAGCTACAGAGGCCCTTGTCTGGTCTCGGGCAGGTCACTGTCTCTCACCCGAACCTACCACACAGGAAAGGAAATGATATGGGAAGGGTGGGATATAAATGTAATGAAACGAAATAAAGAAAACTCCACGCATGTTTCTGGTACGCCTGCTCATCTCTTATTCTTCTGTTTAACAAACTGCAAGTGTTTGTACAAACAACACTTTGAGCAATGGTTGGGGTACTATTCCACAAGTCGTTTCTGCCTTACACATTTGGGCATTCGCTATGTGTGTCTATAAAGGCTGAGTTATCTGAGTTTATGTACAGTGGTGCCCCGCAAGACGAATGCCTCCAAGACGGAAAACCCGCTAGACGAAAGGGTTTTCCATTTTTGAGTTGCTTCGCAGGACGAATTTCCCTATGGGCTTGCTTCGCAAGACGAAAATGTCTTGCGAGTCTTGAGATTTTTTTTCGCTTCCCCCCCCCTTTTGCTAAGCCGCTAATAGCCTTTTAGCAGCTAAGCCGATAAGCCTTTAATAGCCGCTAAACCGCTAATAGCGCTAATCTGCTAAGCCGCTAATAGGGTTGCTTTGCAAGACAAAAAAACCGCTAGACGAAGACACTCGCGGAACAGATTAATTTCGTCTTGCGAGGCACCACTGTATAAAATTTGCACTGTACACGATCCCCCCACTAATTTCTACTGTCTGCCCTATTTACTGTAACTAATAAATCCAAATATTTAGTGGTCATTTGTTTTTGGAGGATGCAGGGACTTGTGAGGAGAGTAGACAAAGAATAAGCACCATGACTGTTATTTATTTTGCATTTTTTTTAGGGCCAGTTCATAATGAACTTGCATTCCAGCCACCTATATCAAACCACCCTGGTAAGTGCATATAAAGAACGTTCAGTTGAATTGGTGTTCTTCTATGAGCTAAGAAAGTCAAATTGAAAGCAGCTTCATGCTCCCTTTAAAATCTCTTCTACCATTCATTTGATGTATGGGCAACCTTTAAAAAATATATGTAAACTTTTTTAAAGAAACCTGTGAAAAACGTTACAGTTTTGAGAGCTTTAAGGAAAAATTGAATAAGCTCCCTATTTCTAGAGGCACACAGTGAAGAGATTTAGCAAAAGCTTGAACAACTATGTTCTAGAAGTTGATTCCCTATGCTCCTTCTTCTGCTGCTTGTTTGCCTGGTGCTCTGCGTTCACTTCTCTTCTCTTTCTTCCTCCTCCCTACTCCTGGGGGGATAAAAATCAGCTCCAGAATACTGGTGTTCAATTGCCTATTTTGAAATGGATGTCCAAGTTGGCGAAACATTTAAAGTACCTTCAAGCTGCCCAATTGTTACAGTTGATGGATATGTGGACCCTTCAGGTGGAGACCGCTTTTGCCTCGGTCAGCTCTCCAACGTTCATAGAACAGAAGCCATTGAGAGAGCGAGGTATGTTTTGTTATTTCCGGAAAAGTAAGCAACCAAAATGAACAAGGGGCTGGAGCGAATCTGTGGGGAAAGGTTGCAACATTTGGGGAGCTTTAGTTTAGAAAAAAGGCAGGTACAGAGGGAAATTTCATGTAATGAAGCTAAATGTTGGAATATTCAAGACAGACGAAAGGCGGCACTAATCCCAGGATCCCTGTGTTATCAACAGTTGTTTTGTGCAGTATTAAACATGGAATTGTCGCTTTAAGGTACCACAAGACTCTTTATTGTTTTTGCTGTCCACAGATTAGGACTGCTATCCTATTGGAAATTAATGTTTTTTAAGTATCCCTCCCCCTGAAGGAGCTGCCTACAAACTGAACTGATTTTCTATATAACTGTTTCCCCTTCTTGCATTGAGTGGTCTGGTCTTTTTCAGGTTGCATATAGGCAAAGGTGTGCAGCTGGAATGCAAAGGTGAAGGTGACGTGTGGGTTCGGTGCCTCAGTGATCATGCGGTCTTTGTTCAGAGTTACTACCTAGATCGGGAAGCAGGGCGTGCGCCAGGCGATGCGGTCCACAAAATTTATCCAAGTGCATATATAAAGGTTTGTGTGAATCTGTTGGGTGGCAGTCAATATTTTCTAGAAGCCTTTCCTGACTTGTTTTTTTCTTTTTTCTTTTTACTGTAATTGTGTTTGGCATTGCAAGTAGAAGGGAAACAAGTTTTTATTTTCTAAGAACAGCCTAAAGCCAAAATAAGAATTGAAATATAAGCTTATGAAGAGCAGTCTTAGGAAGGGGTGGGAAGATAGAGACTATTCCTTCGAGGTTTGCTGCTGGGCTCACAGACATTGGATTCATTCATTCTCTCTGTAAGCCATGAGACCCACAGTCAGATTTAAAACCCTTGATTAGGCTTGATGACTTCAAACATCAAAATTAATCGTTTTATGCAAGTTGATTTTTGTGAGATGTTGACAGGTTGTTATTTTAATTCTACCTATAATGTGAGCTGTTTTAAGAACTCAACCCATGCTCATGCCAGCATGTATTTGTGGCCTTTCTCAAACTTCATGAAATCAGGCTGATCTCCCTTAATTTGTGGAAGGAAAATAGATCTGACCCACGTGTGGGTATTTAACAAAAGAGTTGGCCGGGCGCCTAGATTCAAAACATGAGGGTTTGCACACTCTCCAGTTAGTTAACAGCACAGTGTGGAATATTGGTTGTTAAACCCTTTTGCATATCCCGTTTAGTCTACCATAAAATGCTTGCCCCGCTTTCTACCCTTCTTGCAATGAGCAGTCCACACACTATTATAAATAAGTTTAAAGTGTTCTAATTACTAAATCCAAAAGTGGTTCATGTCTTATTCCATGCAGCAGCAAGGAGAACACAGGTAGATTACTCCTCTGTAAAAAATACAGCATATAATTTCAAACATGTGGTCTGAACATGGACCAAGTTCATAAACATCCGTCCTGGTGGATTACATGGCAGCAAGAGAGTTTGAGAAAGGAAGCTTCCCTTGTGGAAGAGAAGGGGTGTGACCTAGCTGAGACTAGGAACAAAACTCTTGTGGTCTTAAAACCTTCATGTGTTAGCTAGCACTCATGCATGCTTGTGTTGGGCTGCAGTTTCCCAAACAATTTACCATAGATCCCTACTCTTTCCCCCAAATTCACTTCCACCCCCTTCAGCACTTTTCCCTCGCTTCGTTCTTTTCCTATACCCCCACCCTTAATGCTTCCTCCCCAGGGGCAGCTGTGTGCGTGCGTCTGTCTTTCCAACATGTCACTTCTCCAACATTCAGTAGCCTCAAACCATGTGGTGTAAGTGTGCTGTTTATGTTGTTGCCCAGCCATTCATTATAATTCTCATGTGCACAAATAGTTTGGTCTGATTTGGTGCCTAAGTTGCCTGTGTGCCTTTTCACAGAAGCCACCATCATTCAGTGTGGTCCATGATCTTCTGTTCCTGAAGCATGTGGCAGGAACTTAATAAACAGTTGCTACTCGATATGTAGTAACAATCCCTACACAGAATGCATTTATGTGGCTTCTTCTGCATGATTCCTGGTGTCCACCTTCGCAGTTTGCAGCGCTCTTGTTGTGTTTTCCACAGTGCATACAACCAGTGGCGTCAGAATCTTAGAAGGAGATTCTTAGAAGGAGAACAGCAAAGGGAGAGAACAGTCAGCTTTATGTTCTAGAAATAAACTTAGCCAGACAAGTTTGTCCTAATTTTTTGAGTTACCTGCACTTTCTGCATTGTGAAAGCCTTAAGTGGTGGGAATTCCCAGTTGTTTTAATTTTGGTGGGTGTTCTTTCAAAGACTAATTTGTAATCTCTGCTGTTTCTTTTTTAATAAGGTGTTCGATTTGCGTCAGTGTCACCGTCAGATGCAACAGCAGGCTGCTACAGCACAGGCTGCAGCTGCTGCTCAAGCTGCTGCAGTTGCAGGAAATATTCCTGGGCCAGGATCTGTAGGAGGAATCGCTCCAGCCATCAGTAAGTGGCATATAAAAGTAAATTACCAGCTTTTCCCACCTCTCTTTGCTATTATTCACTTTTGAAATGATTTTGGCAGGGATAAATTAAATTTGATCATGCCAAACTGTGGTTTGATCTTCCAAATGTGTAAACAAACCATGATTTATAGTTGTTCACTTGTTTCCTTTTTTTGTTCATCACTCCTGTTTCCAGATGCAGTGACCTCTGGAGGCAGACAAATTAATAGAACTGCGGTTTGTCAGTTCAGACAAAACAAACCGTGGTTTGCAACCCTATTGAACCATAGCTTTGCACGATGTCTGGCTTGAGCTGTACACGTGTCTATCTTGTTTTTCATCAGGGAATTTGTTGTGTCTCCTTTCAACATGATATACCCCTATGGTGAGTTGACAGGAGTGCTGGGTGTGAAAGCATTTACAGAATTCCTTTCCCATGGGAATTCACATGGTGCAGCAGTTTTTGATAAATGCTTGGAATGTCATGTAGCAGGAAACTGGAGGCTGCAGTTCAGATGAGACAGCTATATCTCCTACTGCTTTTTAAATCTGGAAGATGGTTAAAAAAAGTTCCCTGCAGGGCAGAAGCAGGAGATGGTTAGGACCAGCTACGACCTGCTACCAAAATTGGACAAAAGAATCATGGATTCTGTAGGGTAGTGTAAGTTTCTTCTGAAATGCTGCTGGAATGTTAAAGTAAAGGTAAAGGGACCCCTGACCATTAGATCCAGTTGTGGCCGACTCTGGGGTTGCGGCATTCATCTCGCCTTATTGACTGAGGGAGCCGGCGTCCAGCTTCCGGGTCACGTGGCCAGCATGACTAAGCCGCTTCTGGCGAACCAGAGCAGCACACGGAAACTCCGTTTACCTTCCCGCCGGATCGGTACCTATTGATCTACTTGCACTTTGACGTGCTTTCGAACTGCTAGGTAGGCAGGAGCAGGGACCGAGCAACGGGAGCTCACCCCATTGCAGGGATTCAAACCACCAACCTTCTGATCGGCAAGTCCTAGGCTCTGTGGTTTAACCCACAGCGCCACCTGCCTCCCGCTGGAATGTTAGGCTCTGTTAAATTGAGCTTTGGCATCAGGATTTAGGCCTTGAGGATTCTAATAGGACAGTAATAGCTGTTACACATTTGTTGCATATTTTCCTTAGCCAAGAGCATAAATATTTTGAGACTATTGGAAACTGTTGCTGCTCACCCAGCAAACAAATTTTAAATATTTTCAGAAATCTGGGAAGTGTTTGGCAGCAAGCATTGTTGCTGTTAAAGCACCCAAGCCACTCGAAAGCTGGGTTGAGGCTGGCAAATTGCTTACCTGAAACCGAAAGCTAAGAAGGGTGTTTAATGCAGTCCCTGGCTCTTTTTAGGTTTGTCTGCTGCAGCTGGAATTGGCGTGGATGACCTTCGCCGCCTGTGCATCCTCAGGATGAGCTTTGTCAAAGGTTGGGGACCTGATTACCCAAGGCAGAGCATTAAGGAGACGCCGTGTTGGATCGAAATCCACCTGCATCGGGCCCTGCAGCTCCTAGACGAAGTTCTTCATACCATGCCTATTGCAGACCCCCAGCCCCTAGACTGAGACCTTGCTGCTGTTCTTAGCTGTTATAGAGTGAGGATGGCGGATTGTAAAATACAATTTTATTAACCGGAAGATATATTTTGCTTCCGTTCTGCTTAATCTTTTAACCAGGTTTTAAAGAGAAAATGTCTTTGCCACCTTGCTCTCAGCAGAAAAAAATAAAAATAAATCAGAACCTGCAGGAATTCTGAATAGTTTCACACCTTCGGGCTTGTTCTGTAGTTGTGGGAAGCTGACGCCAAGCAGCAAAGTTTTGATTGTGGTCTTGGCGTGATCAGTGCTGTGCTTAGGCCTTGGAAATCTCACCTGGCTTGATTAAGGGAACCCCCCTCCCCTGCTCCATTCTCTTGGCGGCATGGATTTTGGGAGGCTCCTCTTAAGCACTTATTCAGCCTGCCCCTTAGCTAGATCCACCCCAAATGAGCAAAATCATGTTGATTATTCTAAAGGGATGGTTTCTGGTGCCGTACTCTGCTACAGCACTGGGGCACGTCTCATAGCAAGGCTCTGTATGTGAAATATTTATGTACACATAATCATTTGAAACACACTAGAAATGGATGGGCTTCGAAGCTGGCACTAAATGTAAATGCAACATAAAATATTCAGCAAGGAGAACTGCCAGCTAAATTATGTAACCAGTGTGCAATGATACATATTTTCATAACTATTCCCAACTGATTTCCGCTACAGTGAAAAGGCTGTAAAACCTGGACAGTTGAGATAGCATTAATATGTGTTTTACTGCACTTGGAGTGCCATTTCAAAACCTCATAATCATGTTGATGGTTGCATCGCCGAGAATCCAGATTTTATATTTTTTAACATTTCTACTCAGGGCAAGATGGCAAACTTGTTTTTATACCTCTTGGTTATTTTAAGCTCTTTATCCCATCAATGATTTTATCTATTTGCATTGACTTTGTATAGAGAATTTCAGGTAGAAGTTGCAAATGTATTGGCTGTATGACAGATGCAATATTATGCTTTCTCTAGTTAATAAAACTACTGGAAAAAACTCTCAGCACTCTGATAGAAATTTATCGACAGTTTTTGTAAGTATTTTCCTACGTTTTGAATCCTTTCATCTGGAGTCCTGGATAAAGTTTCTGCCTGAAAATTCTTCAGGAAGCAATGGGAGGGTTTCTCTCCACTTTCCGGCTTGCTTTCAAACCCTGTGTTGTCAGCTGTCTTTCCCCTTTACATAGGTCCAGTATTATAAGAACAAACAGTGGCAGGAATGGACACTGGCAGTTCCCCTAGCTAGCAGGCATACAGAACAGTGAGGAGCACATCTGGCCTGTAGCATCTCTCCCCTATGCCCAGCCCAGCTCCTGGTATCTAAGTCTCCTGCCTGTATTAGTCTCCCTCCTCAATTCAGCCTGACTTATTTTCTGCCTCGCCCTCCAGTTTTCTATGAAACCAAAGGATTATAAAACTTCTGATCATCTGAAAAGGTGTCCCGATTAATCAGGCAACTTTTTAATTTTATTTTAAAGTTAATAATTGCCAGTATAAGTGCGTACATAAAGCTGTAGGTGGCAACCTCCAATTTTAGTGGAGGCGTCCCTCTCCCCTGCTGCCTGAAAAAGGAGTGCTCTGTAAGATGGTGCCTGTTTTTATAACCTAAAGACAAAGCATGGTTTTTCTTCAAAACTATGTTATTCCTATGCAAACGTATGCAGACTTAATTGAGTAATCAATTAAAAGCCATACCATTAATCAATGAAAGAGTTCTTTAAATGAGCAACAGCCCCAATGGAAGTTAAGTAATTTTAAGTACTCAGCATTTTTTTATTCTTCATGTAGAATTTCTTCCCCGCCCCCAAGCTTAAGCAAAAAAATACAGCTTTGCATCTTGTGGGTGGGGTGTGGGTGTTTGAAACTTTGCAATTCCTGGAAGAGTTTTTTGCCCTGCTCTTAAATGTTGAACTGAAACACAGGGGCTGCTCTAAATCAGGCTCAGCAGAATGGTTAACCCAGCCCCAGATGTAGCCTCTGAATGAGTTAGTCATCAGTGTAGGGCCTGACAAGCACACCAGGGCATCAGAGTGGAGGGCAGCTGGAACCCAATGTGTGCTAGAGCTTTTCCAAGTCTGTAAATAGTGCAAGAAGCATCAAAGCAGTCAGACAGGTTTTCCTAGGCGAGTCTCACTTCAGAGATGCAAATGTACCAGTTGCCTTGGCTTTCTTTCAAAAAAAGCATGGGAGGCCTTGGGAGAGTATGTGTGAGTGCCAGATTTTGCTCCCCTCCCAAGTCTATCCTCTGTATACATCTTGGGCTACTTTGAATGGTCAGTGATGGAAGGAGAGCCCTGTGTATCCCCAGTTCCAATTTATGGGGGGGGGAAAGGGGGGGGAGCCAAACAATTTCTTCCAACCTGGAGACTATGTATATCATGAAAACCCAGAATTGTGTGAAGAAAAATGGAATACTTCAAACTGTACGAATTATAGAAATAAAGCAAATTTGCATACTTGCCTATTTTGCATAATTCCTCCTCTTGTCACGAGACTGGGCATGTCGGAAAACCTGCATAGGACACTTCCCTTATCCCCTGCTTCTGTTTACAGTCTTTGGGACAAGATAGTTTTTCTTTATAAATACGTAAGTAAGTAAGTAAGTGAAAGTTGAAATTCTCAGGCTGAATTCTGCTTCCAGGATCTATATGTGCTTGCATAATGCAGCTGCAGAATTGTGAGGTAATTATGGTCCTGGCACCTTCCTGGTTGTGAAACTCTTGCCTGAGAAACAGCTCTGCTCTAGGTCTTTCAAAGTGGTAAAGAAAACACTCCCCATTTTCGAAAACCTCCGGAGCTGATGTCGCTCCTGTTGCAAAATAAAATATAGAGATAGTCTGTGTATAATTGCCTGCTGGGATATTCTTAACAAGCAAGAACGCCCCCTGGAGCATACACTCATTGCTTGAAAATAACAGTTTGCTGTGTTGCACAAAGGAATTGGTAAGAGATGCATATTTGGGGGAACTTCTGCATTATTTGGTCATGAAAAACACCTTACCTGCTGTAGATGTTGAGCTGCTGTGATAACTTGCTTTTTGTCTATGACAGCCAGGGTATTTAGTCTTGGCAGATTTCAGTACGATTGTACCAAGTGGTTTTAATTTTAATTTTAACCTTTGTTCTCAGTGGGGAAAATGGCAGTTGTGGATTGCATGAGTTTGCAATTCCTTAAAAGGTGCAGCTGTGTCAAGTCTGTCTCAGACTACATAAAGAACAAGCATTATTGTGGGCACCTTTAAAAAAAGTTAAAACATGTTTCATTGGCTGGTTTGTGCTTATGGAAGCTTAAAAAGGTAAAGGGACCCCTGACCATTAGGTCGAACCACCGACCTTCTGATCGGCAAGTCCTAGGCTCTGTGGTTTAACCCACAGCGCCACCCGCGTCCCTATTATGAAAGCTTATGCCCACATAAAAAACTTCTGGTCAAGAGCTGCAAGATTAATGCCATGAAATGGACCAATGAGACCTGTAGTGAATGTTAACTTGTCTCCCAGAGTTTCCTGTGAGCCGTATGCCAGCTGGTGGTGGACAGGAAGTTCCTGTTTAACCACGATGTCCAGAGGGTTTGGGATCTGTCTTGCATCTACTAGAATAGAAGCTGGCTCTGCTATGATCCATCAGGGCAGATTTTAAATTTTGATGATAATTGGGCTGCTTCAAACAACTCTTGACAGTGCAAGTAGCCACTAGGTGTCCTCACTCTTCCACGTTTGGAAGGAAATGTCTCATAAAATGTGTCTGCTTCATCCTTTTCTCATGAAGAAAGAAAGCTTTATTTGCAAGAATCTAGTTTGACTCTTAAGACAAGACATTAATGTATTGGGTGCACAAATGCCATTTCTTCCAATTGAGGGCTCTGTCTTCTATGCAAATAGAAGCATTGCTTCTATTTGCATAGAAGATGCAAATATAAATTTATTGCATTTATATCCCACCTTTTTTCCAAGGTGTACATGGTTCTCCCTCTCATTTAATCCGCACAACAGCCCTGTGAGGTTGGTTAGTCTGAGAGGCAGTGAGTGGCCCAAGGTTCCCCAATGAGCTTCATGGCCGAGCAAGGATTCGAACCCTGAACTCTCAGGTCCTAGTCCAACACTCTCGACCACTGTACCACACTGGCTGTCAATGCACATTAGAGACTTTGAAGGCTTGGGGGAAACAGCAGAAGTCAAGCATGCCCACTGGACATCAGCATGGCTCGTGTTCTGCAGTTCAGTTTCTTGGGATTTTTACATGCCTGGCTCTTCTTAGATGGTATTTTGGGCTGCTGGTGAGAGGCGTGTGTGTGTTGCACATCTAAGCACTTCCACTAAAAAAACACCTGTGGTCAGCTCCCAAAACTGCAGTGAAAAACCCCACGTAGCCGACTTCCCTTGACAAATTTCCAATTGTAGCGACCCTATTCTGCTTTGGCTCCTTGGTCCATACCTGCGTGTCTTCCAACACTCCCTTGCTTGCTCACTTCCTAACAGCACATAACTCCATTCCTCTGTCCTTAGCTCCTCCTTTCTTCCACTCCTGTCTTCACCACATACTTCTTCCCTCAGGTTCTTGCTTTTCAGATCACTGCCTACTTTGTCCCACTTTCCTTTGCTGCTTCAGCTCTTGCCCAACCTCCTAAGTACTCTTCCTTGCCCCCTAGCATGCAACTCCTTTTCATCTTACATGCTGTGAAGTTCCTTCAGCGCTCCCTCTCTGATTTAACACCTTTTCTTTTCAATTCCCTATCTGTCCTTACCTGGCAAGTCTCATTCTCCACTTATCCTTTTTGCAAGTTGCTGTGTTCTCATCCTTCTGCTGTGTTGCCTAGAAGTTCCCTTTCTCTTTATTTCCATAGGTCTTGAGATCCTCTCCTGAGATTCCAATCTGCCTGTGTTGGAGGTTTTCTTCCCAGCCAAGCCAAACTGACAATGTGCTCTTCCCTCAAAGAAGCTGGACTGTCCAGCTGCCCCCTGAGCAGCTAAATATTTTCTAATGACACCACCAAGCATGAGCAAAGGTTTCACCACCCTAAGTACTATACTAGATAGATACTTCTTAAATTTGCAGTGTTAAGTAGGCCTTGAATATTAATTTTAACAATGAGCAGTCCTCTGAAGTCTTTGCAGCCTTGCGATTCCCTCCCGCCATTCACATCAGCCACAAAAAGCAGACAATTATCCAGATGTTGCAATATACCATTAATTATTACCTTTGGGCTCTTTTATTTGCAGTACAGGTGAGTCACTGGTGAAATTATCCCACGGACTGTTTTCAAGGACGCTGGTCTTTCTGGAACAGCAATAGCCACACCTTGAAAAACAAGGCCCAAGTTGGCTTACTCATCCTCATTTCCAAGTTCTGTTGTATTCTTAACAGGAAATATACCCAGAACAGCACTGTGCTTTGACAAAGCAAGATAGGAAGAAAACCTGTGTCCGACTCCGTGACACTGGAGATGTGGTCATGCTAACCAATTATGGGAGTTGTTTGATGTACGATGGTTCTCATTGTACATTCTGTCCTCAGGTACACCTGCCTGAATTCAAAATACTATTGCCTTGGGACTAGTAAATGGTCCGGAAGCTGCAGATGCTGTAGAATTGCTTGAGTAAGGCAGGTGTAGCACTCATTGGGATTAAGAGATCACTGGAAGCCTCTTTTGTAAGAGCCGGACAGAAGCACAACAGATGAAAATAACCTTTAGGAAATATTAGACCTATTAGACCTTTAAAGCACAGTCAAAGCCCATTTCCTGCTTCAAAGAATTCTGGGCACTGTAAGTTTAAGAGTTGCTGGGAATTGTAATTACAAGGTGCAAACTACATAGACAAAATCTCTTGGAAGGCTGGAGAATGTACTTTAAAGGTATAGTGTGTGCACAGCCTTAGTCTTCCATAGATTTAAAAAACCAGTTGGCATGTGCTTTCAGTTCAAACATTTCCCCCCCAAATACGGTTGCCCGTATACAGGAGCAACAGTTCACCATAGACTGGAGGTTCTGTAGTGTGTGGAATAATAATAATAATAATAATAAAAGTGGCTGACTTTTCCCAGCCACTCTGGGCGGCTCCCAACAGAATATTAAAAACACAGTAAAATATCAAACATTAAAAACTTCCCTAAACAGAGCTGCTTTCAGATGTCTAAAAGTCAGATAGGCGTTTATTTCCTTGACATCTGATGGGAGGGCATTTCACAGGGAGGGTGCCACTATTGAAAAGGCCCTCTGCCTAGTTCCCTGTAACCTCACTCCTCGCAGTGAGGGAACCGCCAGAAGGCCCTTGGCGCTGGACCTCAGCATCCGGGCAGAACGATGGGGGTGGAGACGCTCCTTCAGGTATACTGGGCCAAGGCTATTTAGAGCTTTAAAGGTCAGCACCAACACTTTGAATTGTGCTCGGAAACATACTGGGAGCCAGTGTAGGTCTTTCAAGACCGGTGTTATGTGGTCTCAGCGGCCATTCCCAGTCACCAGGCTAGCTGCCGCATTCTGGATTAGTTGTAGTTTCTGGGTCACCTTCAAAGGTAGCCCCACGTAGAGCACATTGCAGTAGTCCAAGCGAGAGATAACTAGAGCATGCACCACTCTGGCGAGTCAGTCTGCGGGCAGGTAGGGTCTCAGCCTGTGTACCAGATGGAGCTGGTAGACAGCCGCCCTGGACACAGAATTGACCTGTGCCTCCATGGACAGCTGTGAGTCCAAAATGACTCCTAGGCTGCATACCGGGTCCTTCAGGGGCACAGCTACCCCATTCAGGACCAGGGAGTCCCCCACACCCACCCACCCTGTCCCCCCAAAACAGTACTTCTTTCTTGTCAGGATTCAACCTCAATCCATTGCCTGCCATCCATCCTCCAACTGCAGCAAAGGCATGAGACCTTATTCTTCATCTGCATACATTTGCCTACATGGGCACTAGAGACACGATGCAATTGTGCCCTTTTACAAAAGGAGAGTCCTTTGGTACGCAGAAGAGAGGACTTTGAGGAGTCATAAACATTTGTTTCTGGAGAGATTAGATGATGTTGGATGCAAGTATTCATTCTTCACTTGTGGGGAGTTTAGATGACGTCATCCCATACTTTCCCCTGACACTTTTCCTTATCACATAAAGTTCCTTTGGGGCAAGTGGGCTTCTTGTGCCCAATCAGCTATAACTGCACAATCTGAAATTGCAGGTATGCAATGGATTCCCAATCCTTTCAGGTAATGGGTCTCCGATAACAGGCCAGGGGAGGTGATTTTTGCCGACTTCTATTTCCCCTAACACCCTCCCCCAACGCCTTCAATGCAGAACCGGAAGGGCTCCCAACCCCCGGTCCTGGAGCAGATGGGGGGGGGGGGCGGAAGGCCTATAGGGTAAATTGGTGAAAATCCTCTTCCATTAGTCTCTGGATCAAAAGCCTTTCTGTGAATGAAAAGGTGTAATTGGATTTGGCACTTCTGCAGCTGAGGGATAGTCAACTGAAACCTGAAGAATAACAACTTGCACTAACAGGTTTTTAAAAGAGGCTGCGCCAAGTGGCAAGGAACAACATAGGTACTGTCTGTATTGCTCTCCACCGTCCCTTCCAGCTGGGGAAATAGTAGCTGGGTGTGTGTGTGGAAGAGCAGGATTTAGACCCAGGAAATGTCATAGAGGAAAAGGTTCGAAGTACAGTGGTACCTCGGGCTACAAACTTACCGTATTTTTTGCACCATAACACTCACTTTTTTCCTCCTAGAAAGTAAGGGGAAATGTCTGTGCGTGTTATGGAGGGAATGCCTACGGGTGGCATGCCTACGGATTTTCCTCCTCTAAAAACTATGTGCGTGTTATGGTCGGGTGCGTGTTATAGAGCGAAAAATACGGTAATTATTTCTGGAGGTCTGTTCTTAACCCGAAACCATTCTTAACCTGAGGTGCGCTTTTGCTAATGGGGCCTCCTGCCGCCACCGCACCAGTGGCGCATGATTTGTGTTCTCATCCTGGGGCAAAGTTCTCAGCCTGAGGTACTACTTCCGGGTTAGCGGAGTTTGTAACCCAAAGTGTTTGTAACCCGAAGCGTTTGTAACCCGAGGTACCACTATACCTCAGCACTGCTGTGGCTCCAATCACAGATCAAAGGTCCCTGCAGCCAAATTTGAACCTAGGTAAAGGTACCCCTGACCATGACGTCCAGTAGTGACTGACTCTGGGGTTGCGGCGCTCATCTCGCTTTACTGGCTGAGGGAGCCGCCGTACAGTTTCCGGGTCATGTGGCCAGCATGACTAAGCCGCTTCTGGTGAACCAGAGCAGTGCACGGAAACGTCGTTTAGCTTCCCAACAGAGCGGTACCGATTTATCTACTTGCACTTTGATGTGCTTTCGAACTGCTAGGTTGGCAGGAGCAGGGACCGAGCAACGGGAGCTCACCCCGTCATGGGGATTCGAACCGCCGACCTTCGGATTGGCAAGTCCTAGGCTCTGTGGTTTAACCCATAGCGCCACCCGATTTGAACCTAAATTATGCCAAATCCCATATGCTTCAGCCCTTCCAGTATACTGTAAACACACACACACACACACACACACACACACACACACAATGCCCTGTGTTGAAGAGAACCTGCTGCATGCAACTCTGTGCAATTCATTCAAATGCCACAGGGAAGGGTCCATTCTGCTGCGTCCAGGCATGAGTGAATCAAAGGTCTAGCACACCACCCTGGTGCCCTACAGCTATTTGGGGCTAAAAATCCAATAAGTAAATAAAAACAAAAAATGGTAAATCTGAATCAAATGTGTGTGTGTGGGGGGGGGATAATATGGGATAACTTTTTGTTGTGGTCTCTGCAAAAAAACCCCCACAAATGTGCACACACGCATGATTCCACAACAAATTTTTGTGTCAAAAGCACCCTAAATCACACTGGACTCATGTGGGACTTAACTTGTGAGTAGACAGAGCATTGCACTGTCAACATTCCAACAAATATGCACAAACACACACATGACAACTATCGGATACAATTTCCTATACACTGGTTTCTACCTACACAAGTGAGTCATCTCTAGACAAATCCCTTCTCCTAGGCCTTTCTTCATTCAACTCTCTATATCCTTTTAAACTGTGTGTGCAAGTGCATTGTTTTTGTTTATTACTTTATGTATTTTTGTGTTGTTTTATTATAAACCGCTCTGTGATCCTTGCATGAAGGGCTGTATATAAATTTAATACATAGTAAGTATGGAGCAGCCGGTAGATTTTCTTAAAACAGTTAATGTGCACAGGTCTAGATCAGTCGCCTTTTCTTTAAAAAAAGACAATGTACGCATGCAGAGACATGTTTCTCCAGTTTGCAGTTTTAAAAGCCTGAAAGAACTTGAATCTGACTTAATATTCCTCTTCCACAGCTGAGATAAAGCAAAACGTTGCTAAAAGGTAATTAGTCTCAACTGCTTTGAATATAAGTTGTTACAAAAGAGAGCTGTGCGTTGCCTGAGCAGCAGCAGTATCAAATATGGCAATTCATGAACATCTGAGTGATTTCCCAAGTCCTGTTTGAAATGCGTTGCTCATCTCCACATGCCACAACACATACACAGGGAAAATAAGTCTTGGAAGAATATGAAAATCAGGTCACTCACAGATCTTGTGTGTCACCACAAAATGTGTCTGATATTGATGGGAGTGAGAAAAGATGCTCACCAGAGGATCTTAGCAATCTGGATACAGCATTCTGGACCAGCTGAAGCTTCTGAACACTTTGCAAAGGAAGTCCCACTTAAGAGCACATTACAGTAGTCCAGGTAGGATGTAACTAAGGCATGCATAGCCATGGCCATAGCCAACATTGCAAGGCAAGGGCACAGTTGCTGCACGAGCTGTAATTGTGCAAACACATTCCTGGCCAGCACTGAAAGCTGGAGAAATCCAGAACATTCAAACTACAAGCCTGAGTCTTCAAAGGGAGTGTAACAACAGCCAACACTGGTTGAAGTGGGGCCATTTCACACTTACCACTGCTTTCCCTATCAATTTCCTTCTCACAAAAATTTGGGGAAAGTGGGTTTCTTGCGCAAGCCCTCCCAAACGGGACTATGATTGGGCAGCCTGAATTTGCTGATAATATGACCGAATACCACGCCAAAATGGCGACCATCTTCCACAACAATGCTTCCTTTGCACAATCCACCCAGCTGTGGTTCAAACACATTGTTGAGATATCTGGCTGTACCAGGTCCGTTGTGCGAGAAAAGAAATCAGTTAAGTTTCCTGGCAATATTATCAAGTGGGTAAGTCTGCTTTCCGCCTTGGTACCAGAACGCGGCTTACAGCCCCACAGGAGCAACGACTGCCACCTGGTTTTCGATTCTGAGGGCATTTGGCAGAGTCGGCCCATCCATGAGGCAAGGTGACCGCCTCAGGTGGCAGGATCCACAGCGGCAGCAGCTCCTGCCGCCTCCAAGAAATGTGCCGTATTTTTCGCCCTATAGGGCGCACCTAGGGTTTTTTTGGGGGGGATAAAGAAAATTTTTTTTATCCCCCCCCCCAGGCGCGGGGCTTCCCCCGACCCCAGCCCCCAGAACAGGCTGCTATCCGCAAGCCTTGGGAGCCCGGCGGGAAGTCGCGCCGGGCTCCCAAAGCTTGCGGAGAGCTGCCCGAAGCCTGGAGAGCAAGAGGGGTTGGTGCACACCGACCCCTCTCGCTCTCCAGGCTTCAGCGAAAGCCTGCATTCGCCCCATAGGACGCACACACATTTCCCCTTCATTTTTGGAGGGGAAAAAGTGCGTCCTATAGGGCGAAAAATACAGTACTTCCTACTGCCGCTGCTGCCATGGTGGCAGCAATGGCTGCAGCAGGCACCTTGAAGACCTCTTGGTGAATAGACACTACAGTGGTACCTCAGGTTACATACACTTCAGGTTACATAAGCTTCAGGTTACAGACTTCGCTAACCCAGAAATAGTACCTCGGGTTAAGAACTTTGCTTCAGGATGAGAACAGAAATCGTGCTCCAGCGGCAGCAGGAGGCCCCATTAGCTAAAGTGGTGCTTCAGGTTAAGAACAGTTTCAGGTTAAGAACGGACCTCCGGAACAAATTAAGTACTGTATTTTTCGCTCTATAAGATGCACCAGACCACAAGATGCACCTAGTTTTTGGAGGAGGAAAACAAGGAAAAAATATTCTGTTCTGGCTTCTGGAATAGCTGCGCAGCCTGCATTTGCTCCATAAGACGCACACACATTTCCCCTTACTTTTTAGGAGGGAAAAAGTGAGTCGTATAGAGCAAAAAATACGGTACTTAACCCAAGGTACCACTGTACTGGTCTCCTCCCACTGTGTTCCCAATGCAGATCTGTATTTCCCTCTTGTTTCTGATGTAGATCTTCACTCAGCCCTTCTTCCCTGGCGGGAGGCACCATTTTGTGGTTCACCTGAGTGCCAGTATGTCTTGGGCTGACCCTGGCATTGGGAGGTAAATGGCCCTGAATTGGGGTGTGCGTGCGCAAGGTAATAGTGTAGATGGAGACGTTTTCTTTGCTTGCCTCCCTTGTTTTCTTCTCAGTGCACTAGTTACCCTCCATGAATTCTTCAGTTACGGGTTACTAATATGTCCTTTAACATGAGGCGACATGCAAACCATGAAAAGAGTGAAGTCAAGAAAACATTCAAGTTAATGGAAACAAGTCTTTATTAAGTAACTTTTAATATCAGAAAAATAAAACTCTTATAATTCTCTTTACAGCAAATATATAATATCAGTGCTTTGGCCACCATAAGTTAAAGGCCCTTTATCATAAAATATATGGTTTGTTTTTTTTAAATTTACTCAAATTGAATTTATAATCCCTATGACCTCCCTACATATACATAACAAAAAGAGTGTAGTAAAATTAGCAAATACTAAACTATATTGAGAGCTTTGTCATTCTTGAGTCTGTGGTTTATAGAAACGGTACACGCACCTAATGTCTGTCGACTCCTTGGCTTATTAGTTGCAGTGTACAATGCAAGAGTACAAAATACATGCTCGGTGAACGAGATTGTTCATATCTACAAGACTGCAGCTAAAGATTAAGGTTTCAATACTGACATTTAAACTATCCTACAAGCTGTTAGCGTTAAAGTTATGCATTTCATAATATAATAATATTATAATAATAATATGCCATCAAGGCAACTTTTATACTGAAAAAAATCATAAAATAAAAACCGTTATCTGTAAACTTTTTTTTTAATACGAAATGTAACCCTTTCAAGTGGAAATAAAAAATAAAGATTTCTGTATATTTACTAGTTCAATACACATAGAATTTGCTATACTGAGGGGAGCGGGGAATCTGTTTGTTTCAACTCGGGAAGGTATTGCTCCAAAAGGAAAAGAAAAGATAGAAATAAAAAAATAAAGAAATCCACCAGAACTTCTGAGTGTTCTTTTTTTCAAATGCCAGCACAGATTTGGGAACATTCTGAGTATGAAGAAGCAAGAAAACATCCACAGGTTGAAATGTAAAGAAAACACAAAGGAAAGGAACAGGGAGAAGCTCGTATTGACTTGCAAAGGGGAAGATGGGTGGCTTTGAAATGAGATAAACCCCTCGCTGGGCCACAGTCGCAGCTGCTCTCATGAATGATACAAGAGCATGAATGTGACTGCTTCTCTGTCGTCGTCGTCCCCCCCCCTTTTACATTACTAAAAATAAAATACATGCTTCACATAATGTGCAAGTTATGGTTGAAACATAAAAATGATTCACATTTTTTGAACTCTGATATTCTCTAAAATAGTTAATTTAAGAACAGCTTGATCAAACTAGCCAATGGAATGTTAGCATCCTCGCTATCAGATACAAAGGGTGCAATGACCCGACAGCTGTCCTTCCACCAGACGCCCCCTCCTCTGAAGCAGATGGGGGGGGGGAGAGAAGGTGGGAGGGGGAAAGGAAGGGACATTTGGTGGGCTGCTCGGGACACCACAGCTCTTCACATGGATTCCATGTGCGGTGTGGGTCGAACACAGAGAGCTCCAGTGCAAGCAGACGGGTCCCCCTACTCTCAACGGGGTGAGCCAATCTATGGATACAAAACGCTAGACCGACTCCCTCCCTTGAAATGAATGGGGAGGCCAGCCACTTGTGGAAGGGGGGGGGGACTCTCTGCTTGCGTTGGGAGCCCCCCCCTGCGTCCCTTAGCATTGATCAAGGCAAGGCAGACTTTCCCACGCTTCAGCAATGGAAGACCCGCACATTCCTGATTCTCTTAAGATGCCCCATTTGCATATTGGAGGAGGTGGTGGTCAATTCATACCATTTTGCCCTGTCCTCTATCCCCTTATGAACAATGATCACATTAATAAAAGTTACCGCTACGCTACTTGCTGAATGCCAGGAAATCAAATTGTGCATCATAAAATTATTTGCAACATTAGGTAAGTTAAGCCTATGTTGTAAAGTGGGGGGGGGGGGAGGAAGCGGCCCCAAACCTGTTTTGAAAAACTGGCAGTGTAAAAGAAGGCAGCATTGGAAGTGTGTTTGATACATTGATAATCCTTTGTACCCTTCCCTCTTATAAACCGACAGTTTCTACATTCAGGGCTGTGTCAGGCTTTTGCTGTCATGACCTGCGAAGCCTCACGCTCCATTCTGTCCTGAAACTGTTCCTGACCCTCCTATCGCCTCACAACTTCATTCCAGAACTTTGCTACAGGTGCCACAGCTGCAACCAAAATGGACAAAGACTGGCTAGGCTTAGTGTTAAACTGTACAGACCTTTTCCAAAAAAGAAAAAGAAAAAAAGAGAGTACATGCCTTTCAAACAACATTAGCCTAATCTCAAGAAAGCCCAATAACAGTCTGAGTTCATTATAAGTTTACTTAGGGGGTACCATTACATCCAAGCCATTAAGAGTTTAAAAAGTCCATATATAATATCTCTATATATTTAAGAGTGAATTTGAATCGCCTGAGTAACAGCTGTCTGGCAAACTGGACACGTGGGTACGTCTTTTTCACAGATCTTATTGGCACATTCCATGCAGAATAGGTTGTGGCCACATGGAACCAGGGCAGCGATTACTTCGTTCTCAAAGCATATCACGCAGTCATGCTTCCTTCTCAACTCTGGAGGGGAACTAGATGTGGAGCCACCATTGGAAGAAGAGTAGCTGTTGGTACCATTGGAAAAAGCAGGGATGTAGATCGGAAGGCCAACTTGGCTGACTGTACTGGGTGGATCGCTTCGGACTCTCCTTGCCAGCGGATGTTCCAAGGTTTCGGGAAATGTAGGCGACAGGCGAGGAGTGGATGGCTGACTCCCTCTCCGTGGAGCCTTCATGTTACTAGCAGGTTCGTTACCAAAACTGGAGAGAGGGTTAACGGGTTCAAAGGGTGTCCAGATGGTTTGAGAAGGCGTCGGCAAGGAGTCGTACGCAGGAGAGTCAACTGCAATGTCCTCCGCACCTACAGAAGGCAACGTTTCTCCAAACCAAAAGTTGCCTGTGCTGAATGGACTTGTGGGGCTGAAGTCAGCCAGCCTATTGCTTCCAAAGTAGGAATCAGTGGAGCCGCTTCCTAAAGAACTGGAACTGTCGTTTCTGTAATTAGAAATCATCCTAGTGCGGCTTGGAGGAGGTACTGGGTTGGAAGTAAGCCAGGCAGATCCCAGGTTCCCTCCTTCAAAGCTCACGTCCGTACCGTTATAATGGAAATCGTTTTCTTCGTTCAGTTCAATGTAGTTTCCAGTGCGCATGGCGATGTGCATTTCTATCTCTTCGCGAGCACGATCTACGTTTTCAGGCATCCCGGTAACCTCAAAGACTGGCTCCTTGTCTCTACTGGGAGTAACTATGTAGGTGTGGGTCTGCTGCTGGATCCGCTTGATTGTAGCGCCTTTGGGGCCCACCACCAGCCCCACAACACGGTAAGGCACCCTGACCTGGACTGTAGTTTGGCCTGGTAGGTTGGGGTTACAAGACAGTCCTCCCAGTGCTGGGCCATTTTTGTTGCGTGAAGCTCTAATCATGGAGAAGTGTTCAGCAGCAGAAAGAATTTCCCTTTTGGCCATGGCTACATCTTCTTTGCGCCCAGTGACGACAAAAATGGGCTCTTCTCCGCGGACAGGGGTCTTGATGTAGGTATTTGTCTTGGCTCTCAATGCCTTTATTTTGCAACCTGCGTGGAGAAAGCACAAATAACAGTGCTTTAGTGAAGAATCTTGAATGGAAAAAGATGCAAGAAGCAAAAATCGCTTTGTGCTGACACTCTGATCCTCAACATCTCCCTCTCCCCACCATTAGGTCAGTGCAAAATCACACCATTACAGTGAAAACAGCAATTACCCAATTAAAGAAGGTTGCTATTGAGAACAAGTGCTTAGGAAGCATGGCAATTAAGTCACAAAGTAACTAAACTCACAGAAACCTTTAGCAACCTACCCATCCGTACCAAGCTGCAATTTGAAAAAGAGAGCTAACTTTTTGAAATGCCTCCTTGCCTGGCTAGTGACTATTTACAAGCCTCTTCCAAATCATTGTCTTAAGCTAACAAAAGTTGTTGACTTCTGTATTTGTTCTGTTCCTCCGAGGAGTGCAGAACAACCTCTAAAGCCAGTGCACTTAGGTTTTCAAAGAAATCTTTTCCAAGTAATTAGCTGAAGCCAAAAACACATTGATCAATGGTGCAGCAGACAGTTTCATTCCATTCCGTATATAGCAATTAAACAGAAGCTACATGAAGGTTATTTAACTGAACAAGAGATTTAATTTTCTTCAATATGCTGCTTTTCATCAAAGAATATCAAAGCTGTTTACAATAAAATGAGTAAAACCCATATAAGGTCAACAGAAGCAGAAAAAGCAACATAACCACATATGAGTGAGCAACAAAAAGCACACCCAGAGAAGACTCACTGAAATTAATAAACAAAGAAAGTTCGGTCCAATAATAGTATGGTGCTGCCTTCTCAAGAGTTACTATAGATAAAAGAATAAACATGGTCTGGGGATCTTATTAAAGGTGTTAATAAAGGTATAACTATACTAGATGGTCATCTGATATCTCTGTTAATTATACGATACAATCTTTTCTTATTAACTGGAAAACTGTTCAGTTCTAGTTGAGCGCAGATATTGCTTGGTGGCATATATATTTTAACTATATTCAACAATAACATTTACAATTTCATAGCCCAGGAAAATGTGGGTTTTTGTTAAATATCACTCCCCCCCAAAAAAGATGGTAAGTCTTGCAGTATTTGATAATTTGCACAAGATGGAATAATAGAATTCAATGGTTTGAATGTTTTCAATTAATGTGCCTGCTAGAAGACCTTATAAGGCAAAATGAAATTAATAGACAACAGGGTTTGAAAAATTAACTTCATAATTACAGAACTCTAAAGAATAATTATCTAAAATATATTGGAGAATAATGGTTGAGGAAAGCAAAGCAAATATAGATAGGTTTAAAAGCTAGATGGAATAATTATTGTGGGGTGGTGAAGCTATTTTCATAAAAGACTCTTATATCTCAATTCCTACTGCTTTAAAGGAAAATCATTATAAAGTTCTATACAAAAAACATTTAAATCCTTTAAAATTAAGCAAAAATGAATAGGGTAATGACAGAGTGAATGTATTTCCAGGACAGAGTATGTGGTTTTCATATGTGGTGGGGTTCTGAAGGGCACTGGATGGAAATTGTTGAGATTAGAATCACTGCGCACATTTCCATTATTGCCATCACCAGTAAGAATTATTCTATGATACACTGAGGATATAATACCATCTGAAGATTACAGAATTAGAGGGCAGCTTAATATTTTACAACTCCAACTGAGGTGGCAAATAAATTTTAAAAAGTAAAAAATTCAAGGTGTGCAGAAATATAATAGGGTGAATAGTGTGGGATACACTATATTTGACAAAGTTTTCCCACTTAGGTTGGTTTAGAAAAGTGAGGCAAAGGGTTTACTTGAAATTGGAATTTGTGAATTTTCAGAAGAGAGATTGCCAAAAATAAGACATTTCTGTTGAACTCAATGGGACTTACTTCTGAGTAGACACATGCAGGGTTGTACCATTAAAACATCACATATACAGTACAGTACAGAATTAAGCCTCCCAAGCTGAAGACACCCTATTCAGTGGCTTTAGGTTTCTCATCAGGAGAAATGCATGCAGTTTGGAACGTCACTGAAAAATGCCAAGTCCCGATCTATTATGTGAAAAGCCAACACGAGACCATTAAAAAGTTTTTCTTAAAGTGACTTTTACAGGAAAGCTGACTCTACAGACTCCAAGGTCAATCTCTCCTTTGTTATTTGGAGAGAAGAAACAGCAGTCGAGAGAAAGCCGCAGCCTCCGACACCTGAAACTTCTGAATGCGTCATCAATCAATGCTAAATGAGTTTAGTTTGTAAGGAACTGGTAGCAAGATACAGATGCAATAGACTACTGTAAAGGCAGCCAGGCCAGAACACAGGCCATTAACCTTCTTCTGTAGTTCCACTGGCTGACCTTCGTGTCTGCTGCCTTCCTTGTCTTCTCCATTAAATCACGTCTTCAACATGCCATCTAATAGCCTGGTAAAAGTATTAAGCTAGGGTGAGTTACTGGTACATTTTATGCTTCTAACAGACTGTCCTGGATGCTGAGGCCCAAAGCTATAAAGGAGGGAAACTTACAATCTCCCACACCTTGTTTCCAAATCCCTGGACATGTGAGAGATTGCCACATGCATTTTCTGTTGTGATGACAGAACAGACCCGATGCTTGGAAAAACTGAGTTAAACTATGCAGTGCTGATTTGTTAGCAAGATATTGTCTCCAGACACGCTCAATGAGATGTTAAAGAATACACACAGTTCATGAATAAACCTAGGGCTACTGATCTAGAACTATGAGAACAAGTTACCACACTACACAGGTGATTCCCTATTTACTGGTACAAGGTGGTGTAACTGTATGTACAAACAGACATCCACCTATGGGAAGTTGTTTTTTCTTATCTGAGGCCTTGAACTACATGCTCAATTCTAGATGCGGAACACTGAAAGACTACATTGTGTTCCAATGTAGTCACCAAGATTTATGTACAGATATGCCTGCCTGCGAGTTGAATATTTCCATCGTTGTAAACAAAAATGAACAATTTTAGTAAAAGCAAAAGCTTGGCAGGCAAACACAGTCCTTCTCTCAAGTGGTTTTTTTTTAAAAATTGATACTTTACCAGTCCTTTCATTTCATTATTCCTCTTATTTCTATAGGTGAAAGATCACATTGAGGGTGCCCAAGTCAAGTCAGCCAGGTATGTGCAGAAGGATGGAGGGAATAAGCAAAGATAGTTTTCAGGACTGGAGGGCAGCGCTGCTGTAATTTTCTTCAGTATGTACATGCAAAATATACACCACTATGCCTAAACGCGAAGACAGAAGTGCCTGGCGTGCTTTGGTCCATGGGGTCACAAAGAGTCGGACACGACTAAACAACAACGCCTAAATGCACCACAAACTGGGATATGTGGACATTTCATGGGTGGAAAAGGAGAGGGAGGTATTGGGCTCAGAGGAAGTGCATTCCCAAGGCAAAGCCTCTGCTCCTCTTGCAACTTGTTAATAGGCCATTCCCCTTGTAGCTAAAACAATGCTTCAGGAAGGAGGGAATTGGGCCACTGGGTGTTTGGACCAGAGGGTGCATGTCCTCCAAGGTCAATCTCTCACTGCATCTTTGAAGGGGGGAAAAGAGCTTGGAGCTTGCATACTGCAAGGTGCACTTTGTGCAAGCCCTATGGTCCTTTCCCTTTTATCATTGAACCTGTGTGATGTGTTTATGACATAGTTAAAGGGGGAGGGCACTAACCGTTATAACCTCTCGACCTGCTTAAGGCAGAAGCTGTGCCCATTACCTACTGCGGCAGGAGAGGGAGAGAGACTGTAGAGAATTCAAGATGTGTGCCTATTGCACCCATCTTGGATGTTCTCAATGTAGATTTTATAATCTAAGGGTGAGTGGTACAGAGCCTTTGTTGTTTCTTTTGAGATTTCTGCATTATGAAAATGGCCTGGAATATGATGGAACACATTATTCACCAAGTTTCCAGGTGAAAGATATATATATATGTTTGTTTTTTAACATTTTGCTGGTTTTTACATTACAAGTCTTATACCCTGCTCTCCCTGAATCACAGCCCTGGAACTTGTTTCTCAGGTAATAAGATAACAATGTCTTTGGCCATGTGCAGTTTTAAGAGATGTCAGGGTTCTGGTTCGATCAGCCTCTATTTGTAAGACCTTTTGTCTACTCTCTGGTGTGCGTGTGTACAGTGGTACCTCGCAAGACGAATGCCTTGCAAGACAAAAAACTCGCTAGACGAAAGGGTTTTTTGTTTTTTGAGCTGCTTCGCAAGACGATTTTCCCTATGGGCTTGCTTCGCAAGACGGAAACGTCTTGCAAGTTTGTTTCCTTTTTCTTAACACCGTTAATACAGTTGCGACTTGATTTCGAGGAGCAACTCAGAGAACGCGGTGTGGTAGCCTTTTTTGAGGTTTTTAAAGACTTTGGTGATTTTTGAAGCTTTTCCAAAACTTTCCCGACACCGTGCTTCGCAAGACGAAAAAAATTGCAAGACGACAAAACTCGCGGAACGAATTAATTTCGTCTTGCGAGGCACCACTGTATGTGAAAACTCACTTTAGTTACTCAGTGCCAAATCCCTCATACAACCAGGAGAACTAATCATTGCCCTTTCCCAGAAAGACCATGATACTCATTATGCACCATTGCTGCCCTTTCTGACCGTAGAATTTGTTGGAGAACCCACTCCACAAATGCAGCTGACTAGTTATTTGCTAGGTGAAATGTTCCATCACCATACTTGTGAATAAAAATAAACATAGTCCCATGTTCAGCAGCCTGCAAACTATATATTGCAGTCTGCCTTCCAATGCAACTGCTCAGGAAGTTCCATTGCCCAGGGAGTTAGCATAGGCTCATTTTTTCACCACTGACCACTAATTAGAATTGGACAAGAATTTCTCTACTCAGATTGACTGTTGATCCAGACTACTTTTGTTAGCTTTTCTGCTTCACGTGGCTTGACTATGTGATTGGGTCAGCTTGAAGCTGTTTGCTTTAAATAGCTTTCTGGGAACCTTTTAAGAGTCCCTTGGATAGGACCCACAGACAAATCAAGTCCTTCATTTTGTTTCCAACTGTGGCTGGCATTATAGGTATGATGCTCTGTGGCACATAAGTTTTGGTCTGATTTGGTCTGTGGTGAACTGGCTGAAATGCTCCTGCATCAGTGTGTGAGATAAGGAGGTTGTGTATGGAAATATGTGTCCACGCCCTGAATGCTTGGCAAATCTCTCTTTCCAGATCACCATTACGAGCTCCCCCTTTTTCCAGAGTCTCCAGAAGTTTGGAGAAGAAGCAAGGCAGACTCTTATTTACTTTTAGCCTTCTCAGGTGGTAAAACAGATCCGGGTTTCCTTCCAAGACCAGTGCTGCTTCTTCTTACTGCAGCAGTCCAGTATGACATGCAGCAAGATCCAGGACCTCAGATTTCTCTGGAAGATGGCTCAGTGAATGGTGTCTAGGCTGCTGATGAGGGCAAAAAGCAGACCCCTCAGTATTATTAATTTTAATTATATCCTACCTTTCTGTAGAATACAATTACAGCTGATAAAGTACTAAAAATAGCAGCACTATTAAAAAATCACGTTAGAAGCGGCAGTCCATAAAGATCCCTAAAAGCAGCAAATTGTTAAGCATTAAAAGCTTGTGATGAAAAGTTTATGAGTAGATGAATCTCCACAAGAAGGGCATCTCATAGTTTTGGTGCTTTCAGAAGATGCTGTGTCTTGTACCTGCCTGACTAATCTCACATTGTAATAGAAAGGGAGATGTCCTCTGACATTTATTTTTTAAAAACCAGGCACCTTTACACATAAATAGATAGTCCTTGAGGTAACCTAGGTTGGTAGGGGCTTTAGAGGTTAACACTGGCATTAAAGTGATCAGAAGCAAATAAGCAACCGTTGTAGGTGGAATAAGATCTAAAATGTGATCTGATTGTCCAGCTGTAGCTACCACGGTGCTAGCTGGTACAGTGGTACCTCAGGTTACAGACACTTCAGGTTACAAACTCCGCTAACCCAGAAATAGTACCTCAGGTTAAGAACTTTACTTCAGGATGAGAACAGAAATCACATGGTGGCGTCGTGGCGGCAGCAGGAGGCCCCATTAGCTAAAGTGGTACCTCGGGTTAAGAACAGTTTCAGGTTAAGAACAGACCTCCGGAACGAATCAAGTTCTTAACCCAAGGTACCACTGTACTACCTTGCTGTTTCCTCCACCTTCTCTTTGAGCCAAGGTTTCCCAGAGCACAGTTCCAGAATTCATTTCAGTGGTAGGAAATCTGGAAACCATACAGAAGTACCAGTTGATGGAAACCACAGGTAAGAGTACTCTTGTGCTAAGATCCTGCTTGCAGGCTTCACAAAGGCACCAGTTCGGCCACTGTGAGAACAGGGTGCTGGATTAGATGGGCCACTGATCTCCAGGTTTTTCTTATTATTTTCCTTCACTGCTAAGTAATCCTAGCCAGCAGACACCTGGAGATAATAATTTCCAAGAGCAATACTTGAAGGGAAATTGGGGTTTGGGGGGAGGAGAATAAGATAGAGCAGGCTCCCATTCCCTAAATCAGTTCTCTTTCTGCGTATATCTCTTCCTCCAATCTATCTCCTAAGTTTTGCAAGACTGTTTGCACCCCTAATAGTTGTGAGCCTTCTGTTTCCAGCTCTCTTCTACCACCACTGGTACGAACAGGTAAAAGCTTGGCCAAATTACATACTAGGGCGGTCCTTATTGTTTGCCAGCTTCATGCTCAGGGAGAAAATGTTGCTTTGGGAACAGAGCTAAATAGCACCTTCCTCTCCCCCCCACAGTGCTGTGAACATTCTTTATTAAAAAAAACCTGCTTACTGCCATTCAGTCCGCTGCTTTTTACTAGTCTCCTTCAATGCCATTAAAAAAGAAAACATTCAATTTAATCCACTCAATTAAAAGTTGGGCTATAAATCCTCAAAATGAGTTAGTAAACAGAGTCTTCTTACTGGCAATAATCTCATTGATGATCCTTGCCTAGTGGGTATCGTATAGTGAGGAAGATGGTGCCAAAGTTGACAACATGCTGGTGTGGCTGAGATGGAACATAGCAGGACTGCCCTCACTCTCAATGGATTTATCTTTTTGCCCTCTCTCAAAGCCATGTCCAAAAGGTTACTGTGCCAAGGTGTTTTTTGCTGCTGCTAATATAAATGGGATGTGCCCATCCCTCTTTCTGGCTGAGTTTCTTTTATACATTCCTTAGGGCTGGAGCTGTATTTCCTTGATAGATGCTTATTATCAAGCTCTTCACATCACTAGGAAAATTTAATACTGGAAGCTGCTTGCAATAATTGAGGTTGCTCCTACCATGCTTTTGAGTAGGTTCACCACTCCTCTCCCCTCACTGCCCCCACATCTGTGCAGTATTTGTAGTTTTAAACTTTTCTACATGTATCCTGGGATATATTTCCATAATAATAGATTTATCCTTCAAGTCAGCTAGTTGATACTTTCTGCATCTGTTGGGCTGATCCTGCGCGCACACACTCTCTCTCTCTCTGGTATTGTGGGTAGGATGCATGCAGTGCACAAATGTTATTTTATTTGCCAGGAAAGTGCAAACTCTGTGTTAGAATACATTATTTTAGCTAAGCAGATTTGCATGCATTTGTTTTACATAAACTCAGCTTTCAACATAGATGCTTTCAAAAGATTTTGACATTTAATGGGGCTGTCAATGGAAGCAGAGGATGATCGAAAGAGAAAATACAAGGAGATGGGACATGGTAGATGATGAAGATGATGATAAATTTATTTATACTCTGCTTTTCCCCCTGATGGGACTCAAGTCAGCTTGGATAACTGGCAATAGCCATCTATCACGGAGTGGGGTGCTGAAATTCCCTACTCTAAGCTTGACCGCCATGTTATCTAAAACCTATTCTTGTTATCATTCCATATTATTTGCATGTTTGGGTGCGAGGAATCCCTCTCTCTGGAGGGGAGGGATAGTGCAACAACAGGAAGACATTTTGGCTGGGTACCAAGGCATGCCAATATCTCTGACCCCTGTATCAAGCATAGAAAGAATTATTCCTGGAAATGTACAAAGCAAATAACTGGCTGCTATGCAACTAGATGAACTCTAGAAATGACACCTTCTATTTAGACATCACATCAGAGAAACAAATTATAATACACCAAAAATAAATATTTTTGAATACTATGTAGCCAAGAAAAGATCTACTCAAAATCAAACATGGCAGGTTTGGGGTCAGACGAGAACAAAGTTGATGTTTCTTCCACCTGTTTGTCTCTCCTCCACCACAGAATGAAATGTTACTGAATCTTCACTGATTTTCAGAAATGTTTCTCTACGAACTCGTTGCCTGTGCCTAAGTTATTACACTCCTTCCATTATAGCTTACTTATTTCCCTTACAAATGACAACATTTTAAAAGTGGCTGAGAACAAAAAAAATCATTTTGCATTATCTAACTCAGTGTGGTCCAACATGTGGCCCTTGTGCTACCTTCCCACAGCTGGGTAAGGCGCCAAAGGAGGCGGGAAGACTTCAGAACCCTGCCAGAGCCTTGTGCCTCCTTCCTAAAGTCTGACACCTCGCTTAGCTGGCCTTTTGGCCTGGCTCCCCACTTTGTGCAACAAGGTAGTGTGTGACCTGCAGGTATGAAAAGTGGACCGCCCTGATTTAACTCACTGCTTCCTTCTGAAGAGTACAGTGGTACCTCGGGTTACACATGCTTCAGGTTACATACGCCTCAGGTTACAGACTCCGCTAACCCAGAAATAGTACCTCGGGTTAAGAACTTTGCTTCAGGATGAGAACAGAAATCGTGCTCCAGGGGTGCAGTGGCAGCGGGAGGCCCTATTAGCTAAAGTGGTGCTTCAGGTTAAGAACAGTTTCAGGTTAAGAACGACCTCAGGAACGAATTAAGTACGAAACCAGAGGTACCACTGTATATCCCAAGATCTTCTGAATACAACCCTTCAAACCCAAAAGCTAAGCAACAATTAAACAACCAAAATCTTTCTAAACCAGAATTTACTTTTTTTAAAAAAATTGCACAAAGATGAGCAATTTTGGAGCAATGCTTACCAAAAGTATAATGGATTACCGTATTTTTCGCTCCATAAGACGCACCAGACCACAAGAAGCACCTAGTTTTTGGAGTAGGAAAACAAGAAAAAAAAAATATTCTGAATCTCAGAAGCCAGAACAGCAAGAGGGATCGCTGCGCAGTGAAAGCAGCAGTACCTCTTGCTGTTCTGGCTTCTGTGATAGCTGCGCAGACTGCATTCACTCCATAAGACGCACACACATTTCCCCTTACTTTTTAGGAGGGAAAAAGTGAGTCTTATAGAGCAAAAAATACGGTAATTAACTACCATTCAGGATATTTGCAAGGCAGCTGAGTGTGGAAATAAGCTTGCTGCTAAACAACCAAGAAATTATTTCCTATTCAAAGAAAGGGCATCTCAGTGTCAACAGGTGATGTCCTCAGGCACAGCAAGGACATGGCAGAAACTCTCCAAACAGCCCAGCTGAGCATATCTCAGTCCTTGCTTTAATCTCCAGGAGTCTATCCCTGCTTGCACATGTGTGGCAACGTCACACTGCCTGCTGAAATGTACAGCTCTTCTTGGCAGTCAAGCCCACCTGTTTCCTTCTACTTGGTTATTCCTCTTTACATGGAATAGAGGCACCAAATTAAGGAAGTGCTGCCTACGTCACTGCAAGTGCTGGTCTTTTAAGAATAAGGAACTGAAACAAGAAAACTCGTGCTTACCCGTCAGCCTCTGGTCTGGAACAGTGGCAGTTCAGAAGTCGGCTGTTCCACTTGCCCTCTCACCTCTCTTGCTGACATCTGTTTAGACTTGGCACACCTTAAAATCTGCTAGCTTCCCTTGAGATATGCAAGCCAAACGCATGACTTCTGTATATAGCCTTCACCAATCTAGTGTCCTCCCTATCTTTTTGGTGGCAATTTCCATCAGCACCAGCAACAATATGGCAGTGATGGCTGGGGGTTGGTGTGGTTTTAGTTCAAAACATCTGAAGGCCACAAGGTTGGCAAAAGCTGGCTTAATATATACAGTAACTTGAATAGAGGTTAAGAAGTGCCTGAATTCACTGGGTCTCTAGCTACAGTCAAGGCAACCACTAAAGTCTCTGGACATCTTTTAATTCTAATTAAGGCAGGCATTTTTCTAGTTGCACTAAAAAGTGTGAATGATAGGAAGTTCCCACATTTTGGAATACAGATCCAAAAAACCTGTCTCCTTGCATTTCTGCACTTCAGCAAAATGTGATGTGCCATCAGGCTTATTGTATGCCAATAAACTGACAGACAACAAACTCCTTCTGTGAAAAAGTTTTTTGTTTTTTGTTTTCTTAAAGGGCGATTTCCTATCGGGCGTAGCAGTAAGCGTCTTGCAAGTTTGTTCTTTTCTTGCTGCGTTAATACGGTCGACGACCGAGGAGCAACTCGCGGCTGGTGTTGGCGCCTGGGATTGCAGCGCCTGGTGATTACGAGCCGCTTGCCAAGTAGCGTGCCGCTGACAGCTGACAATTAATTGTTAAACCTACTCGCATCACCTGGTCTGTTGTATCATTGCAGCCTTCTCTCCTTTGCCTGTTTTACATGTGTTTTTACCATTCCCTCTTTCCAACAGCAAAGGGTGAACCAAAGTGACAATTATTTGATTGCAAGATGCACACAACCACATGGGGAGCCGGTTGTCTGCACCACATAGCCACATGCAAAGGCACCCCATATTCCTCCACATTTATGATTGGCAACAGGTATCAGGGTGCAAAAGTCTCCCCACAAAATTAAACTTTGCAGGTAGTCAGCACATGGCAAATGCCACAGATATTCCAATCCTGCTCTAAGAGTGGAGTCTGGACCCTTTCCTGTGATGAGAAAAGCAACACCAACCAAACCAAGTTAGTTGCTTGGCTCTGCTAGTTTTACAGTGCAAGTTATTTTATATGACGACAAAGCTGTCTGTTCACTGGCAACTTTGAATAGCCTAAGGAGAGAGAAAAACAATACCCAAGGGAACTCTGGCAGTTACCCCCAAATACTGATGCACATAACAAGCCTGCGCTAGTCTCTGCAAGGCATGTCTGTTAAGTAATTACTATTAGCATTTCCATGTTGAAATGCATAACTTTATAGAGGGAAACAGCACATATGGAAATACTGCCGAGGTAAACTAGAAGAATATATGCACATTTCTTAAGTAACTAACAATCCCTGATAGCTCCCTCTCACTCTCACTCAAGGTAGGCTGCTGAAGACAAAGTACTTGGCTCCAAATCAGGTCAGTTTGGAAGAAACACTACAATAAAGCACACCGAAAGATACATCTTTGTGGGGGAAACGCATAGCAATTAAAACATCGGATCTTGAGATATATTAGCAGAATTCCACTCACGTGGCAGGGCTTTCCAGGCACATATCTGCACTGCAATCCCAAGGATCCCTGGAAAGCCACTTCTGAAGGGTGAGGGACTCTCTGGAATGGCATGTGACTGGGTATGGGGGACTATAGCAGGGCAGGGCAACAAGAGATAAATTGGCAGGCGACTGCCTTGCGTAAGTGCTTTTCTGCTTGTGCAAGACGTCTCTGGTTCCAAGCTCTCGTAAATAAAATGTGATTGCCATATAAGTTGGCAGGTGGAACATATACCTGTAAGCACAAGGGCCCGGGTTCGGTCCACAGCACCTTCAGCTAAAGGAAGCTAGGTAGCATAGTGTTGAGAAGCCTGCTGCCTAAGGGCTGGAGAACTAAGTCCATTTCAAGAGATGATACTAAACTAGGTGGACCAGTTCCTTCTATCTTGTTTTAGAAGGTTGATTTTACAAAAACAACAACTGTGAATTTGCTTGCCACCCTAGGCACCTTTGGGAGGAAGGGCGGGATAATAAATTCATTAAATAATAACCCTACGCCCAAAAGGGAACTTTCACTATTTTGTACTGATTCAAAGGCCAGAAGCCAGGTTATACTAGCTGAACTAGTCTTACAGTGAGTATATTTTAATCAAAGGAGCAATTAATTCATCAACTTTAATTACACAAAACAAGGTGGAGCACTTGTTCAATGACACCTGTTAACTAGCCTCCAAAACTTCAACTTAAACTGGTGGGGATGGGGAGAAAGAACCATGCAATTATATAGTGTAGCTTATATACAAAGACTGATCTGGGCATTATGGTTTATTCATGTTTAGCAGCTTAAAAGTCACAGCTACAGAAATGGTACGGGTGAATTCATTTATTTAAGAAAATGGGCACAACCGCCTGATTGTAAAAAACCTCAACCTTAAACATAGTTAACTAGTATGTGGGACACATTATCATATCCTCCTTATCTCATCCACCCACTGCCAGGAGAGATAAAAACTGATTACTTTTAAAGTTTTATTTTAATGAAAATTGCCAGATTGTAAAAGCTTCAAGTATAACAAGTTTCTATTTTAAAAAAACTGGTAAAAATGAAATCTTAATGTAATGCAAACATTTACGGTGGAATTTAATGTGATACTACAAGTGTTTTCGTTTGCATAAGCTTATCAGCATTGCCAGATAGTATCCCCTGCCCCCCTACTGGGGATTCTCCTACACACACCCCAAGCCAATTTCAGGGTGAACAGGGAGTAAAAAGGAGGGAGCCCAGTTGCACAGGGTTTCTGTTGAGGGGGTTTGTAAGGTGAATCCAGCTCATTACAGTCATATCTTGGTTGACAAACGCCTTGCAAGTCGAACGTTTCGGGTCCCGAACAGCGCAAACCCGGAAGTGAGTGTTCCAGTTTGTGAACGTTTTGTGGAATCCGAACGTCTGACGCTGCTTCCACAGCTTCCAATTGGAAACCAATCGGAAGCTGCGCCTTGGTTTCCAAACGTTTTGGAAGTCGAACAGACTTCTGGAACGGATTCCATTCGACTTCCAAAGTACCACTGTATCTCTTAAAAACTGTATTTATGTCACTCTTGTGAGCTTTTGATGAAAGGCTACTGTTTGAAAAGCAATCACTGTGGGGAAAACATATTCAGTAATTATCATTGCAGCACAACAGTCCATGTGCTCATATTATGGTTTGATCCCTGGCAGCAGAATCTAGTTGATGCCATTCTGTATCTCACTAGGATCATACACCGAGTACTTATGATGATCATATATTCCCTTTTTATGCTAAACTACCAAGGAACTGCAATGTATTAAAGTTCTGAAATAATTTCTATAAACAAAACGAATAGTCTATTTGCACTACACAGAAAATACTGCTTTGTTCTGTTTTAACTACAATTCATTGCTTCTGAAAAGATATTGGTGATTGTTACAGACCAGTCTTATGAACACTATACTGGTGGGATGCAAATACTTACCAAGTGTCACTGGGAAAGAGGGTCCCTAGTGGGGGTGGCCCCAAGCACGTACTTTGGGCAGTGCTGCCTGTTTCCCACTATGTGGACTAACTTTGATGTCTCGTGTGATCACCAGATGCATGGAAATGTTTCATACAGCCAGTAGTTCTTTCTCTCTATTGGCTGCGTTGTCATTTGTGTATGGATAGGAGATTCGAATCAAACTGGTTCTGAGCCAGTCCAATGGTAACTCACCCATTTGTACTTGCCTATAAGTAGATATTATTTCACAGTATAAAAAACACAGTGCTATCTTGCTTGTTACAGCTGCAAGCAGGAGGAGCCCAGAGGAGCACTGAAATCCCTCCTCATGTGGAAAATACACACATATGAAAAATGCTGTGAAAATGCTTTTTTTAAAAATGTTTTGAAAAATATATTGAATTTGCCATAGCTCGCCATCACCATCTAGTGTCACATTTGTATGTTGTATTTTACAACACATTTAAAACATTTTATTTGCAGCTGTATAGCTGAGTCCTCAGTCACACATTATTTGTGAGTACTGGTGCATTTTTGAAGCACTACCTTAGCACTGATTTTAAACAAATTTATTTAAAGAGATGCAGAAATAAGCCTGAAATACTAATGTATCACAAATGGGAAAAACTATTCTAAAAGCCAGAATTCACCAAGCCTCTAGATTTCCACTACCAAGACTTTTCAGTGGCTGACACAAATCTGTTCACCTTCAAAAGGTAACCATAACAAAGAAGTAAGTTGCAGGGGGTCCCGGGGGAAATGTTCCAGAACTTCCTAAGAACTGAAAGGGAACTGCAAGTTACTGAAATTTGATTTGATTTAGAATCCCCCAGCAAGAATGATAATGGGGGAAAAAATAACATGCAATATCAATATATAACATGCTGAATTACATTTGGAGTTCACAACTGCACTGGAGGAAGTGTCTCAGCATTTTTTTTGTTTTTTAAGCCCAAATGAGCTTCATAACTTGCCCTCAGATAACAGTCACAATCACTCTGCATGGAAAGGGCACCGACTGCCATTAGTCACAAAGGTTATGGAACAGAGAGAAGAGTTATAAACAAAACCTCCATGGCTGTGATCAGATCACTTGGCCTTGGCCTCTTAGGAGGACTCTGGGAACTCAGCTTTCATTAAAATAAGCCTAACAAAAACATACACAGAGAAGTGCTTCGAGCCCTCACAGCTGTCAAGCAAAACTAAAATCACGTGCAGACAGTGCCTGCCAAAAGACTGAAACCAGAGAGGATGCGAGCAGGAAGCACGGGCAGAACTTCCTTAATCATCAGAATTCCCTAGCCCACAACACAGCCTCTAGCCCGGCTTCTTGTCCCAGAATCTACAGCCTTGAGCAATCCTTCCTCTATGTTTGCAGGACTAACAGAGTTTTGCAATAGCTCTCAAACCCCATCACTATTAAGGTGACTATTATGTGTCTTTATGATCATTGTTGGAAAAATACGTTTTAATTTTGACAAATCTGCATACCCCTTTCTTCCAGAGAGCTCAGATTATCTGGAGAGTAGGTTACGCCCAGGGTTACCTTGTGAGAGTCACAGCTGGAGGGTGATTTGAACACCCACCTCCTTGAATCAGGTTTAAATGTTCTATTACACCAAACAAAGCACCTAAGTCCGATACCCCTTCAAAAGCGCCAGATTGGATAAATACACAGAAAGTTTCTAGGGCTCTATAGCCTCACACTCCTGGAGTCTTGTATGTCTGCATTTCAATGCTTGTTTATTTATTTTAGCAAATAAAATAAAGCACCATGAAAAGGACGTGGTCCATTGTATCACTGCTTCTCAAATGTTTTAACTAACACCATGCACATATATGGTAAAGGATTAAGAAATGGGTCCCGCAAATGCATGTTTGAGTTAAAAGTGGGTGCTGGGTCTGAAAAGATCGGAAATGTTTTACACCACATACCTTTTCGTAACCCGATTAGCATATCAAGTATATTCAGGTTGACTCTCATCTAGGGAAATGCATGAAGAGATTTAAGCATGCATTATGGGACTCTCCCCCTGACTTCTCTGACTTTGGAGTTCATGTCTGGAAATGCACTCCAATATTTTATTATTACTCCTAACACATTCTAACAACTGTGTCACGAGCTGAAGTGATTTCTTATCCTCTGAATGAGGAGCTCCCCATGTCCACAAAGATAAATTCATTTTTATTTGTGGCAGGGTCAGAGATTAATTGCTTTGCATGTTGAAAGTCCCTGGTTCAATCTCCGGCTAGAAGGGCTGGCAGAGACCCCAGCTGAAATCCTGGAAAGCTGCTGCCTTCCAGTGTAGACAATACTGAGCTAGATAAACTACTGAGCTAGATGAACTCAATACAAGACAACTTCCTATGTTCCTACTCATTCAGGAGTCAAATACCAACAGCTGCCTCTTGATGTTGGCACTCAAAAGGCATAATTTATATAAAATACAAACAGACAGACAGACATGGCAGTATTTTCTTTAGCAGGTTTAGAAGTTTGTCTCCTTTTTAATTTTTGACCTCTGTTCTGGAGATTCAATAAACCAAAGGCCAGGTTGGGGGGTTTGTTTCTTTTTCCCCCTTCTGACCTTCCTATTCTTATTGCAAGGAGGTTTGGAGTTGTACAGACTCCAAGAAACCTTCGATTGGGGGCTGCCTGGTTCTCCTCTTTGGAAATGGTACTACAAGTTTCTGTGATGTCATCACACGCAGCAGGTGAGACCAGCGACCAAATTTGGGCTGGAGACAAAGCAAGCCAACCAGCAGCGGTCACCAACCTATTCTCAAGGTGGTCATTGAAACTTGTTCCTGGCCTGAATTCTCTGTGCAGTGTGCATAACACTGTCCATTTTTGGCAGCAAATCATTCTGGATGACTCTGTGCCTCATAACACAGAGGAAAGCTTGTAGTGAATGGAGCTGCGAGATACTTACTGCAGCCCTGCCAGCAATGGCTTCAGTACTGACGGTGCTGAATGTAAGGCTATAAATTCGCAAGCAGCTGAAGAAATGGAATGTGCACACATACTGCCCACCCACTGAAATCACACGAAGGCCAAAAAGAAAAAAAGAAAAAAAAAGACCTAAAATACCTAATTCATTCCAGTTTCGGACTCTGGGAACTCTGATGTATTAATATTCCACAGTGGAAGTTACAAGAATATGCCACTAGCATATTTCAATATATACTAATTCTGGATGGAAAACATCTGTCATCAAGATGCATAATTACCTTGCTTGGTTAGGTTACCACATTTCTGTTAAGTTACCACTCTTCAGGAACTCTCTCAAGAACTGTAATCTTAATGTCCATCTGGCCCTGTTTTCAGAAAGCTCACAAATCTTTCACCATTGTAAAGTTTCCTTGTCTTAAAAAATAAATCAAATCACTCCTTCTGCAACTACTCCACCCCAATTATTAATGCTCTGGAATTCAGTTTCTTGCAGTGCAAATTTCACAGGAGTCATCGTAAGAATTTAAGAGGTACGCTACTGTGTCAGATCAAGACCCAGAAAGTTGTTTCCAACAATGGTCAGCCAGATGCCTCCAGGAAGCTCACAAGCTGAAGAGGAAGACAGCAGCCCTTCTCATAATCTGGTACACTGCCTCTGAATCCAGAGGTTCCATAAAACTGTAATGGCTAATACCTGTTGATAAGAGACCTATATGAACTTGATTTGATTTATCCTCCATCCCAAATGTGGAGTGTACAAAAGACTGTCTGAAGAAATTGCAAACTTAAATGGCGATTTCCAGCTAAATAAATCAGCTTTATTGTATTTTTTGTTTTGCCTTTATAAAGCACAGAGGTCCTCCCATATTACCTCTATTGAAATTTCAAGTACCTCTTAAACCTAACACTTTTCAGTCAGCAAAGAACAAACAAGGTAACAATGGGTAAAAATGAGCAGCCTAGTTAGCAGGGGAGCCATTTACTGTTCTTAAAACCTTTAGAGCTATTTTCCCCTTGTTAACCATCATTTAACTAAATCCATTTTTCATAAAATTACTATTTATGTCAAATGAGTACTTGAATAACACGTAATGTACCTTCAATTTATTACCTTTCTATAGCATTGTAGAAGCTATACTTGTCCTCAAAGAAGTGTCAAATTGTGTTGGGAGAAACAACTTACATTGGCCTAGTTTGCACACAACATAAACTATGTACAGTAATGCAAATAAAACACAAAAGGGCTTTTGCTCCTCCCCTGCTTGTGACTTTGCCACACTGGAGAGGAAATGAGTCTGAGTCTGATTTTTAGATGACTATCATATCTCCTCTCTGTCTCCTCTCATCAAGGCTACCCTACTTCCTCAACCATTCCTCCCAAGGCTTGGATTCCAGACCCTTGATCATCTTGGTTGCCCTCTTCCGCACACATTCCAGCTTGTCAATATTCTTCTTAAACTGCAGTGCACACAACTCGACACAGTACTCCACGTGTGGTCTGATCAAGGCAGAACAGACTGGTTGGTACTACTGAGTTCCCTTGGTCGGGACACTGTACATCTGTTGATGCATTAGCTTTTCTTTCTTTTTTGCTGCTGCATCACACTGCCAAGCTAAGTGTCCCCCATCTTATATGTGTGCAGCTGTTTTTTCCTGCCTAAGTGCAGAACCTTACATTTGTCCCTATTGAAATTCATATTATTAGTGTGGGTCCTGTTCGCCAATCCGTTAAGGTCAGAGTGAATCCTATCTTCCGTGACATTAACTATCCCTCTCATCTGCAAATTTGGTGGCCATCCCCTCAATTTCTTCATCCAAGTCGTTAATAAAGATGCTGAACAACAGTGGGCCTAGGACAGAACTCTGAAGCCGCACACTTGTCACTTTCTTCCAGGATGGTGAGGAACCATTAGTGGGCACTCTTTATGTATGGTCAGACACCCAGCTACAAACCTACCTAAGACTTATATCACCCAACCCACATTTTACCAGCTTCACTGCAAGAATATTATGGAGCTGATCATACAAAATGGGACCAATAGCCCTTTGCCCATCCATAGCAAAGGGGATGGAGCTCTACCTGCTTTGGTAATACAAGCTCTGACTATACATGGTATGTACAATTGTACTGTACAATGTAAGCAAGGATTCTAACAAAATGTCCTTCTGAACAGGTATTTATTTTTCACCATTCCTCAAAATGTTTTATGACAACCACATCTTTAAGTGGAACAAGCCATTCACTATAAAATGGTGATAACTCCCCCACCCAACAAAACTCTATATTAGCCTGGATTAACCATGCCTCTTATGGCAACTTTGTCACTGAGCATGCCTGGCAAAGCAGGTATCATGTGAATAGGGAAAATCCATTTAGCCCCATCCATTTTTAAAGGCAAATTCTACTCAGATTCCTTCATGTTAGTAGGTTGTTGTTTTTTTTGCCTCTGGATGAAACACAGTTCTTTTCTCCCACCCACTTGGCCTTTGGAAGGCTGGATAAATAACCTGGGCAACTGTTTTAGGTACTTTCAGAAATGTTAAATTCTACCATGGTGGCATCGAATGCTGAGCTGGCCGGGTGTAGTCTTGAATGCAGACATCTCAACTGGCCAACTTTTGCTTTCTAGGTTCAAATAGCACAATATAATTTTGAGAACTGTTTAATATGTACAGATGCACTAATGTTTGTTTATTCCTCCCCTCACTCATGCCTCTTACAGAAAATATTTTTTTTTTTCAACAGGAATTTCTTTGTGGAGTCACAAATCTATTTATGACATGTTCTTTGCTATGCTGACTCTGTAGTGGCATCAGAAACTAAATAGCAGGAACATGTAGTACGAAAAGTAACTGCAATAAACAACAATAGCCTTCGGTGGTGGTGATGGGGAAACAGAACAGGACTCGATTCTTACTCAAATAACGTTTTCTGAATCTGGTTTGAAGGAACCGAATAACCGATAAAGTACTTCTGGAGAAGAGCTACTTGTTCAACATTGAGGAACATATCAGAAGCATATACCACACTTGAGGATTGTATCTTGCAACATTTAATTGCAGGTAGTTAACATAACTTTCATACCAACCTTTATGACAGATGCCAAGCAACAGATCCTATAGTGTGCTTGTTTTGCAGTAGCTCACGCCTCACTGTGAAAAGGTGGTTCAACCACTTGTTATGAACTGAGAACGGAGATTGGGGAAACAATGTATTTAGATTGGCTGCTACTTCTTTCTTTACTTCTTGGTAGAATCAACAAACTAGTATTTTACAATCCAGGCTGCAGAAGATATTACTTGACAGCTACTGGACTAGCAAAGCAATCCTATGCAAGAATTTATTTCTAGGTAGACAACTCTTAAGTTCAATGGGACTTACACCCAAAGTAAATTGTGCATAGGATTCTAGCCTCCAGAGAAATACTAATGAGGCAAATAATCCAACCTGTCTTCTATGCAAATTTAACTACATCCTAACTTCCCTTGTGTGTATGGTGCCTATGGGATGATTTTTAGTTACACTTGTATTTTGGCGGTGTATATTACACCAAACAGGTGGGCAGGATCAGTGAATAGAGTCAGGATGCAGTGTCGTTTTATTCCTCTCCCCACCCCAGCACACTCATTTCCCACACTTGACGCAACCTTTTTTGCCCTAATCTCTCTCTCTCTCTCTCTCTCTCTCCACCACTTTGATTTGTGCCAGTATGGCTTGAACACAGACAGTCTAAGCAAATGTGCCAAGTTATGTCGCCAGCTTAAGAAGAGCTCAGCCGGGGTGAAAAATATATTAGCTGGAATAGTGGGGATGTGTTGTATGTGGGAGTCATGATTGCACTGTAAATGGTCACACAATTTCTTAAATTCCCTAATGCCTGCAATTCTCTTAAAAGGAGTAACTGTGAACACTCCATCACATGTCTTCTGCTTTTGTTTGTATAAAAGGTCCACATTTAAAAATGCATTTTTCTTCTTTGAAAGTATGATTTCCTGCTTTTGTGCAATGTAGTAAGATCCTCAGCACAGCTATAAATAAAGAATCTAGAGTAGATAGGGCATAAATTTGAGAGCAGAAGAGCCTTGTCATAAACATGAAAATAAAAAGCAGGCACCCAAGAAACTTCAACCTAAGTCACATAAGAAACGATGGGACAGCTATTTATTTAACATATAGTTTGTAATGGGTTTTTTAAAAATATTATTACTTCAATAAAGCCTTTTAGGGAATTACACCTAATTCTGGGCATCAGAGTTTAAGGAAGATATTGACAAGCTAGAATGTATGTAAAGGAGGGCAACCAAGATAATTAAGGGCCTGCAAACCAAGCATTATGAGGAATGGTTGAGGGAGTTGGGCAGGATTAGCCTGGAGAAGATAATACCAAGAGGTTATAGGATAGGATAGCCATCTTCAAATATCTGAAGGGCTGTCACATGGAAGATGGCGCAAGCTTGTTTTCTCCTGTTCCAGGGGGTAGAACCCAAACCAATGGATTCAAATAACAAGAAAGGAGATTCCAACAAAACATTAGGAAGAACCTTCTGATAATAAGAGCTGTTTGATGTCTACATCGGAAGGTGGTGCACTCTCCTCCTTCGGCGGTTGGATGGCTATCTGTCAAAGATTCTTTAGCTGTGATTTCTGCATTGCAGAGGGCTGGACTAGATGACCCCTCAGATCCCTTCCAACTCTACAATTCTATGATCTGCCTCTGAGATTTAAAATAGACTTCCATGGCAGCTCTAATCTCTAAATAGTGTTCTCTTTTGCCAGTTACCAAGGTAATAAAATCCACAGGACTACATGCCCCCAAAGGCAGTCTATTACGTGGAGAGAAGAATAAACATGCATGCTCTCTCCACTTAGTACCTGACGCCCCTAACCATGGGGATGTCATGTTCAGATACTATCTAAGTGCATAATTTCTTATGTGTGCAAGCTAAAAGTGTATATTATTCATCAGCAGATTTTGTCAATAAACTGATTACAAGATTTGACTTACACATGTTGAATTTTATGCGCATAAGATAGTGTTCCCTTCTGGATGCCCTCCAGATCTTTTTAGACTATAACTACCATTATTTCCCACCACTGGGTGGGGATGATGGGAGTTTCAGTCTAAAACACACTAGGTTGTGGAAGGATGGTTTAGGACAGGGGTGGCCAACTCCCAAGAGTTGCTTTATTCACAGAGTTAAAGACTGGCAGTGATCTGCCCCCTTTTTGGGGGTTCAGGTCAAGGTTGTTGAGCTTTTTTAGTGAGGACGAAAGCTCCATTTTTTGGGGTGCAGGGCAGTTTTAATGTTGAACTTCTTTGGGGGAAGCCAGTGATTGTCTAGTGATCTACCACAGACATCCAGTGATCTACCGGTAGATCACTATCTACCTGTTGGATGTGCCTGATTTAGGACATAAGTGGGAACAGGATTTGGCTGGCTGGTGGGCTTCTTACCTCCCAAAGCCTTGTGGGCTAAGTTAGACAGGTGGACAGGGCTATCCACCTGTCAATCAGCTGGCATCACAATGACCAGTTTTTGCATGAGCATGGAAGCCTTAACCCTGTGCTCTGCAAGCTCCAACAATCAGCTGATTATTGAGCTTTCATGCACAGGACTATGCAAGTCCCGCTGATCAGCTGACTGATGTCCTTGCAGCCCCACTGTGCCTTTATCTGCCCATACCTGACAACATATGAAGTTAGGTGTATGGCAGGTGGGCATGGCTTGGGCAAGCATAATTAAGCCTGTGGGCAGGAGGATCCCCACCACGAGTGCTGGATATATTTGAATTTTCCCACACGGACAGCTGAGGATGCTAGAGATGAAGGTCAGTGGGCCAGTCTCCTCTCCACATGATGGACACGGGTAGGAGGAAAGTATAGTCCAATTTGCCCTACTGAATAAGTACATCACATGAGTAATCTTTAAAAGGTTATCTAGCCTGAAGCAGAAAAGCTGTTGGTTCTGGAATGTTATTGTGACATGGAATGAAATACAGGGAAAAAGGATTGTTATTATTTTCTAATAATGAGCAATAAGTACCGTTTATTAAATAATAAATGGCTTTCAGCATCATAATTAATATGCAAATTAACCAAATTTAAAGTAGCTGATTAATCAGTTAAGAAGCACAATGATTAACTAGAAATACTTTTAAAACACAAGAGACAGCCAAACTTTTGAAGTGTTTATCAAATAACAAAAAAAACACACATTGTATATAGTACTTTGGTTTAATGGAAATGCTTTTATCACTGACCACACCATCCACAAGGAAGTGATTACTTGATTTTATGACATCACAAGTCATGTCCTTATCAGAAAAGCACAAACTGAGAAACAGGGTACTTGGTAGAAGCAACAGCAGAAAGCAGAAGCTGGAGGATTGGAGACATTGGCCAGGCAAACATGAAACAATACATGTATTCCCTCCTTAAATCTGCTTACTGTAAAACCCATTTCTTTTTATTTATGGCCTGATTCAGAACAAAGGGAAGCATGTCAAAGTAAAAGTCACAGTAGCATAACTTTGCTGATCTGAGTCAGTCCCTAACAAGTCAGTTGACTGCTAACAGAGGTAGTTAAAAGCCTGGTGGCAGCATCTGGCCTGAGGTTAATAGGTTTCATATTCAGTTATAATCAGAGCTAAAGTTTTTAAAAAACAACAAAATCAAGTTTTTTGGGGGAAAGGATAGGCACTTAAAATTTATAGCAGCAAATGATGTCTATCCTTGTATCTGCAAAGCCAGCTATGTCTGCTTCAGCTTTTTATTTATTGCTTCACAGGTCACAAAAGCCTGGCGCTTTTGTTGTGTCCTTGAATACGCCTTCCCACCAACTTCAGGTTATTGTGCTCCCAGACAAAAAAGGACAGATGGGGGATAACTCTGAAGAGGAGGAGGGGTGACAGGAAAGCAACTGACAATTAACTGACAGAGAATGGGAAAGGATGAGTGGCATTAATTCAACTAGTTTGGTTTTGTGCTTTTATGAAACTTGGAATACAGTACTCTACACTGTAGATGGGAGAGGAGGGGGACAAGGAAAGCACAAGCTGTGGAAAAAGTGGCTGCGTCTCATCTTTATTTGCATATTGCTTTACAAAGGGGCTCTGCTAGTTATCTTCTAACCCACCCCTCTGATACTGCACCAGCTTGGATTATGCCAACCCTTCAACTATAAATTATTATATCCCAGTAGATCTGTCGCCAGAGTTCTCCCTTCCCACACTTATATTACCACTGACATCGTTACAGACCACCTACAGCAACAAAACAGCATCTTCCCAAGTGTATCCCTGCAGATAGCAAATCACCACATAGCATGCAGTTAAGATATATCAAATCCTTCATTGAAAGAGCTCTCAGAATCATACAACTGAAGTAGCCCTTTATTGTGGTAGGAGTCCTTTACCGCAGGCTATAAGGTGCTTGTGTATATTAGCAATGGCCTCACACCACATTATATGTCTATCTTTCCAAGGAAAATGGGACCTATTCTCACAATGAAGACTGAGCAGGTGACAAGTGCATCATTAAGTGAGCTACATGACCAAGTTGGGGACTGAACTCTGGTCTCCCTAGTACTCTTAACATCATACCAGCTTTCTACCAGGAAGTCATCTCAATATTCATGCCTCTTGCCAGCCCCAGGCATTGAATTCATCACCTATCCCAACTCAATTCTTTCCTAACCTCCCCCTGGCCTGAAGGGTGGAGATTCCACCACACCCCAGGCAATCTTTTCCACTGCTAAGTTATGCTTATTTAGAAAGTTTTTCCTAACATCAGGCTTCGATATCATCCATTCCAAACTCTGCAACAATAAGACTTTGTGCACGGTTCTACCTGCGATAAATGTTCTATTCGTCTTCTCCAGAATAACGCTTCCTGAAAGATCTCTGATCCTTTCTTTACGAGCAATATACAGTATTCCCATCCCCACTTAATGGAAGCAAACGTTCTTTCTAAGTGTCTGTTCTTAATAAAAAAACAAACCCCACAGGCCCTACTCAGTTCTACCACCCATACAACTAAGTTCACAGCAGTCTGTGAAAACTTAAGTCACCAAAATCTGCTCATGCTTTCTGTGGAACATGCCCAGGCCTGTCCAAAGGCCTCCTACATTTAGTTTTAAAATACCTTGGACCTTTCCTTCCCAATCCAGCTCATAACTTGCGCAGCTTCCCTTTCTCTACAGGTCACAGGAACACCAGAAAGCACCCCACATTTCGGAACGCCACTGCCTCACCCACCTGTTGGTATTACCCACCTACCCACCACCACCAACGTAACCCATTTAGTTCCAAAACCAAGAGGTCTTCCCAACTTCCAGCACATGTCAATCCTGCACATAGCTGTCAACTTTTCCCTTTTTAAAAGGGAAATTCCCTTATTGTGAATAGGATTCCTCAAAAGAAAAGGGAAAAGTTGACAGCTATGATCCTGCATCGCCCGAGGTCGCACCCCTCCAAACCCCTTATCCTCCAGACAATTTCCCCCTCCTCCCCATTACCCCCACCTGGCATCCTGGCAATCCCAAGGTTCAGACCCGACTTCCTCCTGCTCCGAATGCCCGGGGGTCTCCTGACCCACCCCGGAACTTCGCCTTCGCTCCAAGTCACCCCGCGTGCATCCCATTCCATCGGACCCAGCCCTTCCCAGTATCCCATTGCACTTACCCTTGGCTTCCCTGGCCTCGTGCAAATTTCGTGTGTGTGCATTCAATGGGGCATTCTATCCGCCCGACCCCCTCGTGCTTCGCATGTACAAGAGAACAGGGCAGCCTCCAACAATGGCAATAATAATAATTAGGGAGGCCTCGCCCGAACCCAGTTTATCCAGATCCCCGCCCCCCCAGCCTCTCCTCTTCCTTCCCCAGCGCCCACCTAATTTCGGGGCCCCGATCTACTCAGCCTCCCCCACCCCCCAGGCCGCCTCCTCCTGTTCTCCTTCCCACCCGCCAAAGCACTCACCCTGCCGCCCCACAATCTCGGCCACATGCTCGGAGCTGGGCACCGGCACGCACTCGGTGGTGTTGACGCTCTTCCTCCTCAGCAGCGCCGCCTGCTCGCCGTTCAAGGCCGGCACCGGAGGGATCCCGGCCGCCGCCGCCGCTGCCGCCACACCTCCTCCGGGCGGCCCGTAGCCCTGCGAGAGCATCGCCGCCATCACGCCGCCGTGGTGGGCATCGTCGCCGGGCCCGTACAGCGCCCCGCCGAGCGCCGCCTCCTGGGCCTCGAAGGCCGAGCCGGCGGAGAGGGGCGGCGGCAGCATGACCGAGCCCAGCCCGGGGGGCAAGGCCGGCGGCGGCGGCGGCGGCAGCAGCAGGCGGGAGGCCGCCGGGACGCCGCCGCCGCCGCCGGGCTCCAGCAGCAAGTCCTCTCCGCCGCCGCCTCCTCCTCCTCGGTCGTCGTCCTCGTCAGGCGGCTCCTCCAAGTCCAGCTCCAGGTCGCCGCCGCCGCCCTCGGGGGCCGCCTCCTCCTCCTCCTCGCCGCCGCCGCCCTCCCCTTCCTCCTCCGGGCGCTCCAGCGACGGAACGGGCGCCGCCTCGCCCAGGCCCAAGCCGGCCAGGCGTTCCCTCAGCATGGGCGGCGAAGGCGGCGGCGGCGGCGGCAGCAGCAGCGGGTGATGGTGGTGATAGTGGAGCAGCAGGCCCGGCGGTGGCCTAGGCGGCAGCAGCAGCCCCACCAGCTCGGGCGGCTCCTCCTGAGGCGACGGCGAGGCGCTGCCGCTCGGCATGGCCTCGGCAAGGCCGCCGCCGGCAGCAGCAGCGGGCGGAGAAGAAGGAAGAGGAGGAAGGGGCGACGCGCTGGGGCTACTGGGCCCTCCTGGGCGACATGCTGCTGCTGCTGCTGCCGGCTCTCCCGCGGCGGCGGCGAGGACGACGGCCTCCTCCTCTTCCTCCTCCTCCTCCTCTTCTTCTTCTTCTTCCTCCTCCGCCTCTTGCGGGGCTTGAGGCGAGGCGCTGGCAGCAGGAGCGGCGGCGGCGACGACGGTGGTGCCGCCGCCACGGCCGCCGCTCGGCTCAGCGCTTCTTTTGTTCCATGGCGGCTTCCCCCCGCCGGCTCCTCCAGCAGCGGCAGCGGCGGCGGCGGCCGCAGGCGGCGGCGGCCCAGGCAGCTCCAGCCCCGCCCCGCGCCGCTCCCCCAGCCGGGCGATTGGGTGGTGGCAGCGGCGGCTCAGCAACCGCAGCAGCAGCCGGCGCTTGGGCAGGGCCCCGGGAAGGCGGTGGCTGCTGCCGCGGCCGCAGGAGGAGGCGGCGGAGGTGGAGGAGGGGGGGAAAGCGGCTGCTCCGGCCGCGCCTGGACGGGCAAAGGGGCGCGGGGCGAGAAGAAGCGGCGGCGGCGGCGTTTGCGGAGAGGGCGGCGGCGCCTCCTGCTGCTCTTCTCCCTCCTGCCCTCTGGTCTCCTCAGACACCATCCACGCGCCCGCCCGCCCTCGCTGGCTCGCCTCGGGCCCAATCTCGCCGCCAGGCCCCGCAGGATTGTTGGGTCGGCCGGGCGGGTATTGTGACGGGGGCGGGAGGGAGGCTGAGGCGGCGGCGGCGGCGCCGGCCGGGTGAGCCGAGGCCTTGCCCTGCTTGCCCTCCGCGGCCTGGCCTGGCCCAACCCCTCACTCACCCCGGCCTTCCTTCGGTCAGTTTCCCGCTCCCCCCCCCTCATCCCGCGTGGGAAGAGGAACGGAGGGAAGAGGGAGAAAGGCAGAGGCGCCTGAGGGAGGGAAGGTTGAAGGGCAGGAGCCGCTTGTGAGGCGAGGGAGGAGCAGGAGACAAAGGATGGGCGCCCGTCCAGAGATTATATGCCATTTTTAAATAATAATAATAATAATTCGACAGGTTCACACACAAGCGTGCCTCTGAACATGCACAGAATGCACGCACCTGCGCGCGCACAACTTTTTTATTTACTTTTTTTTTTCAAGTCTCGCCCCCAGAAGCTTCCCCAGATCAAAGGCATGGCTTCCACCCAGGAAAGCCCAAGCCTCCTTTTTAATAAATGGCAGGGTGGCACCAGCCCTGACAAAAGAGAGAGAGTGGGGGGAACTTGCCCAGTTCCTTCCAGAACAAACTTCTGCTGAAAATCTGCAAAAGCACATGTGAATTTCTCTCCAAAAGAAAAGGGTTTTTTTGTTTGTTTTGTTTTACAGTGCTTCCTGGAGAGTTGCCTGGAAAAGGTTTCTTGGGTGAGCAGGCCAAGTTGCCTTTTGCAGGCTGGGGCTAACTTACCCCTTGTCAATTTTCAGCTGCTCACCATCAGGTTTCTTAAAAGTGGCAGAAAGGAGAAATGTCTTCCATCTTTATTTAATTTGTAAACCATCCTCCATCTGAAGATCCCAGGGTGGTTCACAACACAAAATGCATAATAGAACACCCCCCACCATCTAAAAAGGCCATAGAATGTTTAATCAGTTCAAGGCCTGTTTATGTTATGATATATAATGAAAGTGCCAGGCGAGCCGCCCTGGGGAGAACATTCCACGAGTGGGGAGCCACTGCAGAAATGAGGCACACAAAGAAGGTCCTCAGGATGACCGTAGGATCCATTCATATGGGGAGAGGCAGTCCTGAGCCATTTAAGGCTTTATACACTAAAACCAGCACTTGGAATTGGGCCTGGAAACTTAACTGGCACTGGCAGCTGGTGTAGTCAGGCCAGGATTGTTGTAATATGCTAAAACTAGCGAAAACAAAAGGAAAACTAAAAGGCCAGATGATGTGGATTCCTAACACAACAAGTGTTAGGTGTGCAACCTGGCCACCAATTTCTGCAGCAGCTGAAGTTTCCAAACCACCTTCAGAGGCAGCCCCATGTATATAACACATTGCAGTAATCTAACCTATAGCTTACCAGAGCATAGGGGACAGAAGTTAGGCTTTCCCTGTCCAGATATAGGCACTACATTTCTGCACCTTCAGAGGGAGTGTAACCGCATCAAGAGCAGACAACATCCCATCTAGCTGATCTAGGGAACGGTCCACTAGGGTTGCCACCTGTCCTTTATAATACAGGATTGTCCCGTATTTCAGTGGAAAATGCTATGTCCTGCATTGATACACTTTTGTCATGTATTACAGGTCGTCTCTGCCCCTGTGTGTGTGTGTGCGCATGCCAAGTTAGGGATCCTCTCCAAATGCATGTTTGAAAGAGTGTGTGAGAGGTCATGTCTTTAAGCTCTGGGTAGCCAAGCACAGAAGGATTTACAAATTCATGTGCACGTGTGTATGTGACAAATTCCAGAGGGGTCATCCTGTTAGGCTGAAATAGATTGTAATGGGTTGCTTTGAAGTCACTTCATATTTTTTTTGGGGGGGGGGGGGAGATCACATCCCCAACCACCCCAGCCTGTCCTGTATTTTGCCAGGACAAAGGTGGCAACCCTACCGCCCACTAAGAATGCCTCAGTCTTATCTGGATTGAGCCTCACTTTGTTAGCTCTCATCCATTCCATTACTGAGACAAGGCAATGATCCAGCCCATCCACTGCCCCATTTGCAGATGTAAAGGAGAAGTAAAACTGTCGCCAGCATATTGCTTACACTGCAGGCTTCCTCAACCTCGGCCCGCCAGATGTTTTGAGACTACAATTCCCATCATCCCTGACGGCTGGTCCTGCTAGCTAGGGATAATGGGAGTTGTAGGCCATAAATATCTGGCGGGCCGAGGTTGAGGAAGCCTGGCTTACAGTGTTCTCCATATATCTGTACCACAGCAGTGGTTTTTAAGACTTTGTTTTAGGGACCGCTGGGATTCTTCAAACGTAAAAGGGGTTCCTTGAGGAGATCAGTAATGGCAGGCAAGCTTCTTCGAAGGACAGGTTGCGAACCAATCTTGATCTTCCTCTGCAGTGTGCAGGGGGGGATATCGGGAGCACATGGGTCAACTCAGACTCCAAAGCTCTACCCTAGAATATGCCCCACGTCCTCTGCAGTACACAGAGGTTTCATGGCAAACGTGGCATTCCACAGTGGAGAAGCCAACAATGTTTGAAAACTGGTGATTTAGAGTGGTTGCTATTGTTTTAAATGTATATTGTTTTAAATGTTTGTTTTGCTTTTGGGATTGTAGTTCCATTTGTGTTTCAGAAGCTGGTCTCTGACCGTAATAAATTTCATGTTCATGAGTGGTGGCTACTTCAGACAAATTATTTTCCACTTAGAACAGCTTGCATGAAGCTAGCGTTTTCAAGCAGCTACCATTAATGGAGTGATCTGTTTGAACCAATATCTAAATGCTGCCAATGGGAAGGTAGTGCTTATGGGTCCAAGGGAGAAGGCACCTCAAGCAATATGATTGAAAATGTCTCCACTCAACCCCCCCCCCCCAAAAAAAACACTTTCCATTTGGCCTTATGAAAATGTATACAGTACTGGGAGACAAGAGTTGAGATGAAATGTGAGTCTGAGGGCCTATTACTTAGGCTGGCAACTTGAGTCTGCTGCTCAATTTGGGAGTTGCAACATTCTGAATAATTTTACAATTAACAAAGTTTGAGCTGATGATGTGTTTTTAAACTGTGAGGGTATAAGAACTACACCTTAGCTCTCCGATAGGAGCTGTTTATCCAGTTTAGTTTTTTTAAGTCTTCCAGTGATAAGTATCACACAACCTCCCTTGTTAACTTGTTCCACAGCCTTTTTTTTAAAGTTACTGTTACATAGGAGAATATTAGAGGGGAAAGTAGGTCATAGAAGACTGAATTTTTCATCCTTTTCCTGTGGACACATGCTTTATAGAGAAATCCCAATATGGTGTGAGCTTAGACTATTTCCAGACTATCTGCAAGGCTCTATTTTAAGCCAACCTTCATCATTTTCCCCTGGAAAATAAATATTTATTCAAACTTTATGTGATATAAAACAGTTAGGATGACACACATACTGCCTTTGCTACGCGTCTTATGTTTCCTGCATGCCTGAAGCTCTGCAAATATGCTTTTGAGTCATCCTGGCTGACACCCACAAACCACTTAAGAAGGCTTTTAGCCCCACTGACATCAATAAGACTAATAGCCTAATTCTAAGGATTGTTTTGCTATTAAATAGTGAGGACGGGTTCGGAAGGGGTGTAGTGATTTCTGTGCCAATGTATCTCAATGGAAATTGGGATGTTATGGTGTTGAGTACATCAAATAGGACTGGACTGTGGATTTCAGAACGCCCCACTGTCCTAGCTTAAGTGGTTTGCCAGTTCCACAAATGTGGGCTTTTACATGAATAAGAAAGTTAAGTAGAATCCCCACAGAATTCAGGAGGGCTTTGCATGTTACCAGGAAATAGGATGGTGTTGAAGGAAGAAGCGTTTGCATCACTTTGACCAATTCTTTAATGCTATCCCTACATAATGGGGGAAGGCGGGATTAGAAGATAGGTTAAAAAAAAAAAAAAGGAGTGAAAGCTTTTTGAAATGACAGTGGGTTCAAGAAGGCATGCTGTGATGTGATGGGCACTGTCCAATGGACAGAAGCTGCCTTGGAGCATGAGTGGCCATGGAAAGACTATTCGGTCCTAAACTTGATAGTTGGACTGAGGGTGTGTCTGTCCTAGCACTTTCAGAGAAAAATATATAAAGCTAGATATGTGCTTTGCTATCTGCACAAAACACGAAGGCATGGTTCCATTTAGTATTACCGTTTGGTAGGAATCATAGGTGGGTCCTCCTTATGGGCTTGGCCACTGTGAGAACAGGGTGCTGGACTTGATGGGCCTGATCCGACAAGGCTCTTGTGCTCATTAGAATTTGCCTCTTGAGGCTCTGCTGAAATGAAACAAATGTTGACACAACAGAATAAATAGAAGTGTGCTTAGTTGCCTTGGACAATGACAGTCTCCCCCCTCCCCCCGGTCTGTTATTCCTTTTTCCATTCGCCTGTGTCTCTCCCTATTTCCCTTTACTCCAGCTGGGATCCTCATCTTTTCAGCTTTTCACTTGTTTGTGGTGGGTGGGTATATATCTGTATCTGAAATGTCCAGAGAATGTACAAAATTCAGTTGATATATGCACATTCTCCAAAGTCAGTTGGGGATTATGCATAATGACCGGAGAATGTACAACATTCCATCTTCGTGAATAGATCATGTGCCCATTCCGTACGTGGCCTGGTGAATGTGCACCATGGCTGGCTGTGAATGCACATAAACAACTCAACTTACACGTCCCTTAAAATTATATACACATGTATACAGACACACTCCCCACAACCTGGCGGAACATCAAATGCATTCTTGTAACTCATTTCAAGGCCGCCTTTTGGAGAGAAAACAGGATGTATATTTTTAAGTGCATAAAAGAAGTCTGGCTGTTCAAGTCATAACTAACTGGTCTCTAAGAAGCACAGGAATTGTTGGGGTAAGGTCCTAAGAAAGGGTAAACACACACACACACACACACACACTTTTGACAGAAGGTCATGGCAATAACTTAGACACCAAAGGAACACAATAGCTCTTCATAGGAAAAACCTGCTTTCTCCATGGTTGACTGGAGAGAGTAGCTATTTCTATCACTCCATCTAATACTGAGCTCAGGTGCTGAGTGCTGACAGGCCTGGAGTCAAAATGGGGCCATCGGGAAAGAGAGATATTCCCATGCTTCTGGGGAATACTATGTTTTGCAGAACTACAAAAGGAAAAGCAGTAAAAACGAAACCCCAAAGGGCGTCACGCCCCCTCTCCAGGTTGCAGAGGCTGCTGAGCATGCTTAGTCCTAACTGAACTGTTTTTGAAAGGGGAGTGGAATGCTTTGCTGGATGGAAATGGCTTGCTGGCATCCTGAGCAGAAGCATGCTTTTTGGGGGGGGGAGAGAACAGACTGCAACATTTTGTTGCAGTTGCCACTTGTGACTTCCTCTTGTATAACTGCTCTAAATTTGTTTGCATTTAAAGCCCTGCTGCAACAGGCTGTTTAGTTTCTCAATGGGAGAATGCAGCTGCTAGGAGCACATTGGGAATCCTGGGAAACGTCCACAAGTATTTAGGAGGCCAGGATTATGTGATCTGCCTCCATAACTAGCCTCAGATGACCTGGAGTCTCTCATTTATAAATCTTTGCAGACTGTTAACAGTCTAAAATAATACTCAGCTGGAGGTCCTGGAATTTAATTGATTCATCTGCATGGCTAATCCATTAAAAATTTAATTGCAGATTATAAAAGCTTACTGGTTAATCAGGAAAGTCAGTAGGCCCATGGAACAGGCTCTTAGAGCCCAGCTCTGACAATATTTACCTAAAATAAATATCCAGGCCATGTTTGTGTTCTTTTAAAAATGTTTAGTGCTGCTGGACAATGCTTGATAGTTTGCACCATTACGTACTTTGGTTAACTCTTCCGATAGAAGAACAAACTTTGCTAGCACCTTTCCTTATCTATATGTTTTTAATATTGTGCTTTAATACCGTAACCCACCCTGGGACCTTGAGGGAAGGTCATTCTGTGCCAGCTTTTAAACATCCGAAAACTTTTTCTATTCTGCCAGGCCTATGCAGACAATGAAGAGCACATCACTTACAATGGTCTGTTTTAAATTCTTTTGCTTTTAACTTTTCGTGATTTTACTGTGTGGTTTGGGGCTTTTATATTGCTGTAAACCACTGTGTGATGTGAGACACACACACACACACACACACACACACACAATGCTACAGCAGTATAGAAATAGGTTTTTGTGGGGGGGGGGGTTGTAAATGAATAATCCTAGTAACAACTGCCCCATTGGCCTGTAACTGAAGGAAAAAACAGAGATGTTGTAGCTTCATGCTATTCGTAGAGCATAATGGGTGGTTTGGCCTTCAGTTCCATAGTTATGGTCCGTGGTAGCTGGTATCTATTGGAACTGTTAAGATAGAAGGCAGACAGACCAATAGCAGATGGAGCCAGAGAACCAACTAATTCTAGTTTTGCTCCTGTTCTTCTTCAAGCTGAGTTTTACAATGGAAGACCAAGGAAGAGGAAGCTGATCGTCTGAAGGCAGGACAGGTGGAAGCTGGCTGAGGTTGGTGGGGCAATGCCCCATTGTCCTCATGGACCATCCATAATTAGTTATGGGTCAACAACCAAGTCTGTAGTACGTGGAGGAAGGAGAGCTTTCAGGTAAATACTGCTCTTTGTGGTCATCACCTCTGAGACTTGGGAGGGCAGAGTGAAGTCAGGTTCAACCCTTGACATCTTCAGGCAGGGCTGGGAGAGATCCCTGTGTGAAATCCTGGACAGTCTGTGCCAATGATGTGGAATGCTAGACTGGTGACTGGGAGTGGCCACCGAGACCATATAACACTGATCCTGAAAGACGTACATTGGCTCCCAGTATGTTTCTGAGCACAATTCAAAGTGTTGCTGCTGACCTTTAAAGCCCTAAATTGACTCAGCCTAGTATACGTGAAGGAGCATCTTCACCTCATCGTTCAGCCCGGACACTGAGGTCCAGCTCCAAGGGCCTTCTGGTGGTTCCCTCACTGCAAGAAGTGAGGTTACAGGGAATCATGCAGGAGGCCTTCTTGGTAGTGGTGCCCGCCCTGTGGAATGCCCTCCCTTCAGATGTCAAGGAAATAAACAACTACAGTGGATGCTCGGGTTGTGAACATGATCCGTGCGGGAGGCATGTTCGCAACCTGCAGCGCCTCGTCTGCACACGCGCGGCTCGCAATTTGGCACTTATGCGCAAAGTGCAATTTAGCACTTCTGTGCATGTGCGAGTGCCAAAACCCGAAAGTAACCCGTTCTGGTACTTCCGGCTTTGGCGTGGTGCGCAACCCGAAAATGCACAACCTGAAGCGTCTGTAACCCGAGGTATGACTGTATCTGACTTTTAGAAGACATCTGAAGGCAGCCCTGTTCAGGGAAGTTTTTAATGTTTGATGTTTTATTGTGTTTTAAATATTCTGTTATGAGCTGCCCAGAGTGGCTAGTGAAACCCAGTCAGATGGGCAGGGTATAAATAAACTATTATTATTATTATTCCCCACAAGTGTCCCAGGAAAACTGGGACATCCCCTGTTTTCTTGGGAGAGAACACA